ATAATAATATAAAATTAGTATTAAGAATATGGCTTACTTTAGTTTATTAAAACCTTTTTAATACTAATTCGTTTATTTATACGGGATTTCTTTATATATTAAAGCTATTAAAGGCTTTACTAAATAGTTATATTTCGTAATAAACTACTAATAAAAATTATAAAAACCTAGAAAGCCTTATATTTCCTTAACTATTATTAGTAGTTACTAGTTTTTAATAATTACTATTTTATCTAGATTTATTTCAATATCCTTAATAAAGATAATAAAGCCTAGATATTTTATATAAGTAACCTTAAACTCTAATTTCTTAATATTTACTTAAAGGCTAATATCCTATAGCTACTAAAGAATCTTTTATATATAGTCTTTATATTTAAGGGAATTATTCGAGTAAATTAGAATATTATTTAGATAAATTATATAAAAAATATTAAGGTAATTAAAAAGAATATTATTTATATATTTCTAATATATAATATAGCTATTAGTTAGGCCCTTCTAAAAAACTTTATACTTATAGGCCTTATATCTTATACGGAATATTATAAGTTCTTTTAATTCTGAGTTTATTTAGATCTAATAGAATAGTTACTAAATATCTAGCTTTATATAGATCTTGGCTTAAGCTAGTTATATAAGAGTCTTATAAATAAGAGAAAGAGGATAATAATCTTTTCGTATTAAATTATTTAGCTTATAATAATTAATATAGAATTATAGAGCTCTATTAGTCTTTTTTATAAAAAGAATTAGGGATATAAAAGAAAACTAGCTTGGCTTAATAAAGCCCTATTAGAGGTTCTTTTTAAGGAAATACTTAATTTCTTATAGCTTATAAATTAATTATTAATAAAGCAGGAAATACCCTAGACTCTTCGGGCTTTTGGGATTATTAATCTAAATCTTGTAATTATAGAACTAATACGGGAATAAGATATTTAATATTTCTTTTTAGAAAATATCTATAAAGTTCTTAAATTCTTTTAGTAAGACTTTTACTAGCTATTATAACTTTATTTTTCCTGGCTATTATTTATTTAAAATAAACTCGTTCTCTTATTATAATTCTAGCTCTTTATTAATCTTGAAAAATAATATTATAAAGAAAAAGTTCTTTTTTTTTATAGGTTTATCTAGAAAATAGCTAGTAAGATACCTATAATATTAATTATAAGCCTTAACTAGCTCTTATAACTTTTCTTTAAATAGTGTGATTTTAATATTCCTGTTTCTAGCTTAAGAAAAACTTTTATATTTCCTAAGACTATTTATATTTCTTTATAAAGTCGAGTTTAATTCTTTTATTATATACGGCTTCCTAAGCCCGGCTTAAGAAAAGAATAAGGGAATTTTCTTTTTATAATCTAAGATCTCTAGAACTTATCTATAGCTAAAGCTTTATTTCTATCTATATTTTCTTAATACTAATTACTTTTCCAGGTTCCAAGTTCTTATATATAATAATTAGAACCTTATCTTAGCCCTTTTTTCTAGGCTAATTATCTAGCCAAATTAATTTTCTATTCTTGTAATTAATTAGGATACTAGTATTTATAAACTATTATTATTTTAATATTATATTATATTTACCTAGCCCTATAACTAGTATAGATATTAGGACTTTCTATTTATTAATTAAAAATATAAGCTTAATATAATAAGTAATAAACATAACCTACTTATTATTAAATTCTCTTATATTATAAGATAATATTAATTAAATAGGTTTAATATCTAGGAATTATTTAATTATTCTTATAAATTTAGAATTAATAAAAGTTTATTTATTTATTCTAGTATTAATAAAAGAAGAAGTCTTAATATCTAATTTATTATTACTAATTATATAAGAGAATATAAATGCTTTATTTTCTAATAACTAGCTCAAATCAATTTCTATTATATTAATATAATATGGCCCTAAAAAGAAGACTTCTTTTAAGGGTTCTTATTTCTCTATTTTATATCCTTAAATAGTTTATTTATAATAAATACTATTAGTATAGCTATTAAGACTTGCTTTATATATTTTATCTTGGGCTCTAAATAGTTTCTAAATATATACCTAAATTTATTATAGTTATAGTACTTGAGATTAGAAGATCCGGGCTTTGAAATAATAGGCTTATTTATTACTAGAGTCTTAGAAGCAGGCTTTATATAAGGAATATTTCCTGAACTTGGCTTATCCGGGCCTTTATTAGCTTTCTTGAATACCTAGTCTTTCTTTTTATAATAAGCTTAGATCTATTAGTTATTTATAATATAGTATTATATGAACTTTATAATATAAATAGTAGGGTTATTATAGTATATAGCTATAGTCTTTTAGAGCTTCTAGGTAAGTTTATTATTTAGGTTATTCTTAAAGTCCTATAAATTAATATTTCTATTTATTATATATCTTAGAAATAGGATATAAAATTTCTAAAAAGTCTATTCTTTTTTATAAATAGTTTCTTAAATACTTATTAAGTATTATATTTCTTATTCGGATTATTATATAGTTTCTCTAGATAAGTATATAATTCTCTAATAGTTTCATATATATATTAATTATTCTAATTTAGGTAAGGAAAGATTAGTATAAGAATATAGCTATTTATATAGCCAGATATATAAATAATCTTAAGGTTTTTTATCTAATAAGTATTAGAGTTATTATAGAGCTTATTCTTAATCTAAACTAACTAATTATTAAAAGTAATATTATCTTTAGTTATATTTTTAAAAATAAAAAAGTTAGGAAGTTTAATTAAGTATTTATTTTCTAGAATAAAAAAACCAGTTATTTTAGTAAACTATATAATAAGCTTCTTAATAATAGCTTTATTCTTTTATAAGACTTACTTAGTTTCTCTTAGCTAATTATAATGATTCTTGCTATAAGCAAGAATATTATATGTTTTTAGAATTAGCTTAATAATCTTCTTATATAAAGCTTTAGGGTTCCGGAATAACTCTTGGAACTTTGCCTTTAATAAAGCAGGTTTCTCTTTTTTCTCTATTTTTTAAAAGAAAGTATCTCTTTTATTATAAGTATTAATAGAATACTCGGACTTTTTAAGAGACTTAATAAAAGGCTCTGTCTTATTTTCTAGTAATATATTAGTAGTATCTCGTATTATAGCTCTTTCTAACTTGCCTAGTTATTCCGGAACTTGCTTTTTTATATTTTCTTTAGTAATAAGATTACTAGCCTATTTGCTTGCCTAGCTAGTCCAGGGCTTTCTTTTATTCTAATATTAGTTAACTAGTATAAGAATAGCTATGGTATATTATATTTATACTTATTAAAAACTAATTAGATAGGTATTACTTAAATTCTCTATAGAATTAAGAAATAGATAAGCTTTAAATTATATTATAAATATAAGATCTAGGGCCTAAAAAGCAAAGTTAGACTATTTCTATTCTAATAATTTAAAGCTAAAAAAGAGAAAAAGATCTTAAAGAAGCCTCGGATCTAAATAATTACAAGCTATATACGAGTTTATATACTAGCTAAATAGGGTTATATTTGTAATCTCGATTTATGCTTTCCGATTTTAAATACCTAGCTAGTTCTAGTCTAACTTCTATTAGTAATATATGCCATAATAATTATAATAATTTCTTACTATTATTTCTTTAATATTTTTTATTTTACTTAAATTCTTTATACTTTTTCCTATATTACTAGTATTTTTTTTAGAAATATTATTCTTAATATATAATTTAATATTAAAATAAAATTCATATAATATATAAAATAGAAGTATTTCTATTATTATATATAAACTTTATAAAAATAAGTTTTATTATTTAGTTATTTTATTAGTAGCTAGTATAATATCTCAAGTATTATTTTAGAATTTAGTTTAGATTCTTTATTTATTTATTAGTTTATAGGTAAAATATTATATTTTAACTATTACTAAATCTTTAAATAAAAATATAAACTTAACTAGAATTTATTTATAAAAATAAATTTTTTATTAGAGGTTATATTTATAAATATACTAAAGTTTTTGATAATATAATATATAAATAGTTCTGCTAGTTTAAAAGCCAAAATCTCCTTAGTAATTAAAATATATTATATTATTTTTATATATTTATTAATAATAATAAGTATAGAATTATATATTTTATTATAAAATCTAAAAAAGAATAGTATTATAATATAGTTTATAATAATTTTTTATTATAACTTAAAGGAAATAGAAAATAAATTAAAAATATTATATAATAGTTATTTTTTTATTTTAGTTTATTAATATATAAAATAAGTTCTAATATAGTTTTTTATATTTCTTTTAAAGAATTTCTAGTATTTTACTAGTATTAAAATATTTATTTATAGAATTATTATAATTTATTTATAATAATTCTTCTTAAAAAGCTAATTTATTTAATATATAAATAATATTCTAATATTTTAATAATTCAAATATATTAAATTTCTAAGTTTTAATAGCTTTAATAAAGGTTCCCTTTAAAAACTATTTATATTACTAGTATTATATTAAGGAAATAAGCCTTTAATATTATAATAATAATTTAAATAATATTTCTTTATTTTTCTTATATATTATTTCAGATCTAACTATTTATATAGCTAAAATTTATAATATATAATATTTATAACTAGCTATATTAATAATAGACTTAAATAATAATATTTCCGGTATTATTTTATTATTAAAATAGATTTCCTTTTCGGAATTCCTTAGTATTTTACTAATTAAAAAATATTTATTTCTTTTCTTTTAGGCCTTATATTATAATATTATAAAAATAATATAATATCTTATTATTATTATTATTTATAGGGCTTTCTATTCTGTATTCTATAGTTTATTATAAAATATAAATAATAAAATATCTTTATTTATATTTATTATAAAGTCTGGCCTTTTTAATAGTCTATTAGTAAAATTACTATATTCTGGGTAATATTCTAAAATAAAATCAAAAATAGCTAGCTTTTTATTATAAATAGCAAGGAATAGTAATTTGTATAAATAGTTATCTGATTAAAAGAAGCTCTAAAGGGAGCCTCTGGATCTAGCTAAATAAAAGGGGCTGCTAAGTAAGCAAAGCTAAGCTCTCTAGTACCCGTATCTATATAATATACCCCCCAGAGGCTTCTAATTCTATATATAAAGGAAATAGCTAGTAAAGTACTCCTACGGAGCACCCCTAGTAAAGCAAAAAGGAGTATATATATGGTCTATCTACCCTAATTAAGAGCTAAGAAACCGTTATTCCCTAATACCTTATATTAAGCTAATAGAATCAAAAAGGGGTAGGAAGCAAAGCGTCTCCAGATATCTCCGGTAGTACACTTAGTTCCAAAAAAGCCTAGCTCCAGCCCCGGACGGCTCCGCAAGCCCAAAGCCAGGAAACCACATTATACGTACCATTAATACTCAAAATCTCCTATTAACTTCCCTCCCTTCTTTATCTAACCCTTCTTCTCAAGCTGCCCATATAGCTTCTCGTATTCCCTTGCCAAGCGTTCTCGTATATCCTTTAATTACTTGTCCATAGGCTATAGATCAAGTTTCCTGATACAGGAACCAGTGGTTACAAGCTCTAGAATAGAGCAATTAACAGGCTTCTACGGGTGCTTTTCCGCTCTTGTTTTCTTACAAGGGCACGAGTAGCCTTGTAAATCAGATCGTCTAGTAAGAGAAGCAAAGATCCCAAGTAAAAAGTATTCGTTTTGCTGAATCAGGGCCTCAAAGATCCTTCCGTATTACTCGAGCGTACGAACGGGCTCTCCCAGCGTATTAGCCTCAATTACCAAAGCGAGTTACTATTCTCCCCAAATAGGTATAAACTTGGCTGCTACCACTTGAAGAAAGTCCTTAATTACCAGGAATCCTTCGACTTCTGTAACTCGGTAGGTTTGAGCTCGTATAAGAGTTTGGTACTAATTATTAATCCAGGCTTTGGGAGATTCTGAACCTATTCTGCCACGGTCCAGAATTCTCTTGTAATCCTCCCTCACTTATTCCCGCATATTGTCCTCCGATAGCTGGAATTTATTGCGAAGAGCTCGTACGACGTTCTGAAAAGAAAGCCTCTGCTGGGAAACGAGCAACTCAAGGTGTGGTACGAGCAGAGCAGGTTCTACCGTACGGCGTACCCAGTCCCAGATATTCTGATACCGAGAGCTTTGCGTTAACCAATTGGACTGCTTAATAGCGTACTCCTTGAGCCTGAACGAGTATTCCTCCTTGATATCGTCAAAACGAGCTGGACGTGGAGCTCTTAGTCGTACTCCCTTCTCTGCTTCCGGCCTCCTATCCGTATCCCATATCGCTAATAGAGTATTTCGCTCAATATTCGATTACTCAATTATTTAATCGATCGTGAGAGGTGGGGGGGGGGGGCTCTGCAGAGAGCAGATGAGGAGCTTCTGGAGTATCGGGATTAATAAGGTACCATATATTATGAAAGGTGGAATTAATTTTAAGCTCTGTATACTACTCAGGAAATCTCCTGTAATTAGTAAGGCGTATATCGGAGACTAGTAGAGCTGCCATTCTAAAAAGAGGAATAAAGGATGAGAAAAACAGGTAAAACGTATTCTTTTGGCGGTTATAACCATAGTAAGAATAACCGCAATTACTAGAACGCTTACTAATTGCTAATAGAGGTATATAGCTAGTACGCCGGGCTCATAACTATTACAAATAGTAAGGAATAGTAATTTGTATAAATGGTTGTCTAATTAAAAGAAGCTCTAAAAGGAGCCTCTAGATCTAGCTAAATAAAAGGGGCCGCTAAGTAAGCAAAGCTAAGCTCCCTAATACCCGTATTCATATAATACTTTTTTATTTATTTTATTTATTATTTTATTTATTATTTTATTTTCTCTTAATTATAAAGTATTTCAAGTTATTATAATTTATTTTAATAATAGTAATATATTAGATATATATTAAATAATATTATTAAATATAAAATATTAGAATAATAACCAAAAGTTTAAAATTATATATCTTGTATTTATTTTTAATTATAATTATTTTCTTTAAATAGAAAATAATAAAGTATTACTAGGCCTCTATTTCTTTATTAAAGAGCTAGGAAATCATATTTATAATTATAAATTTAGAAGTATCTATTTCTATATAAATCTTTAAGGCTAAATTAAAATAATAAAGAATTAGTACTATTATAAATATAATTTTTAGTTTCTTAAAAGCCTTATTTGCCTTATTTATTTAATTAAAATAATATTACGGTTTTCTATTAGTTTTTAATAAATTAATTAATTCTTTTATTATTCTAGAATATTTATAAATAAATCTCTAATAAAAGTTAATAAAACCTAGAAATATTTAAACTTCCCAGATATTATTTTTCGGAGCTAGTTATTCCCTAATAGCTATAACCTAACTAGCTTCTATTTTTATACTATTTGAATTAATTATAAATTACAAGAACTTTATTTTCTTTATATTAAACTCGTATTTTATTAAGTTTATAAAGAGCTAGTATTATTATAATTACTCGAGTATATATTATTTTAGGTTCTTGAAATAAATTAGAATATTATTTAAATAAATTATATAAATAATATTTATAAGACTTATTAGTATATAATTAATATATACCTGAAATATTACCGGAATATTAAAGAGTTTAAAAGATATAATATAATATTTAAAATATTTATAATATATTTGAAATATTATTTTTTACTTATTATTTTTTACTTATTATTTTCCCGAATTTATAATTAATAATAAGTATTTTTTAAATCTAGCTTTATATATATCTTTATTTTATAAAACTTATTTATTATTTTACTAATAAGTAATAATAATATCCGGTTTTTAATAGTAATTCTATTTAGATTCTAGTAATTAATATATAGATATAGGCTATTTTCTTTTTTTAGAATAAATATAATTAGAATATTAATTAGGCTAGTAAAATAATAGATTTATTTTTTTCTAAGCTAATATTAAGATATTCCCAAAAAACTTTAAGCTTTTTTTCTAATAAAATATATATAAGATTATATAATAATTAGAATTCCAATTCCAGATTTATATAATATTCTATTATATAATAATCGAGTAATATATCTATAGTTTCTATAAAAAATACTCGAAAAAAGTTCTAATATTTTTTAGGAAATAAAGTTATTCTATTTATAGTAATAATAGTAATTTTTTAGCCGTTTATTATAAGGTAAGTAATTAATAGAAAAATATATATATTATACTTTATTATTTTAGTAAACTTTTTAATATTTAGAACTTTAATTTTCTATAATTAAATCTAATATCTTTATATTACTTTTCTAAAAGAAATTAGGGAATTAATTTAATAAAGTAATAAAAATCCAAGTATTATATTAATATAGTTTAGATTAAAATTATATAATATAAAATATATATTAGCCTTTTTTTTAATTTCCTAGTATATCCTTAATAATAATCCCAAGAATATAATCTTTATATAAATGAATTCTTTTTTTCTCTAGTAAAATTAAGAGAATTATTTTTAATATTAATAAAATACTTATATTTAAAGCTAGCTTTTTCTTTATATAATTAGCCTTTATACTCGAATTAATTAATATTCTAATCCTATATCTACTTTCCTTATTTTAATAGTAACTTTAATTATTATTCTCGTTTTAGAGGCTTTATTTTTTATAATATAAACGAGTATAATTATTATAGAATATACCTGTTTCCTGATTTCTTTAGTTCTAAATACTTATATACTTTATGGCTAGACTTATTATAGTTATAGTAAGTTAGTTTCTTCTAACTTAGATAGGTTATAATATAATAATTCTTTTTTTAGTAAATAAAGCAAATTATATCCGGTTTTATAGATTCTAATATAGGTACTATATTAGACCCTATTACTATATCTTTATTATCTTGGTTTTATAAATCTTATAATAGAAATATATTTCTTTTCTATTTCTCTTTATTATTTTCTTTTTCTTTTCTTTTATTTTCTTTCTTTTACTATTTTATTAGTTTATTACTATATTTTTATTAAATAAATAGATTTAAGTTATTCTCGACTCTTATAGTTATAGAAATAAGCTTTTCTCTTTCTTATAAAGTATTTCCTTAATAATTAATCTTATTTCGAATCTCTTGCTTTAAGCTACTAAATAAGTTATTTCGCTTTTATAATAAACTTATATATCTCAAGTTATTTAATAAATTATCTAAATAAAATATAAAGCTTTAAATACTCTAATCTAGCTACTATTTTATATCCTTAAACTTAATAAAGGTATTATTATTATAGTTTTCCGAATTCAAGATAAAATTCTTTATAAACTTAATAAAGGTTTCCTAATTTGTAATATTAATATTTACTAATTACTTTTTATATTTCTAGATATTTCTAACTATATTCTTAAAATAGAAAATATAATATATAACCTTTATTATATTTATAGCCTAGATAATTCCGCTATTTTTATATTATTTTAACTTTACCTAGTAAAAAAAGTCCTAGGCTTTCTTAATACTTTTCTCTTTATAAATTAGTAATTCTCGGGTTTTTAAAGCCCTCTAAACTAAGGATACTACTAGAAGTATAATAGGTTCTATATTAGGTATTCGAATATTTTCAAGATAATAGATCTAAGCTTCTAGCTCTTTTAAATTCTTTCTTTATTATATTTTTACTTCTAATTTAGTAATATAATAATAAGCCGCTACTAGTTTCTCCGTTATTATTATCTTACTAGCTAGTTCTAAGAATATCTGAGTTCTATTTCCTTTTTCTAATTAGGTAATATAAAGAGTACCTAACTAGGCGCTTTTCTAGATATCTAACTAAATTACTCTAGTAATAATAAAGGCGCTTCTTTTAGTTAATACTCTAGTTATTAGTAATTTTATTTATTAATGGCTTAATTACCTTATAATAAACTACTTTCCGAAAATTAGATTAATTAGAATATAAGGCATATAATAGTAGAATAATATATAAGTAGTTAAGGTAAGTAATCTATAAAGTAATACTTGCAAATATAACTAATTTCAAGAGTTAATTCTAATAAAAGACTAATTAATGCCCCTTTCTAAAGCTAGAAGCGTTTCCTTATATATTTCCTAGTACTTAGTTAAGTATATAAAGCCCTTTACTTAATTAGGAAATATAATCCCATATAATTTATATAATTCTAATTATAAGCTTTACCTAAAATAGGAAACTAGATTTATAATATCTAATACCTATTTATATGCCATTACATATACTTATTATATAAGAGCTATTTATATATAATATATAAATAAAAATATTTAAAAAATATACTTTTATATATAAGTTAAGAAATAAAATAAAATAAAAGTAATTATATAATAAGAATTAAAGTCTGCTACTTAAATAAGTTATATTTCTTTATAAATTTATGGTTTTAAGTATTTTTAAAACAGATGTATTAGAAAAAGAAAGCGGATTGCAATATGAATTAAATTTAATTTAGCTTAATTAAGTTAAATTGAATTAAATAAGGTAAAAGATCCTTTAAAGACAATTAGGGTCTCTAATAACTACTTTTAAAAGAAGAGGAAAATCCAAATCTGGTTAGTACACGCGTTATTATACAGCTCTCATAGGCTTAGAAGCCATCGTCCTCCTTGTGAAGGGGGCTCGACCGGGGCAACAAATTTGACCATGGTTATCAGTGCCTCACGGCAGTTGGCCCTTGTGATTTGGATCTTTTGGCAGAAATGGAAATTTGGAAAAGCGAACAAAAATAGCAAGACTATCAGAGTCAGACTTGGCGGTGCTATCTAACATAACGGAAACAATTAAATACGAGGCGTAATAATTTTTTTTCTCACCTGCTTCGTGCGATACCTCAAATTCAACAATTCCACTCCAGAAAGGCCAGAGAATTAATTTGCACTTTTTACCCGCGATGTTAGAGCTGATCCATTTGGATGCTCTTGGAACTTCTCTCCCTCCCCAATCAACACTGCCATTTATTCTCTGGGTATTAATTTATAGAGAAAGAGGGCTGTCGACAGGAGTTTGAGACGGTTGATGTCCTTTTTTGTGGGGGGATTTCGGTCCTTGTCTAATAATTAGGTATCAAGTGAGAGAGCTCTCTTCACATAAACATAATTTCAAGAAATTAGCTCAATTCTGTCTAGTAGCAGTCCTCCTTTTCCGGACCCGAAATCACGACACGCCATTCTTGCATATCCATTTGCGCCTTAAAAAGCATTTTCGTGGTTTGAACAGCCACCCTGTATACATATGCACGCCTCCAATATTTTGCCGCCGAAAGGACATTTGGTGGGATGGCGCTGCATCCGGTGAGGCGGGGGCTGAGTTGGTGAAGATGCCTTGCCGCAAGCCACCGCTTCAATACCTCCTGCACGATCGCGACTTCACGAGTGTGGTTCCAATCGCAAAGCTCTGTCGCGAGTGCGCAGTGCGTTGAGCTGGCGCCCCCTCGCAGAAGTAATTTTGCAATGACAAAAACGATGTGGCTCGATGATGATGAGTGCAAATCTTGTGTGCAGCTGCTGGAAGGTCACAAGCAGCGACAGGTGACAAGACCTGAGGCCGAAGGATTGATTTTCTTTTGATTCAACCATTCAAGGGAGAATGATTGAAGGGGAGTGGTAGCTTACGAATATTCAAATCTGGCAATTCTCGCGTTTCAAGTCTTCTTGTGTCACCAATGTTCGGCTCAGATCCCCAATTTAGGTCATGCGGTGCTGAGACAGCATGAAGACTCCAGCACAGCCGCCACGAGGCTGGGAAGGTGGAGCCCTTCACCAAAACAGTGCAGCAGTCACCCGTAAAGCAGCCTTATTGCCATTCTTATATTCCGCAACCCCTTCGCTCTCTCGCCACAGATCATCACAAAAAATCACCATGAGCGACACTTCCTTGGCCCATTTCAATCTCAATGATTGGCTGCACGAGAATCCATACACAAATGGCACACTCGCGGAGGAACTCCAATGCTATGGACTTCCTTATGGTGGAATTGGATTTGCTTCCCATGTCTTGACGTATTACACGATCATTATGCTCTCACATCAACGAAGTCCTTTGATGCCGTGGAAAAGGAATCATCACAAATGGATCGACATCACTCTCACTATCTTCGGTCTCGTCGCATCCATTATCCTTGCCGTCCTTACAATCCTCCGTTGTCGAAATCGATGGCAATTTGTTGCAATGGCGACGTGGAAGTTGGTCCTAAGTGTGACATTTGGCATTCTGAGTTTCCATGCTGCGATGATGGTTCGACCGAAGGAGAAATATCAGTACAGTGGATTGGGACATTTGGAGAGCACTGCGAATGCTATTGAGAATAAGGAATATACGAAGGTCCTTTGGTGGTTGCTGCTATATGTCCCGGGTGTCGTTGCTGGGCTTTCAGGGTTGTTGTCGTTGGTTTTCAAGGAAATCGGACATAACGCCCATGTTAAAATTATTACTGAGGTCTTTGGAACTGTGATTGCTTTCTCGGCAGTCTTGATGCTTATTTTTGGTATCATCGGGATGTGTTCGCAGGGTTCTGGGAGTCGGAAAAAGGAGGCGAACAACTCGTCCATGGAGAGTCTGGGAAAGAGTACTGTGGCCATTGGGGTTATGGTGTTTCTAGTTGCAGGCAGTGCGACGAGTGTATTGGCTGCGTTGTATAGCGATTGGATTTTAGGTGCAATTGCTGGGAATTTGGTTGGATTGCCTAGTGGAGATGTTAGGCTGTTGTATTGGGGATATATTGTGGCAAAGAGATTGCCGTTCCTCAGTTTTTAAGGTAGTTCGGCGGAGTTGGGAGTTTAGAGTTTAAGAGCCTTCGAACTTCAGCTATCCTTTGACGTTCACTTTTATTGGAGGTTGTAGGTTCCAGGAGAGGAGACGCCCACTTTTAGAACAATGGAAGAAATATCCTCCTAGATTATGGTCCCCGTATCTGTTAGGATGGTAAAGTGGTAACATGTTTGGGATCCCTTGCTGAGGGGCCTTTTTGGCCCCTCGTTAAAAGTTGATGAGATGATTCCTGGCTAGATTAGTCTTGGCTACACCACGTCGCGTAAACAGGATCAAACCTGAGCAGACCTGAGCCGAAGTTGAACTAGGCCTGAGCAGGGCTTGAGCAAAGGAGACGTGGTCACGTGAGCATGAGGGTTAGAAAGTCTCAATATTCCTGTAATAACGCCCGTTCTCAGAGGCTACATCGCAGAAACAATTAGTTATCCTAACCGCATTCACTGAAGTAGCATTTCTCTTCATCCGCTTCGCCTGTCCGGCAACGACATTCCTGCGGCCAATCATCTATGATACCGACATGCTCTCCAACAAAGGGCTCGCCGTTTCCAAGCAGAAGCCCCTGAAAAGAGCAAAACCACGACCATTGGGACTCCCACCCCAGCCTTCTCCCAAAGCCCTGCCTCCTCCACCGTAAGGCTAGAAAAGCCCAAAAGCCACCTCCAAAAACTCAAAACCTTCAACGACCCCTCCAGCCACCAAACCCGCCTCATCCGCCTCGCCCGCCCCTTCGCCTGCTTCCTCTAGATGAAGACTTGGAGGGTGTCTGATATTGTGGGGAACCTCTAGATGGGGATTATGTTGTGCTCAATTTTATTTATGTTATGTGAAGCAGTGAGTTGAGGAGTTTCTTCCCTCGGAAGGGACTCGTTGAAGTTCTTTCGCTTGAATTAGTGGTTGAGAGGAGGAGAAAAGATTCATGTACGAGGGCGTCGATTTGTGAAACACTGTGCGGCTATTTCTTAGAAACATAGTTATATTTGGAGGGGTTCGAAGGAGTAAATGGAAGTAAACAACCTCTAGGCGAAATTGTGCCACCCCCTTTTCACTAGCGAGGAGCACTAGTGTCCATCCCCTTCGCGATTACCAACCATCATGCCGATCTTTGCTTTGTTCCCTCTCTATAACATCCGACCCTCCGCTCCACCTTTTGAGATCTTAATGATCCCAAGTCGTGAGTGCAGCGAAATCTGGAGTAAATCTATTAAAAGTGGCCGGACAGAGTTTGCTTTATATTCCAGATGATCAACAATGTCAACATCAAATCTATAAACCTTAATCCCTTGCCCTCTTAACGTATACTTTCAGAACAATCTCCTTCGAGCTCTCATTTTCAATAGTTTAAGATGCCGAAAACTATCGCAGCCCTCGGTGTAGCAGGAACCCAGGTAGGTCCTCTCTCTTACCCCTTCTTAAGACACAGTCACATGACAACCCCTCCCTCCCTTTCTAACGACTCCAGGGCGGTTCCGTAGCCTCGCACTTCCTCTCCCTCGGCTGGAATGTCCGAGGGATCTCTCGATCATCTACCTCGTCCTCCGCCGAAGCACTCAAGGCGAAAGGAATCGACGTGGTGCAAGCCGATGTGGACGATCCGCAAACCCTCATCCCTGCCTTCAGGGGCGCACACGTGATTTTTGCCGTCACTGATTTCTGGGCACCTTATTTCGCGGCTTTTGAAGAGAAATCGAAGATCTCAGACCGTGAAACAGGCGAATACGCTTACGCTATCGAAGTTCATCGCAGGAAGAATATTGTAGACGCAGCGGATGTGATGTTGAAGGAGGAAGGGAGTAAATTGGAGAGGTTTGTGTCTAGTACGCTGCCAGGATTCAAGGAACAGAGTAAGGGAAAGCATACGTATGCTTACCATTTCGACAGTAAAGCTGACATTACCAGTTACTTGAAGGAGAAGAACGAGTTATGGGAAAAGAGCAGTTTGCTGAATATGGGGTTCTATGCGGATAATATCATTTGGTATGGAGGGTTTATGGGTGCTGCTAAGGTTTATCTCCTTCTCTCCGTCCCCTTGCTTCACCCTTTCGATGAATTACACGTTATATCAAAACCGAGTAAATTATGTTGACGAAATAAGAATATGCAAGACGGCATCTACATTTACCACAAGCCTTGCGAGCCCACCGCCGTTCATCCCTTCGTGATCCCAGGGGACACAGGTCTCTTCGTCTCGCTCCTCGTCAACTCGCCTCCGAAGCAGGACTTACTTGGTGTAAGTGAGATTGGGAGGGAGGTGGCGGAGAGCACGGCTACTAGTGCGGAGTTTGGGTGGGGTGATAAGCTTATTTTGCCTTGGCAGGTGAGTTTATATCTAGAGGGGGGGAGATGTGTGCTAATGAGGAAGCTTGACCCAAAGGCTAAGACGTTAAGTTTGAGACAGTATATTGAGCGTGAGGACTGGAAAGATTTTTTGAGTAAGATTTGAGAGCTGTGTAAGGCTGTGACAACGTTGTTGATAGACCTCCGGCGTTGCATCATTGAGTGTGGCAAACTACTTCCTTGGAATATGCTAGCCCAAAGTGTGAAATTTGATCCTGATATCTAGCAGACGAATGTGGACGTGTAAGCTCTGATGGCCTTTGCTTTGATTTGAGAACAGAACGTTTTTTTCGGAATTTTGAAATCATATTTCTTCAATCTAAGGCGCAAATGTCTCATCGACAGTACTTTCACCCAATGATTGGGAGAGGAACGAGGATTAGTTTAAGAAGAATTACTGTGTATTCAGAGGGCAATATCATTCTAATCAATCTGCCTGTGAACATTATACCAATGCTATGAGAATGGCGCTGCAAGAAAGCTAGTGCTGAAGATCCTCAGAAGAAATAGGCAGAAGTGAACCAAGTACCAGGTTCGCGAATTACCGGGTATTTTACACGTCACGTATGAACACAAGAGATTTCTAGAATTCCGATAAATTCCAGAATAGAAGCGTGAAGCTCGTAGAAGCTTGGGAGCGAGGCTAAATACTCCTTAGCGCCATAATTAAGCGAAATGTGTGCCTGAGGCTCAAGCGAATTTTCCCCCTCACAGTGCGGCCTGATTTAATCACCTGAAAAGGCAGAGTCACCTGATAACCCCTAGAGGCTCGTGGTCATTACGATAGCCAGGTTGTCTTCTGCAAGCTTCTATACAATCACAAAAGTCTCTTTTCCCATTCGTAGCTTTGGCATCTCTGTAAATTTTTCTTCGTCGAAGATAAGGAAACCAACGCGAATAAAGATGGGTGGAGAAGACCCCTTTTCGGAGAGAATCAAGGCGGTATAACTGCAATGTACAGTGTTGCCAGAAATCGTAAAACCTAGCTTGCTCGTGTAGAGTAAGATATACGTAAAGACTAATTCCTAATCCCCATCTCGTTATATAAAGTATAGTCGAAAAAAATGGGTAGTTGCGATTCCAATGTTAATATAATGAAGTATTAGATTAGATTAGAATACCGGCTAGTAATCTAATCTATTCATTAAAAATACCCACCATTTATATTTTAATCAGATTCTAAATAAGGTAATCATGAATATTCATGATTATATATTCTAATCTAATCAAACTATTTAAATATTACGGCAATTATATTCTATTGAAGCAAATCATGAATATTCATGAATATTTGGAATACCTTGATTACTTTTTTGACACACTGGGTAGGAGAACGGCAAGGGGGATTCCAGCAGGCCAAGCTTCATGATTGCTCTTAGATAGCATCGGAATATTGGCTCCGCCCCAGAAAAAGTAGCGACCGCGTAAGAGCCAAACATACCGGTTGAACGCCGCAAACATTAGGGGTTTTTAGATTCCGGTAGGTCCAAGATCCAGAACGCAAGTTGGAAGAGCCGATTCGCCGAGCGAGGGGCGGCAATGGGTGTGTGTCGACTCACACGAGCGAGGTCATTCTCCAGCTAGAGTTATACTTTGCTCGGACGAAGGTGACTCGCCGATATCCCCACCCTCTGTCCAATTCGATCCTCGTAGAGGAGTATCTAGTAGCATTGATATGCCCAATTCGGCCCGTGTTCAGGTAGAGTTTAATGCTAGTAAGCTGACGCAGGATAAAGTCCAGTAATCCTTACCTCGATCACAATACAGTTCTAGGCCGAGGGTTTGCTTGTTGTCAACACGTAAAAGAAGTACTCAGCTTGTTAGACTTTCATTCTTTACCAGAGATATATCATGGTTTCCCATGATCGCCTTCCCAATCCCAACATAGTCAAGTTCAACGAAGAAAACGTTACAAAGAGAGCATCCAGTGTTAGCAGACTTTCCAAAACTTGCGATTGTCATTTGACGCTTGAATCTGGCTTTTTAGGGAGTACTTGGTCGAGAATGTGATTGTAGAAATCATTATATCAAAGCGGAATTTGCACAACGTGGAACCACGTTTGAGACTGGTGGGGTTTTTGGTACTGCCTGGGTCTCGATCCCAATCCCATTCTATCCCGCGATCGGCCTGCTGCCTTCTGAAATTATAAGCAAACGAACCCAGCTTGAGATTTTGGGAATTTTGTTGAGGGCCGAGCGAGGCTGAAGTCATACTCGTTCCAAGCAATCGACGGTCAGCATTCCTCTGTTTGAAAAAGTGCACGAATAATTCCTCCGGCGAGTTGTAAGCTCCCGCTAGGTGGTGCTCATTGATATTACCCGTGCTGAATTCAAATCCGTGCTGCTCCTTCTCATAACTTCCGTAGGTTTCAGGCTGAAGAGTGTAGTCTACACCTTCGAGGTCTGCGGAATCAGGTAATATTGCATCTCTCAACTCATTACGAGCAATGTCCGAGTCCATGCTCAGCAACGCCGCATGGTCTGTTTTGAGGTAGTAGAGGAATCTGAATAATCAAACGATTGCCAGGCGACTGACAAAGTTGCAAGGAAGATGAGACGTTTCTCGATATGGTCGCCTACTTGATCTGTAAGTTGTGACTAGTTTAATAAACAATGCTCTTAACTAATACTTTAATAACATCTTTTATCTCATTAACCTTTTATATTAAAATCTTTAGTATTAGACTCGATTAGTAATATAAAGGTTGTTTTAAAAGGGCTAAAATATTTATATATTTAGAAACTTGCTTTTAAAGAATTAATATTTAATATATTAAAAGATTTTTATATAAAGACTACTAATAGTTTCAAAAACTAATTATTTTGTTAAGAACTTTAAGAATTAGTTTCTTATATTTAAAAATATATAATAAAAGTTCTTATAAGTTTATAATAGCTTAATTATATTAAAAGTGATTTTAGTTTTTAACTTTTTATTTAAGACTATTATTATTACGGGTATGGTATTCAGGGCTTGGAAAGCAAGGTAGAAGGTCCCTTATAAAGACGATTCAAAGCTAAGGAAGAGAAAACTAGAATACAGGAGGCTATAAGGGAGTATATATACCCTATAGTATACTAGTTCCGAAGGAGCTTAGCCTTCTAAATATCTCTAGTACATTCCAAGCATACTTCCCTAGTGAGGCGGCCGCGTCACGTGCGTCTAGAAGGCATCTGGCATCTGGCCAGGTATCTGGGAATCGTAATAATTATTATAATAAAAAATGGGTTATATTATAATAATATAAGATATTAAAGAAAAGACAAAGGCAGCCGAGCTATCGAAATAGTTATATAACTAGTATTTAGTTATTATTATAATTATATAATACTTATATTCTTTATTTATTATTTAAATATTTAATAATTACTCTTATATTATATTTTCATAAAAGATTAAATAACTAAGAGCTAGTTCTTACCGATTATTAGTACTTACATACCTTCCTAAATACGTATGAGTCACGTGGGGCGACCACGTGAGCACTGAATTACGCCTCAAGAAGCGAAAAATGCTTAACCGAAACATAGGATGAAATAAGCAACTTTTTATCAAATGGACCGCTGGCGGTATGTCGCTTCACCTCACAATTCCAGAACGTGAGAACTGATTTAAAATAGCAACGGTAGCGCGTTCGACTCCAGATCGAAAGGTTATCCGTTCAAATCGGGGTATGAAGTCATCTTCTCTTTGCAAGAGCATATAATTAATATTCGTTCCAGTGTGGTTCAATGCCATTCAAATTCGCGAATTTTTTTTCTCCCGTCGACCTCTTTTTTTGTGTGTGTGCTTGCCACCTATTTAAGCGAGACATCCGGGCAACCGTGGCAACCCGAGCCCGAGCAAAGGGTGAGGCGAGAGTGAGTAGCGCATAAGTAGAGTGGCAATGGTGATTTAACCGCGTTGGTTGGAACGGAGGTAAAAATTAGATTACCTTTACAAACTCCCCCGTTCTGTTGATGACGCTTAACGGCAGTTCGAAGGGATGTCGAGGAAATCGGGGAGTTCCTGTTGGTATGGCGGCTAAAACTAAGTATATCCGCGAATTTTATCATTTTTATCGCCGAGGGAGTCACGGGTTTTGCTAAATGTTAGACAACTATCGAAAAGGTCGAAGGTGTACTGTACCATGCTCATGATGTATCGACGGCTGATCCTGCTACGACAGTTTCGCGGAGATAGGCTCTCATCGTTCCTTCCCCACTCATTCCCTCACACGCCTTTATATCAATGAAGGGTCTACACTGGTGGACGATTCCCTTTTCATTTGAGCTCAGCACTATCTCGTTTTGGGTATCAACCTCTGGAAGATCCTTAGGCGATGTGTAGGCGTACTAAAAGTGTGGCTGCCTTTGGCCTCTGTTCTGCATGTTGTGCTTTCAAATTTAGGAGGAAATTCAGGGCTACCCTTGATGCTGCTATCGGTAACAGTAGATGCATCTGTCAAGTCGAGGGGCCATACCGTCCACAGGGGACCCGTTGGTCTCCCCACTGAGGAGATGGTTCCGAGTGCGAGTAAAGATTCCGTCTCTAATAGGTATCTCCGAAGCGGTAGTTGGTAGCAAGTGCTGCGCCCATCTTCTGAGGCCAAAGCTTGCACCGAAGAATCCCCCACGTCTTCACCGACGTCGTGTTCTTGCAGCTCTGCGTGCCTTCCAGTGCGAGTGAGACTATTGTGGGGCTCACAAATTCCAACGAGAAAACCGCCATGCTAACAGTCAACTTGCACATCTCCAAAGTCTTCTGCAGAGCCTCAAGATCTCGTGGACATCGTTCGTCAGTCGCTGTACGAGTATCTGCTTCAAGGTATTTCTGATGCCCTGGACGAAGGTATACGTGCCTGGCAGGCTTTGAAAGCAGGGATTGCTATAGATACAGTAGAGTCGTGTTCGGGAGCGTCAAAGCTTCAATGACAGGCATGGCCCTGATAGGAGGGAGTGGTTCCTCCCGACTTCATGATCGCTCAGTGTCGTATATACGAAGGCGGGCGGCATTAAAAACCGTCCATCCGCAAAAAAGCGAGGAACACCAAAATCGCTACGTTTAGAAAATTACACCAAATCTCAACGTAACATCTAAAAGTCTTTAAAATAGTTTTGCGAGATAGAAAGGAAGCAGATCTAACTTTTGTGGAATTTTTGCGATAATTAAATGTGATACGGAATTACAAGAAATTCTTATTGCAAGGGTCGGGATTGCGCCCGCGCTCGCTTAGCGAATTGGACGAATTTTAATGCCGTCTGCCTTCGTAGACCCACGGAATCGTACTCGGAACCTCGTCAAGCTTCAGATGTTGTCTCCGTACTCGTAGGCGGTGTAAGTGGGCAAAATAGTTTGCCCCCGGTCACAAAGCTCACACCTCCCAGGACCAGGACGAAGCTGCACAGCCACCCGAATACATGAAACGGCAACCCCCCAAGAACTGAAGAACCCCTGGAGACCCGATCAACGTCATTCAGACCAGGGGAGAGCGCCAATCAGGCCGGGGCAGCATCGTCGAGGACCGCGCACGCCGAACTATTTGCTCGAGGAGCTTCTAAGCACCACCAAGCAACAGTCGGGCTTGGCATCGATGTCAAGACGGATACTACGGCGAACACCGGCACAGCGGAGGAGTGGATGTTGCGTAAGCGCTGCTGGATGCTTGAGCAGCCCCGCATTCCCTTCTCTGTGAATGTCGCCTTCGTAAGAGCTCGCCAGTGGAAGCTGTGCGCCATCAGAAAATCCCATTCTGCGCAGTGTTGATCAGCAAAGACTTCTGGAAGGTTTCGAGGCGAACTCCCGGGCTGCATCGTCAGAGCCCACCCCTGCACCCTTAACTTAACGAGGTAAGCGAGCATAGCCTTGCCAACAGGCGTCATTCTTGTCGGGCCGCCGATCAGGAAAGCTTCGTGAACAAGATAGATTGGAAATCTCCTCATGAGCATTACCTGCAGCTGACACACACATATCCAACGTTCCACATTCGCAACAAACACAGTCATCGTTGCAGAACAGCGGTCACTACGGCGCGCCTCAACTTCCTGGCTGCGGCTCCAGCAACTACAAGACGATCGCAGAGGAGCCGACTCTCAACGATCGACGAAAGCGCTGCCACTGCGCAACCAGCTCTCACGATGGAATCAAATGGCAATCTGCGAAGGAAGGATACCACCAAGGGTCCTCCTCTGCGCATCCTCTCTCTAGGTGAGCACGGCTTCCGACCGCTCAAAACCCCTCACTAATGTGTCGCAGATGGAGGTGGCGTGCGAGGCTACTCCATGCTCATTATCATCCAGGAGCTCATGCACCGGACCTTTGTCGAGATTGAGGGCAAGGCTCCGCGAAGACACGAGATTCCGAAACCAGCAGACCACTTCGATCTTATCGTGGGGACGGGCACCGGTGGTTTGATTGCTATCATGCTGGGGCGCCTACGATTAGATCTGGAGACCTGCAAAGAAGTCTACGTACGAATGACGAGGAAAGTTTTCGAGACGGACAAAACTATTGCGGGAATACCATACAAAACAACGTTGTTTAAGGCGTCGAAGTTAGAAGAGGCGATTAAGGAGTGCGTGCGGGAACATACCATATTTATGGACGAAGGCAACGACGGCGAGGAACCGGAAGGAGCATACAACGACCCCATCAGCCATTTGAACAGAGGGCTACCTCGGCGGCACGCCAGTAATGCCAGTGTGGCGAGCTTCAGTGCAAGGAGTCCAACTAGCTACCAGTCATCTCGTCCGTTGCACTCTCTTCGGTGGGGCAACCCAGAGGCTCTCCTCTACGATACTCGCGAAAACAGAACAAAAACGTAAGAATCTCCCTCCCCGAAATCCACATCTAAGCTAACAGTAGTAGCGCTGTCACTGCAATCTACAAAGGAACGGCCCCAGGAGATGCACCAGCAATTCTACGATCGTATGATTCACGAAAAGAGACTCAACCCGAATTCGGTTGTACGATATGGGAAGCAGGTCGGGCAACTTCAGCCACGGGACTGGCATTTAAGTCGATCCTGATCGGCGAGTCGATGTTTATCGACGAAGGCGCTGGAAAATACAACCCATGTCCTTTCGCCCTGGACGAGGCTTGCGTCAATGAGTGGCCAGGCCGTGACATTGGAGTGGTCGTGAGTATTGGCACTGGAAAACGACCATCGGGAAGCGACAACAATCAGCATCTATGGTACGAGGGATTCATGGGTGATTTTGCGGAGGCTAGGCGGCGCTTGATCTCGAAAATCGAAGGCTGCGAGGAGACCCACCAGTACATGGTCAGGGATGGGCTCAGCAAGCGTGGAGTGAACATCGAGAACTACTACCGACTGAACGTCGAGATTGGAGTTGGAGAGTTCGGCATGAACGAATGGAATCGCCTTGCAGACATCAGCACTGGAACAAGGCGGTACCTTGGCAAGAGCGATGTTCAGAGGATGAACCATGATGCAGCCGCGAAACTCGCCAAGATCCACAGGGCGAAAGCTAGATTCGAGGGCGAAGCAAAGGGATCAACGGGTGGAAGTTCTATGGGTGGAATGGGAGATTATAAGGGTCTTGAAGATGTCCCAGAAGCCTACCCGACAGCCATCGAGCTCCCCGCCGAGGTCCCCGTCTCAGCACCAAGCAGAACCCCGCCTCCTCGCCCATCATACGAATCTGGCCACCACGACACTCTCGAAGTCCCTGGCAAGAAAAATACGCCCTCTCCTCGCAGGTCAGCAGAGAATCATTCACGGCCGTCTCCTCGCTCCTCAGCTCCTAGCCTCGAGAACCCCAACGCGGACCGCTTTATCGTCCACGCGCCAACACCAAGCGAACACCGCACCGCAGGTGGGGCAGACAAAATAACAATCACAAGCATGGATGAACAACAACGGCCGAAACCACCAATGCGAGTCGAACCGCCACCTCTTCCACCCAAGACCCCAATCCCAGGTCAAGCATCAACGGTCTCAATGAGGCCAAGACCGCAGTTACCATATCCAATTGATGACGGCCCGCCACCTGTGGTCAATATGGCGAGGAAACCAGATTATAAGGGAAGATGAATGGATGTTTTAACGGCTTCTTGAAGATATTTGTTTCGTCTGGGATTTATGGGATGGCGTTTGGGAGGTGGTCTTGGGCATAATAAATGCAAATCAATGATTTTTTTCTTTCTTTCGGAGTTATACGGGATAGGAAATGGGTATACCTCATATGTTTGACTCGGGCTGCGGGCATGGGATCGGGTAGGACGAGATAGCTCACGAATGCAAATCTTTTCATTATTGGTAGAATGTTCTCAGTTGTGGGAATACGGAATGGACTTCCTCCACGGTCCACCACACTTTGGAGCACGTGCACATGCAGAATATACAGTTTTGGGTGTACTCTTCTGACGGCGTGGACCGAGAGGGAGGTCCAGCCGTTAGAAGAGCAGTTCGCGCAATATCGACAGCATACTGTATCTCCTTGTAAATCAATGTTTCAGTCCGGTATAGTACCGCCTTTCCTTCAGAACCTCACCTGCTAAAAGAATGTTATTAGTAAATAGATCACTCTGTTGCAGGCGGATCAATCCAGTCACCATATCTGGATTTTATTTTCCGTGCTCGGCTGGTAACGAGATCCAGATGACGCGGGAGGGACTCCTTCGGACTCTACTACCGCAAGCCTTGCGGACCTTCCCCAATATAGCTCCCTTGATATTCCCAAAGCGATTGGAAACGTTCGTGGCTTTCAGGGACTAAGTTGTTTGGTACGCACCCTTGACATTGACGGTGAGGGAACTGCTCTCTGCTCTCAAATTATTTGTCCATGAAGCGACAAAGTCGTACAAAATATGCCTTCTTATCGATGGACTAGATGAATTCGAGTGTTCTTATTCCCAGCAGATCAATCTCATCGAGTTTATCCAATCAATTTTTGACCGCGGAGGTCAAGCTCTGCGTGTCCAGACGGCCTTGGAACGTCTTTGAGGATACCTTTAATACTCGTCCATGTCTAAGACTCGAGAAGCTCACATATGGAGACATTCGATACTATTATTCCTCAAGCTTATCGGATAATCTAGGCTTCGCGACACTACAACGTGGCGATCCCAACGCTGCCTCTGACCTCGTCGAAAACGTCTCAACGAAGGCGTGTAGTGTCTTTCTCTATGCCATCCTTGTTATCAATACCTACTCGAAGGTTTGACCGATGGGGAGCAACTTTCCTATTTGAAAAAGCGGCTGGATTCTGCCATCGGATCTGGTAATCCTCTTCTAGTAAACCTTAAATTCCGTCAATTTAGAAAGGATTTCAGAACTATTACAGATTATACGAGCCTCGTCGAAAGCAATCAGCATTCTCCATTGATCATATGCTGGCGAGCATGATCCGGATTTCGCTTTCAAATTGCCAACAAACCCTTCACCAATTACAATGATCTCTTCAAGGGTCGAACTTATGACACGACGATTAAATGCCTGTGGCAAAGGGTTGCTAGGATCTCAGAGCAGCGACTCCAAAAATGACCCGCATGCCATGGTCGGATGTCTACACCGTACCGTCAAAGATTACATCCAGAAAACAGACATCTGGGATACGCTTGTCAATGCAACTAGCCCCTCTTTCGATCCAGGCATGCGTCTTGCAGCTTGCTACATCACACATATCTTATCTCAAAATAGTGCCGACAAATTCATTGGATTGCGTTGTGGAAGTATATGCCACCGTCATACGAACTCCTCCCATGTTCTGGGGTGAGGTGTTACATACATTTGGATGATTCCCAACTGTTTCCCTTAAGATATTCAACTACATCCCTTGGAAGAAGTCGAAGATGTGATCGACGAAATTTTTACCAGCCTGTGTGTCAAAGGATTAATCACATTAATCTAATGGATTAATGGATTAATGTGACTAGATTGTAATTAACGCAATTCAAGATTTTTTTTAATTAGATTAGAATAGAATAATTAATCTGATTAATCATACTTAATCTGATTTCTCTGTCACGTGACTATAGTAAAATATCGTTTACTTAATAATTATTAAATAACTAAGGCACTTATGAAGTAGCCCTAGTCAAATTAAGCTAGGGCTTATATAATAGTAGCTAAATCCCAACTTTTAATAAGATTAAACTAGTTATTCTCCTCGGAATCTCCATATTCCCCCTTTTATTATCTAGCTTCGGCTCGCTTACCAAGCGCTACCGCCCCTAATCACGCAGTAGGGTAGCGCTAGAGCTAGAGCGGGCAAGAGCGCTACCAGATTCGGCTAGTGCTGTCACGTGTACGGTCACGTGGTATTAATCAGATCAGATTAATCATGATTAGTCTAGTTAACACGTGAATAGAATGCGATTAATGAGTTTATTCTGTGATTAGATTAGATTAAGGCTATTGATCTCATCTAATCTACACACAGTTACCAGGGGGGTCCCGATCCAACCCCCGAACAACGACAGAGTACCTTACCGTCATTGTCATTTGGGACTGTATGGAATGGAAAGCTTGAACCATTTCTTCACCTCACAGCGAAGTGGATCAAGGGACAAGGAGAAAGTTATTGTGGTGGATAATAGCAAGCCTTTGGTGGACAGAAGTTCAGAACACTGTCCAAGCGGTGGCGACCCGCTTCGGTTTTCTTCGAGCAAGCGAGTTCTGAAGTTCACGATCGACATCTGGGTGAAGATGAGGTTGGATTCATGATAAACCTTAGCTGGGTGTTTACATACCCAATCTTCCCAATGCTAGGGTCAAACTGTGTCGCGGCAGCAGCTGGTGGGGTCGAGGTGGCTGCGTGGATTATGCCCAAAGCCTTTCCATCCAAATACAGCTTCTTGCAGGTCTCCTCACTAATTGAGCGGGCTTCCTGCTGGACGACGGTTACCTAATAGAATGTGCCGATCACTGAATCCAGAATGTAACGTATGTTATGATTGGATAAATGGATTTTACACTGCAGTCGGGCTACCACCCCGACAGCCTCAACCCCCACCTTCTGGCGGGCGCTCTTCTTCCCCAGTTTTTATTCTTTGCAACTACATTGTTCGACTCCACCCTCGTGCTCTCAAGGTCAGTGCTCCGCATGATCGACCATCAACATTCTGGAGTGTCAATTGGCGAAGCGGCCTTCAATCGGATATCGATCTTTTCCTAGCTGGAAATGAAGATTCATTTGTGTCCACTCAGCCTCGTAGACTTGTTTCTCGGCGACTATTTCGTTACAAAAGATGTCAAGTTCATTATGCTCCGTACGTCAATGCTCCGTATGTTGTTCAATAGACTTTCGGAAATACCTTCGCGAAAAGAGATTGCTCGCCATCCAACTTGGTTCTTGGGAGGATATTTGCAAAGAAAAGCGATGCCGTTTCTGTCGACTAGTTCGGGACGCCATATTTTTACACGCACACAAACCTTCGCCAGAGTCTATCATCAAATTATCAAATAAAAGGAGTTGGAAATGTTGCACCAGCTACAACGAGTATCATGGAATTAGGTGGAAAGCTTACTCCAACGAGTTTGATCTTCAAGCCTACGCTAAGAAAACCCAGACCGATTCTCGATATCAGTTTTTCGTCTATTGGGACTTGGAATCGACAGAAATGGTAGAAGTTCTGCTTCGGCCGCTATGTGACGGCCCCTTTTTCGGAAGAGCCGTGGATCGAGATCACGCAGATCTGGCTCTGTGTCGCAAATGGCTGGAAGCGTGCGATAACTATCACGCCGGATCGTTTGGGCAGTGTATCGGCAAGAAAAGTTCGCTAAGATTCCTTCGGGAAAATCTTCGCTTGATTGACGTTGACAAGAACAAAATTGTGAAGGGAGCATCAGATCGGACTCGATATGTCGCACTATCGTATGTCTGGGGGCAAGACAAGATGAAGAGGGAAATGCCCAAGAGCTTGAAAGCAGCGGTTCGGACGGGTGAAGACGGAATTGAAACCATCGAGTTGCCTGAACTCCTGCCTCGTACTATACGAGATGCTCTTGAGGTCACTCGTTCAATTGGCTATCGCTTTCTTTGGGTAGATTCTCTCTGCATCGTACAAGATGACGACGAAGACCGGGACTTGCAGATCGATATGATGGACGAGATATACAGCAATGCGACCTTAACTATCGCTGCTGGGACAGGCCTACGTAAGTCTATCGGACTCATGTCCTCAACTTCTTTCATTCAGATATATTGTCATTCTGCTCTCGGGATTGGCAGAACTGTTCAGAAGCGACGGCACTCGAACATCAAATAACTAACAACTCTTCTAAATAGATGCAGATTGGGGATTACCCGGGGTTAGCAGACCAAGGCACTACACTCAACGCTCCGAAATCGTGAATGGGGTCGAACTTGCTGTTGAATTTCCCTCTTTCCGCAGTCTCAATTCGGGCACCTCGCTTATCTGGAACAGTCGAGGATGGACATTGCAGGAAAAGGTACTATCCAAACGACTGTTGCTTTTTACCGACTTCCAAGTGTATTTCAGATGTGCGAATTCGGTCTGCTCTGAAGATGTCGCTATGGAAACTGGGGCACTTTCTACCAATATGAAGAGGAGGCCGAATCCGTTTCAGTGGGGAGCTAATCGTGACGCTCCTAGCTCACTCGAAAGGATTGGCGACCTCTTGACGTTCAATAAGTTAAAGCTCACCGACAAGAATTGGAATCTAACATTCCTCCCAAACTATGTGGCTCTAGTCGCAGAATTTAGCCTGCGAACATTTAGCTTTAAGAAAGATACGCTGAAAGCAATGTCGGGAGTTCTGTACAATTTGGACCAATCGAAGCTGGCTTTTCCTGGAGGCTTGCCACGAGCTTGGTTCGCAGAAGCACTCCTCTGGCAGCCAGAATACGCCAGCACGTATTCCATTAACCCCGAATCCAGCCGACTTGGAATTCCTTCCTGGTCTTGGGCAGCATGGGCACTGGACCGAGGTTGCGTCTGGCCGGAATTCGCCCGCCCGAAGGCCCTCGCTTGTGGAGGGCCGCAAATGACGATATATGTCGAGGATAAGGGAGAATCGATTCTCTTGTACTCTACAGACGTCAAGAGTGGAAAGTTTTCGGAATCCAGGATATCAGCCACATCGATGGCTCTCTCAATTAGTGCTCGGCAACAGCTGAAACTCTCCGGTACCTTGCTCCGTTTCGAAACACCTATACAAAGATTCAAAATCGGTGCAGCGACAAAAAACCGCGATATGTCGGAGAAAGCGCTACAAACATTCTACCTTCTAGATCACGCTGGCTCTTGCGTAGGGAAGATATGGACTTGTGCTCGTGTTGCCGGGAAGCCCGGTGACCACGAGTTCATCTTCCTTTCCATCAGGAAAACGGGCGAAGCTCTGGAAGGGGCGGTGGCTGAGGAGTATTTCCCTAAGGGCCCGTCTCGGACTGTACTTAATAAGGACCCCACGACCGGTGCCTATACGGGCACGTCATCTACGGTCGAGGGCCCTGTATATCGGAATCCATTTGACTGGAAAGTTGAGAATGTCATGCTTGTGGAGTGGAAGGGTAGCATTGCCTTTCGGGTTGCGGTAGGGCAGGTCATTTCGACAGTTAGGGAAGAAGGGCGACGGCAGATGGTGTATCTTGGGTAGGATGCGATTGGTAGAAGTCATCCTTCAGGTTTTGTTGAGGAAATTGAGGGATTGAGCTTGGGAGGGGATTGTCAGGGTGGGTTTGGTAGTCTATGTTGGACGGGCTACTCCTGTTTAGGTTTGAGAATCAGATACCCATTACGTTTTTGGAATATACGAAGAGCCTTGGTAATGCGCTTCAAGTCTTCTAGCTAGTCGTTGGTAATACCTTCTATATTTATGAACATAGATACTGCTTTGAAAGGACCATACTCGCCTCTTTCCTCTTGTTTCCTTCTGATTTCCATTTTTCTATCTCCCCTTGCTGGATAACCGCATCTCCTTTCTTGGCTTCAACCACACCCATCGTATTCGTAGGTAGATTGACCCTCATCATCTTCTGCGGTTTGGGCTGATGCGTGCCAAGAACCTGCGCTGTAGAGCATTGAGGAGGCGCCGTGTCTTTGCCCGCCCGGTTGAGGCAGCGGCCTATGTTATCGCAGAGGTATTGAGGGTGTTGTATTTCCCTTCACACACGATTATGTCAGTTGCCGAAATCACCTGGTTTTACCACCTGTTTGACCAGGGTACTAGACCCTATATATAAACCTGTAAATCTACTCTTAGAACAGCAATCGAGCCTTTCTTTCCCAACCAACAGATTGTTTCGTATCGAGAGGAAGTCGCGTGTGTCTGTATGTTGGCGCGCGTGTGTGGTAATGATGCAAGCGGAGGGAATGGGGATGAATATCTAATAATAAAGAGGTGTTGAAACTAGAGATGTGTGTGAACGCCCGACATTCGACGAGTTTGCATAGCCTTGCTGCACCTGAGTTCGCTGTTGCACTGTCCAGTGGAAAACGAGGTGTCAGGGGAATGGGGTAAACTTTGCCGAGCGGATTCAGGGGTTAGCGCTTGAGGGAAAGGGGTTGTGCGGTTTCCGAGGGGCAATGATTTCATAACTCGATCATTACATAAGTAACTTCTTCTCTGTTTTTAATGAGTGGGTTGTTTGAAAAATCGTAGCGGGCGTGGGCGGTTGGCTGGTGGATTCTTCTAGAAGGTTTTGGTCGTTGTGGTTAACCGGAGAACCCAACACGAGTGGGTCCTTCTCTGCGGCAACACCTCAAAGTCCCCTCACGAACCCAATACCAGATGAAGAAGGATATCACAAACAGTTTAACTCAAGGGGTGGACTTGTGGGCTACCGTGGAAGCTGAGATCCGACAATTAGTAGGTTCTGTCCTCCATGCAAAGCCAGTGTAATATATGTGCTAACATCTGTTTATGCTGAATCCCACGGTATCCGATTACCTCAAGTCTCTCTTTTTCCGGACCACAGCTTACCGGGCCGCTCGATGGCAAGACTGTCACAAGTATTTGCGCGATGCTGATCTGGGATGATGGCCCTGCAGCTGAAAAAATCGTCATTGAAGGTAGCCTCGATATTGAAGATATTGTTAATATAGGGAACAATAACAAGAGCTATTGGGTCATAGTGGTAAAGCCTGAGCAGAAATGTCGGGTTTTGGGACGATGTAAATTTTGGTTGTGCCCTATAACAAGCAGCGACATACCAAGCGGAGATACCGGCATATCGGGTTGGAGCGAATGGGTATGGGATGCACGCCGGAGGCAATATGGGAGATATCGATTGTTTCGAGGCGTATATGAGTATGACTGGCAAGACCCAGAACCTTCAGCTTCATCGACCTCCCAGGGCCAGAGGCGGTAAAAGTGAGAATGCCCTTTTATAGCGTATTTCAGGGCATTGGCCCCTATAATTCGCTTTTCTTTAAGTCTATATAAACACTCACGTGCGACGGAATTACAGTGTATTGAAGTCGTTTCAATAATAAGGATTATAAAAAGTAATACTATTATAAGAAATAAGAAAGAGATAAATAGTATATATTAGCCCTTTTTCTCCATGTCACGTGCCTCTAATAAATAGGTGCGTAATGTTGAACTAGCTAAAGCAATATAGCTAGGGTCACGTGCTTGCAATGTAAACCAAGTAAAACGTACTGAATTGACTGCTGTTCTACAGTGGTAAGTAGCCCGTATATATAGCCCTGAACCCCCTAAGTCACATGCACTAAACCCCTAAACCAGAGAGCCTTATACTGAACCATTCAACCTCAGCTGAACTGATTTAGCCTCACAGGGCATATTATGCCCTGTATCAACCTTACAGGGCATAATCTTCTCAGTAATAAGCCCATGGCTTAAGCCCCATTAGTACACAGCCCCTAAGGCTCTGTTCCAGGGCTTACTAAGCCTATTAGGGGCCTCAGGCCCCTAATTTCAACACGTAATACCATTTCAAATGCCCTTTTACTTACCCGGCCAAACGGGCTCTTAATGGTAAGGAGACTTATCTCAGAATCCGTTTCTATGATTTCTACTACCTTGACTTTTTCACACCACAAATCACATATGAAGTATAATTGATTAGTTACTTAGTAGTCACTAAGTTAAGCTAATCAGCTGGCCGACCCTTATAAACCAACCAGCCAGGAAATATCCTCAGTTGATAACTGACGGGCTTATTGACCAGCCTGCAGTCTGATCTCTCGGGCGTCCAAGTCACCATAAACCCCACTCATTACGTTGTACCAGCGCCGTTGAATTCACAGGGAATCCAACATACTGTCATGTTTTCTGTGCCACGTTATCCTTCTCACGCTCGAGGTTTATCGCTACAATTACCGCAAAACCAATCCAACCACAAAATATGAAGACGAAATTCATCGCAAACCCCTCCGCACTTAGAACCAAAGGAAAACAAAAGCGTAAAACCAGAACCATTATCGCGCAGCAAGAGCGAAAGCCAAGCATCTTCAGACCATTCTTCAGATCTGTTAATTGAGCGACACAGAAGAACGCAGTCTCGGAAACTAGCCTTGCACATTCCACTGTGAAGAGAGTAACCAGTCGCATTTGATTTTGTTGAACTTGTATGGACTTGATGCGGGACGGCCGGGGCACTTTGTCACGGTACACAAGATAGATTGACAATCCAGCACAGCATACTGCAACCGCTGCGAAGGCCAAGCCGACGAGCTTAGCGCCATCAGCCCACAACACATACAGCGGAAGTCCGACAATAGTCTTGCATGCCCAAACAATAGACCGAACTTGCCGCAATGCTCTTGAAGCCAATGAATGAGCACCCTTTCGTGAGATCAGAGCTTCCAACCCTCTGACCTGCCTGTCCGACGCGCCTCTCAGTTTGCGAATAATGCTAGGATGGCCCAGGATCCTCACTTTCTGATAGTGAAATACATCTAGCAAGACCGGATGCACGATTTTGTCGGCCTCTATCCACCACTGGTCAAAGACATACGCCTTGTGATAGACGAACAATTCGAGGATTCTTACACTATCATCAAGCCTGGGATGGATGGTATTCTTCCGTATATGTGATGCAGTGTCTGATATGCGATATGCAGGTTCAGTGTACTCCGCGAGCCAAGTGAGAAGCGCGAGGAAAGGGGTTCTGCCTTTGTAAAACTCGTTCGGGGATGCACCGCGATCAAGTAAAAGGCGCACCATCCGCTCCACGGCAGCTGGTCTAGCAGGTGCGATTTCACCATCGTAGAACCCTGCCCAAGTGGCATAATCGAGGAGCGGAAGGTGACTTCCACATCCATATATCAAGTTGGGCTGTTGATCGAGTTTCAAAGCGACATATACACACAGGCCGCGATGAACAGCAAACCGCAGGAAGGAATGCTCGTCAGACCACTCTGGCATCCACATGATCCTAGGTTCGTTTGGTTTCAAGGAATTGGAGAGTAAGTCATGCGGCTTTGGCTTTTGAAGAGCCGCGGAATTTGCTAACGAGGTAGCAACTTCGTCGAGAGCATATTCATCCGTCTTTCCCGTATGTTCTTCATATATTCGCGCGTGATACGTGAGACGATCGAGCCTTTTTTGACTGCTTGAATCCTTGGCGTTTCTCAGGAGCTCATACAAGTTCCAGCGACACAAATACTTGTGCGGATCGAAGTTTTGCCCTCCCCGAGATCTCAGAATGCTCTGGGCCTGTGAGGTGCTAATGAACTCTTTGACTGTAGCATGGATGAAGCTCACATGGCCCGAGACTGAGTCAACTTGAACTAGATCGCCAATGGATGCCTTAATTTGCGCCACCACGCTCATGTTCGACTTTCGACCACGGAGCGATGTGCCCCTGTTGCCAAAGTCGTCATCTTCCAAGTACTCGAAGGCGCTCATCTTTAGATCTTCAGTCGTGACACAAAGCACTTGCAATACCCTTGCAGACAACGACTGATACACCCGATCAATGCGGTTGATAACCCTCATGTAACAAATTTCGAGATCAACGGGCAGGGCATCCAGCCTAGACATCAAAACTTGTAAAGTGTCTTGGTTCATAATTCCCTTCAAGAGCTCTCTGCATACGAAAGCTACCCATAAAAACACCCCCTGCGCCCTCAAGATAATCTCATTGAAGAAATCCTGTTGCTTGATGCTTTCGTTCCGCGGTAGATTCCGTAAGAAGCGTTGATATCGATCATCTTCGCAGAGTTTGCCTCTGACCAAACGCATCATATCGTTCTCCGTGTAAGTATGCAGGCGAAGCTTCCGGCATTTAAAAGGCTTCTCCTCATCTCCCGTGGCTCCAAAGTGGTAGTCAAAGACTGGCCACTCCCTGCTCGAAAGACAGACTTTAATGTTGGTCACGGAACCTAGTCGTCCGAAAAGCCGCGCAAGATCATCATGGTCTCCTTCGAACTCGTCGAGACCATCGATAAAGAAGCAGAACTTGGAGTCAAAACTGCTCTCTTGACTCAGCTTCCAAAAAACGTCAAGAAGTTCGTCTTTCATCCAGTGATAGCTTTGGCCCCAACGATCGCCGCAAGCCTGTGGCATAAGTTGAGGGCATTCGGTAAAGATTTGCGAGAGCAATGTCCGCAGAAGGCCCTCCTGCGTTTTCTGGAACTCTTCTCCGCTGCTCCAGAAGAAATAGGTCGAGAATAATAATCGCTGTCCTCCAGCCCAATGAGTCAGAGATTGTTTGACTATAGGATGGTGACACAGGAGCTTCATCAGCGTAGACTTCCCACAACCCGGCTTCCCGGTAATCCAGTAGACCCCGCCGCTGTCCCTCAACCAGTCGTCGAAACCTGTCTCGGGTAGTCGACCGCCCAACTCCGACTGAAGCATCCACTCAAACGTTTGCCGATGAGCTAACTTCACCTCGCTTTCTCGAGCACCCATATTTGCATATCGCAGACTTTCTAGAACCGAAAGTTGGGACCGAGTAGTCCGTACTTCTTCAACCAGCTCTCGTAGGAGGTTTTGGGCCTCGATCGTTATCTGTGTTTGACGAGAAAGTGAGTTAAGAAGCTTATCGCGGAGGTCCATGATGGTTGATTCTTGATTGATGTTCATCTCCTTGATGCGCGCTGACAGACCTTCCAACTCGGCCAATCCGCCTGATTGTTCATCACTGAGATTGATATCAGCTGGCACTTTTATTTACTACCGAGGAGGGCGGCCTACTGGACAATTGATATCAGACAGCACGAGAGCTCGGATTGCAACCCTAGAAGCTTCCTGTGGAGTTGCTGGACTACCTTCTCCTTCCGCATAGATTTCGCAGCCACGAGGAGGCTTTCCGTCAACCGATGCCTTCCTTTCCTCTTGAGATCATCTAAGATGCTGGCTAGCTGACTGGCGGCATCTCTGCATGTAATCACAATTACTCTGAGCTGTCGGTCAAATGGCGACTTTCGCCCCAAGCGTGGGGCATTATCCGCCGGTGCAGTATCAAGGCATCCTATGAGAAATTTCGTCCGCTCTACCAGCGACCCAATTTCTACGTGGCTGACCGTAGCACCTGTGGCGGACTATTCACTGAATCAGCACTACTTGCCCTTCATGATGTCGTTTTCGGAGATAAGACGGTGTATATATCATGAGTTATAGCTCTTAAGACATCGCCTGTCTAGAGGGTATCGGCCACTCAAACAAGACAAGAAATATCGAAGGAAATACACACCTGGTAGATCTCTATCGTGCCTGATATCAAGCTGGAGCTGAATTGGATGAATTGCGCCGCGCTAGCTGCAATGCCCAACGCCGTGATGGGATCCATGCTGTCGCAAATTCATACATTCAAGCCAGACACGTGTGAAGACATATAATGAGGAAACCAACGCAATTAGGACCGCGCGTAGAGGGCAAAAGGAGAAAGGGGCACCATTTTGACGAGGCTGGGTCGCGGTCCAGGTGACATGAATTGACGGGGCCCATTGGGTGTCAAAACGTGGCGGTGTTGAGCTGAAACAAAAACAAAAGCGCCACGGTTCTTTCTTGATATGAAGTTGGAATGAAATTAAGTTGAAAATACTCTTTATAAGGATTTCAAATCAATGATTTGAGTGTCTCGAAATATAAATAATCGATAAAATAGAGGACCTACTAAGTGAGAATTTCACTGCCAGAAGTACCTACCTTGATTGCACATGACGCGCTAGGTCTAATCTGGGTAGCCCATGGTCACATCACCTGACCACCTCTATTTCTTTTTTTTTAAAGCCAAGGAGTCAAGTTTATATCTAGATGTAAGCATACTTTCTAAAACATATCTTGGGGAACCTAATAATCGTTCGGCGTTTCCCACCTACAATTCGCCTAGCACGCCTTGTAGGTGAGGGATAGCGATACGCACAGAACAGCGATATGTTCCCCCCCGTTCGTCAATACGAGCGATTGGTCAATCGGGGTCCCCATTGCCCAATCGCGGGCCCCGATTGCTTAATCGCTTGCTTAAGCGAACTTCGGTTCATAAATACGAAGTCGAATACGAGCAAATTTTTAAAATACTAAAATATTTTAAAACTCATAAATTATTCAAATCTTATTAATATAATTTATTAGAAATAGTTTAGTTAATTATATTAATTAAGTAATATTAGCTTTATCCTTTTATTAGAACTATAAAACCTTTTTATTATCATTTTAATTTAAAAATATAAAATTATATATATCTTTTAATCTTTAATAGAATTTAATCTAAGAAAACTTTATTTAAATCTCTTATAAGTATTAATCCTTTTTATTTAATTAAATTTTGGCCTCTATACTTTATTAGAAAGTTATAAATTATTTTAAAATCGGGCACTTTTATTAGCGAATCGGGCTCCTCGCTTAGGTCCGATTGATCAATCGCTCGTATTGACGAACGGGGGGTAACAGATACGCAAATCGCACCAAAATTTGTATGGTCAAATCGGGCAGATTTGCATTACAACAACGCCTTAATTTTTTAGTTTTAAAATTTACTAAGCTAAAGGGCCTATACCTTGGGATCAATTCCCAATACTTAGACACTATTTTATTACGCTGCGTTGTGAGAATTCAAAGGGAGAAAAGGAGAGATTCCCACCAAATCTCAGATTTGCGTATCGCTGTTCTGTGCGTATCGCTATCCCTCACCTACAAGGCGTGCTAGGCGAATTGTAGGTGGGAAACGCCGAACGATTAAGCAGAATAAAAAGACAGGAATGAAAGGTGTTGGCACGTGATTAAAGAAAGAAATAATACTTATTCTTCAGGATCTATGCCACCTTTACTCCCTATCTTCTATGCCTCTTTTGTTTATACTCCTTTAGTTTTCTTATGTTCACTTTTTGCGGTATTATAATGGGGATATAAAACAAGTAGTAATACATAGAGATAATGGGCTTCCACAGCGTGGGGTCACAGCGTATGAGAGACGTGGAATTAGTGAGTGAAGGTTGGTTGATTTCTAAGAACAGAGAAGGAAAGAGGGGTAATATAAGCGGACTGCGGACTGTACGGACGCCCGGAGGTTACATGACTGAACCACGTGACCAGGGGGTAAAATCCCCACCACGGTATTGGACTGTAAAGAGAGCTTTGTTTGCTCCTTTCCTTTCCCACTAGGGCAAAATCATTAGGTTCAGGACCTCATGTTTTCGAAATACTCACCACTCACCCCTCAATCACCCATAATTGCATACGAGGTAAATAAGTTCCAGGTGCTTAATCGCTAAATTTCCAGGCTCTCTTAAGGTCTTAAAATTTCTAACTTTTCTTATTTCTTTAAAAAAAAAAAGGTGTTTTTTTTTATCTATTTTTTACTACTTATTATATAATAAACATTTTATATTCTATTGGCTTATAATTAAGCCTTCTATAATACGAAAAATTAATTAAATTGTAATAATTCTTCATATAGTAAATTAAAATTAAAGAAAAGCTAGATTTTTTGGTGTTCCTCTACTTTAGGTTAGTCTGGCCCCCAATTGACACCCCCAATCGACACCCGGGGGAGGGGGAGAAGGGAGGGGTCATTTTACATTTTCCCCTCTGAAGCACCCAATTTTATGCTCTTTAGATAGCGCATTCTGCACTTGCGACATGAACAAAATTAGATTTAAAGATAACGCTAAATCTTTGGTGTCCCTGTCTAAGTGCCTCTACTTTGTAGTCAGTCTGGCCCCCAATCGACACCTGGTCGTTTTCCCCCTGTTCCGAGTCAGCACCAGTGTAGATTGATTTATAATCCTCAATAATGAGGATCGCCCCTCTCGTGCTTATACCTATCCCGTATCCACCAAACCGAACATACACGAACATAGCTCATAAAATACCAAAGAACTATGTAACTATGGAGAAAAACAACAACACTGATGGTGACAGGTCAGACGTCGCATCGACACCAGCCAAGACAGGATCACGCCGGCGAGGTCGACCGCAAAAGGACTCTGAAAATCCCGCAATTGAGGCAAACAATCCAACGCTAATCTTGAATTTGTGGAAGTTAACTATGAACTAGCAACAACGAGCTCGAGTGCGGCGTGCACAGAAGGCGTATCGAACAAGAAAGGAGAAACACGTGACTGAACTGAAAGAGAAATGTCACGATCTCGAAGGCGTTGTTGAGGATATGACAAACACTTTCATAGCCTTTAGCGATAGCCTCCTCAGCTCCAGTAGTCTCGGCCCCGAGACTACCAAGGAGCTGAGAGAAACGATGAAGAAGTTCATTGTGTTTTCGGAGAAAGCGGCACGTGATCCATTAGAAGCAGCCCCTTCTTCAGACGAGAATATCGAGCCATCAACAATGGATCCAGTTATTGAAGACAGCGATTCCTCATCGAAGACGTCCCTCAATGCCTTCCAGCCTCAAGCGCTATCATCTACGCCCCCATTCTTCGAAACCGATCCGATACTTCGTGATACTAGGGACCTTCCGCAGACTCCAGTGATATATGGAACAAACATCATGGACTTCCCAAACATGAATCCCTATGCCAACTACGGTATATGGGGCCTCAGACCACAACACGAACGCTCAAGCATGATCCCATACGTCGTCGCTGGTCGCGATAGCTTCGCCTCTCGCCTCTTCTACGGCTCCATAGTTCGCAGCTTGCGATCACTCCGTGGGGAGGGACCAGCAGAAGACGCGTACAGAATATTCCGGTTCAAGTTTCGATACATGAGCCCCGCGCAAATCCAGACCATCCTCGATGGCCTGTTGGACACGCTCCTTCACGGCACAACCCAGAAATTGGGGGACAGCGGAGAATCGATAAAATCGGAACAGGATAAGTTGCGGATTAAGGCGCAGATTGTGCGTGAGATCGAGATGATGGGTGGCTCTGAGGAAGAGTATCTCTCAACTTGGGATGTTGAGCGGTATCTGAGGAATAAATGGAGGTTGTCCTTGGATTCGAATTGGGTGAAGCTCCAGCCTATGCTTGCAGCGCAAGACGGACTCCAGTCGACTAATGTCCATGGGATATATGACAAATATGAGTTATTAGCACCGACGGCGGTCCCTGGGTTCCCTCAGCCGAAGCAAGTTGTCTGGGACGTCTCGAGTCTGGTTGAGAAATTGGAGGGCTTGACAGTGACAATTGGTCAGGGGCCAAGGTGGAATTACAAGGACGTAGACACTGCTGTCGAAGAATTTCTTGAAGAGAATCAAAGACTTTGATCTCGATAATGTATGTTATCATATTGGTATCATTGCATGGGAAAGAATTTTCCCTTCGGACTCGGTGCAATTTTGATAAACAAGGGGAAAAATGAAAGGTCTATTGGGAAAGGAGTTTTTACGCGCATATTATTATGTTCAGTTCGATACGTTAAATGTAATATTTATGTCGTTTGAGAAAACCTTCAAATCCACGTTTTGGGAGCGGGAGAGGTATGGGATGAGAGGCAAGATCACGTGGAGCATTCACTTGTTGGCCAGAACCGTCAACACATGACTCTACCCATGCCTGGAAGACAATTGATTACCAACATTCTATGGGGTTAGCGATTCTAGCTTCTGTGTATTAACAAATTATGTACAAAGAAATTCCAAACAATCCTATTTATTCCACCGCAAACGCGATTTCTTTCACACGTCATTCTACTTTGTTGAAATTCTTGGATCATCTTGGTCCTCAGTACAACTTATTAGGTGCAGTTAACAAAATGGTTGCCTTCTTTTCATGTCCAGTCTTTCCCCGAGCTTGTGTACTATAACCATAGTCGTTGGCCAACACTTGGAGCCTTTTCGGTAAAGGGAACTACTTGCCTGAGCAGCTGGGTCACATCGTCTTTGGGTTTCATCATCGCCGTCGTAATTATTGTGGTCATCGAAGCAGAAGTGGCAGAAAGAATGCCCGTGGTGTTTCTGGCAATGCTAAAAGTAAATCAGCAAACGGTACAAGGGTTCGTGCAGTGATGTGTGTCCTCCAAGGTGGTAACCTGGGTCGCTATCATCCACAGGCGCAGCGACGGCTCCTTGCAAGGTAGCCATCATGGCGGAAAGGACAACGAGTAAAGTGGAAGGGACTTTCATGACGAAAGAATTGAGGATGGATAACTTATCTCTTTTCGAGGTGGTTTATGCAGAATTTTGCAATGGCTTGATGCAGTTGCTTATATCAAGTGTTCCTTCGGGAGACAGTCCGTAGGATTTATGGAGAGCATGCTGCCGTCGTGAAACAGAGAGTCGGCAGTGGATGCGGGCCATATAGACATAGACTCCACTACTACAAACAAGGCAGCTGACGAGCGAGGCCAATGTGCGCCGAGCTAGAGACTAAAACCAATGCCAACCAAGCCTCGAAACCCTTCCAGTCAAAACTATCCGACTTCATGGATTGACGTGTAAGAGAAACATGTGTTGTTTATGTGCTTCGCGAACTTGCTGGGCTTATTTGCACTTCTCCGGATTGCGGGTGGTAAATGGGATTGAACCCTCCCCAGTGCTCCAAATAAGGGACTTCGCTTCTCATGCGTAACTAGTTTTCATATACCTGATGCAGCCACCAAACATTTTACGCCAAAGTTCGCAGTAAATGGAAATTCCAAGCCAGCGTAATTGCATTTAAGGAATTACTTGTATAAAATCGTTTCAGGCGCCGAAAGTCTAAGTGCAGGTTTAGACACATGATGCAAACATGTGCAGTCAGATGAGCTAGGCTATGGCGCAGTGTGCGGAATCGACAGAGGACTCAGGCAAGCGTATATTACGCCGACGAGATATTTATGTCAGGTGAGACGATCCCATGCCGGTATTCTATCCAACTAAATGGCAAGGTGGCGGGGACGTAGACCGCAGTGCAACTGTGCAGGTGCCGAAAGGGCAATTCTAGTTGTTTGAATCTTCATGAAAGTAATCCAAGCTCCTCGTCTCAGAGTGCTACGAAATATATCACTATTGTAGCAGAATTCTTTTGCAACATAGTTCACTTTTATGGAGACAAATGAACCTAATTCTAATATTCGACTGAAAGAAGGCTGCATCTACAGATATTGAAGCCAATATGTAAATATAGAATAGAATTTGGCATCACAATTTTTCATCTCAAGACTTCAAAAGCACTGAAGGAATGACAACTCAGCATTACTTAATGCGTATGCTGAAAGAGGTATGGCTGACAATCTATCTTCTCATTGTCGCAGCAAATGGCGTCGTCTTCTTCAACCTTTTCCTGTCGTTATTCCGGTGGAAATCGCATCGAGGTGACGGTGGAGCGTTGAAAGGCATGGGTTACCTGTCGCGAAGAGAATCGGCAATCGGGGACGTTCTAGGCAATGCAGAACCGCCACTTCCACCACCCAGCCGTCTCGAGTTTCGGAAGCAATTTGCCCTTGGGGAGGGGGGTAATCGGTGCCGAAAGGAGTGGTCTTGTCTCGTAAATCACGTGACTTCCCCACGGGAATGTTTAAGCCGATCTCTAGGCTCTTTCAGGCTTAGACGCCCGCGAAAAATAGCCGTCTGAAAAGCTGTGTCCGAACTTTTTTTTTGGTATGCTTCATCTTCCCGTCAACACCTCAAATACCTGCCAATGCCCTCCACAACATGGCAGCGCCGGTGACAAAGCTTCAACAGGTGAAGCTCCCCAGCGGACCTTCTCCTTTAACCCCCGAACAACAATACTGGAAAGGGTTCAGATCCTCCCAAAACATCCCTTCTCAGTCGCCCATCACCCACATCTCCTTCCCTCCACCGCCGAGCAATGCCCTTCTTCCGTCGAACAATGACCACTTCGTTGTCACTACTGGTACGCGAGTACAGATCTTCTCCATACGAACCCGAAAACTCGTCAAGACGATAACTCGATTCGCGGATATTGCACACAGCGGAGAGATTCGACGAGATGGCCGGGTTATGGTGGCTGGTGATGAGACAGGGAAGATCCAGGTCTTCGATGTAAACTCCAGGGCAATTTTGAAGACATGGGAGGAGCACAAGCAGCCAGTGTGGACAACGAAATTCTCACCTACTGAATTGACAACGGTCATGAGCGCAAGCGACGATCGCACAGTCCGATTGTGGGATCTCCCGAGCCAAGAGAGCACAACCACATTCGTTGGACATTCAGACTACGTGCGAAGCGGAACTTTTATGCCGGGGACAATGTCAAATATGATATTAACAGGTAGTTATGACGAGACGGTCAGGCTTTGGGATCCAAGGATACCAGGAAGAGCTGCGATAATCTTCAAGCATGCTGCGCCGATCGAAGCAGTTCTCCCTATGCCTTCAGGTACAACTGTTCTGGCTGCGGCAGATAACCAAATATCAATCCTCGATCTTGTAGCCGGCAAGCCACTACAATTACTCAAGAACCACCAAAAAACGGTCACATCACTTTGCTTGGCCTCGAATGGGACAAGACTCGTTAGTGGAGGTTTGGATGGGCATATTAAGATCTTTGAGACGTCGGGATGGAATGTAGTTGCTGGGTCTAAGTATCCTTCGCCAGTCCTCGCAGTCAATGTCATCAGTGCAGGGGCGAACCGAGAAGACAAGCACTTGGTGGTGGGTATGCAGTCTGGAGTGTTGTCTATCAAGATGAAGCTTTCGGGACAGCAAAAGGTGAAAGAGCGAGAGAGAGCGAAGGAGATGCAAGCTCTGATTGATGGAACATTGGGTGACTACGACAAGGATAAGAAGAAGCGAACAAAAGGTATCGAGAAGAAGCTCCGAGGCATGGATTTTGTGGGAGAGGGAGTTGATGTTATAATTGAAGGTACTGATCGTCGCAAAAGAAAGCGGCAGGCCCCTTGGGAACAAGATCTCAGGCAAGGAAAATTCGGCCGAGCACTGGACACAGCATTGGAGACAGGATTGCCCTCCGTGACTATCCTTACACTCCTTACAGCTTTACGACACCGAAGCGCGATGAGAATTGCGTTGCAGGGCCGGGACGAAAACACCGTCCAGCCAATATTCAAATGGGTCATAAAACACATCACCGATCCTCGATATGTCAGTATCTGTGTTGATTCTGCTTTGCTGTTACTGGATATTTATTCCGAGCATGTGGGTGGATCGCCGGAGCTGGAGAAGAACATCAGGGAGCTGCATCAACGAGTACGAACTGAGGTGGATCGATCACAACAAGCATGCCAGACAAGTGGTATGCTGGAAATGTTGATGACAGGGATGCCTTGAAGAAAGGGGGGATTCAATCGCCCCTTTTGCATAGCGCCGGCGTTTGTAGGGAATGGGAGTGATTGGGTGTTGGAGTTTTACGTGGAGACCTTCGGGATGCATTACCCCGCTACCCCACGCTGTCTAAGATTCCGTCATCGGCCAAAATATTCAGAAATAATAACAACTACCTTTCACTCGAAATTGGTTTTTGGAACCCGTGCACCTCCATCTTCGCAACCTCTGGACCCATCTCGAACCGGCACAAATGGCAGACGTCGAAGCCCCACCACTCTCCCGCAAAATGCACGACCTGACAGATCAGGTGGTTCTCATAACCGGAATCGGCTGCATTGGGAAAGGATGGGGGAACGGGATTGCAATTGCTACACTATTTGCCCGTCAAGGAGCCATCCTGTTTGGCTGTGACCTTTTCATCGAAGCCGCAGAAACCTCAAAGGCTCAAATCCTAGCCGAGAACCCGAAAACAAACATCACAGTGATGCACGGCGACGCAACCTCATCGTCCTCGATGAAAGGGTTTGTGGATGCGTGCATGGTGAGGCACGGAAGGATAGACATCCTAGTGAACAACGTCGGAAGAAGCGAACCCGGGGACCCGGCATCGATATCAGAGGAAGTGTGGGATAAGCAGATGGACGTGAATCTCAAATCCGTGTACCTGACTTCTCACCTCGTTCTTCCCATTATGGCTGCACAAAAGAGTGGAGGGAACATCGTTAACATCAGTTCTGTCTCCGGACTGAGGTATATTGGCAAACCGCAAGTTGCGTACTCGACGACGAAGGCCGCGATTCTGAGTTTTACGAGGACGACGGCAGTTATTTATGCGAAGAGGGGAGTGAGGTTGAATACTGTGGTCCCCGGACTGATTAATACGCCGCTTGTTAAGATGTTGGCGGATAAGTATGCTGGTGGGGATTATGAGGGGTATTGTAAGGTGCGGGATGAGCAGGTTCCGACGGGGAAGATGGGCAGCGCGTGGGATGTAGCTAATGCTGCGCTTTTCCTGGCTAGTAAAGAGGCTTCGTATATTACAGGCACGGAGATAGTTGTCGATGGGGGGCTGACGCAGAGTACTGGGAGAACATAGACAGTCAATAACGAAGAGTTCCCCACCCCATGGGTCCTGTACGGAATGTTACTCGGCTCTTTCTTGTTTTCCTCTTTCTATGGATGCAAATATCGCTAAGTAAGTCTTTTGGATTTCTTGTAAATCGTATCTGAATAAGTCAATATGTGGTTAAGTTAATACATATAGTCCTGATTCTGCTTTGCGCTTCCGTTTCTGAACCCGGGTCACAACCTGGTGTCCTTCATCTTAATTTCAACAGCATACTTCCACCCCGGATATGATGAAGGCGGCCATTCCAACGGAAGGCCATACTTTTGATCCAGATGGTGACTTGGTCCTTATCCTTTCGAGATCACCAGAAAGTGCAGGCAATATTCCGATCTCGGACACACTGGAGGTTGGAGAGACGTAAGCAGGAGGGGAGATGGCAACTGCTTCCATCGGAGATGCCACTTTTGATTCGAATGTCAAGACGCAGACAGATGGGAACTCAAACGACTCAGAATCGTCCTCCGGGTTCGTTGACAAACAAGTGGAATTCGCCAATATGTTCGTTTCACCGAAGCACATGATGGTTTCATCACCTGCTTCAGAGCTATGCTACAACACGGCAATTTCAAGGAGGGACGAGACCTCAGCACCGAAGGAAGGCTTGAGCTACAATTTCCTGAAGATGACTGACGGCTATGACTGTCCTGTTGGATATTGTTCATAGCCGGAGCCGTCGCGTGCCCCGAAAAGTCAGCCTAGATTTACTCACGCAAATATCGATATTGGTGGACAAGTACCAGATGATGGCAGCAGCTGAAATACTGTCTGATGCATGGATCGAGGAGCTAAAGAAAGATATTCCGGAAGTCTACTATGCAAACTTCGGGGAGGATTTTCGCTAGTTTGGTATCGCCTGGATCTTCGGGAAAGCTGATATCTTCAAGTCCATAACAGGATTCATCTAGTACAACTGTTATGGTGATTTCGACCAAAGAATCTAACAGAATCTTCCAATCCCTGACATCATCATTGGTAAGTGCTTCGACTTCGAGTGAAAGTTCAAGTTGACAGATATAGAAACGATCAAATGAAGGCGAAAAGCAGCTATGCTTGGCTTGTACGAGTTCCTAGGAATGACTGTGGAAACTAGCTCAATTTGGGTTTGTCTACTATTTGTCAACTAGGAGACGCGTTTCGATTTCAGTGCGATTCTATCATCGTTGGATCGCTTCTCAAAAGTGCAACAGAGGCACACATGTATCCCACTCCCGAAGGTCCTCATAGCGCGAGTTCATTAAACCAGTTAACATCAACTCTGTGCTCACTTCGGGTCGAGGTATTGTGTGATGTGGCAAATAAAAAATTTCCTGGTAACGGGAACTTGCAGTATCGTTAAGTGGGACATGACCTTCAGAATTCTTTCGAGTTGAGGTCTGCCTCTCTGAGACAGGATATTCAGGGACTCGACATCGACCCATCGAGGACTTTCGGTCAAAGAATGTTTGAAAGCTTTGGAATCGAATAGGTTCAAGGCTCGGAGTGACGGAAAGGAAGTTACAGTAACTTGACTTCATTGTTGTTGGTCGACGGAGAATTGAATAGGCAAGAAGTGCCGTCTAGGACCGGACTTTGATCTCAGTGTACACTCAGTGATCGTGTAGTTCGAGATATACGGCACCATATATCGAGACATAACAGGTGCTCCCCTCTTGACGTGTAGGGAAGAGATGAATGCTTGTAGCTGGATGGGTGTGCAAGATCCTGTTGCAAATTAAAAAGGGGCCTAATGAAAACTCCTTCAAGCTTCACTGCTCCCCCAAAGAAAGGTGCTGGGGAATTAGGGCAGGGAAAGGAAAAAGAGTGATATTCTTGCTGCGTACTGAGGTTTCGAGAGTGCTAGTTATATTCGTGAGTCGAGAGTTTATTTGCATCGAGCACACAATTGACAAAAGGATGTCCAATTATCTCCTTGCCAAGAATCGGACCTGAGCGTAAAAGGGAGATCGCCCCCCACAGCCGTCTCCTTTCATCACGTCAATGTTCGTAGAAATTGGATTCTACTTGAACAACATGTTCCGAAACGAGAGACAGTAGAGCACCAGGGTTCCATTCACTGAACTACAATGATCGCCAACAGAACATTAGTAAAATTTCTACCCATATTCGGGCATAATTTCATTGCCAGGCTCTAGTCTCACTTCAACTTCAGCACCTCCAGGGAAGCTGGTAATATTGACCTGAAGATGTATACACGTGACCAGGCGTTTCTAAAATGCGCTAGCGCGTCTGTCTGACAAGGGAGCTTCCACCGAACTTGTCCCTTTGTTTCATTCTCACTGAGCTTCGAGAAGCGAAAGAGAAGGCAAATCTTACGTGACAACAATTGCCTATGTATGCGGAGTTAATCTCAAGTAACAGGCACAATCTCGGACGAGAAGAGTTCAACAGCCGTCCTCTCCGACGACACCGAAGCGAATAAGGCATCCATACGCTTCAGGTACTCCAAACCCTTCGGGACTGCAATCACTACCTCGCAAGGAAAAGGGTGGCACAATGGCTGTGGAGTTTTATACTTTCGACCCGGATGGCGACCTGCTGCTCATACTTTCGAGACCTCCTGATGATGCGGAAAGCGAGGATGGAGCGGGTGAAGAAGACACCAACAACACGCCTGCTGGAAGTCCCACCGATGAAAGGATTGGTGAAGATGCTGCTGAGAGTGCAGATACACATCCAGATACAGGGGCGTCTGCAAACTCTGCTGGCTCTCCCAGTCTCGAGGTCGACCCCACCCCCGACGAAGACGAGCCAGACAGAGAACCAGCCATCGTGGTACATATGCTTGTCTCGTCAAAGCATATGATGCTAGCTTCCCCGGTGTTCAAAGCCATGCTTCAACACAGCAGGTTTAAGGAAGGACAGAAACTCAGTGCGACTGGAAAGGCGGAAATCCCGCTCCCAGATGACGATCCTTACGCCTTCACGATTATCCTGGACATTATTCATGGGCGGAATAGGCAGGTCCCCCGGGAGATAGACCTCGATTTGTTGAGCTCTATTTCCAAGCTTGTCGACAAATATCAGATGGTAGAAGCTGTGGAGTCCTTCTCCAATGGCTGGATCGACGCCGTAGAAGACCTGCTGCCTGCGGGATATGCCACAACGGAAGACGTTGAGGACGTGCACCGCTGGCTGGGAATATCTTGGGTCTTTGCAAGGGAAGACGAGTTTGTAAGAATGACGGAACTCATGGAACGAGGTTGCTGGGAAGGATTGGCAGAGGACATTGAAGAAGTCCTCCCAATCCCCGGCCTGATCGTTGGTATGTTGCTCACCATGTACGACTTTTGTTGCGTGCTGACATACTTCCAGAAACAATTCTTATGAAGCGCCAAGAGGCTCTTTCTGATCTGTATGCCTTCATTGAGCAAACTGCCAGGAGGTACCAGCAGTCAGAGATCTGTTGTCCACGGACGGACAGTGCCGAATGGGCACTGAACTGTGACTCTCTCCTCCTTGGCTCTCTTCTAAAAAGTGCTTCTTCATATGAGATACTTCCGGTCCCCGAATCTCCATATGGGGACATTTCTTTCGATGAATTGGCCGCCAAGCTCTACAGCCTCAATGTCAGTGCGATCTGCGACAAGATCCGCCCCAGCTTCCAGGCTGGAGTAGAACCAAAACCTGCCCATGGACTCCATGAAGCCATTGAAGAAAGAATTGCTCTTCTAGAAGAACGCCTATCTGGACTTAATATTTTTGAGTTCAAAGGGGAGGAGAAAGGCCCTCGCCCAATTGTTGGCGTATAACATTGAGATATCCTTCATTTTTCTCAGTCTTATCAATGACCACCTCCGGATGACGATATATGCTACTTCCTATCCCTTGGATACTTCAGTTTACTTTGCTTGGTGCGTTCAGAGGACTGAGGGTGATTATAAATGGCGCCTGAAGCTTTGGGGGGGGGTTTTTTTTTCAATCAATTACGGAGATCCATTGAGTTTTGACAGAGACGAGTTGATTTAGCTATCTTCTGCGGTGCCTATTGGCACTGAGTATAGTCTACCAGTCCTCTGTCAGGGACCTTCTTACTTGGGAGGCACAGACCGATATTCTCGCCCTTGAGATTCTTGAAGACGGCTCCATACTCGCGCTTGAATCCAGTCAGCAACAGTTCATCATGTTCATCGCACATATTGTTTCTAAAAGGACTGAAAAGGATGCTGGAGAGCTATTCTTACCTGGGTCACTGAGATGAATTCATTATATATGCTGTCAGTTTTCATTTTCTGGCGAACGAGGTCGCTGACCCCGCCAAGTATTGCATTTACCGTCGTTATTTTGCTGTCCCAAGACACAAATGATGACATGGCTGTGCCATCAACACGGGTCGACTCACTGCTACCGTATGGATCTGGTTCTGTCAGCGTCTGGATCAGGTGATTTTAACGGAGCACAGCTTCGCATCACAACTCACTTTGCATTTTCTTTCCATCAGCCATATTCTTCCACCAAACCATGCCCACAGCGTTGTCTATGAGAACAACTGGGAATACACTGTACGGTGTGATGACATCAACTTCTTGAACTGTTTGATTTGCAATGGAAGGGATGCCGGCGTTTGAGATGTACCCGATGATCTGCCCAGTGGTCGGATCTGTTGAATTGTTGACCGAGGCAAACATCCCTGGTACCTTAGTTACAACAGAATTACAAGTGCGAGCTCTCTCGGCGTTGGTGAATAGACGTCTATTTCTGGGTCAGAGGTCTGCTGAGGAACCCGGTTCTGGGGGAGAGGGGAACAAACTTCACCAAATCAACGTCGTAGTACGGAATTTCCATCACTTTCCACTGTTCGTGGGCTGAGAACCAGAATCCTTTTGAATTGTCAGCACCATTCTGAAATTTTACGAACCATATTTACCTTTCTGGACAGTGATCGGCCCCACTCCTCCCATTTTGTACTCAACACTTACGAGCTGCGGTCTTTTGACCTTCCACAAAACATCCTTGTCCTTCCTCGAGAGGCCACCAAAGAAGTACAGCCACCACGTGAAGAGTTCACCTTCATATGGATCATTCAAGGTCCCACTTCCCTCACATTTGTACGTCTGTCGGGGGTCATTGATGGGGAAGGATTGATCCCCAATATCTGTGACTGCACAGACGACGCCATTTCCTGCATAGAATACCTGCAACCAGTTGAGTGGGGGTTGTAAGAAAAAGCATTGGAGATTTCACTCACTTTTGCTGCTGTCAGCTTTATGTAATCGAGCCATGCTTGCCATTGCCTGGCTAAATTCTGATATTTGCGGTTCGAGCTCGTTTCCATGGCCTGGATAGCACTGTACACTGCCCAAATGAGCTCTCCGTTGTCAAGAGCAGGCACTCGATTCACCCAGTCCCAAGTCGGCTGAATATCCATCGAATCCCCAGTAAACCAGGGGAGAAATCCTCCAAACCCAGGATACGTCTCGTTGAACCGCAAATACGTCTTCAGCTTCAATGCCATGATGTTCATCGCCATGTCCGGCGCTGCTCCAGTGTTGTCAGGCGACAAAAATCGAGCAGCTTGAGGAGATCCGACCATGGCATGAGCGTAGAGCATTATTTGAAGAGCTTCTTTGCTTGCAGCACTAAATGGATGCTTTGCCGTGGCAAGACCAGTAGACTCGTCGAGGAGTGTACCATCGTAGGACATGCCATTGTAACTGTTGTAGCTGACATTGTTTTGATGGAATCTCCCTTCCCAGTAAAGGACATCCGAAATGAAAGGATTTGGGTCATTCAAGATTTGTGCTTGAGTATAGCAGGGGGAGAATCGGCATTTAGGTTGTCCGCCTGGTTTCGCTTGCTGGGGATTTGGGACAGCTCCCACTATCAAAGCGAAACTTAGAGCAGGAAGGATTCGTAAAAGCATTTTTGGTTATGTTGACAATTATAGTCATTGACTTGCCATGCTGCTGGTTGAGACTTTTAACTTCTGCAATTCCGCTTTCCGTGCCTCATTCTCCCCATTTCTAGCGTTCGCAAGTCGGCGACCTTCTGCAAGCCGGTCCTTTTATTCTCTCTGAATCATAGCCAATTGCTTTCACACGGTGAGGCTTTTGACGGGACGAATTACAGCCTTCCATCATCCTAAAGATGGGATGATGTTGAGTTGCAGGTCCAAAACAGGGTCCATCCTTTTGTGGCGTGCGGGGTTGGGGAAGATCCCTGCCAAAACAAGGCAATCGCGTGGTAACCAACAACCTGAAAACGACTTTTCTCCTCGCCCTTTCCCAGTTCCTGGTTACGATCAGCTGTGGCTTATGGGTATTGGGAAGGCCGAGGCGACTGCCATACAGGGTCCATTAGTAACCGTTCCCCGCTGCAGGAAGAAGCCTGCGCGTCATCCACCTCAAGATTCCACAAACGGGCCGTTTAAATCGGATGAACCTTGGAACCCCGAATTATCCGAGATTGATCTGCCTGTGTGGAGAAGTTCGGATAGGCTGGTACGGGTGGAGTTTCTGATTGGGACTCTGGTATGCACGGTGTTCGGTCTTTTCTCTTAATGACCGAAGCTACTTGAGCTCGGGGTATTTCTAGTCTTCATGGGCTGTCATATGTGAGTATTCATGCTATCTTAACATTTTTATTGTGCTTCATAGTCAACCAAGAAACCGAGAGGCATCATGAAGCCCTCACTACTCTCATTGTCAATGCTGGCGGGGTTGGCAGCCTGCCAGAACTCTAGCTCACCTCTTCCAACCACCATCATCCCCACTCCTACCACGGCAACAGCACTCAGCGGAAGCACAGTCGCAAACCCGGCAGCTTTTACCACTGCCCTAACCCTCCACGTAGAAGACCTCTGGAATCTCTTCGTGGGACCCGTTTCCACAGCCGCAGTGAACACCACTGTCTCTGCAACACCAATCCCCACCCATGAGCTGATCCCGCCCCCTGGACTCTTCTACAGCTCTTTTCCATCCGGTCAACAAATCCCAATGGCGAGCAAGAATGAGAGCTGGAAGTTTCCAGCGGGCTTTTGGTGGGGTGTTGCCAGTGCTGCGTATCAGGTTGAGGGCGCTGCGAAGGCGGAAGGGAGAGGGCCGTCTATTTGGGATGTTTTGCTGCATCGTGTGACTGGCTATACGGTTGCGAATCAGACGGGTGATGTTGCTGATAATCAGTATTATTTGTACAAGCAAGGTGAGATTCGGAAGTCTGTTCTGGAGATCCGGTGATTGATTTAAAGATAGATATTGCACGCATTGCTGCTCTCGGGGTGAAGACGTACTCCTTCTCAATCAGCTGGTCACGAGTCTTCCCATTTGGAAATGGTCCTGTCAATGGGCTGGCACTTGCTCATTACGACGACGTTATCAACACATGTATTGAGTTTGGAGTTGAGCCAGCCGTCACTCTCTATCACTGGGACTTGCCTTTGAACCTCCAGAACACCTATGGTGGCTGGTTAGGACCTCAAATCGTTGACGATTTCGTCGCCTACGCCAAGGTTGTATTTGGCCGTTATGGAAACAAGGTCCCTCGCTGGTTTACTGTCAACGAGCCAATTGTATTTTGGTGAGTTCGGGTTCTCCTAGAATACTAAATGTCAGCTAATGTTACCAGTAACAACTACCCTTTACCGGACCATTACTTCACCAACACCTTAATCCCCAAAATCCAGCAGCCATTTTGGTGCGGTCATCACGTGCTCCTAGCTCACTCTAAAACGTACCACCTCGCCAAATCCATGGGAATCAACGGCACAGTTTCATTCAAAACCAACGGCGGGTACAAGATTCCTCTCACGAACTCTAGCGAAGACGCTGTCGCCGTCCAGCGAGCATGGGATTTCAACGAGGGATGGTTCGCCAACCCGACTTTTCTCACCGGAGACTATCCCAAATACTTGAAGGATTTCGTCTCCGGATTCTTACCTGAATTTACTGATGAGGAGAAATCGATGATCAATGGTACCTCTGATGTTTACGCACACGATGCGTATACATCTCAATTCTACATGGCCCCGGATTCCGGAATCCAAGCCTGCACCTCCAACACCTCACACCCCCTCTACCCCTCCTGCGCTAATACAACCTACTCTTACACCACCGCCGACGGCGGCTGGAATGTCGGGCCAGCCGCGGACCCGCTCTCGCCCTGGTTGCACAAAGCGACCGACTGGGTGCCGCTCTTCCTGCGCTACATCCACGACACCTGGCACCCGTCCGGCGGCATCGCCATTACCGAGTTCGGATTCGCGGAGCCGTTTGAAGTGCTGAAGACGCTCAAGGCGGATATACAGTTTGATCCAATTAGGAGTAGTTACTACAGGGAGTATATGGAGGCTATTTTGATGGCGATTAGTGAGGGTGTTAATGTGGTGGGGACGCTGGCTTGGAGTATTGTGGATAATTTGGAGTGGAATTCGGGCTATCAGGATAAGTTTGGGGTGCAGTAAGTCTTCTTCTCCTTCTCCTTATTTCTCCTGTATTCATTTGGGAGGATGAACTATGGTGTGAGGGATACAGCTGCTAACGATTTCATAGATATGTCAACCTTACGACTCAGGAACGCGCCTATAAGGCGAGTTTCTTTGAGTATGTCAATGCATTCAAGTTGTATGGTACAGATCCTGTTACTCCTCACTTTGTATCTTCATAGAACTAGGTTACGGTAGATAGACCTGACCTTTATACTATCATAGCTTTCAAAAGCTTGTGCAGCTCCTTTTGAATGGGTCCTCTCTGAATGTTGAACCTGTGACCATGTCACGTGGCAGCAAAAATTAGACATTTACAGTACAAGCACTTCCCATACTCCAAATCTGTTCTACTCAACTGCAATCAAATATTGAATAACATGTAGTTAGACTGTAAAATCGCCGCGGCTTTAAAAGTCAAGTCATTGCTCGAGCCCTTTCAAGTGTTCATCCTGCAGCGAATCCGCCCCTTTTTTAAGCGAGATACGATTTGAACTGACGTCGATAGAAACCGCAACTTTTTGAGATATTCGAGTGAGGGTATTCGCAGACTCTGAGCGAGCCAATTATAATCGAAGTTAGCGTCCCGCCCTGACCTGCATTACTTCTTTCTCATCCATCGGAAGCCTTTCTCCCCGACGCGTGTGTGGTGGCTTGCTGGAACAACCATATCTACTACCGAACCTGGCCTCGGAATCTGGCCCGCATCTCTTCTTGCTCGTCCACCAATAGCTTTTCAACAAAGCAACGATGTCACTGGCATCTTTCTCTTCCGCGTAAGCCAGGCAGTTGTATAGATCGTCTCTCTTGATAGCAAATCCAGACCTCGGTAAGAGGGTCGAGGATTTGACAGTGTTGGAGACATTAGACCACCGCGGATCCTGAAACACCTCGTTGACGTCGAAACCTAGATTCTTATTTCGCATCTCGAGAACTCTGTGGAGCCCGGAGAAGTTTTTGCTGTCGATTGCTGCGAGGATCCAGGCTCTGCGGAAGGGATTCGATTTCGTTTTTGTTGACAGTAGAAGGTCGATGATCTCGATAGAAGAACTTTGTTCTTTGGGAGTGTGCTTGACTAACATTGCCCGTTCCCATACCTGAGGAGTTGCGCTTGCACCATGGACGTGTATCAATACACCAACGATTTCTAGATTGTTCGACTCAACCGCTGCTTCTAGACATTCGTTGATATCGTTGTGCTTCACGTTGAAGGAGAGAAGGTATTGCACCAGTTCAAGCTTTCTACTAATGCATGCGTAATAGAGTGGCGACCTACCATCTACATTCACGCGATTCGGCACTGCTCCACTTTCCACGAGAGCACGACATATGCCAACGGCGCCGCAAAATACCGCATAACTTAACGGAGAAAGGTGGTCATGCGGATAATTTTCAGCAACGTACATGGAAGACTCAGGATTCGTGCCATGCTTCAACAAAAGCCGTACACCGTCTAGGCTTCCTCCCTTGATTGCTGGAGTCAGGGCGGAATATTCGTTCTTGCGTTGTCCTGGGATTGAGACAGTCGCTCCAGCGTGAGCTCCGTGGTCCAGTAAAAGGCTGGCCATCTTCAGTGCGTCAGCAGGCTCTCGTTGCCAATAAGTACTGCTAATGCAACAGAGAGAATCTCTGTATTGGCTTGTGTTTGGACGTTTCTGCACATTGTTGGTCTGCCCTAGCTGCTGAAGCAGAAATTCGACGGTAGCTAAATCGGTGAATGCAGCAAAACACCCGAGGACCGTCATTCCACTACTTTTGGGACTGGACAGTTCGTCTATGTTTTCAACGAATGACATTGCAGGACTTTCCGCATCGAAACTTGGTTGTTCCATCATCAGGCGCAGTATTTTGCGTCGACTTTCCTCGTCCATTCCAACAAGCGCTGCAACGGGAGACTCGTATACATTGTGAGGCAAGTCTTTGAAACGCGTAGATTTCCACATCTTGTTGAAGTCTGCACGCGGAACGAGTTTCATAGCAATTCCGGTGGCTTTGTGATTGATGGCCGCATACAACGCGGAGGCGGCCGTGTCCCTATTGGCTCCCATTCTCAAAAGGTATTCAACGACAGGTTCATGCTTTACTGCAGCCGCTCGAGGAAGCGCAAGATGGCATTCCTTATTCTTGCGCGATGAGTAGTTTACATCCGCGCCCAAATCTAAAGCAGAAGCAACAAGGGGCAGGTTCCCGGCGGATGCAGCATCCTCGAGTACCTGTGCCAAAGTCTGGAGTAAGAAACCACTGGCGACTTGATCCGAATTCTCCAAGTTTTGTTGCAAAATATTGTGGCGAAGTCCTTTGACACTGAACATCCTCTTCTTTGGCTCTAGAGCAGTGGCGAGAGAGCGTGCTTCAGCGTCGCTAGCTGAGGTAGTGATTGATGTATCGATCTCATATATACCGGGTGATGGGTGAAAAGTTGTATTTTGTACACCCACACGGGCGGCGTGAGTTGGCAATGAATTATTTTTCGTCCACCTTATTGGTACAATCTCGGGAAGTGTCCGAGAAAATCGGTCAGCTTCCTTCTCTGCTCCTTCGAAATTAACTTCTTTTTCCCGCGATTCGACACTTGGCTCTTTGAATGAATCCCGTTGGTGCATCGATGCCGTTTGAGCTGTTGAACTTTTCTCGCTACTCTCTGCCATCAGTTTTGAGTACTGTTCTTGGGGGCGTTCTGTAGCGCATGCACTACAAGCAAGGTATTCCACGGGGTTGTGTAGGGTGCAGGTACGGCAAACCCAATCAGAAACTGTCCCGCGAGATTCCTAGATTCGAGTTGTAGTGGGGAGCTCTTTCCAATCCCAGATTGATCAACTACTGTTGACTTCACATCATTGCCAAATATTACCACAGCTGGAGGCGTTGGATGGTAAAAAGCTAAAGAGTATTCGGTAAAGCCGTCTGCGTAGGGGTGATCATTGCCTACTGCTGTCTCAGAGCTTTTGTTGAATTGGGGGAAGATACTATTCTCTTCTGTGCAACGTCCTGCTCGACATCCTCACTGACGGCAAAGACTTGCAAATTCAGAAGAGGAGTTTTCTGAGGATCGAGCGAAGTTACTTCCCCACCGGAGGATCTTACTTGCGCGGGATCTGCTTCATCGCGATTTGAAAGCCTCTCTTTGAACGATTCGTCATCAAGTCCAAGCTGCCTCTGAAGACCAGCAAGAATTATCAAGAACTCATCCTTCTTGAGAAACTCTTCTCTGGGTTCAACTGACGATGAACATTCAAAGGTCGCGTTGAGAGCCTGCAAAGCATCATTAGAGTCTTCATATACACAAGCTGCCGAAATTTTGCCCATCCAGGAAAGAGAACTCACATCATCCCAGAGAACTCCCAGAACCTCATCCTGCAGTGCCGATAACCGCAGCACTTTGATCGCCACGTTCTCTGTCTTATATCAATTATTGAAGTCACAGAAAGAGGTGTAATTTAGTTACCTGAAATGAGGTATGGCTCTGAGCAAGACCGATCGAAGATGGACTGGTAGATCCTGTACCTGGTAGCGTTTATTGTCCTCGGTTCTCCCCCAAGGCTGTATTTAAGACAAGAGTCAACTGTCTCGGCTCGAGGGCGGCGGAATGGATTGCGAGCCGATTGAACAGTATATCTAGGGGGGAGCACGGCTTCCATGGTATCTGCTGTGAAAACTTTGGGAGCTCCACTATCCCGCTATCTTGAAGTTCCGTCGTCTTGAGATTCGGATTGTCGTTGCTGGCTTTGCTGAAACGTGGGAGTGCTTCAGGGGAGCATTAAGGGGTATGATGACAAATCATTCTGTTGTTGCTGGTGTTGGAAGCACCCTGGCTATACTGTACGCTATTTCAATCCATCCTAGGCCCAATGACCGCTTGTTGCCGCCCTATATGCTCGGGGAACCCCAGAGAAGAGACCTGCCTGTCCAAGCAAGCAAATCTCGTGATCGTTCGAGAAAGCTGTACCCGTTCAAATCAGGCATGCTTGCTTTCTTTCTTACTTTCTTTCTTTCTAAATTTTTTTTACGCCAAAAGCATGTGACAAGGGTCAGGTGAGACGCAATGTAAATGCTGTCGGTCAAGGTGTCAGTAACCTGGCTTCCATGGGAATCTAGTACATCGATATTTATGCCTGCGAGTAAATGGCCGCGCGTGATGCAGGAGGTTCTAGAAGTAGAAGATCTCGATGGCCGGGATTCAGAATTCATTATTTGGATCAAGTTATGGGTTTTGTGCTTGACGGGGGTATAATGCAGTGAAGAAAGCTTGATGTGAGATGAGGATGAAGAGATGTCGTAGAGGTCTCCTTCTTTCGCCTAGCGTAGCCTTGCCAATCAGCTTCGGCTGAACCCTATTTTCGCCACCTCGAGCAGTTCCCCTCTTCGCTATCTATCATGAACAGCAAGTTCCTCAACCTGAAAGTGTTTGGCATATGGTCTAATTCAATCGAGTAGGACACCTGAATCACAACTTTGTCTCCTCGTGTTCTCGAACCCCTCGAACCACACTGCACGGGCAGTGCTCGACCGCGATCCCGGTACCCAACAGCAAAACAGAACAAGTTGGCGATAACATCTTCCATAAATATATGGACAGATAGAATTATTCACCGTGAGGTGTTAGAATGGCTGTCGAACTTCTGTCCTTCGATCCGGATGGAGACCTGCTGCTGGTGCTAGCTGACAGCAACGAGAATGACGACTCGACGGGGAGCGATGGGCTAGACGGCGGAGCAATCGAACAGACAGCAACTCAATTGTCTCTTCCGGACATGATTGCTTCTACGACGCTATCCCGTTTCGATGGCGATTCTATTGAATCACCACCACCAGAACTTGAATCGCCAAAAGCCCAGAAAGAAATACATATGTTGGTGTCATCAAAGCACCTGATGCTTGCATCTCCTGTTTTCAAGGCGATGTTACAACATAATAACTTCAAAGAAGGAGACACACTTCGCTCGTCAGGTAAAGTCAAGGTGGAATTACCGGATGACGATCCTGCAGCACTCAGAATTCTGCTCGATATTATCCATGGACGCGTGCGACAGGTACCCCGCCAAGTCAACCTGAGGATCATGACAGAATTGTCGGTTCTCGTTGATAAATACCAGATGCTAGAAGTTGTTGAGCTGTGCGTTGAGCTCTGGATGAGCACTTTGAAGTCGTCTGTGCCTATGTTCTTTACCGCTGACCTCCTAGCCTGGTTAAACATCTCCTGGGTGTTTGGGTTAGCGGACATATTCAAGCAAATCTCCCGGATTGCTATGCGTGGGAGCACAGACTTATTTGGGGCCCATGAGTCGCATCTTCCGATTCCACAACCTGTGTTTGGCAAGTCTCAGCAAATCTTCTAAAATCAAATCGGTAATCTGACGAATTTACAGCAGCAATCTCGGACGCTCGACGGAAGGGTATTCAAGATGCAATTGCTGTTGTTGAATACACCATCATGAAGTATCAAGGCCCCATGCAGCACTGTCGCACGTTCTGGCCAGGCAATCGAATCAAGAAGAACACCGCATGTGACGGACTCATTCTTGGTTCTTTGTTGAAAAGTGCTTCTGCGAACGGCTTGTGGCCGCCTCCATCCCATCCCTATACCGGGCATACTTTCTCTGGCATCATTACCAGGGCACGATTGTTAGAGATCACCGCCTTGTGCGAGGAGCCATTCTCCCAGTACAGTTCGGGAAACCTCAACATTGTGCCGTCACATGGAGTCAAGCAGTCGATTTGCGCCCAAATGGATGCTCTCGAAGCAAATATTAACGGATTGGACCTCAAGGCGTTCAAGGAACCAAGGAAAGGCCCTTTCAAGAAGGACGCCTTTGTGGAGCACTGGCCAATTCTCCAAACAGAATGATCGTATTTCTCCTTTGCATGGTTTCCCGTGCAGATATATCGCTATGTTGACCAACTCTTTGATCAACAGCGACACGGCACCTTCTATCCCCCAGATCATTGGTTCAGAATCCTCAAGGTCCTGGCAACGGCCGATGTTCAAAATGGATCGACCGGATACCGGCCGCAACAGTACATGAAGGAGGAGTAAAGATCCTCCTTTGTTTGATTCATGGTTCAAACAAGATTGTAAGTAAGTCCACAGCAAACGCTTTTACTAGAGCCAGGGAAGGTCGAGCTATAGCAAATGGCAGGGGGCTGAGTCGTCGAGGTCCCTTTCCCCATCACCAGCAGCCTCGCCCCGCGGCGCTGGGACAGGACCCCCCGCCTGAGACACGGAGTTTCAGTTGTATTTATATACCCACCAATGTCAGCCAGGTATTTTGGCTTGCTTTCCAGAATGTATACAATTGTATTTTCCATGCAATGCTCTTCGCCAAGAACTTACGTGGTACGTTGCAAGAGTAATTAATCATCTCTCATACCAGACACCATCCACTCCCCATACCCTCGACAGCAACAACGCCCTGATAATTGCACTCGCCTCCCTCGCCCTTCCCGTTTCCCCATTCCTCCGCGGTAACTTGGCCGCACCTTCCTCCTGCTAACTCTATCCTCGGGCGCCTGCCATTTCGAATTGACAAACGCACCCTCAGCAATCCAGAAATTCGTTCCTTGGAGGGAGTTGAAATCGATCGGGGGCGTCGAGCAATCGTCGCCCCGTTATGCCACATATCTAAATCGGAAGGGGAAAAGGAGACCTTTTCGATGTCGGTTCTAGGGGCGGCAGGACCCCCTAAGCTAATGGCGCGCTAGCGCTGTGGGATAGCCGAAGCTGGCCCTGAAAGTCAACAAAACTTCCCTGAACAGCTTCGCAACTGCAAACTACAGCCTCTACGATCGAAAATTCCACAACACTAGGTATTAATCAAGCAATCCCGTTTTCAGTCGCTTACTCATCTCTGTGTAGATGCTCACCGCAATCTCTGCTGCCCAGAGCGCACGAAGTCCACGGAATCGGCTGTGATAGGAGGCTGCAGCCGAATCAATTAACGCAAAGGGGAACTCGCTCTGCGTCAATCGCCACGGCTTCGCAATGCCTTCCACTCGATACACCTTTGATCCCGACGGAGACTTGGTCCTGGTTCTTTCAAAGCCGACGGCAACAACGAATGCGGCGAGCCCACAGACTACCGAGGGGATTGGTAAAGATGCTACCGAAGGTTCTCCTAAAAGCGCTGCCGGTCCACCCAGCAAGAGAAGCAAGAAACGCAAGCGGGAGTTCTCAAAACTAACTGCACCAGCTGGGGAAGCGGAAAAGATCAGTATGATAGTCTCGTCAAAACACATGATTCTAGCCTCGCCGGTCTTCAAAGTCATGCTGCAGCCTGGACGTTTCAAGGAAGGAATGCAGCGAAATGCTGCTGGTCAAATTGAAGTCGACCTGCCGGATGATGATCAAGCCGTAATGGTCATCGTACCGGACATCATACATGGCCGCAATAGTCTTGTCCCCAAGCAGGTTGACATGGAAATGTTGACCAACTCGCAATACTGGTGGATAAATATCAAATGGAGGAAGAAGTTGGATTATGCTCCGATTCTTGGATCGATCACGTTCTCAAGAAAGAGGAACTTCCGAGAGTCCATTGCCACAGCCAAAAGCAGAGCACTCAAAGATGGATGGCCATATCTTGGGTTTTTGGAAGAGAGAAAGAGTTCGCCGCAATTACAAGAGCAGCCATTATTGGTTGCCGTGCCAATTTCACTGATGAGGTGACCGATCTTCCAATTCCAGAGAAAGTCCTAGGTAAGTTTCCCAACTTTTTACATGATTAGAAAAATGCTAACCTTTGAATAGAAATGGTCGCAAGAAACCGGGCGGCAAATATATCCAAGCTATTTGATTTCATCAAGCAAGTCATCGAAAGATACCGAGGAATCAATGTCATTTGTGGATCCGCATATGATGCTATGGTCCTTGGATCTCTTATCAAGGGATTGTCGGCAGCAGGGGTTTGGCCGATTCAGGAGCCTCCATACCACGGTATAACATTCAACGAGCTCGCCAGTGTCATCGCAGATCTCAAGGCGGTGTCACTGTGTGATGAAATAGATTCATATGTAGGTATACCCATCTCCCCGAGCGGCGGCCACGGACTCCACATTTTGTTTTCGTACAAAGCTTTATCTGTTGCAGACAAAGTAACTGGACTGGATATCAATACCTTTCAGAGGAGAAAGAGGTAAGAAGAATACGTTCCCATGCTTGTATGTGCTTATCCTTGAATCGGTTATCTCCCGCTCACACAGATGTCAAGGCCTCGTAAATAAAAATAGGTCTATTGTCATGGCATCGCTTGTGCTTGGCCTTTGAAGTTATGGGTGTCTTACATCTGAATATCTTTGTTCAGGCTCGAATCTGGGATCGAGCAAGTTTGCGGAAGTTTACATCAGAGACACTACACACCGTTGCAGACATGGCAGGAAAAGTCCCGAGATGGCTGGTTTTGGTGGATATCATTGTGTATGGCACGAGAGTACTCAGACAGTTGATACAAGAGCAGGACTAGTATAAAGTTACCTCCCCATGGCTTTAGCAAACTTACACTAAGTGTTTTATCACATGTCGAACTACAACCTCTCCAAAGTTCACAAAATTCATGCTTGAAAAGTCTCAGACTCCAAGCCGGTCAGTTCCGCTTCCATTCTGCAACACAGCTTGTTGTCACTTCCCGTCCCTCACTCCCCCGCATTTTAAGAACATACATGGAAAATCCATAGAAGCGATGAAAGTGGGAGAGTTGAATCTCCGGTAGTTTGCGCTTCACTCCACTACGCCCGGTGGCACACTTGCCGGGGAAAATATATCCTTGGAGAGAACTCGACAGAGAGGCGTGGAATAGCAGGAACAACTGATCTCAGTCCTGATCTTCCGTCACGGCTGCAATCTGCAGGCCCGGCTGACTAAAACTTCCTTGAGGTGCGTCAGGATATAAACGATGGAGAAATCATGGAGGTTGCATGAAAAGGTGGACAAGGTGAATGGCAACCGCAAGGTACGAGAAGCTCAATTGTTACTCCCTCCTACCACAACTGACGCAAACAAATCATACCAGTACTCCTACTAGCCAGGAATCAGAGTCTCTTTCTCAGCCGAAACCCAATCCCGAGAAAGATTCCTCACTCTTCCATCAAATCAAGCTCTCGTCAAACCTGAATGTTCTCTCGGCCTCCAGTGCTATCTTGCATCACTCCTTTTCTCTTGGAAATTTGATCGGCAGCCAAAGCACCTCTAGCCCCGCTTGTCTCAGAACTGTCGGACTGGGAATACTTGATTCTTTCTCATGGCAGTAATCGTGTTCGTTTTCGGATTAAAAGTGCAGAAGTTCCGGAGCTCGCCCAGCGGGTAATCGTAGAGCGCGGTGATGGCTTTGCTTTTTGTCTCCTAAGATTCAGCGCGAGGAGCCGAACTCGCCGTTCCTGGAGCTCAACTCGGGTGGTCGTCGGATAGGTTGGTCTCCGGATCACGCACTTTTGGTGCCTTGGTCTGGATTGGGTGTTGGTTGTACCAAAGTTGGCTTGGGCATCTGGGCTGGTGATACCATCTCCGATAGGGCGCTGGCTACACGACCACGATTTTAGGGGACTCTGGTGGAGGGAGAGTCGAAGAGAGACTGACACCCTTCGCGAGATCAATCTCGCCACTATCTTCCTCGATGGGACCCCACATCCAATACGCGGCCCGCCAACCCGCCAATTTTCCCATCCGTTCCCCCAAGACCAGTAAAAGCTCGCTTGCAAAGCCATCGTAACTACTATCATGGCGGTGAAGTACAGTGCAACAAGGCTATGCATACACCAGCGACAGTCGTGTACCGGTTATAGAGAGTCATCATGGCTGGCCCACAGATGGTCACTGTGAATGAAGTGTCCAGGTGTGTGTCAATTACTTCGATGGTATTGAGTCCAAGATAGAGTCGGAATCCGAGGCCGGAGAGTCAGGTGGCTGGGCGAAAGTCTGGCGCAGCATTGGTTCGATTGCACGAGATAGAAGGGCAAGGACGGGAGTGCCGAGTGTTGCAAGTTCGATTGGTGCCATTTTGGGTGGCTCTTGTGCCTGAAAGCCTATGGAGTAAAAAATGCCGAGAGATTTTCTATTGAGTGTTAGTCTAGATCAAGGAGGTATTTGTTTCATGGGCAGTACCTGTTATTATTGGTGTGTGATTTTTGTGGCAAAACTAAAATGATGAAATTATCGCAGTATAGAAGAAAAGACTATATATAATTCAGTCCAGTCCATATTAATACGGCCAGGACACTTCTAACTTTGGGATCCCTAACCTTGGATCCTATTCTTCGGGCACCGAGACCCTTCCGGCACAAGTCGGGTCCGCAAGGTGATTCAGATATTGCAAAAGTCGTGAAGTGTGGGGAACAAAAAGTAGGTGAGCACGTAAGAGAAACGCTTGGGGACTGGTCTAGTATAACGAACCCGAGCACCCTCTATGATACAAACAAATAACCGTACAGATGCCATCTCATCTCAACATATCTACATCTACCATGAATAGTACTGCCTTTGAGCAGTGATAGGTCGATTCGGCAGTTGCACCCAGACTTTCTTGTTCTTCTCTTTCTCCTCCCGCTCGTTATGGAGTCGAACCCGGGTAGCTTCTTCCTTCAAAATGACAGTTAAACCTACATTTGTTAGACCTGAACATTAATAACCGGGGAGACGCTTACTTGTAGTTCGATTCTTCATCACATTGATCCGACCTCTTGCTCGATAATCCGGCTCCTCTGTATACCGACCCTTGCCACACCAAGCCTGAGAAACATACAGCCTGGTCGGATCATCAACATTGACACGCTTCCCATCCTTCGTCTGAATCTTGACGGGACTGAAATCTTTCTTCCCGCCTAGACCCATACCTCTCTTGACAATTGCCTCGTTCTTGGCATGCTCAAGATGTTCTTTAACCTCCACCGCAACCTTTTTCGCTGAAAATCGCATCTGAATGATAGCTTCCTCGAGAGTCTTGCCAGTAATCTGCTTCGCCAAAGGAACAAGCTTCTTGACCGAAGTCTTAAAATCGTGACTCTTAGACAACAGCTCTCTCTCCTGCCTCTTCAACATTTGTGCCCTTGACAGTCGACCCCGTTTAACAATCTCCCTAATCACCATCTTGCGCTCCCATCGTCGTCGCCCCTCTGGATCGGGATCCAGCGCAGCTGCCATCGTTTTGGGATCTCGCGCAAGGAGCTGCTCCTTCCCTTCTCCATTGCCCGCAATGTCTATCTGGTTCGGTTTCGGACCAGCGATTTCCTCATCCTCGAAAATGGATGATGACGCGAGATCGCCCTTAATTTGTTGTACCTGCTTAGGTTTCCGTCTCAAGAATTCTTCTGTCAAGGGATTCTGAGGCTTCGCCTTGGGATCAACGTCGGTGCCTTTATTCTTCAGCATCCATGCTGTTCGTCGTTGGATACATGGTAAGAGGAAGGGGAGGGATGGATTCGACGAGAGAGCAGTGGTTGCTACTGCTCGCCAATTAGCTGTCTGGAGCATCTTCGGAGGGCCATTGATACATACCCTGCCTCACAACTCGCCGCGATGGCAGGTTCAAGCTCATTGTGATTGTTGATGCTGCTCTGCTTCTCATTCGAGGCGTCGAAGCAAAAAGTTGTCTTCGATGCTTGTGATCACGTGCGGCCTCACCGCCTTCCTTTTTCGGTCGGCATTACAGCTCTGGCGCAGATCTAAAAGAGTATGTGAGGTGAGGTCGATAACTTTTTAATTCACGACTGCTGATCCGTGACTCCTTTCCTTTCCTTGTGTTGCATTCGAAGTATCAACTTTGAAATGGTAACTCCGCTCCTCCACGATCCACCTGGCCTTCGATTATTTACTTCTGCGTCTTTAGATAACGCGAACACCTGACTGAACCTTCGTCATGACGGATCCTGTTGGAGAGGACGGATGGCTTGCTCTGGTCGACGAGCTCAGCAGGACTGCTGGTGATCTGGAGCAGAGAGTTGGAGTTGTAGAGCAATACAAGCGCGCCATCGCTGCAGAGCCGTGGTCGAACAAGCTTTGGCTGGCATATTGTGAATGGGTCTGGTCCCTTCATACCGACTGCCAGAATGCCGACGCGGGCTGGCCAGAGGAAGAACAAATGCTTGGACAAGAACTGTTCGCGCTCGAGACTGCGACAGATGTATGGCAGCAAGGGGCCCAGGCAACTCAATACCGCCTGAGCGACAGCCACGAGCTATGGAACAGATGGATGTCGATCGAACTGGAGCAGGTTGCAGCATCCCCAGACGAGCAGAAAATCGAACGTGTCCAACAGCTGTTCCTCGATCGTCTGCAGGTACCGCAAGCGGCGTGGGATGAAACCTCGCAAATGTTTTCTACTTTCATCTCGAAATACAAAGAGGCTGCTTGGGAGGCTACGATGGTCGAGACAACGAAGCTGGCGAAGACTGCGAAAGACCTCTACAGCCACCGAGAAACACACGAACTGAAGCTCCAAAGGGCGGTAGAGTCTGGTCAAGAGGAAGCCGTGAGGTCTGAGATGAGAAGCTACTTGGAATGGGAGTTGGCCCAAGCTTCAAAACGAAACAAGAAAGGCGTTCCTACCAGTCCCTTGATTCTCTGTGTCGCACTTTTCGAACGAGCATTATCATCCACAACCCTGGGCTTGGATTCCGCTGTCTGGGATGACTACATAGTCTTTCTATCGACCTCGAGAAGAGAACTTCAAGACTCACAACTGCCTGCTATTCTGCCAGTTATCCAGAGAGCCACGAATCACTGTCCTTGGTCAGGAACTCTCTGGTCCCGGTATATTCTCTGTGCCGAAGTAGAGAACTTGCCTTTCGCGACTATGGAGCAGATCAAGCATGCGGCTACAAACACGAGAGATTTGGATCGTGATGGAATGGGCAGTGTGGTCGAGTTTTATATCGCTTGGAGTGGCTATCTGAAACGCCTTACCATGGTAGATGGAGCTACCGATGAAGATGTTGACGTGGCGGAGATGGGGTTGCCCACTGCGCTGGAAGATGTCCAACAATGGGGTAAAAGACGGCATGGCAAGGAGTGGAAAGGCGACCCACTTTTCCGTATCGAGAGGATCTTCATCCAACATCTTACGCAAAAAGGTTCATTTGAGGAAGCAAGAGGTATCTGGAGAAAACTTGTCAAGACACACGCCGATAGTTACGAGTTCTGGCAACAATATTATGTCTGGGAGATGACCGTTCGAGTTTCAACCACACCGCCCGCGAACGCCACCGCAGTACTGATTCAGGCGATACATCGGAAGACGTTAGATTGGCCAGAGAAGATGATGGAAGTCTACGTCAGACATTGCAATAATTACGAGGACGCGGTCGGGCTAGTGAATGCACTCAATTCTGTTCACCAGCTCTCGAAACAGGTTGCAAAGAGACGTGAATATGAGGCTGCTCAGTATGCTCAACCCGAAGTCCTAGTTGAGGAGGTCGTCGAGGGCGAGTCCCCATCCGGTGTATCAAAAAGGAAGCGAGAGTCGGAAGACACTGATGGTGCTGCTTCAAAGAAGGTGAAAAGTGAAGACCAGGCTGCTTTACGCGAACAGCATTTGAAACGCGATCGTGAGAATACGACGGTTCTGGTCACGAATTTGCCAGTTGAAGTAACCCAGAACAAGACTCGACAATATTTCAAGGCGTACGGTCATATCAACAGTATGACTTTGAAGCCCGAGCCCGACAAGCTTTCTAGTACAGCTTTGATAGAGTTTAAGACACCGGAAGAGGCGCAATCTGCTCTCCTACGAGATGGCAAATACTTCGTCGACAAGCAAATTCAGGTCACTCCTGGCACAGGCCTGACCCTCTACGTTACGAACTTTCCACCTACCGCCGATGATGCGTACCTCTGCAAGCTCTTCAAAGATTGCGGTGAGATCTTTAGTATTCGTTGGCCAAGTCTCAAGTTTAATACTCATCGAAGATTCGTCTACATTTCATTTAGAACAGTCGAGGCCGCCGCAGCTGCCACACAGCTTGATGGTCAACCACTTGGTGGTGTCTACAAACTTGTTTCGAAGTACTCGGACCCTGCCAACAAAAAGGATCGTGAAGGCGCCATGGCAGAAGGCCGAGAAATTCACGTCACGAGTTTGGACACCGGCCTCACCGAGGAGGATCTGAATGAAGTTTTCTCGAAGTATGGGAAGGTTGAAAAAGTCAACATCCTGAAGACTTTGACAGGTGCAAGCAAGGGTGCCGCTTTTATTGCTTTCGAAAAGAAAGAGGAAGCAACGGCCGCGCTGGAACTTGATAAGACGAAGCTGAAGTCTAGGGTTCTCAATGTTGAGATGTCTGTTGGCAAGAATTTCAAATCCTCCGCTACCAGCCTAGGAAAAGCATCATCAGCATCGCCAGCCCCGGAGGCAGATGGTGATTCGGTCTTGTCGCCTTCTCCAGCACCCGAAGGCTATCAGAAAACTCATGCACAGCATGCACCATCTCGAACGGAGATTACGAATCGAACCGTCACTCTAATGAACATCCCAGACACGGTCAATGATGCTCGAGTTCGCGCTCTTGCAGAGACTCACGGCGAGATCGTTAAATTAGTGCTCAAGCCGGACCACCAAGGTGCCATCGTAGAGTATGCCGATGCAGCATCAGCTGGCAAAGCAGCACTTGCTCTGGAAAACCACGAAATTGCGCCGGGACGCAAACTTCGCACAGGCGGAATGAAAGATTTATTTGCTGAGAAGCCGGAGATCAAGAGTGATCGGATTCAGACTGGACAGGGCAAGAAAGCCCCGCCTGCATTCATACAGCCCAGTGCTCCGGTTAGGCGACCCGGTCCAGGTGGGCGAGGAGGCTTGGGTATCAAGAGGGGACTGGGATATTCTGCAAAGCCTACTGCTGCGGCGTCTAGCTCAAGTGCTACTTCGGAGGAGGGTGTTAATACAACTGGGAATGAGAATAAGAAGCCGAAGAGCAATGCTGATTTCAAGGCTATGTTCGTGAAGGGAGGAACGCAATAGCTCGCATGTCCGCTGTAAATTACGAGAATAATAATTTTCTCTATTTTTGCGATTGCAAATAACGATCTGTCCATGGAAATGGAAATCGACAATGACAGTCAGTGTTGGTATCATGTAAAACGCCCATCCACCTCCCCTTTACCAACCCGCCTAATAGGAGACACCAGCGTCTAAACCACACTCGATGGCTCCAGCGCCGGCTCATTCATTTTTCTGCCAATCTTCTCTTTCAACCCCTCCTCCTCATACCCATGATCCATCTCCCGTCCGTGCCTCTTCTTAACACCCGCCAAAACCCAAAAATTATAAATCACAAACAGACAACCCGTAATCACCATTATCGCACCGGACACAATCGCCGTCACTCGAGCCGTAATCGACCATGACCCACCCTGCTGAGAATATACATTCGTGAGCGTGGAAATGAGGCCGGCGAGTGAGTTAAGGCACCCCGGCATGAAGATCTTATTCAATAGCCACACGAAATTCTGTCTCCAGCGCCACCACAGCCAAATCATCCCTCCCGCACCGATACCGCAGCAAACACCCTGGGTAACGGGGGAGTTAGCATTGCTAGATTAAGATTGTTTCGGGAGAGGACATTGTCTTAGGATAAAGTCATGAAACGGCCCGTAATAGGAAAGGGTTTCTCCCCCAACACCTACAGCTATGACCAGCAACTGCACGTGCTTGATACTCTTCAACACCTCGGCTGCGGTGTGGTTACCGTTTATTTTGTCGGATGTTGACAAAGAGGTGAATGTTCCCGGGAAGATCACGAAGCCCGCCAACAGGATCCAGGTGAAGAATGAGGCGAGGATGTTGTGTAGCCGTGGGATCGTGTCGAGTGCGAGCAGCATGTCCATGTAGCGTGTCTGTACGCTGTTTTGACGGTTAGGGGCCCCAGGACGGGGAGGTGTGGATGTGCGTTGGGGGGAGGAGGAGGGGTGGGAGGTGTGGAAGGGGAGGTGAGGCAGGACATTGTGGAATTTTGAGGCGGTCGTGGAGGAGGGTGGGGACTGGGCTGTTGTGCTTCGTGCTGGTGCTCTGTAGGTTTTGTCTTGTGGTTGAGGACGAGATATGGGGAGTGTGTTGGAGCGGCCCATTTTGTGAGGTAGGAGAAGCGAACACTTGGTGTCTCCCAGATGAGAAGAGGGTTGGGATTTGTATTGTGCAGAGGAAATCAATGGAAGAGTTTGAGTCAGAAAACAAGACGAGCAGTCATGAAGTACTGAAGTATAATCGCAATGAATAATAAAATAAAGAAGAGCAAACTCCAACATGCGACTTGCAAGTTTGTACTCCCCTCCCCCTCCACCCCAGAACCGGATCCCTCCCTTGTCCCTCAAAAGCCAATCCCCATGTCTCATCCGCTTCCCACAATCGCGTCTCGGAGCACGCCTTGTATTGAGTGCTCTTCTGGTCGATCTCCACTGTCATCCAATAGATGTGTCGTCAGAGAAGAAGTTGAAGCAAGTAACAGGATGTCCTCGCGCCTGGCTTCGGGTGGCGCGTGCGGCCCCTGTCATCAACCCCTGGCGCTTGACGATGCGCGATGACGACCCTGAATGCAGGGTCAGGATAACAGAAACAGCTGCATGGGAACTTGGTCTTGGAACTTTTTGGAGAACTGATTGTGGTGATCATGCATTGGGAGGGTGGGTACGAAATGATAATTTGGGAGAAGGGCAGAGAAGGAAGCCAACTTGACCCGGGATTTATTTTGCACGAAGTACAGTACATTTCCCGTGTTCAACAAATATCTCCCCGTGTAATGCAATATCCACTCTCAATTTTGAAGATAAAAGTCCCTATCCATTCGAGAAAGAGTCCCACAAGAACCCTATGCAAACCATGACCCTAACTCCCAACTCCCAACTTCAAGCAGAACAAAAGCAGCTACTCAAACTTTCCACCCCCAAATAATCCACCAACCACCTTCCTCCTCACCTGCGCCCCTTTCACCAACTTTTGTTCCCTTCTCTTCTCCGTCTTCACAACCGCAGCCCTCCTCTCACTCTCCCTCGCAAAATAATGCACCCCACTATTCTTCCCTCCCCCCCTCTTAACCCCATCACTACCTCCCGATCCACCAGCCATCCGCTCGGTACCAGACATCCCACCACTGACACTTGAACTAGTTGAAGACGCAATACTGTTATTTGTAGTTGCGCGCCTCAACAACGGAGGGACTTTGAAGCCCGGCGTAGTTGAAGAGGCTGCGAACGCAAGACGCGTGCTGTTGGAGACGCTGCTGGAAGAGGCTCGCTTGAGTGAGATGCGGTCGATGATTGCGACGTTCTTTCTTCGACGGGCGAATGGGTCTCGGTTCTCTTTGTCCTTCTCCTTGCGTGAGCCTAAATCTTCTTCGCCTTCGATTTCTAGCTCGTCTTCCGTCTCGGAGCCTGAGTCGACTTGTGCGACGGCGGAATTTGGCTCCTCGATTATGCTTGAGAGAGACTCCCTGATCTCAGAAAGGTTTGATGGCTTCTTTACTGGTTTCGTTCGGCGAGGATGCGGTGGAGGTCTGCTCTCAGTCTCTATAGAGTCATCAGAGCTCTTTCGCTTTGGTGGCCCCATGCCGGTCGGTTGACTATCAGGAATGATATGCTGTGATCCCTCTCCCTGAGATTGAGAATCGGTAGTTTCCTCCTGCTCCGCAAAATCCCCCAAGAAGTCCATCTCATCCTCACTACCACGATCCTCAATGGCTCGCAAGAACGCTTGTTTCTTGGGATTCTCAGCAATCTTGCCAATTCGCTCATCAGCCAAGAGAGCTTTGCGCATTTTGGCAAACTCTTTGCGTTTCATCCGTTTTCGAGCTTCACCACCATCGTCAGAGTCTGACAGGTCATAGTCAGCCCCGCGTTTGCGTCTCAGCATGCCGTTCGTGATGTCCTTGTAGAGCTTCTCTACCTGCTTCTCGTCGTTTGCTCTTTCGCGATCACTGAATCCAAGTGTTAGCAGAGATTAAGAACTATAGGCGGTGAACTTACGCATAGAAAGCAGCAATTTTTCTCTCATCTACATCTTTTCCACCTTCATCATCAATGATTCCTTTAACATAATCATCTTCTTCGCCGTCCTCGTCATCGCTCGCACCTCCTAAACCAGCGTACTCGTCCTCAGACTCTTCGGCCTGTTCGTTGACCATTTCCTTTGCCTTGCTTTTCTTTTTGTCAAACTCATCAACCACGATCTTCTTCTTGGAAGCTTTCCGCATGACATCGAACGCGTTGGAAGTAATGTCAAACTCATCCTCCTCGATATTCAGCTCAGTTAGGTCTGCAGCATCCTCGTCATCCGAAAAGGCCGCGACTTGAGCTCTTCGCCGAAGCTTTCCCTTCTTCTTAACAATTGGAGTCTCCTCGGTGGTTTCAGGAACAGCTGTAGGATCGAGCCTCACGGTGCCCACTGTAGATGGAGGCCCGTCAACAAATCGTCCTCTGATTGGTGTCATGTGCTGAAATCCAACATCTTGCGTAGCTTCAGGGAATTGAGACATCTGAGTGCCTTGGACAAGACTGTCGAAGCCGTGAATCTGTGACTGGGAGAAGTTGAGTTCGATCCCTTGCGTTTCCGAATCGTTTGGTTGTGACTCGGGAACATGACTGAGCTGAGAAGGATTGTCCATGTGGACATCTTGCGTGTCTTCTGCCAAAGTAGGAACGAAGGGTGGAAGTTCGGGGCCAGGAATCTGTCTCAAAAATGCCAAAGAATCATGTTCCGTGCCGTTCTGACCAGTGGGGGGATCTTCGAAGGGATCGATTTGAGTTTCGTCCATGGTTCCCGCGAAGATCTGTGTGAGACCAAGACCTGCTGGGCCAGCCACGGTGAGTCCAGGGATGAAAGTCTTCGTAGCAGATCGAAGAACAGAATTTGGAGCCATGGGCGACTCTGTACGTAGCTGGAGGGGAGACTCAGTCCGAAGTTGTTGCGGTGTTGGTTGGACCATATTTTCTTTGTCCTCATCTTCGTCATCTGAGATCACATTTGGATTTCGCGATCGACGGTGCTTCTGTTTGACCGGTGAGTGCTCTTGTTCCTCGTCCTCCTCATCCACATCCCCATCCTCTGCATTCTCCTCATGAATAGATAAGTCTGCTTCACTCTCTTCGTTCTCGCTTTCGTCCGCTTCATTGTCAAACATTGGATTTGAGGGGGCATCCTCGCCATCCATCACCATCTCATCCTCTGCATCCTCGTCCTCTTCTTCGCCGCTGTTCTCGTCTTCTGAACCGGAGACGGAAAGTTCTTCCGGAATGTCCTCTTTCCCTTCTTCCCAATCCTCATCGTCACTGCTATCTCCCAAGGGATCCACCTCGCCATTTTCTTTGCGTGCCTTTTTCGCAGCCGCTTTCTCTCGCTTCATCAGCTCTTCGTCCTCACGCCGAGCTCGAGCAAGAATATCATCGACATCGGCCATATCCCTTTCTCGTTCTTCGGCTGTCTGAACAATGACGCCTTTATCCCTCAAAGCTTGCAGCCTCTCCTCTCTCTCTCTCGCAGCTTGTTGTCTAGCACGTTGTTGCAAAGAAAGTTGAAGTTCTGTTGTGGTCATCGATGGCTTCTTGGTGCGGCCTGTTTTCGGCATTTCTGGGGACCTCATGGACAACATGCGGAGAACATGAATGGGGCGTGATTCCTTCTCCACCTTAGCAGGTGCCTGATCAAAGAAAGACTCCAGCTTCTTCTTAAGAACAGGGGTTTCAGTGACAATCTCAAGATCGCTGTCTGAGTCGTCCATTGGGAACACCTTCCTATCTGCGGCTTTTGGTGGTCGGACTCGAATCGGCCGCTGCTTGAACAATGGCCTCTTGAAAACATCGGGGTCTGGGGTGGGTTCCTCGATCGCCTTTCCTTTCCCTTTATCCAACTGTGGTGGCAGAGATGAAGACAGCTTCGTTAGCTTCTCTTCAAAAGTGGGCAAATTATCAGCGCCATCCACTTGCTGCTGGACTTGGTGCAGGGTTGTTGGAGCATTCAGCTTCGTGCCGTTTTCTGCGGGGGATGCAGGAGAAGTTGGCGGGGTCTCCTTCATTTCCACATCAGAGTGTGGTGCGGCAGCAGAACTCGAGCTGGTTGGACGAATAGGATCTGATATTTCTTCGACATGCCTGGCAGGTTTGTAATTGAACTTTGCTAATAAGCTTGCCTTCGTAACTTTCTTCTTTGTGGTAGCATTGTGAGCCAATTGTTGATTCCGACTTAATCGTTGCGTCTCTCGCAGTATTTCCTCTTGGGCCTTTTTGCTTGCCTTCCGAGTAGGGCGTGCCTGCTGAGTGAGGCGTCGTTCGACATTTTCATCACTATCGTCGAACTGGTCGTCTTTCTCCAAGAGAGAAGAGTACTTTTTCCGTTCCGCAGCCTTCTTCGCCTTCTCCTTCGCCAATTTCGCTTCTCTAGCAAGACGTTCCTCGCGTTTCTTCGCCACGAGAGCCATGAACCTATCATTTCCTACCTCCGGTAAGTCGTCGCTGTCTGGCGCATCGCCAGAAGGGGTGGTGGCTTTGTCCGGCCGAGGTGAGACGAAGAGGTCCGGTGATGCGGCTGTTCTGGCTGGACTCGACTTGGGAGGAGTTTCGCGTCTTGGAACGCGGATCTTTCGTTTTCGTGATGCAACAGGTACCTCTTCTTCATCACTCCCAGCTTCATTTTCAGCATTCGCCGCAGGTTCGGGTGATTTGGTCTTGGCCATAAGCATCTTTCTGACTCTTTCTCGCGCGCCGTCTACAGCTGGCTTGTCCTCTTCAGACTTCTTGTCTGCCAGCGTCCTAACAGCCATCCGTCCTTTTGGCCGCACAATTTCCTCGTCGTCGTCATCTTCAGTATCCTCTTGTGCCGTGCTATGCGAAGTATCTGCTGTAGCCGCTTCGTGTGTCTTCGCAGTTTCGGTGGAATCACTGGTTGTTTTCGCGATTGATGACAATAATCTGGTTCTTGCAGAACCGGAAACACTCTCGTCGTCCGAGTCGTTATCGAAAGCAGCCAGCATGGCCTTGACCTTCGAATTGGGAGTCAATTGAGCTGGGGACGAGGTGCCACCTTCGCTCGCCGGCGAGGATTCTCTCGAGGACGCCATTGTGGGTTATTTTGGTAGAATGTGTATTTGAAACCAATACAGACTGTCCATAAAAGTGTCAGGTATTCATGTCAAAGAATAGTCATGGCGTTGGCGTGTGAAATCGCGGAGGCTTGGGAACGTAGTTTGTAGTTTGTGGCTGCTTGGAGCGCGTCGACGCGACTTGGACGTGTCTGGATGATAGCTCCACGCCCCTACTTCTCTATATTGCCCTATACTCGTAAGCGACTTGCCCTCATGACCACAATCCTGTGAAACATCTCTACTTCTCCGAAATTCCCTATGATAGCCTCTTCGTTTCTTCCCAGTTGATTAGATTTCTTCTTAGTTGTATGTGTTAATAGACTGGCATCTTATTCTCTTCATTCGGCCATCCTTCGGATTGCGAGCCTTGCCCTCCTCAAAGTATCCTCCGATATCAACATCATCATCCTCATCCAAACAATACAAATTCATACACTTCCAAGACTGCCATGCCCTTCACACAACTTCGGCGACTTCATGCCAATAATGTCGCTACTTTCCGAAGCTCCCCTTTGTCCGAGATCTCCGGATCTTTCGGAGACCTTGGTACTCTGCTCCCACTCATGATTGCTCTGGCAGTCAACAACTCGATATCACTCTCGACAACCTTGGTCTTCTCTGGTCTATGGAATATCCTCACCGGTGTGGTCTTCGGTATCCCACTGCCCGTGCAACCTATGAAGGTAGGCTGGGTTCCGATCTCCACAGCTAGGTCACGTGAGCTAAACCGTCACAGGCAATCGCGGCGGTAGCCATAGCAAGAAACTTCTCAGTTGAAGAGACTGTGTCTGCTGGTTTTACAACAGCGGGGTTTGTGTTCATATTCAGCGTTACTGGTATGCTAAGATGGTTCACCCGTGTTATACCAACCCCAGTCGTCAAAGGCATCCAGGTCGGAGCAGGACTTTCGCTGGTCCTATCAGCAGGCACGAGTCTTCTTCAACCCCTTGGCTGGACGACTCCAAACTTTGCCGACAATCTGATATGGGCACTCTTCGCTTTCATTGCGCTCCTCCTTACTCAGAAAACGCCAAAGGTACCCTACGCTCTTCTCACCTTCATCCTGGGCCTTTTCCTTTCTCTCATCATCGTCGGATCATACAACTTGCCTTTTTTTAAAATCTGGCATCCAAGAACTTTCGTACCAGACTGGGCAGCCTTCAAGACTGGAGCCTTGGATGCAGGCCTCGGTCAAATACCCCTTACTACTCTGAACTCAATCATAGCAGTCAGCTACCTTTCTGCGGACCTCCTGCCTCACATTCCCACACCAAGCGTCACATCCATCGGCATCAGCGTAGCCCTCATGAACTTGATCGGCGGCTGGTTTGGAGCAATGCCAGTCTGCCACGGCTCCGGTGGCCTTGCAGCGCAATACCGATTCGGCTCAAAAAGCGGGTCAAGCATCATTCTTCTCGGCCTTTTCAAAATTATCCTCGGTCTGCTTTTCGGCGAAAGCTTAGTCGGGAGTCTACGCGAGTATCCGAAAAGCTTACTCGGCGTCATGGTCCTCGCAGCTGGATTGGAGTTGGCGAAAGTTGGCGAGAGCTTGAATTACGGCGCCAGAGATCTTTGGGAGGCTTCTGACCCCACAACTTCCCCAGAACAATCTGGGTTGAAACAGCAGAAAATCTTGTCAGACGAAGAGAGAAAGGAAAGGTGGATGGTGATGTTTATGACGATTGGAGGTCTTTTGGCTTTCAAAAATGATGGTGTGGGATTTATTGCGGGCATGTTATGTCACGGCGCCTATCAGCTTTCTAATGCGTGGGTGGAATGGGGCAGTCGGAGACCGAGTGTTGCGGCGACTGCGAGGAAAAGTAGACGGGCGAGAGAGGTGACGACCATTGAGGAAGAGGAAGAGCAGATGCTGTTAGATGGAGATGCCCACTAAGCTAGACGTGTCTCTGAAATCGTATTCTTACCCTGCATGCCCTGGAATCAAAGGGTCTTTTCAGTGTATGGTTGTTTCTTGAATGGTGAGTTCAAATGAGTTCATATGTTGAATTGATATACAGGATGTCATCAGCTTATTCTGTCCGATTTGGCCTCGTGAATAGCCTCCCGACCACCTTACCTCCTCCCAAACGATGAAGACTTTCAGTCAGCTTCCCAAAAGGGACTTCTTCCAAAACCGGCGTGAGTTTACCAACAGATATTAAAGCTAACACTGTGACCAATTCGGCCTTAGTGCCTCCCAGCGAGCCCCTAATTTCAACCTTCTTGAAAACGATGGGGAATGAGGGTAAAGTCAACTCCTTCGATCCAAGCCCAACAAGAACGATCCTTCCTCCCCGCTTCAGAGCTCCCAGTGCAGCTACCATGGTTTCGGACATTCCTGCAAAGTCCACGACTACATCGAAAACGACATCCTTAGCCATTGCAAGACTGGTAAAGCAACTTTTCGCTCCATTCTTGTAAGCAGCCGCGAATTTGCTTTCGTCAATGTCGATGCCAAAGACTGTCGCGCCTTGAAGAGCCGCAACTCTGAGACCGATAGATCCCAGACCACCAAGGCCAATGATGGCAACAGTTGTCAAAACGCCGACTCCAGCTTCAGCAACTACAGCATGGTAAGCCGTTAGCACCGCATCCGTCGCAACAGCGGCTTGCGCAAAGCTAACATTTTCAGGCAGAGGCACGAGAGTGTTCACCGGAGCCACTGCGAACTCCGCATACCCTCCATCGAAATCAAGCCCGATTGCTGTAGCTGGCGGGACTAAGGCCACTGCAACTCTCTTCGCTAAAAGGTCTTCTGGCACCCCATCTCCTAAGGCGACGACCTTCCCAGCTACCTCGTGCCCGAGGATTCGTGGTCTTTGAACCCATGCTGCTCCGGACCCATTGATGATGTGACAGTCTGAATGACATATCCCGCAAGCTTGGACTTCAATAAGTACCTCTCCAGCAGAAGGGCTGGGCTTTTCAATGTCGATGAGCTGGAGCTGCGTGTCTGAATCGCTCAACAGATAAGCTTTCATGTTTGCATGAGCCTCACGAAGAGGTATGGAAAGTCTGTGAAGTATGTCTTCATAAGGGTACGACTCTGGATCACAGAATAATCTGATTTAATTCTATTTCGTAGAATCTACTTCCATATACTGGCGGACAGACCATCGGTCTCAGACAACCTTCGGGTGGGCAAATAATTCTCGGAGATTCCCCACTTGCGAGAGGCGTCTACCATCTCAACCCAAAACGGACAAGGCTTATCCCTCTCAACCTTCTCCGCAGTAAGGCTTCAAGTCAATTGTAAGGAATCGTTCAGCCACATCCTGGGGTACCCCGCATTATTTTTTCTTTGTGATGTGGTATTGGGTTCTGACTTGCCATGCAACCGAGTGCAACCGAGTTGTTGGTATTCCCCCACATCCCCAGGCTGTGCGCCACCACGCTGGGACGGTCTCCTCGAGCGTCGGAACGCTATGATTGGGTCAATCATCTATCAAGTGAAAACCGAGATTAACAGATCTTGTGAGATCAAAAGCAGCACTCAATCGCTTCCTCGTTGTCTTCAGTCAAGAAAGTCCCTTTGTCGCCGGCCCCTCGATCCCAACGTCTGTTCAGTTCGAATATTTATTTGTCTATATTCTGAATACATTCGCCTCTGAACATTCTGTCTACTCATTATCGTATCTCTTCAATATGACCTAGGGAATTCTCGAGTCTAAGAGAAGCCTTGAGCACGTGCCTAGCACTGCGCAACTTGAAGATCTCCTTCCAGAGTCGACTGCTCATCTTAAGAAAGGCTCAGGAAAAGATATTGATATTGTCTTGATTCCACAGCCGTCAAGTGATTTGAACGATCCTCTAAACTGGCCACTTTGGCAGCGAGATCTGATCCTTCTGCTCTACTGCTTTTGCACCAACATTTGTGTCGGAGGGTGAGCTTCATCTACTTCAGCCAGTATAGAGACAAAGCTAACACAATGGTCAGCGTTGGCCCTCTTCTGTCAGTCATTGTTGTTCCACTTATCATGGAGTTTCGGGTTGGCTTCACACAAGTCACTCTACTCAGCGGCTACCAGCTCGCAACTGTAGCCTCAGTCGGTATTTTCGTCTCGGCACTCTCTCGAAAGTTCGGCAAACGACCAGCATTTCTTGTCTCGCTCTCTCTGCTGCTCGCTGGCTCCATCTGGTGTGGAGAATCAACTTCGTACAATTCAATGCTGGGAGGGCGCATCATCCAGGGACTTGGCACTGCTACCTTCGAGAGTATCACATTCGCTATCATTGGTGACCTCTATTTTGTGCATCAAAGAGGTTCACGAATGGCAATCTACGTGATCTCTCAGGCTGGCTTGGTGTTAATGCCAAGCATGATTGCAGGAAAGGTGGCCGAGGACCTTAACTGGCGGTGGACTTTCCGACTGCTCTCAATCTTTATTGGAATTGGTTTTCTCGGGGTTATCTTGTTTGGGTGGGAGACTGCTTTCAACCGAAGTGCGGTCTACAATATCGATACCTCCTCTCATGACGTAAGTCTGTTCCTCTTGGCAGCCATTATACTTTGCTGACAGAACCAACAGAACATTCAGATCATTGAAGATCTCAAGAGCGGGGATGCAGCTCATATTGAAGGCGACAACCATCTTGCCACAACTCTGACAGTGTCATCATCCACAAACGAAACCAGAAAGCGCGACTCCTTCCTCAAAAGAATGATGCCATGGTCAGGTGTCTATACATCAGAGCCCTTGATCAAGCTAATTGTTCGTCCCCTCTTCGTCGTAGCCAACCCCGCCATCCTCTGGGCCATCCTCGTCATCGCCTTCGCCCAGCTCTGGAACGTCATAATTAGCTACACCCTCGCCCAAATCTTCTCACCACCTCCATATTCTCTCGGTCCGGCGCAACTCGGCTACATCTCCGGGGGTCCCATGGTAGCCGGTGTTATCGGCTGTTTCTTCTGCGGAGCTATATCCGACCCGATTTGTAGATACATGGCCAAACGCAACAACGGCATCTATGAACCGGAATTTCGCCTCGTTCTCATGGCTTTTGTGCCGATCTTTGCTGGTCTGGGATATTTTCTGTTCGGGAATATGGCTGCGGAGGGCAAGAGCCCCGTTGCGCTGTCGGTGATTTGGGGAGTTATCTTCTTCTCGGTTCAGCTTGTCGGGAATGCTACAGGTACTTACCTCGTTGACGCTTTCCGCAATTACAGTATTGATGTTTTCATCATTTCGATGACAATCAAGAACTTCTTGTTCTTTGGGTTCTCTTGTAAGTCTTCTGTCTTTTCTAGACATACAACGTTGATGCTGATAGAGATATGAAGTCTTTATGAACGATTGGGTTACTAAGTGGGGTGTGGCTAGGGTTTTCAATGTTATTGGAGGCATTATGCTCGCGCTGTCTGCTACGACGATTCCGGTCTATGTCTATGGTAAGGTGAGGGCCTGGTGGCATACGCATGACCTTCTTAGCAAGATCTGAGATGAGGTGGATATTTTGGTGCATAAGTTTCATAGTTGTGGTCTTTATTTCCTTAATGTGTTGATTTTTGCATCCATTTGACAGTCATTATAGTTGATCACTTATTCATCCAAATCAGCATTTGTGCATCAGATTTATCACACTTTAAAAGCTTTCCAGAGACAATCTGGAACGAATGGCAACTCAAGTAATTCTTCATTGTACGACCAAACTCATTTCGCATTCAACTGTCAGTACAGCTTATCAGCGCTACTCAAAAACCATCTTATTCTCAATCTTCCCCAACCCTTTAATCTCAATCTCAACTACGTCCCCATCTTTTAGAAATCTCTTCGAAAAGAAACCCACTCCCTCTGGTGTCCCCGCCATAATGACGGTTCCGGCCCTTAATGTCGTGCCCCTACTTAAATGTTCAACAATCTGCCTCACACTCCAAATCATGTCATCACACCCAGTCTCCTGCCTCACCTCCCCATTAACCCTCGTCACCAGCCTCAACTTCTGTGGATCCCCGACACTTTCCTGCGACCAAATCGCAGGCCCGATGGGCGCGAAGTTGTCAAAGGATTTCGCGTAGCCGTATTGACCGCCGGCATTCTCGGGGAGCTGGAAGAAGCGTGCCGAGATGTCGTTGCCGGCTGTGTAGCCCAGCACGTAGTCGAGGGCGTTGGACGAGGAGACGTTCTTTGCGTCTCGGCCGATGATGACGCAGAGCTCACCTTCGTAGTCGAGCTTTTCTTGGCAGGAAAGGTGGATGGGGATTGAGTCGTGGGGCCCGGCAAGGGTGGCAGGGGGTTTGCTGAAGATCACGGGGTAGGCGGGGACGGTGAGCTGTGAGCCGGGTTAGTTTTGAGAGTCAATTCTGGAATGAGGGAAGGGAGAATTTACTTTTGCTTCTGTGGCGTGCCTGCGGTAGTTGACGCCGACGCATTGAATGATCGGGGTTCTTTCGAGAGGGCAGAGAAGCTGCTCAGCATATGGTTAGACTCGCTCTAATTGTTTAACTGGAAGGAGAATATATGTTTACTTACCTTTGATACTATTATGACCTCATCTCCGTCGGCAGAAAATCCTTCTTCCAAGCCACCTATGAGCTTGGTGACTTTGAACTCGTTCCCAGAAGTGTCAATCAAATTGCCATAGCATGCTCTCCCATCGAGTTCGAAGCGAACTAATTTGTCAAAAGGCATATTTGAAGAAATCTTAAAGTTTCAGATCAGAAGATTTAGAATAATGTTTTCTTGACATGAAGTAAAAAAGATGAGCCTTAAAGAATAAGAAATTGAAGAGCACAGAGCACAGAGCCATGACCAGGCGGCGGCGACTCGCAGCCTCGTTCTACTGTTTCGGCCGAGATTGCACCTACTGCCTCAGACATGATCAGAGCATACCGCGCCCATGAGGGGTTTCAGTGATGGAAGAGGGGGAAAAAGCTTGTCAGTCTCAAGCGAGTAGAGGGGTCTTGCTTGGTGTATGGTGGGGGAAACTCCGATGTCTGTGAGGAGAAGTGCCCCGCGTTCACGGCCCCCACAAATGGCGGGGATTGATACAGGGGGTTGAGAGCCTGAAAGTGATCAATGACACACTAGATTCAGAGAGCTACGGAAAGCCGTAAGGATCAGAAGACCAAGCGATTTTCGAATCTGGTTTTCGACCTTCGATGTCTGATTTGTGGCACGTACGCACCCCACCAAAAATCGCCCGTAACCAAAATACCGCATTCTGCAGGCACAACCACACCTAACTTAAGTCCCTTTATTACTATCTATTATAAAACTCGTATATATAATTAAATTATGTTTCTAAGTATAGATAATTTATGATATAATTAACTATAATACTTCTGAATCATTCTTGTAAGGTTATACTAGCCCTATACTACTACCTATAATATCCCTCTACCCCTTCTCTCTACTCTTACTAATATATGATTAGCTTTACATATATAAGGTATATATAGAAGGACGGAATCATGTCGGATTAGAGAATTAGTTATAGAGGATATACTTGGAATAGCTAGTTAGTAGGAGGCGTATCCGAAACCGGCAAAAATAAGTCAAGATATACGAAGTCGCTGGTTTATAGGAGGCCTGCCCGAAACCAGTAGTACCAAATAAGGATATACTTAGAGTGGCCGGCCGGTAGGAGGTGCGTCCGAAACCGGTAGTAATAAATAAAGATATATATAGAGTTGCTAGTTAGTAAGAGGCGTATCCGAAACCGGTAGTAATAAGTAAAGATATACTATAGGATAACTCGGTATAGATCTATACCCAAAATAGAGACAGATAGTCTTACTAATTCTTTAATATAGAGGGGTTTTCCCATTATATTCTTGTTTCCTAGATTACTATCTTTACTTTCTTTTATTTCTATTCTTAATCTAATCTCTTTAAAACTGCCTTATCCAAGACTTTATATATTATAATACTATAGCCTACTATGAAAAGTACTAAAAGTAGAAGGGTATTAGCCCTTTTTATAGCTACTATAGTACTATCTTTCCCTCCTCAAGCCCGACCGAATCCACTTTAGAGGAGGAGCATTTATAGAAGGCCCGTAAGCCAAAGCCAAAGCCTCTTGCCTCTCGCCCTTCTAAGAATAATAAGAGAAATAATAATGATAATAGTACTAAAGAGGTAGATACTAGAAATTAGTATACCTATTAGGCCAAGTTCCAAAAGAATAAGGAAGAGAGGGAGAAAGAGGGAAAGAAGGAGCGGGTAAGGAAAGAGAGGGAAAGTCTCTAAAGAACTATTACTAGGAATACTCTTTATAGTATATAGGAAGACGACCTTGCCTTTACTAGGAAAAAGAAGAAGAAATCAAGGCTCCAGGGAAATACTTTAACTAAGGCTTATAGTTAGCAAGAATTAAAAGTAAAGGAAGATAATAAGAGAAAGCATAATAAAGAAGAGCTAACTAGTAGATATAGCCATAATCCTACTAATAAGCCTTTACTAATAGGCTTATTAATAACTATCTATTACTATATTAGCTACCCTGGGAAGCTATTCAAGTAAACTACTCCTTTGAAACTCCTATTTTTTCTCGACCCTTACGAGACGTTTATAAGGCTTAATAGCTAGGTACTTAATTACCTCCTAGAGTCTAATATCTAAAAAGGTATTAGAAAGACTAAATACTATAAACTTGACCTTGAGGATTAAAGCCTGACTATAGGCTACTTTACTAGTAGGATTACCTACTCTAAAGTTCCGGATTTCCCGGTTCTATTTAGAGAAAATTATACTTTTAAATAGTTCCTTAAATATATAAAAAAGATATATCCTAGTATAAACTATTAAGAGCCCAAACTCTACTTCCTTATTCCCGTTAAAAAAAAGTAGCCTCTATAGGATTATTAACCGTATAAAGGGCCAATAGTTAATTTAATAATAACCCCTAATACTAATAACTTATTAAAAACCCTTAATACTAATAACTCTAATAGTAATATAATTAGAAATAATTATATATCTAAAAAAAAAGCGGTATTAGTATTAAAGTACTAGTAGAAAACTTAGTATCGTCTATTAAGAGAACTATAAGAGATCTAAGTCTCTATAAACTTTAGCTAGTAAGCCCATTCTAGCTACTAAAACTCTAGCCCGTAAGCCTATCCCAGCTACTAAAACTCTAGCCTATAAGCCTACTCTAGCTACTAAAACTCTAGCCCATAAGCCTACTCTAGCCACTAAGCCTACTCTAGCCGGTAATTTAGAGGAGCCCTTTAATAAGGTATTTAATGAATAATATAAGTAGCTAAGGGAGTCTATAATAAAAGATTATATTAATAGGTATTAGTATATATTAAAAAAGAGGCTAGCGGACCTTAAGAGGGAAAAGAAGTAATTTGAGATATGAAAACAGAGCTTTAAAAAGGAAAGGGATATAGTAATTAAAGAAAGTAATACTTATATAGATAGGCTTAATAAGAAAGTATGGCTTTTAAAAGCTATAAGAAAGAAATTTGAAATTGAAAAATAAAGTCTTACCAAAATCTATATAAAGAATCTTGAGAAGCTAAATATAAAGATACTCTCTTTCCTTTTAGGAGATTCTTAAGGCAAGGTAATTAAGGGGAGATAATTATTTATAAGTTTAAAGTATCTTAATAGTTTTATAAAAAAGGATTTAGAAATTACAGACTTGCAAGAAAAGGTAAGGCTTATAATAGAGGCTCTTTAATAAAGTCTCAACCATATGATATGAAACGAGAGAGGGCTTAGTAAGCTAGTTATTTAGTAAAATAAAAGCAAAAGCTTAATATCTACTATATAGAAAGCCTTTTAGGTAGCTATATAAAAGACCCAGGGCAAAAGCTCGGGGTTAGTAGTACTAATAGTCCAGGAAGCTCAGGGCAAAGACTCTGGATCTCTTAAGGCAGCTAGGCCTAATATTAATAAGAGCTCTTTATAGTCTACTAAGGGCAAGGGAAAAGTATATAAGTAATAAGAGACTATCTGGATTTCCTAGTATTATTAAATTAGTTATATTAAGAATCTTATTACTCTAGTAGCTAGTCAAATTAGGAATATAAAAAGCAATATTTACTTATTTCTAATTAACTAATTTCTAGTTAATTTTAAAAACTTGGGAATTATATAATTATATACCTTTCCCCTCTAGCTATATAATACCTCAAAAAACAGATATTATATATCTATTATAGTAAAGGGCTTTATTATTAACCTAATTAGGTAAGATATAATACTACCTTATTATATTACTAGCTATTTATATAGCTATTCTATAAGTAATTCGAATAAGCTTTAATATCCTCGGATTTCTATATATAGCCTAGTCTATAAACTAAAATAGCTCTATATCTAGTAATACCATAATTTAATTTTTAATATAAAAATAATTACCTTATTTCGGTATACTTAAATATATTAGGTTTAGTTTTTTTAATAGTATTATTATTAAATTATTATTTTCTAGAAATACTAAATAATACTTTCCCCTAAAAGATATATATCCTTAATAAATAGTAAAAGTAAATATAGAATTTAATAATATAATTACCTTATACTAGTACCTTTTTTTTTATTTATAAAAGTATAACTCTATTCTATCTTTATTTTAAAACCTTTATTCTTCTTCTATATTTTTTTGACTTTACTATTAATACCAAGAGCTAGTATCTTACTACTCTCTACTAATACCTCTATTAATACCAAGAGCTAGTATCTAATTGCCTATAATCTCCCCCTTTTCCTTTAATACTTATAAAAGCCTTCGGGCCGCTACTAAATACCTCTATTCTTTATCTTAGAATATATATTAACTTATTCTTATAGGAAATAGCCTTTTTTCCTCTAATCTCGACTTCTTTAATATATACTTCTTACCTTTGGGCTATTTAGATATCTCCCTATTCTTTTTTACAAAATATATACTAACTTATTTTTTAGTTTCCCTTATCTTATCTCTCTTGCCTTACCTTCCCTTTAATATTACTATATATATGCCTAGTTAGTACTAGTTCTTATAACCTATAGTTAGGCTTTCTATTTATTAAATACCCGGGTATTTTGTTTTACTTTTACTTTATATATTTTGTTTTATATACTTTACTTTTCTTTTATTATAGGTTAGAACTTAAATAATATTTACCTTAAATACTTATACTCTCGGATATATAAGACTCCTATAGATCTTTCGGGATTATAAACCAGCCTACTTTAGTTCGGAAGAGCTTCCTTAAAAGTATTTCAGAAGTTATAGTATTTACTATAACCCCTCCCAAAAATTAATATAATATAGGTAATTCTGGTCTATTCTCTCTCTATAGAGCAAACCGCTACCCTAAATCTATATAAAAGTCCTAATTATCCCTCGAATTAAAGTATAGGTACTTCTTATTTCTATTAAATTAGGTATAAAGAATAATAGGCACCTTCGGGCTAGACTATAGTACTAGTTAAGTACTAAGACCTCTTATATCTTATAAGATATTACTTATAGCTCCAGATATATTATATTTAATAGGGCTTCTATATCTAATTACCTTATACTATAGTAAAATATATAGTATTATAATTAGGGAAGTTCTGTTTTATAATCTTATCTACTACTTATAGATTTTCTAGCTAATAAGTCTTAGCTAATAGCTAAGAAACTTATTAGCTATTTTATCTAAAGCCTCTAAAAGCAGGAAGTTGCCTTAATAAAGACTTAGTATTAAAAATAGGTTTAACTAATTAATCTAAACGAGGAGTTTATAGTAGGAGTCTCTATATATAAGTAATTTCATATAACGAACTCAAGTCCCTATCTCTGGTTATACGAGTGAGCCATATAAGAAACTCTTTCTGGCCTATCGGAATAGTTCCTATCCCTGGTTATATAAGTTATAATATATAATAAACTCAAACTTTTCTAGATAGACTTATTAAGGCCTTAGTTTTTAAAGATATTAGTCCAGTCTTCTTACTTTCCCCTTAAGTAATAGTTCGGCTCTCAGAAATCATATATAAATATCAGAACAAATAAGGAAATATACTATATATACTTTCTAGATAAATTAGAATAGAACCTATAGGATTCCTATAATATTTATATTAAATCTATAGTACTAGCTAGTAAAGACTTTAATAACCTTAATAAAACTTGAATTATAAGCCTAGCCCTCAGATTTCCCGCTTAACTTTAAGGTTAAGTAGTCTATAATAGGTTACCTATTATAGAATATATTATACTCTTTTCCCAAAGAATACCGGATACTAGTAATAGTCCGGATACCCCAAAGCCCTTAAGACTCTTTATAAGTTTCCGGCTTTAGGGCATTTTTATAGCTAGCTAATTCTATAGAGTCATATAACTATATAATCTCTTATATTAATTTAAAGGAATTATATCTTTATATATAGCTATAATATTATTTTTAAGGAGCTTAGTATAAATAAACTTTTATAGCCCAAATATTAGTTATTAAATAAGTTATCCAAGATCTCCTTATTCTCTAAATCCCCTAAATTATTCTTATATTATCCCTTATTATCTATAGAAACCTTACTATTAAGATTATTTTCTTTAATATTCCCTGGTTCTCGATTTACTATAATTATATTCTCTAGTCTCTATTCCGCCTCTCAAACTGCCTCTAACTACTTATTCCCCCTATAAGAAAGCTCGATATTAAATAGGAGCTTTCTAACTCTCTCCTTATAGAGTTTAAGGATATAATAAAGGAACTAATATACCCTAATATAGTCTTAATCTAGCCCTGCTTTAAGCTTATTTATAGTATATATAATACTAGTATTTTTAAGAAGAGTTATATAAAGCTCTTTAATTTCAGGGATTTAATATACTATATAATTATATCCCGTAACCTCCTCTTTAAGCTCAGAAAGCAATTACTTAGTTACTTCTATTAGGGAAGTACTATAATAACGAACTCTCTAGTAATAATTATATAGCTCTTCTAGAACTCCAGGCCAGAGGTAATTAGCCCTTACCTACTAAAAGCGGATCGGACTAATATTATAAAGGAGAACGAAGTTATTAATCTATTAGTAAAGGGTATTTATATAAATAAATCAAATAGTAATTAGGTTATAATAAGACTTCCTATTAAAGATACTTATATTATAAAAAGATTTAAAGAACTATCTCCAGGTCTCTATAAGCCTACTAGCTAAGGTATTTTACTATATCTCGATATACTAATTCTTTATTAAGGGCCCGTAAATAAAGGCCTTTTTCTATAGTAAATTATAACCCTTTATTAACCACCGGAGCTTGACTTGTATAACTGCTATAAGTAGTATCTCCTAGCCTTTATTAGCTCGTAACTTTTTTAGAAAGTAACCCTATTCCCTAATATAGAGGAGGTAGAACTTTAGGATAGTAATCTATATACGATTTAATATACTAATAAAAATACTAATTATTATTCGAGAATATATATTAATAATACTATAAATCTAGAAGCCATAATAGGATAACTTATTATATCTATCTATAGACTAATATTAACCTGGCCCCTTAATAGTAAACCTCCTATACTTCTAATCCTTATACTTATTTTATATCTTTATTCCTATCTCGTCTAATATCCTAAGTATCTGCCATATTTCCTTACGGAATATAAATTTACTAGTATTCTTTCGGACCTAGTAGTATATCCTCCTATAGCCATACCGGATTAATTAATTACTCTTTAGTTCTTTGAGAATAAATTCTTTAGCTTCCTTAAGGGTATTAATATACTCGGTATTAAATCGATTTCGTTTTAGCTAAAGCTTATAATAGTACCGAATTATTTTCAGGATATATATATTAAGCCTAGGGTAATTGAGTTTATAATTAAAGATCCGAAATATATATTTGGGTAAATAGTTCTAATACTAGAGGTAATATACTATCTTAACTAGCTTCTTATTATAGAGATATGCCTTATACTTTACTTGCTATTAATCCGGAGAGAGTTTAGTATTCTATTATTATAATTAAGTAATATAGCTAGTCTTACTAATATTAAACTCTTCTAGTTATAAGGCATATCTAATATTCTAAAAAGTCTTCTCTTAAATATAATAGAGCTCTTTAATTTGAGCTTAATATTGTTCTTATAATTAAGGATTAATTTTATTAGTTCCTATAATATAGTATAGTTTGCAAGTTATAGTAATAGTAATTAGAAATAAAGAATAAGAAAAGAAGGAAATATATAGTCTTTAAATATTAGTTTATACTAGTATAAAAACCCTACTTTCGTATTTATATAAAATATAATATTATAACTACTAAAAATAGTCTTGTTTTTATATTATATTATCTAGATATACTATATCTAGATTATAAAATAATACTAATATTTCGTTTCTTATATATAAAAAAAGCTTATTTTTAATATTATATAACTATATAATTCTCTAGATCCGAGAAACTAGTATAAAATTTAAAAAGGGCAATTTACTATTTATATAATTCCAAAATTATTAGGCTTCCTAATCTAACCCTATACTCTTTAGGTTTAACCAGGAACTCTCTATCTATACCCTAGTATTATACTAGTAGCAGACCCGTAAATATAATTCACCTAACCTGCCTATTTAGCCCGGGAATCGTATTTTGCAATTCCCCTTTACAAAAGTAGTATTAGTATAGCAGATACTATTACCTATAAAATTAATCCTATCTTCTAATTAGCTTATTAATCCTATTATTATTTCCATTTGCGAATTTATTATTACTTTATAAGAGAGAGAGCTTAGAAAGATTAATCCGATTTCCTGGTTTATTTATAAATCCATTCTTTTATATTTTTTGGGCCTTTATAGTATAAAAGTAATTCTGAATTCGTAATTACTTTTCGGGAAGAGAATATTATAAAAAGGCCTTCTTTTCCTTCTAACTAACCCTTTTTCTCTCTTAACCACAATACTATACCTAATCTCCTCTTTGCCTCTCTTCTTCTTCCTTCAAGTATTATTTAAGCCTTTCTTCCTACTATAAGGTAAATATAATTCTTTATTATACCGCCAAAGAAGTTCTTAAAAGGGAAGAAGAGATATAATATATATAATATTAGTAATATTAATAACCTATACCTATCTAGTAAAGATAAATAATATAATATAGCTCGAATATAAAGGCTTAAAGACTCAAGGCATTATAGAGAAGTAGTAAGTTATACTCTCCCTATATAAAAAGCTAGAATATAGTACTAATTAAATATTAGAATAATAATTTATTAAATCTACTAAACCCTTCTCCTTCCTCAAATACCTTATAGCCTCCTCCTGCTACTACTAATAAATAGTATTATCTCGAGCTTTTTAATATCCCTAATAAGATAATACAAGTTATAAAGGATATCTATAAAATACTAGAGATTCGAGATATAAAGTTTCGTCCTAAAAAGAAACTAGCTAACTTGGATAATCCAAAGATTATAGTAAACCTAAAAGTAGTATATAGTTAAACTCGAGGCTATTTAGTATCTATATCTTATATTAATTATATGAAAAAGAACCCCAAAGGCCTATAGCAGGAGTATATATAAGTTTAGGGCAAATTTAACCGAGCCTATTATAATTACAGATATAATAATAATAGTAGAGTATATACCTTATATTACCTTAATATAGTACCAAAAGATCTAGCTTCTCCTAAGTTAGCCTCCGTAAAACCTTAATCTTTAAAATCACAAATACCCTCGAAATAAAGTAATAAAGCAAAGAGACTAATAAAGAGAGAAAGAGAGAAAGAGGAAGAGGGTAAGAATAAGAATAAAGAGGATAATTAAGATAAAGATATTTCGAGTATTATAGGAGATAATAGCGAGGACGATAATAGTAAGGAAGGTATGCCTCATAATCCATGGGATCTATTATACAGACTACGCAAGTTAAAGGGGGGTTAATAGTAGTTGAGAAGGGGAGGCAGAGGCAGGGGCAGGAGCGGAGGAAATACTAGAGATATTATAGCAAAGATAAATACAAATATTAGTGCGTTTAGTAACTGCGAATAGCTTTATTTTGGCTACCTCTATATAAGTTATATATACGAGTGTAATAGTGATTGCGCCCGCAGAATGCGGTATTTTGGTTACGGGCGATTTTTGGTGGGGTGCGCACGTGCCACAAATCAGACATCGAAGGTCGAAAACCAGATTCGAAAATCGCTTGGTCTTCTGATCCTTACGGCTTTCCGTAGAGAGCAGGAAAGAATAACACCCTGCGTCCAATTACAATAGGTTCACCATTCTAGAAACATGAGTACTGTCACTATTATGTACTCCACTCGCTACTCCTACATTGACTCTCTCCACCTTCATTACCAACTCGCAACCTGTTTGTGCAAACGTTCCATAGGCTCTGGAATAGTTTGTCTGGTGTGCGAGTAGCTACCAAAGACTGGAACGTTCCAAAGGTCCAGGGGCATTTGTCAGGTTTGACAACAAAGCCGGGGTAACGCGAGGACATTGGTACAGAAGAACAACCGCGCATCTATTGTAACCCGATTCCTACCCCGTCCCTTCACCGCCATAGTAGTCCTTGACTCCGCCCCTATGCCCCATCTTTCATCTTCGTCTCTCAAACTCAATACGCCAAGCGTAAATAGAACAATCATATTACAACTCATTTTCCCTCACTCGACTACTGGACTTCATGGCCTCGTGATCAAGATCATTCATTTGTATGGATTTCGTCTCGCCGTTGTCGCGCCCATTTTCGCCCCACTGGACAGTGTAGGTCTGCGAGTATGTAATCCCATCCCCATTCATGTCTTGTTGGCTTTGGTTTTGGCTAGAAATCAACGATTTCCCTGGCCGATTGACTGAAATGTTGCCTCCAATGTGACTATGGCTGTTATCGATATAGTACCTATTGCTCTTTGAATGGAGAGTAGTGCCAAGGACTTTAGGGAATAGTCGGACGAGGAGTACCCGGAGACTGGGCATGCAGGCGCAAATAATGCCAATGTTGATTTCGATCGTCGACCATTGGGAAACGGCCAAGTTGTCCCATGTTGGGTTGTTCGAGTTCGCGAAATGGACAAGGGATTGAAGGCGTATTATACTGACAACTGTGACACTGAACGCCTGTTGGCTTGGATTCGGACTTCGATGGTAGGAGAGGAAGACTTACAATGTACCAACAATGAACATCATTGCGACTCCGATCTTCTTCTTCCAGTGCAGCTGGAGACCAAACAGTTGAGATATTGGCAGAGCAAGCATCCAGCCATCGAGCACGATGCTGATCGCGGCATTAGACCAAGCGAGACCATTCACGTTCAAACAGGTCCCCTGATGTTCTCCGTCCCAACCCGACCAATAGTAACTAATAGGGCGGCATTGAAATATAGCAAGCAATACAAAAAGCATCCCAAAGCAAATATCGAAGATCACAGTTACCCAGAGGAGACGGCGAACCATAGTTCCTGGAAAGATCCGTAGGTAAAAGAAAAGGAGCGAGAGTTTCAATAATGCAACTTGGGCAAAATACAATATCTCTAAGGCATAGAAGACATGTATAAAGTCCGTGATTTTTGTGGGTGTAAGTGTCCAGATGTCTTTCCCCAGTCCGTAGGAAATGATAGTGCGCGAAGTTAATACGGTGCTCGGTATGCCAGTCACCAACGTTGCCAAAATGAACCAATCGTCTAGAGCAAGCTCTGAGTTCGCGAAGAATTTTGAGGAAAACCTTAAAAGCACGATTGCCCCTGAAATTATACCTAAGCTCACAGCCAGGGCGTAGTATGGCTTGCTCTTGTCCCGAATTGGAGCACCACAGGTTGTCTCAGTGACGTTCTTCGTAACTGATCTCAACATATTAGATGCATTTCCATGCGCTGGCGATCTCGAGATTTACCAAGTGATTCTATGACGGTGCAAGACTTTGTGACGCAAGTCGTCACATCTGTTTGCAGTGTTGCGTCGGAGCATATACATGTTTGGTTTGTAGCCGCGCATGGTGAGTTCACAATTGCACCCTCGAGGCATACCAGCTAGAATAACGTCAGCTGTTAGATCATTCCCTAAGTTGAACAATACGAACCGCACAAGTGGGTAGTTCAGCAATTACTGAAGAGAGTGAGCTCTCTGCCAGTGATGCCAGGAGGAAGAAAACGACGAGACTTGAAAGTGCTTTCATAATATCTACTCGGCCTTTCACAAGGGATACTCATCGAAAGAAGTCTTTATCCCCAGATTTCAGGGGACGAACCTTTGGGGGAAAAGGGCAGGGTCGACGAATCTAACAAATTATGGCAACGTCGGAATGAAACACGGGCAGGAAGTGCCGTTCGTCCTGTGGCATGGGATACCCAGCTGAGCTGTCTGAATATCCCGAAAGGAGAGGAGCCCGAACGATATGTGCATTTAGAAGGCGTCGAGATCCACTTTATTCTTCTCGAACCCATGTTTTGAACCATTCAGCTGGATTGTTCAAAAGCCGCCCCAGTTTCTCATGTGACAGCCGTCGGAGTGGCCACAGACCTCAGTCAATAGCTTCGGCAACACCACTTGATCGAGATAGGTTTCCCAGCCTTTCGGCCTTGGCTCGTGGCCATCTGCAACGCTTTGATGGTGTCCCCACGCTAGTCCTTCAAACTTCAAACTCTTTAGGGGGTTCGGCCGCTGGTGGCCAAACCGTCCCGGCCCGACGAATCTGAGGTTTCGCCTATTTCCCTTAAATAGGCGAGGGACGGCAAGTTAAGTGTTGGTTGCGATTAGGGGATCCTTTTAATCCGCTTTTATCATTGGAAGCAGGACGGGTTCCGGATTTAAACCATTTTATCGAGTTAAAGGCAGCATTTAATCAAAATCACGTGCGTGTACTAAGCCCAATAAAGCACATGTTTACTTGATTTCTGTGGCTTTTCTTAGTAATACGCGCATTACCAGAGGCTGGTATCATTAAAATTAGGTTGGATTACGCAATAAATCAATTGTCATCATATCCGATATCAGGGGGAAATTCCCGGTTGCGATTTTGATCTTGATCTTCTGCGCACGGACTAAGTGCACGCGAAGAAATCAACAAATCAATTTGGTTTCCGCTGTACCTCGCCTGTTTAGGAAGTCTTGCGACAAAGCCGTTGAAGAACGAACTCTAGTTGGTTCCCTCCAGACGCCACCGATGGGTAAGCTTAATGAGACGGTTGTCCTTTTGGTCGAAATATGGAAGGAGTTGAAGGCCTTCATGACTCAAGAATCCTGAGTCAGTCAAGTGAAATCAAACATCAAGCTTGCACAGTGGACTATAAGGGCGATCTGGCTTTGACTCCTAAGCAGCTAGTGGGTCACATTCAGTCGAAAACGGAAGCGTAGCACATCAAATCAGAGCTTCGCATGAATAACCAAATAGGACGTTCGCTAATTTGACGAATGGCTCTCACATGGTCTCGCATCCAGTATGGCGACGCGAAACGGAAAGGGCTTTAGATGGCCTGGCCAAGGGCAGTTCGTTCTTCGATTAAAATCGGATTTGCGATGCGTATTACGTGGTTGTGGCGATCATCGACCCCACTCTTAACGAAAGGGGCCATAAAGACCCCTTTTTGTCGACAATTGGGGGGCATTTCCGTGGAAGCATCGGCTTGGACGCCTGTACGTAGATCATATGTCGCTGTGCTGTTGCCATAGAGGCTTCTACATCTAAAAGTTTAAGAGACAGGGTGTGCACGTGCGTTCACTATGCAACACCCGTCTCCGACATATAGCTGCACGGTGTTGATAACACCGCGCTTGCACGGGCCTTTCCAAAAGTTTACAGCGAATAGAGGCTCTTTAAGGCACCCGAGATTCCTATGTTGGGGATATAAACGAGGTTTGGGGGTGTTGTTACCAACATCGTGACCTCAGCCTTTGGGCGGGGGATAAGAGTTGTAAATTGTAAATGGAAGCATCGGCTTGGACTCCTGTACGTGATCTTAGCTTTGGGCCGGGGAGGGGACAGTAGCTCTGATCCCTTTTCACAAAATGTAATCTCGAACTGTGGTAAACGATCACACGAGGCACTGTCGCTTACATCCCTCGACGAATCATAGAGATAAATGAATTCGTCAATCGACAAGGGTCGAAAACTGGCTCTCTGTAGCAACAACACCAAGTGGACCGCCCAATGGACCGAACACCAATGCAGAAGGAGTCGGAGATAGTCAAACAAGGAATCGTGACAGCCTAAATATGTTTAGTCTTGGCTATTTTCATCAAAATCTTCATGATCTGGAAGATTATCTCAGAAGATGCTTTCTTCAAGGGGCGGTCATAAGACGCGTTTTGAACTCTAATACTTGTTAAAATAGACTATACATCAAGAAGGAGGAGGACTGTCATATCCAATCTCACGATCTATGAATTGCATCGCTCTCACCAAAAGTGTGACTTGAACAGTATGCCTCTCACTCCACTCATCATCCTCATACCTCCTCCTCCCTGCCGACCCAGATGATGAACTTTGTGGGCTCTTCGAGTCTTCTCTCACAGCCGCATCACAGCAGAGGAGGTGGTCCATATTCTGCAACAGATGCCAGACATCTCCAGCGCTTTGGAATCGTGGTGCTAGTGCAGTCGTGAGTTTGAGAAGGCTTTGAATCTTCTGCATCTCAAAACTCTCTTCTTCTTCCTCATCATCGGTAGAGAAGCCAAACTTTTCGCAATTCTGCTCGACTAGGAAGGTGATCATTGGTGATACTATCCACGACAAGCTAATGAAAAATTAGCTGGACGAGTTATCATGACTGGCAGGTTTCTGGCTTACATTGTCCCTGGAATTGCTTCCAATGAGACGTTTGCAAGGAGGCTGGCAACTTTCGAAGATACTTTCTCAGATGCATCTTTTACTTTTGATAGAGCTGTTCGATGACAGCTTCTAGCCCACGTTCTAGAGGTGTTGGATAATGTAAATTGATACAGTGCTGCAATGCTCGAGCTATTGAAGGTTAGTGTTTATTTAAACTCATGCCCTTGAAAGGTATTCTGGAACGGAAGGGGGACTCACTAAGTTATGATAGAGAGGCAATGTGATCTCGTCAGGGCTACCATATCCTCCGATGCGCCTTCGCTGACTTGGTTGTCCATGCAATTGAGGTTTGGTTTTCCATGTTCCTCAACCAGTTCCAGAAGTTCTGACTCGAATCTTGCGGCTTGTAAGTATCTGGATAGATAATCGTGCACTTCACCTTCTCCGTCCTCTTCGTCCAAAGTATCCACGGATTTTGGTGTTGTGCCCTCCAATTGCATCCGAAATAGTACGGATCTTTGAGACCTCAAGATCAAGTTTAGAGTCCGGCCAAGTTTGCATAACATGACAAAATCCTCGACCATCTTCACCTTGCCCTCCTCAGAAGAGAAGTTGTGGAACATGATCTCTCTGTTAAACTCCGATCGGAGATCTTCAGGATCACACAACATCTGGTCCTCCTCAATGCACAACCGAAATGGCCGCCTCATCGCGTAGGATATGAATGCGTTTCGAGAAATGCAGCACCAATATAAGATATCGCAGCGTTTGGGCAACATGTTAGTGTTCGCGGAGGATTTACGCAGAAACTGTTTGGAATGGTAGATAGCTCGGTCCGCCCAAAGACTATTTATTGTTATGTCGAGTTTTGGGGGACGCCACAGTGACAAGAGAAGGGCGGTCTTAGCCAACACAAGTTCTTCCATCTCGCTCCACACTTCGCAACGAGAATACTCGTATTTCTCCTGTGCAAAGATTTAGTTTAGCGTATACAGTGGCAAAGGAGGACTTACTGTGAGCAGGCGGAAGTACTCAGCTTGCACCTCACACACAGATTGGAAACCGGCGCGTTTTACCTGGCTGTCCTTGGCATGCTGAATAGGAAGTCAGACCATACTTGCAAATGGTAACTAGACACTTACAGCAAAAGCAGCGAACATCATTGCGTTGAACATGATAGCTAGGAACATCCCAAAGAACTGTTCTTCACTGAGAACAGAGTGATGCCACCAGAAGTTTTGTTCATCGATGATGGGGCAAAGTGGGTGTACATTTTCGAAATAGATTTTGATCATCTCTTGGCGTGTCGAGGTGTCCAAGGACGGGTAGGTTGAGTCACTCATTAGAGGCGAGGGAAACGAGTCGGTGAGACCAAGGCATGTTGTGGCATTAAGAGATAGAGCTTGAGACGGGTTTGGAAGGCTGTCGAAGTCATTTTGAAAGTACGAATTATCTGAATCTGTCCAGGAATCGGCATTGCTGCTTGCAAGAAACTCGTTCGGCGTTTGAGCACTGGAGTCAACTGACGGTACCGAGTCCCAACCTAGGTCTGGCTCTGGCAGATTGTAGAGAGAGTGCAAATCGTCCTAGTTTGCATGTGTTAGAAAACGAGTGACTAGGCAATACACAAGCAGCTGGAGGGGAGGCAACCATCATAGAGACGTCCTTCATCGTTTCGCCTGCAGCAAGAAAAGTACGACTGTCAAGCTCATCTCCTAATAGCTGCAGGACTTCTTCCAAGCCTGCTCTTCTGTAGGGGTCGTTCATGGCAGTCGAGAATGTGGGGATCGGAGATCGCTGTAGTTGGGCCACTGGATGGTGGACCTATGCGAAGCAGCCACAGGGGCAGTCAAATGAGAGTGCTGATTTATCGCAGCACACAAAGAGTGGACAATTCAGACCAGGATTTCTGGACAGTGGGATCATGGGGAGGTTGGTACGATCAGGGTGATATTTCGGGAGTGGGGAAAAGCTTTGACTGCTCGCACTTTGGCGTACCACGAGCCCACCAACTAGCAGCGATAGGAACTCTCTTTCGCCGAGATGGAACGGGTAGTGTAGAATTCGCTCAGAAATTGGGCAAGAGTATTCGCACGTTCTCGATCACTCTCATTTTGCAATCGGTTTGGAGGTTGTGGCGTTGAACCATGGATTCTGGATCCCAGGAAGGCGGGGTACAGTCTGGGGAAACCCCACAACGTAGAAGTGGGGCACCGAGGGATGGGACCTCCACATTCTTTCACAACTCCGTTTGGAGCAGAGCTTGGAGCGGCAAGGTGAGTGTGGTGAGTGGGTGATCAAGCGAGTACAACTTGTGTACGCCTCTCGAGCTGCTTGCGCAATGCAGGGCATCACCGAAAGATCTCGTGATGAAGCCTCTTTCATATGGACTTCGCGCATCTTCTCTTCTCTTTCAACCGTTCAATTGTTCATAAGAACATATGGCACCACTGCTAGCCATCTCTAACGTGCAAGCTCTTGAGGCAGTCTTCGAAGAAGCATGCGAAAATGGCTCGATACCATGGGCTGTGCTTACCGCCATCAACAGCACAGGCACATTCCAGTACGAGAAAGCTTTTGGTATTCAATCTTTGGAAAGAGGTAAAAATACTCCTCTCACGACGGGTACTCTACTCTCATGGCTCTGGCTAGTTGCACTAAGATAGTTACAACCGTTGCCATCTTACAGCTTGTCGAGCAGGGTCAGATTGGACTCGACGATGATGTTTCTGTTCACCTTCCTGAGCTCTCGAACTTGAAGATTATTGCTGGATTTCAAGATGGCCAACCAATTTTGGTAGAACGAAAGAATGTAGTTACATTACGGTATGTTGTAACGCTGAAAATTGTGTGGGTGGACATTAATATACTCTAGACATCTCCTCACTCACTCCTCTGGCATGACCTACTTTTTCATGTCTCCCCTTCTGGCAATATATCTATAACCCGTCACGAAATCTAATAGATCATCACCACCAAAGACTGTTATTATATCTTACAGCAGCCTAAGCATTTTCGAAACAGGAACATCTTGGCTTTATAGTTCCGGTCTTGACTGAGTTGGACTTCTCATTAGCCGTCTCTCCAAGGAAGACCTCGAAGTATATTATCAAAAGAATATTTTCGCTCCCATAGGCATCAAAGACATGACTGTTTGGGCAGAGAAACAAGGAGAGCTGGCGACCCGACTTGCAGATCTCTTTCATTCGAGATCCTGTGAGGCAGATGGGAGCAGAAAAGCAGTTCCATCCGGAAGCCAAACATGATTGCCAGAGCAAGCGAAGAAATGGGAGGCCAATGTCTTTTTGCACCTATGACATCCATTCCGAGAACCCTCGAGAGTCTACTTCTCGGCGATGAAAGGCTGCTGAAGAAGACCGCCGTGTTGATGTTCCAGTCACAACTTTCCGAGGAGAGCCATCGAGCACTTCAACGAATTTATGAAACCAAGCTAGCTAATGGTCCGATCAGCATAGGAACTTTTCTGCCCGATTTTAAGTATGACTAGGGACTTAGTGGTTTGTTGACAATGGAAGACATGAAGCAAGATTGCCAGATTTGGCGACGGAAAGGATGCTTGAACTGGAGTGGAATGTTTAATTGTTACTGGGCGAGAATTAATTCAACTGTGGAGTAATCTATCAGAACTAATGATGCGCCATTTGCAGTTCTTGGATCGGGGGCTGGAGTATGTGGAGAGTTTGGCGCACAAGTCCTTCCAACGGGGGACCAACAAATCAAGAAACTCATGACTATATTTGAGAAGACGGCGTGCAAAGAATATTGAGAAAGAGAAGCTGTAGAAAGAAATTAAATCAACGAGTTTCTACAGGACCTGATTTAATACCAGCAACCTCTCAACTTTTACACCGAAAATTGAACAACCGAACAAGCCTCTTTTCAACATCACATCATATTCTTATCCCATCCCCACCAACACAAATGATTTTAAGTTTTTCCACAAGTAACAGGTATGAGAAGATTCAGAGGGAGGTTAATCTTAAAGGGCAGATAATGCCAAAAGATATGTGCTCGCCTTCTACTGTTTACGTGAGTGGCCTTTAAGGCTTTTGTTCGGTTTCGGCTCGCTTATATTTTGCCCCTGAATCCCAAACAGTGTGTCAAAGAATTAATCACATTAATAAGATTAATCATAATTAGATTAGAATAGAATTTGATTAACGTAATTCAGATTTTTTTTTGATTTGATTAGAATAATTAATCAGATTAATCAGATTAATCATAATTAATGAGTTTTTTTTCGTGAATAGATTAGATTAATGGCCATTAATCCAATCTAATCTATTCATTTGACACACTGATCCCAAAGGCACGCCTCCCGGGCCCTCACCCCACATTCAGCATTCACTCACAGAAAGCCCATAACCTATGCATTATTATTTCCCAAATATCACGTGTTTTTGTTGCACATAGCACAGAGGGTGTCTACGGTTCTACGTAAGTAAAGGGCAGGCGACGAGGAACGAATTGATCGACCTATGGAAAAATTGACTCAACAGGCCCCCCATATCTAACCACTCTGAACCTCTACTTTCCTCTCTGTTCAGCATTCATGGCAGAAAAACCACGTTCTTTTGTTATATAACCTATTTCGATGGCAGACTCTTATACGAATTCAATAGTTGTACAATTAACTAATTCGTCGAATCATCGAATCATCAGTTGCGAGCGAATCGACTTGATCAACTCGCTCAAATCCTTACCACCCACCACACAACTTTCCGCTCAATTCAATCTAGCCTTAGAAAACAAATAGTATTTCCTCCCTTAATGTCTCTTTATTAAATTTCTAAAACAATATTTCAATCTTGGCCGTCTCACTTTTCTTTATCTATGACTTCTTTGTCCTTGAAGCACCCGCCAATCAACCCCTTCATCCATTCTTACTACTCGAAAAGGAGAATTGTATCATTGCCTACTGTGCCATTTGGGTTATCACACATTTGCAAACCTTGAGCGATTTGAAAGGGGAGCGAAGTCGAAGTCGAAGCCAAAGTCTCGTTGACAACGATAGAATCGAGTTGATGAGACGAATCGATGGGACTTGGCGAAGGCAAATAATACAATTCTCCATTGCGGTTAAAAATTCTGCTTCAAGATCTAAATTAGGATCATTTAGCTTCTAAAAGGACTGGAAAAGAAGGCGATTTGTGGCAAATGTAAACCAAGGGGAATAATGGCTGGGAAAGTTGTCCGCCAGTTGAATGACCGAATTCGACGAACCGAATGGAAGTGAGCACGTAATATGACCACCACTACACTCAACGGGTTTGTTTCGGATTCTAATTGGCTACTTTACATTCTGAGAGATTCAAAATGAGGTGGATAATTAATCAACGCAGGTGCAGGGGGATGACAGTGGGGAAGGTCGACCAACATGGCGAAAACGCCTCGTCGATTACCGTGGTTTTCGGACTTCGGTCAATGACTGCTTTTCAATCCGTGGAAGGAATTAAACTCAGTTTTGCGACGTGCAACAAAGCAATAAAGTCACGTGATTTTGAGCAGCCTTAACAGTCAATCCTTAATTCTTTATCGAGATCATACCTAGGTAAAGCATTATTCCTCCTTCCAAACTCCCGAATAGGGCTGGAGCCGAGCTTTAGCCGAGGTAGCAATGACATCGTATCTCGCGTCGCCTTTTCAACGCCTTTGAACATCTCCAAACCTGATTATCCCGACTTTTTATAGAAAGTACTGAACTTCTCCTCATTGAACATGTCCTCATTCAAGAACTTTGCGCTGCCATTTGCGAATTCAATTGGTTTGCGCATGTAGATGCCATCGCTCGCACACTCAGCGATCTGGCCAGTGACATCCTCCTCGAGAAACCTGTCGAACGCGTCCAAAACGGTCTTCATCGGCGTCATGTGTTCTGGTGGCACTACCAAGTGCATATTTGGGTTGATTCCAGTGTCCACTGGCCCGGGAGCAATGGCATTGAGCGTGATGTTCTCGTCTCGATGGATTTTAGGCGCTACAGACCGGACGAGCCCAACTATCTACATCGATCATATTAGCATCCAGATCCGGCATCAAACATGGAAAAAGGAACGAATAATGAATGGATGGACATACTGCATGCTTTGCTGCGCTGTAAGAAGGGGCCAGATACATGGGATAGATTCCCGCCATACTGCACGAAACCACCATCCTACCACCGTCGCCAGTCGCGCTCTTGCGCGCATAGTATCTGAACAGACGCAACCCGAAGAAGACCGAATTGAGATCTACTTCAATGGTGCCAAGATCGGGCCTTTTGAGCTCTTCCTCAGAAGTTGGCAGCCAATACACAGACTCCCGCTCCTCAATCCCAGCATTGGCCGCAAAGAAATCGATCCGCCCACCCCATTCATAGGCTTTCTTGAACATCGCTGCACTCGAATCCCAGTCAGAGACATCGCAGTGGAGGAAGAGTGCATCTGGGCCAAGATCTTCTTGGGCTTTCTTGCCTTTCAGGTCGTCAATATCGGCCAACACAACACGAAAACCACGAGCTATTAGGTGCTTCGCAAGTGCGAATCCGATTCCAGATGCAGCACCAGTTACGATAGATATTTTCATTGTTGCAAGTCTATCTTGACTAGTCGAGTTTTGATCTTCCTCGATGTGCTTCTGTCCCCAAAAATCAACAACTTCCAGAGGTGTATTATCCAGTCATTGACCTCCTCAGTTCCAGATTTGGATCTGTAAAATCGACCGAGGAGTCAGACTAACTGCCGGCCTGGAGGAAGGCTTGTGTCTGCCTGCCTGGAGGAGCATTGGAGACTCGGACTCTACCCACATTGCCCCTCTCTCCCCGCCATACCCACTCCAAAGTTTGTGCAGAACCTGTTGGAAGGGAGTCCCCCACGTCTGTGATAGAACCACAATTGTGAGAGCGGGGTCTGTAGAGTCACTGAGGATGTCTGTGGGAACGATGGTCTACTTTCTCGAGCAGACTTGCGAGTGCATCGCGGCCATTGGTCACATGATTTAAAGACTGCTCTTGGATCCTCTTCTCGCCTCATGTTTTCCTTTCCAAGAATCATTTCCAAGAATCTCTTCCATTGTTTATTAAAGCCCAGCTCTCGAGTAATACTCCATAATATCCTGTAACTCAGAATCTACCCATATCACTTATCATCGCCATGACAGTCGACTTCGATAACCCTGGCGACACAGTTATGCGGCCAGCATCGCTGGCCCATGTTTTCCTTCGGACCAACAAGTTTACGGATATGGTTGCTTTCTACAAGAAATTTTTGAACGCAGAGGCACGCTTCGAAAGCGGGCGCATCGCCTTCCTCTGTTTCGATGAAGAGCATCACAGAATCGCCATCAGCGCAATGCCGGGAACAGGGGATAAGATTCCGACAAGTGCTGGACTTGAACACATGGCCTTCACTTTCAACACTCTGGAAGACCTCGCACTTGCATATCGCCAAAGGAAGCAGCTAGGGATACTGCCCACGTGGTGTGTCCATCATGGCATCACTATCTCGATTTATTACAAGGACCCGGATGGCAACCAGCTTGAGACACAGGTCGATTGCTTCGACACCGTGGACGCGGCTACTGATTTCATGAAGACGAAGGAGTTCCAGCAGAACCCCATCGGCACAGATTTCGATCCTGAAGAGCTTGTTCGACGGCTGCAGTCTGGAGAAGACCATGGCTCAATCAAGAAGCGTAATGAATTCGCACCGAGGAGCGTTCCGCCGCTTCCTGTGAGATGAGTGCAACTTGCATTGGTGTTGATTTGAAATTGACTCGGCGAAGTCGAGGTTAAGGGCAATTCAGCTCGTGCGCCAGAAGCAGCCACAAAATCTACTCATTCAACACTATCTCCGCTTCAAAACATGATTTTGTTCCACATTCCAATTCGTTTTCTATATGAGGGTTTGTCAGAATACAATATCGTCCACCATAGTGATATCACCCGTTTGAATGTCAAACTGGCGAGCAATGGCTAGGCCCATGTCTTGAGCAAAACGAGCCTTATCTAAAGTCCCACTATAACGAACAACACCCCGTGTATGCCACATCGCTTGAACAGGAGCATTCCAGCATGTGAGCAAAGTAGTATTACACATCTGCGTCTCAATATTCGACAAAATACTATCATCGCTAATCCAAAACTCGTAGATCGTCTTGACGTCAAGGAGGTCTTCCGAGTAGTAAGCCTCGGTATTTGAACCAAAAAGATCAGATGCATACAGTGGTCTGGATGATACATCATGATTCGGTCTATCATTCCCTGCGCTGGACCAGGTGTCCATAGTGTCTCGAAGTACTTTCGGCCTCTTTTGACTCTCCTCTCACTCTCGCCTTCAGTGTTCATTGCCTGCGTTCTTGAAATATTATTAGACCTCTGAATTAACATCAAACCTCGAGTAGAGTATCTTCCCACTCACCTTGGGGCGTAGAGGTCAATCTCATCAGGCGGTAGAGCCTGGAAAAGAGGGCCTAGAGCCTGTCCAGAGCGAGGGATGCCATAAAGCACAGCTCCTTTCAACAGCGCCTCTTTAATCCTTCGTTGGACTACTTTTCTATCTTCAACGGGCAGATCGACTGTCGCCAAGCGATAGAGCTCTGGCATGAGCTCGCCCTTATTTGCAGCAGCAAGACCTGCAGCCTTCGCTGATCAGTGGACAGTTATGATTTATGGATTGGGGATATCGCACTGCAAGAATGTACCATTTTCCTTTCGAATGGTTATTCACTCCCTCTCGGGCTCGGAATTCGGACAGGAAGTCAAGTGGCGCCATTGCTCAAAGTTGAAGATTTCGATGGCCGAAGCAAAGCATATGCGATTTGCGGCTCGATGAATGAAAGACTACTGCTTTCTCCAATGAGGGAAGCAGCTTGGTGTGAAACCTTGGCTATCGAATATACTAGTATCTTCTATCTAAGTCGTACATCAGATATGTTTCGCAGAAAACCAGCTCGTAGCCAATGGGGTCTGCCAGCATCTCGCCACTTCGGACAACTCTTCAAACCGGAAAGAGCGAAAGACCGAATGGCGAAGCCTGCAAAATGCGGAGCCGTTATCGAAGTCATTTGTTGAAGCTCCTTCTGTTCATGTGCGCTGGCTTAGTCGCAGAAACCCCACATTCGTGGCGGGGTCCCCGTGCGGCCCAACGTCTGAAGCGGGCCATTCTATAAACCAACCGCCTAGCATAGCCAGTGACCCAACTAACGGCCATGGGCATTGAAGTCACATGTCTCAATTTAATACATGGTGCTCTAGCAACTAAATAATTTCCTTATTATAGTCTTCTTCTCTTTCCTTAATCATTGACTGCTTCACTCGACATTCAAATCATGTATACTCTACCAAGCCTTCCCTGCGCTTTCCCAAACTGCTCTATTCCGGAATTCATAGACTTGCCAGCCGTGTCCGCCCATTTCACTAGAGTGCTGTCATCCCCCAGCAAGGATGATTTCACGCCAGACGCGATATGGAGAGACAGCTTCGCCATGACCGGCACACTCCGCACCTTCTACTCCTCAGACTCCGTTCTAGAAGCGTGGGCGAACACTTCGAAGACACACCATCCTTCGAACTTTTGCTCTTTTGGCGAACCACAGATTATTCGCGCTCCGGCTGGCGCGGCGTGGGTCAATTTCGGGTTCAACTTTCTGACGAATGGGACACCGAAGACGACTTGTAGTGGATTCTTGTCGGTTGTTCCGATGGAAGATGGAGAGTGGAAGATCTGGATGATGAGGACGATTCTTGAGCAGTTGGTGGGACAGCCGAGTGTTGATGTTTATTCGCCAGTCAATCCAATTTTGGAGGTAGCTACTGGGGGGGCTACAAATGGGATGAATAGGGGAGAAACAAATGGCCATACTCAAGGTGGCTCTCATTTGAAGGGGCCAAGCAATGCCCATGACCTCAATGGTGCCACTCATGCCAATGGCTTGAATGGTGCTAATGGCACACAGAGCCCAGAAAGTTTCAATGGTATCAAGAGGGACTTCGAATGTGTTATCATTGGTGGAGGACAGGCAGGTCTTGCTGTTGGAGGACGCTTGGCGGCTCTTGGAGTGACTTATGTGATCTTGGAGAAATTCGACGAAGTCGGGGATAACTGGAAGACGCGATACGATTCAACGAAATGTATGTCAGACCTCCTAACTTCTTTCGAACGATGCTGACTCCTGTAGTACACACAATTAGAGAATTCGGTAAGCCCCAGACTTCAAGAAGTATTGTTATTAAGCAGATTCTTACGTTCACGAAGCTCATTTGCCGTTTGAACGCACATTTCCAAAAGATTCCTATCCGGAGTTCCTTACCAAAGATATGTTATCTGTTGGGTACAAGAAATGGGCGCAGACATATGGCATTGTAAGTTTCACGAAATTATGCCAGAGGTCATCTTAATGTCTAACTTCTGAACAGAATATCTGGTGCTCCACGAAATTTCTGTCTGGGTCGTGGGACGCGGGACGAGAAACGTGGTCACTGAATATACTACGGCATGGCCAAGACTCAACAATTTATTGCTCTAACGTGGTTTTTGCAACGGGTGCAGGCTCTGATGTGCCCGTATCACCGACTTATGAGAACCAGGTGCGTTCTCGGCCTTGTTAAAGCTTCATCGTGAGCATGCTGATATGTTGGAACAAGTAGGCGGCGTTCAAGGGCATAACTCTCCACTCCGGGGCTTACAAATCGGCGTCTGAATGGAAGGGTAAACGTGGCGTTGTTGTTGGATCAGCGAATACTGGTGAGCTGAACAAGACCCTTGGGGATTCCAATTTCTTGCTGATGGAACAGCTCATGATGTGGCGGATGATATGCTGGCGGCGGGCATGGCATCAGTGACGATGGTTCAGCGATCACCAACCTGTAGGCCTCCTCCCATTAACCTTTGGTGAGTTCAAAGCAAGACTAACGGCGTAACGATAGACGTAATTCCCGCCGAACATTACAAAGAAACCCATGACAGTAAATATAACCCCCCCCCCTCCTGGCTTCTGAAACTGATATTTCTAACCGATGCACAGAAGTCTACAACACCCACGTCCCTACCGACATAGCAGACCGAATCTACTTCTCTAGCCCGGCAGCCCTAGGTAGAATCATGAGCAGAGCAATCTTGCACTCCAAAGCCGCGCAAGAACCCGAACGCTTCGATGCACTTGAGAAAGCGGGATTCCTCTTCGACCGCGACGGCGATATCATCTATCAGATATTTGAGCGTTTTGGGGGGCATTATATGGATGTTGGGACTTCGGCGAGGATAGCTTCTGGGCAGGTATGTCAAACTCTCCCTCCAATTTACTTTCTCCTAATGCTACGAGCAAGATTAATGAAATTATAGATCCAGATGAAATCCGATTCCCTCCCTATCTCATGGGTGGAAGATGGCCTAGTCTGTAGCAACGGCTCCCACATCCGCGCGGACGTCGTCGTCTTCGCAACGGGATTCATCGGCAACCTGCGTCTTCTTGTTGCTGAGCTCTTCGGGCACGGGGTCGCCGGTCAGCTTGAGGATTTGTGGGGTTTGGATGAGGAGGGGGAGTTGAAGGGTGCTTTTAAACCGTGTGGACGTACGTATTATAATCTGTTCAAGGAGATAACGTGCTGATGTATGGACATAGATCCAGCATTCTGGTATCATGCGGGTGCGGTTGGGCAGGCGAGGTATTTTTCGAGGTTTATTGCGCTGCAGATTAAGGCGAAGACGCTGGGGACGCCACTGACTGTATATGATGGGACGAGACGTGCGGAGAAAGTCAGTATGTAGATTGAAGTCATAGCAGATGCTTTGAATGAGACCCGATATCTTTTCAGCTCAATGTCTCGACATCAATTAGTAGTATTGGGATCCGTTCATCAGGACGACGATGCTCCTGGGAGTCCTCCTTACTTCAAGCACAGTCCCACGAACTTCTAAGCTGCACTCCTACGCATGAAACCCATGTCTTTTTTGCCAATATGCCAATGTCCACCACAAAACCTGATGCGAAAAGGGGCATCACATGGTCTCTCCTCTCCCCCTCCCCACGAGTTTACGTGAATGACCGATTCCTATTGAGGGCATGACAACGATTTCTTGGGTAGCTGGCAACGCTCCTCCAACTCAAAAGCTTATTGCACGTCGCACTCCTCTCGGTTCGTCCCTTACCCTAAATAGAGGGTTGCGTCACGTGAACAAAAGGGGTTTCTATAGGTACCTAGGTAACCACTTTGAGAGAAATCTCACGAGCTCGGCCTTTCGGCCTGCAATGGCTTTAAATTAATATCCGAACACCGAGGAGGTATGTTTCAAGTACTTCTCACAGAAGCAGCCATCTTGACGGGTCGCCTAGCGTGGTCCTTGGAAGTTCACTTCACTTAAGAGATTCCCCACTCGGTTATCCCCCACCTACAAGATCCTCTTTCTGCCAAGACTCTGCAAGTGCGAGTAAAGTCCCGTGCTCACAAGATGTTTGTGCTTTGCTCCCAGCTCCGCGTACTTTTGCGGTATGGGGTCTCCTCTTCCACCGCGCTCGTTCAACTTCTGGGGCTAGTTGAAAGGCCCTGGGCTTAACCCACACTCCACAGATAAAATTGGAGTCAACAAACGGAGAGCCTCGGCGTTGAAGCTTTTTTCGTGACTGAGCTCAGTGCTCTTAGCCCATCTATCGACTGATCTCGAGAATCAGATGTGACATTATTTTCAAGACCACCCCATCCAGCAGCAGAACCAGAGCTTTGTTCTCCTTTCCCCAGCATTAATTTTCCTCAGAAGCAAAACTTCTGAACCATTCCAGCGGTCCCTCTTAAGCAATCCCTCCAGAAACCCTTCCTCTTCACAAAAATGGGAGACACCTCTCTAATAACCTCAATCCCAGTCCTCATCATCGGCGGCGGCTGTTTGTCTCCCCATCTCTCCTCCTTCCCCCTTTCCCTGCCATCTCAACCTACTCACATCTCCCTCCCTCCCAGCATGCGGCCTCTCCCTCTCAATCTTCCTCTCCGCCCACTCGATAGAACACATCCTCTTCGAGCGCCACCCTTCAACATCCACCCTACCAAAAGCCCACATCATCTCCCAACGCACCATGGAGATCTTCCGCCAGTACGGTATCTCCGAAGATATCATAGCAGCCGGTACACCACCGCACCAGATGAGCCAAATTGTGTGGCAGACAAGCCTTGGTGGCGAGGGGCCATTGGATAGGAAGGTGTTGGGTGTGCATGATACGTGGGGATGTAAGGTGGGTACGGAGCGGCATTCTGTCTATCAGTAAGTCCTCTGAAAATATCAAAATATTGAGAGCGGGAATTGGGTTGGTTTGGTTGGGAGGGAACGAACTGATGTGATGGTATAGGAGAGATGCCCCGCACATGCCGTCCAACCTCCCTCTTCTTCGCTCAGAACCGGTTTTGCGGGCACATGCAGAGAAACATAACCCAGGCAAGATCCTCTTCAACCAAAAAGTCGTCGATTTCAAGGACGAAGGAGACGCGGTATTAGTCCACGTTGAGACTGTAGACGGAAGACAGCTTATGTACCGCGCTCAATACGTATTTGGCGCCGATGGGGGCAAGACTGTGGGTGCTGCACTGGGCATACAGATGGAAGGCCCGAAACAACTTCGCAAAATGGTTTCCGTGCATTTTAAGGCAGATTTATCTCAGTACTGGGATGACCGCACCTGCATTGCGCACTTCGCGAACCCGGAGAGTGGATCAGGGAGAAGAAGTGGCTCGATGCTTCCGCTAGGTCCATCATGGGGACGGCACTCAGAAGAGTGGCAGATGCATTTCAGCACCGACGTTGGAGCCTCAGAGTTCTCTATCGAGGACGCAAAGCCACGGGTCCGCGTTTTGCTGAAGCTGCCAGATCTTGAATTGGAAGTCGTCACCGTTTCGTCCTGGGTGATGGAGCGAGTGCTGGCCGATTCGTACAGAAAAGGGAGGATATTCATCGGTGGAGACTCGGCGCACCGTCATCCACCCACCACTGGTCTTGGTCTCAACACTGCGGTACAGGATGCTCACAATATTGCGTGGAAATTGGCCCTCGTACTGAAAGGAAAAGCTTCTCCTTCGCTTCTCGGTACTTATGAAAGCGAGCGACGGCCGATAGGGAAGCAAATTACGGACTAGGCATTCTTCACTTAGAGGAATCACGGTGTGATTGCTGCAGCCATTAGGTTGCAAGAAGCACAGCTCGAACGCAATCGCATCCATTTCGAGGCCCTTCTCGACGAAACTTCAGAGATAGGGAAAGCGTCTCGTGCGACCCTTCAAAATGTCATTAATAGTCAGGTAATCGAGTTTGGAGCCCATGAAATGGATCTTGGCTTGTTCTACCCCCATGGTTGTGTGATTGCAGATGGCACGTCACCCCCTCCCCCGGACCCAATACATGAGAAATACACACCAACTACAACGCCCGGGCACCGTTTACCGCACGTCTGGCTGGAACGTGAGGGGAAAGCTTTCTCGACACACGATTTGATAGGCCAGAATGGTGATTTCTTGCTCATCATAGATCGTGATGGCCAGCCTTGGGTTGGGGCCGCAACGCAGGCGGCCAAGGAAAGGAATATCGGGATACGAATTGCGCAAATAACCGGTCCGTTCAAAGGAGTAGGAGAGAACGAATATCTGGATCCTGAAGGGAGATGGGAGCTGTTGAAAGGGTTCAACAAGGGTGGAGCAATACTTGTGAGACCCGACAATATCATTGGCTGGCGAGCATTGGGACCAGGGAATTCCAGTGCCGTTTCCGCAGCCTTTGACAAGATCTTGGGGACTTCTGAAGTCTCCGTGGATGGCCACGGTGTAGACAAATTTTGGAACAAATGGAACAATCCAAGATGATCGTTGGATTGAAAATTTCTCTGCAATGGGGATAGGCTAGTTGGGAGGTAAAATGAGAATCAAAGTCCAAGTTCGCTTGATCTTGGATATCCATCACACATTCGAAAATAACTTCAACCGCTTCCAAGTGTGTCATATCAACAGTGAATAGCATTTCCACCGCACATTCGTAGAACCCAAGCTTTTGGTACAATTGAGAGGCACCACAACCCCGATGGAAAAACTTAAAAGTCTCGCTGCTGCACCCGATGGGAGGCACGTTTGGACGAGCGGGTTGTTGGCCAGACTTTCTGATCCGGAAGCTGTAGCCACCCACCTCCACTTGTATCGAATCAAGCTTGATTCGTGAAGTCCGAGGAGCAGAAACGCTCCAGAAGGGTGCGTATATAGCCCATATTGTCATCCTCCCACTCTACAGAGCTGAGACCAAGTCCAGTTGCTGCCTCTGGCTGAGCTTCTAGGTCGCTCTCTGCAACGTAGATTTACAGTTTTGCAAGCCACCAGTACTCTTTCGCATGCTTCACGAAGCCAAGTCTCTTCGATTGGCGTGTTGTGATTTGTTTCTTGTGTATCTCCCACCCACTCTTCCAGCGCGACAGGGCACGGTCGACGTTATCATTGATGATTTTGCTGTAGGAAATTGCGTGTGCTGTGCGGATGATGATGTGAAATGCTATAAATACAAATTAGATACATGCCACCGAATGATTATCTGCCGTGAGGTTGTGACGAACCATTGATTATGATGAAATAGTGGAGAGGAGTGAGTGTTGAAAGGATGCATTTCTCCTCTTCTCCGAAATCTTCTGCTAGGAGCAATTTGAGGATCCGTTCCAGCGAGCTTGGTTCCGCAGAATTGTGATTGTAAGCTTTCTGGAAGCAGTCTGTACTGTCCACGGCTTCGTAAACATCCTCGGGGCATGGGAGATCTACCTTTATCTCCGCCAAAGCTAGCCTCGGTGGGTAATTATGGAAGATGCAGAAGCCACTATCCAAAATGAATATATAGTACATGACTCTGGGGACGGCAGTCAGCTTCAATGTCGCAACTAAGGGATGGATTTTTTTGTCAAGGTCGAGCAATCATCGGAAAACTCACCGTACACGTGTTTCATAAATCGACCACAAATACCAGTCGAACTGTAGACCTGGTCCCATGGCAGCAGGCAACGAGCTCTGTGCTGTTGTCAAACGTAATGCTCTAGCACTCTATGTTTCATTCAATATAGTGATCAGCTTTTGTTACTCCTTTCCTCAAGAAGGAAGGGGTTTCGGGAAGAGGTGTGAATACCGAGATAATGGTGTTGAAACGCTCGGTTCGCCCTCTCCGCCGCGCTGCTTCATTGCCTTCCCAGTTCTGAAGAAACGTGATTACAACTGCTGATTGTATAGCTTCCAGTTTCGCATCGCAGTCCTGGATTTGGTCAGCAGAGCCCTTCCCTTTACTGAGCTCCTGAAAGCACGCATTGCGAAAGACATACTCCTCAGCAAGATCTAGGAGACTTTGTGCTATGGCGATTGCTTCCGGGAGGGATGAATATAATGCGCCTGCCAAGCATATTACTAGTACCAAACGTAGGGATGCTATTTTGAGGTTGCATGATGGCCGATGGATGATAGGGCATTGTGGGAAGAAATGATGATAAAAGGTCTGTGTAAAGAGCTGAAAGTTTGGTAATGTGAAGAACTTATCAGCATCTTGAATCTTGGCACTCGTTGTCCGTGCCCAATGACGCTTCGGCAAAGTGATAAACGTGTCAGTTAGCTGCATGGCCAGCTCACTGAGCCGCCGGCGCATGGGATCAGGTAATCCCGTCGAGTCTGGGGAGCCTCCAGTTAGAGGGCCAGACCTAGGATCAAAAAGAGAGTCCTGCCCGGAGACATTGAAACCTTGAGAGTAAGAGTTGTCCAGCAAAGGCGGGTTTGGTGCATTAAGGGACGCACTAGATCTACCCTGAAGAGAATGCCTTCCGTGGCCCATCACTAGAATGGAACTAGTTAAATTGAGCTTCATGAAATGAGAACGAGAGGGAGACTCACCTCCCGATCCAACAGAAAGCTCCCAAGCAGGCTGATTGAGAGAAATTCCAAGAGATAATATGGGAAGTGGTTCTGGTGCCGCACTTGCATATCCAAAAGTGTCCACAAAAGTTTTCGTCTCCAAGCTGACAAAGTTGAGCAAGAAAGGAACGGGCATGCTACCAAGCGTGAACGTTTGCACTTGAGGCATAGGAGCGGCCATTGGACTCGGTTCCTCATTTGCTAGGTAGGCGCTTTCGTCCAAGAGCGACGGCGAGGCCTCCGATGGATATGGTGAGGCATCAACAGTGGAGTTGCTCTGGGGGACTTGGCTTAGCACCTCTGTGTTGGCTGGACGTCTCTCTCGTACACGAGCCCAAGAGCAATCGAGACCCTTGCCTGCACAGGTCTGACAAGGTCTGCTAGAGTCACATGCTAGCTTTGTGGCTGCACATTGATCGCACGCCTGCTTCCGGCGCCCTCGCGGTTGGGCCGAGGGAATTGGACAATGGCCTCTCTGCCTGCAAGACTTGTAGTGGCGATGGAAGATGTCGTGACGATAGAATTTGGCATTGCAGAACTTGCACACACACGTCTTTTGACCTTCATCTGTGGTGTTGAGAGGGAACGTCAGTCCTTAACTCCGGACCAATGCACGGAGATACTTACGCTTGAGCTCATGGCGGTGCAGGTGATCCAGGCGCATGTACCTGGATGGGCACTGGCGACATTGGAAAGGGGCGTCCGAGGCTCTCCCGGTCATTGTGTATGGTTGAGGCAGGCCAGCAAGGATTGAGGAGAGGTGGACAAAGGCATCGGCAATTTCGACAACAGCACAGCGCGGAAAAATGCCGTGTTCGAGGGTTTGAGGTGGGAGTTGGTGGGAGTGGCCATGGACGGATTAATTGGAGGGATGAAGAAGAAGAAGGAAGAAGAGAGCGTTGAAGGGGAGGTAGGGAAGGGAAAGGATCCTCACGTGATTTGTCTCGGCTCGGGATTTCCCCACATGTGGACGGGGACTTCTCCGAGCATGCATGTTCGCGTTCTCTCCTGTCAGTCCACCCATCAAGATCCATACCTTCTCCCAAACAAGTGGTAAAGAGTAGTCTTGAAGCTAGGCTTCTTGCGGAGAATGGCCATCTGCATCCCCTTAACAAATTCCCAATCGCTTCTTCTTGGGCAAGTGCTCATCCTGCATCTCAGCCCGCGAACATGGCTGTCTCAATCTCTGTCTTGTCTTCATGTCTATTCGTGTTTGTTTTCATCCTCCCTCGACTATGGTCTCGGTATCAATTCAACAAAAAATACAGGCTCCCTCATGTCGTCCCTGGTTGGCCGATCATCGGGAACTCCCTGGATGTGCCCTTCCCTGGGGGAATGTGGGGTGTAGAGACCGCGCGAAAATATGGAGAGATGTATGCTTGCAGTCTTGCGCCTCATTATTATATCAAGGAGTTATTTCTTACATTTCTTCACAGGTACACATGCTACCTTGGGGGTCGTGCCATCGTCTTCCTCAATTCATCGCGCGTGGTAAATGACCTCCTGGAGAAGCGTGCCGCGATATATTCATCCCGCCCATTCCGTCCTATGTGCCAAGACATTATGTCCGGTGGTGCACGCATGCTTCTGATGCCTCACTCTGACAGATGGCGGAACCAGAGAAAGATCATGCACTCAATCCTGAACAATCGACAGGCGGAGACAAAGTTCATTGCTTACCAAGAGCTAGAATCGAAGCAGCTGGTCTACGACTACATGACAGATCCAGAAAATTTCCACTTGGCAAATCAGCGCTTTTCGAATTCTGTCATCATGAGCGTGGTGTTTGGGAGAAGGGCGGCCATCGACGATCCTGAACTCAAGGCAATTCTCGAATCGGTTGCTGTCCTAGCAGAGTATCTGTTCAACCCGCTGAAGAACATCTGCGATGCATTCCCATGGCTGTCCAACCTTCCAAAACCTCTGCAGTGGTGGAGACCGGCTGGGGAGGCATACTTCAAGAGGACTCGTGCGTAGGTGTTTAGCACACTAGAGAGTATCAAATGAAACCTCTCTGACTTCCAAGTAGTCTGTACAAAGGCGAATACGACCGTCTCGTCAAGAAGATGGAAAACGGGACTGCGCGCCCTTGCTTCGCGGTTGAGGTAGAGCAAGGCGCCGCGAAAAAAGAATTCGCCATCGATGAGACAGAAAAGTTGTTCGTTTTCAGCACCCTGTTGGAAGCTGGAAGTGACACCTCGCGGAATGCCATCACGCAAGCAGTGGCAGCTATGGCCGCCTACCCAGCATGGGTGATCAAAGCAAGAGCAATGCTAGACGAAGTGTGCGGTGCAGACGCCGAACGCCTCCCCTCTCTTTCCGATCGAGAGGGGCTACCATACATCACAGCAGCGGCAAAGGAGTGTCTCCGCTGGCGGCCCTTTATCCAAACTGGTGTGCCACATATGCTCGTCCAGGATGACGAGTATGAAGGATACAAATTTCCTGCTGGGACGCAGTTCTGCTGGAACGCTTACGCGATTGCGTTGAACGAAGGCGATTATGCGGATCCAATGACTTTCTCCCCAGAGCGCTTCATGGACGCGGATTTGAACAACCCTTTGAAGGGGCATTGGTCTTTTGGGACTGGTAAGTAAAGTAAACCTTACTCACCCTCTCCTACCCTCAAATGCTTCAACATGAAGACAAATGGAAACTGATTGCAATGCTCACAGGCCGTCGAGTATGCGTGGGGTACAACGTTGGCGCCAATAACATATGGATTGCAATCGCTTGTCTGATCTATTGCTTCGACATCACGGAAGACCCAGTAAGTATTTCACAATTACCAAACCCGAAAGGGAAATGAACTCATTCGGCGTGTCAGGACCACCCAATCAATACCCTCAACACCAACTGGGAAATCCACAAAGAAGCCCCTTTCAAAGTAAAAATCGCACCCCGTAGCCAGGCCCACATCGAGCTCATCAAGCGAATCAGCATCGAAGCATTGACTGCTGATTACTGAGCCGAATTAAATTCTGGAAACGGCGATATGAGGCACTGGAGTAGGGCAAGGGAGTCAGTCTATCCTCGAGAATTGGGTGAGGGGGGCCCGCTTGGCACGGAATGATGAAATTAAAAAAAAGAAAGCAGAAAGAAAGGGAAGTTGGCGAGCGTTAGTCAATATTCCAGCATATCCCGAAGTTTCGTATCGTAACCAACGAGAATCAATTTTGACCCATCCTATCCGTACTGTATACACGCTTCTCTTCACACCATTCAATGGAACTGATCCTCCGTAACGCCCTTCCCCATCGCACTCGTCGAGCTAACACCCCCCTGTACCATCTTCAGCAACTCATCGACATAGTTCGCCCCACTCCACTTCTGATGTTTAACCACATCGACACCGCCTTCCATCTCCGGCTCCTGGACCAACTCGCCATACGCCCTCATCCCGTTCTTCGAATACGCCTTTGCAAACTGATCTGAAATGAGTGCCGTGGTGTGCAAGCCGGCCAAAGTGATGAATTGCCAGCAGTACCCGAGTTTAGACAGGCGCTCAATGTAAGTTGTTTGCTCGTCGCGCGACATGGCGGATTTCCAATTAAAACTGGGGGAGAGGTTGTATGCGAGTTTCTGCTCGGGATAAACGGCGTGCACGCCGTCTGCGAATTGCACCGCTTGCGCGTAATCGGGGAGCTTGGACTCCATCCAGATGGCATCTGCGTACGGTGCGTAGGCAATCGCTCTATTAATCGCACACTCACAGCCTCCGTGAAGCCTGTAATACCCCTCTCTCGTTCGTGGGCTATCCCAGTTCCAGGGGATATCGACGCCGGTTATCCCCTTGGCGATCGCTCGCGCTTCCGTGTTTGACTTTCCCTTGATGTCGGACAGGAATTGGGTGATGAGTGACTTCTTGTTGACGTGCACGCCGGAGTTGATGGTGTCTACTACTGCGTCGGCGAAGACTTTCAGTCCTGCTTGGGAGGTCCAGGAATCTTCGATTGCTTGCAGTTCAGCGCCGTTCTTTCCAGCTCGTTCCGCCGCAATCATGAGGTCGTTGAGGGGTTGGAGGTTGGGGTTCGTGCTGCCGAGGATGTAGGCGTGATCTCTGGGATCGATGGTCGTGGTTATAAGGGTTGCGGCTTCGGCGTCTGTTCGTGCGATGGCGAGTAGGTCAGATCCTGTTTCTTGTTAGTAACTGCTTCGGTTGTGATTTGGATTGGATTTTGGGGTTGGGAGGGGAAAGGGATGTGTGTACCCATGATATCAGCCTGCGCTCTAATGGCAACAAGACGATTGATATGTTCACTGATCGGAACCAGCACTTTCCCAGCCATGTGTCCACACTTCTTCGTCCCAGGCGCCTGGTCCTCGATATGTATTCCCGCTGCTCCCTTCTCGATGAACAACTTCGTAAGCTTCATCACTGCCGTCAATCCGCCATGTCCGGTGTCTGCGTCTGCGATGATGGGGCGGAGATAGTCGACGTTTGCGAGCTTGGAGCGGTCGGCTTTCGATTTTGTGGTAACGCGTTCTTCGCGCTGCTTTCGGTCGTGGAAGAGCTGGGCCATGAAGAGATGGGAGACTTTATTGGGGACGGTGGTCTGGGGGTGTTAGTTTTCGGAATTGAGGGATGGGGATGGAGGGAACGAACGTAGGGGTAATCTGCCAGATCTGGACCGGGCTCATCGGAGGCAGAGGCGGTAGACGATGATTGCCAGCCGGAAACGTAGACGGTGTCGAGGTATTTCGCCATTTGGGTGAGCATTGTGGGCTCCAAGCAGCCGTAGGTGTAACTGGCTTCCTTGTTCTATAGAATGTGCTTAGCTTCAACCCCGGAAGCCACAATTGGGAGGACATACCTTGAATCTGCCTTCCAGGATATTCCAGAGCTTCTTCGATTGGACGTTGCTGGGATACTCGATCTTCAGGTTCCCTCTCTTGGCCACAATCTGCTCGGCAGTGAAGGCTCTCTTGGTGTATCTCCATCTGGAATCCGTCCACCACTTCTTGACAGCTGCAACTTCGTCCAGATATTGCTGCTCCTCCCTGTTCGGGTCCACAGCGGGATTGGCCATCTTGTTCGCCATGATGGGTAGAGTGGAGAGTGAAGTACAAAAATCTGACTGTGATGTAACTGGATGTAACTGGCCTTGCAGGTTAATGCTCGTCCTGCTATACAAACTAGAACGTCGTAATGTGAGTATAAAATCTAAACTCTGTAATAAAACAGACGAATTAAGTCAATTCAGAAGCAGCCAGAGAAAAGAGGAAATGCACACAGTCATAAGCAAATCCTCCATCCGGAGGACATCGGGCTAGCGGTAGCTCTCGTGGCCCTCGACCTACCAGAAGCCGGCATTCAACACTCAGCAGCTCCATCGGCTCTCCTCATCCTCGGGACACGCGGTAGGTGCATCAGCGTTCCAGACCAAGACCAAGTTCGTCGTCGCGCCCGCCTTGCGGCTTCGGCTCAGCGGTAACAAGGAGAGAAGGGTCAGCTGTCCAGTGCCGTGATTGGCGGGGGAGGCGAGAAAACATGGCAGATTCCTTCCCCACATTCTCCAGCACATTTCGTCATGCCACCATTGAGTCGCTCCATGCTCGCTCGCTCTGCCCTCCCCAATCCTGCTCTGGCTAGCCTCTGGAGAGGACGCGAGATGAAGATAAAAGGTGCGCACGTGAGCCATTTCTACATCGAGCATGTGAAAACATTAGTTTGTTGCTTTGCATCTGAAGATAAGCTTGTTCTGGCATGTGAAGAGAATGGCGGGGCCAGGGTCCGGCGCATGATCGTCTGCAAGGTCCGGGTCGAGAAAGCGAGCCTCGGCTTGTCCTCGAGTGTCAGCCACTCGAAGGCGTTCCGCATTCGGCCGACGTGCAGCTTCCGTGAAATTGTCGTTGGCTGCGCGTGAAGAGTCATGGAGGAGATCACGACGCGTTGTTGAACAGCCTCAATGCAAGCGTAACTCACCGCCGAGAGCTTACTATGCCAACGCCCAGCCTCGGCTCCCCCACAAAGAATAGGGGCTTCGCTTATGCAACCATCTACATGAGCTGCTTATTGCCAATCTAGGACGATCTTAGAGCCGACAGCCCTGGAAGTCATGATAATAACATCTCAGGAGCGGCAGAACTTAGCAAAATTGGACTAGAGCCATCATAACTTGCCATGGACGATTCTATTCACGTCTGGAATTGTACACTGAACTGTGTCATGAGAGGAGGATGGAGCTGGTGGGGATGATGGGTGTGGGACATTTGGTGCCGCTTGAAAGTCCTCAGGAGTGTGCTGGGGTTGTTGGGGCGTGGATTGAGGGGGCGGTGGGTGGGGAGGTGGCAGGAGTTGGAGAGGCAGAGGATATGGGGAGAGTTGGGTAAGGAGGAAAAAGACACGGTGATTGGGAATTGGATGGCAGGTCTGAAGTCGAAGATCTGAAACGGGAGGAATTAAATTAAGGAAAATGGGTCGTAGTTGCGGAGACGTGGTTGAATTGCATCTAGATCGAGCTCTTGTTGAATAAGGGGAGTCTCGCGCAACACATAACTGAGCAAATAGCGGCCTGGTTAACGATATGTTTTGTTTACTCTAGATAGATAAGTAGCTTCCTGCTCCGTTCATTAGAACCGAAAGTCACCTCCCAAGGGAAACTTTCGAGTAGAAGAGTGTATTAAAATCTATCACTACATATAGTTCGACTTCCATCACATATCGTAAATTCATAATTAGTGAGCCCACTCTCTTACTGAGACAGAAGTCTCGAGCTTACACCCGGGCTCTTCGAATCTCCAAACCAACTCATTCCTTTTCTCTCCCGCCCAGCATAATCATCGGAAAACAAAACACTTGCCTTCTCCAAATACTTCGGTAAAGAATCCCTGCCGTCAGCATCCTCTGGGAGAATTGAGGTTTCCATATTTGCATGTGTCGCTGTCCGAAGTATGTCGAAAAATAATTCGTGTAAGCAACACCGCTAGAAAATATAGACGAAAGACCGATGAGAACACCTGTGTTAGCAAAAATGATAGCAAGGCCGTAGGCGATCCAGAGTCTAGACGGGGTGTAGACGTAGACTGTTTGGAAATCTGGGAAGGTGACGTTGGTGTGTGGCGGTGCGTACGGTGAAGAGACATTTGGTCTTGCTTTCATTAGTTTATCCTCTTTTGAGGGGGGCTTAGTACTGAACGTACTGCAGGAGCTTGGAACTCATTAGTCCTATCGTGATGTTTTGGAAGAGGCTCTCTAATGCCACTTTGAACGGAATCGCAGTTTGGACGTCATCCACAACATCCAATCCATTCCACATTTGACCTGGATCCTCGCTTGCGATAGCTTGCTGTAATGTACCAATGAAATACACATTCTTTGGAGGGTAGTCATTCATCCATCCAAGCTCTCCCGCTTCGTCCAAAACTGTCGACATCACAGATGTACCGTTCGCAACGATTCTACCATTGCTGCCTTGAGAATTCCAAAGTGTGCCAACCACAACCGAGCCAAATGAAGTCATGACAGCTTGGTAAGATAGCGTTCCCACTTCGGCCGTCTTTTGTGCTATCGGTTTGCCGTTAGAGTAGTTCGCCAACGGGCCATAGGGGGAAGTCATATTGAGGACAAAAATATGCGATACTGAATTGAGAGGCGTTTTGTCCATTGTGACATCGATGGTCTGCTCTCCGTTTATGAAAGAGAATGAGGTGCGGTAAGAAGAATTGTGTAGTTCGCATTTGATCACGGTGATGTTTTGCAACGGGTTGGTGGCTCCGCCGCCGCTGGCTTGTTGCTTGCAACCCAATCCCTATATTAAAACCCGGTTATTCCTGGCTTTCTTATTCCTCTCTGTGCCGAACCGATTCTCGTCTGTCATGTTGGGATATGTAGCTGCATAAAATGTTGCTGGGATTGGAGAAAGCCCATCGCCGAGGGGACGGAGACCTAGAGATCTGTCGTTGAGCGAGTAGGAAGTATTGTTCGGTGATGGGACGAAGGGGAGTGTGTAGAGCTCATAAGCCGACCCAGATAAGATGTACAAAGGTGTCCAAGCTATGTACCCAAAGGCCGTCTCACAGTTAGCTATTGCTACGGCAGCTTGAATGCTCTTCTGAATGGAATCGACAGCGGAACCTTGGAGATCGGCGCAGATGATGGACGGACCGGCAAAGTCCAACTTGCGGGGTGGGAAGGAGCTCTCGCTAATGCCCCCTATTCCGGCTCTGCTCGGTTGTTGCAGCGGGTGACCACGACTGTTGGTGAGCAAGCAAAACCGAGCAGTTGAAATCAGAATAGAATTGAATAGAATTGAATAGAATTGAATAGAATTGAATAGAATTGAATAGAATTGATCGTAAAGCATGCCTCGTTGCTAATTAACGACACGACTTTAAACGTATTTGAACTCACCATGCAGTGGCCTGCAAAATCATCAGAAACTAGGGTTCGTTTTATGTGCTCAAACCATCCATCCGCAACCAGTTTTGTTGCTTCAAATCCAATGCAACCAATTCCATGCTCCATCCCACTCCCCGCTCCCATGTTTCCATGTTCCAAGTTCCGATGCTCGCAGACAGACTCTCAAGTTCGTGGACTCGCACGCTGGCGCGCTCATTCAATTACATCCTTCAAGCCCGGAACAACCCTCCAACACCATCCACACCAACTTCTCGCCCTCCCCTCCTGCTCCCTCACCAAGAACTTCCCCATCTCCTTCTCATCCCCCCACTCGGGTACACAAGCGCCCACCTTCACCATCCGCACCAACTTCTTTTTGACCACGCCGCCAATACCCTCAATCTCATGCCTCGCATATCCCGGCCCCATCTGTCCACTTCTCTCACTCCCGGGAGTTCCAACCTGCGTCGAACTACTCCCAGGACTTGAAGGCGGACTCGCGGTACGGCTATTGCTGTCAATCTCCCGCGCGTCTTCTGCATCGCAGTCGATTTCTTGCTCGACTTCTCGAGCTGCTACGCACTCTCCTCCTCGACCGCAAGGCACGCCACGGTTCCCTTCTCCGATGCCGACGCCGAGACCGCCAAGAGAGGGTAGGTAGCGGGTTCGCCATTTCCAGATACTCTCGTATTCCGTGTCTGCGCTGCGAAGGCTGCGGCCACAGGGTTGGCAGAGCCAGACGCCGTGTGTCGGGCAGCTGCAAACTTCACGCTTGAGGGTCTCGGCAGAGAGTGTTGTCGGTGGAGAAGAGGAGATCTCGTGTGCGTGGGTGACGGGAGCGGGAGCGACGAGAGAGGAGAGAGGGACTCGTGAGCAGGCTTTGCAGATGCGGCGGTGGCGATGGGTGAGGAGGACTGGTGCTGGGGGTTTAATCGTGCAATTCTATCAACGTTAGCAAACTCATCTTAAGTGTAGACTGAAGGCAGAACTCACTCTGCAAATAACCCTTCCACATCTCCTGCATCCACCCACCATGTCCCTGGCACAATCTCCAACCTTTCCAGTTCCTGATCCAGGCGCTTCTCTCCCTGATTCTACGAAATACCAGTCTGCGGCCCTGGCACGGTATCTGAAGGTATGTTCGGGCTCGAGCTCGACATCCTCGTTTTCGCAATGAAGTGTCGAGGTGATGATTTGACTGCGGAATTGGAGCAGGTTGGCACGGATCTGGCGGCAGGTGAGGGACAGTGCATCGAGGGTGTTGAGATCGATGTGGGAGGCTATCGAGGTTATAACCCTGCCACGAGAAACATCAGCTTCAATATCCTGCAATCATCAATCGGTGAAGTGTGGCCATTTCAACACATACGGATAACACCCCAACGCCTTCGTGCACGCCTTCTCCCTATTCGGATTCTCCCTCTCCACGTCCTCCCCTTCTTTATTGATATTCAAGCTCCGTAAAACGCCCGCACTCCCCCTTTGCACGCGCAGCCAATCCCGATGCTGATCTGGGGGCTCGACGGCTTCATCGTCCAGATCGAGAAAGACGACCATTTTGCCCTAACGAAGAAGAGGTGGAAGAACGAGAGCGCAGCGATGAAAAGAGACGAAGATGAAGAGAAAGTAAACGAGGGGAAGCGGTAGAGCGGCCCATTGAAGCTGCGGTGCAGCGATGGTGAACGGAGAGAGTGAGTGAGGTGAGGAGAAGATGAGATGCGGACGTTGACGACACGCGGGTTGTCGTGCAGCTGGGACCCACTTTTGAGGGGTTGGGTGATGTGTTCTAGCCCGAAGGCAAGTGAGTATTGTCCTACTATCTTACATGAAGTGATAAATGGCTCATCAGCGGACCTGCGCTTGTGGAATATATGGCTCATTTATTTGCGTGCAAATATTCTAGTGGACATGGATAAATTGGGCACGTTGCTGGCCTTCTGAGTTCGTATTAGCATTTGGGTGGTTGGGCTCGCCGAACAGCCTGAACTCTAGTGGGGTACAAGCTACAACGAATTGGCTTGAAATCTAGAGGTTGCACAACGCTCTAGTTCTTGAGAAACGATTCATCGTATTCGTGATGTTACTCAGATATTGTATCATTTCTTCAATTTCCCGCTCTTGACCAACGACGCCATCCTACTCGGGCTGATCACTTTGGCGAAGTCTCTGATGTCCTCTACCAAAGCATCAGGCTTTTCTGTCGCTGCGAAATGACCTCCGCTATCACGGTCCCTCCAGAAAACTATATTTTTTGAGACGGTGCATGATGCCCACCAGTGAGGTATGTTCAACACATCTATGTCTTGTCAGATTTCTGACATAGGTTGAGGAGGAGGAGCAGATAGCTGACCATAGGGGAAAACAGATGCTCCGAAATCAACATTGCTGGGAACTTTTCTGTTCAAAAGATCTTTGTAGAACATATCCAATCCCTTTCCCTTTGCATTCTTGTAGATTCTGGCATGGCCTGCGGTCCCGTTGATGAGGTACATCTGTAAGCCATCAGCGACTATCCTCAGTAAACAACAGGGAAAATACCATCGTCCAAGTAATGAGTTCTTCTTCGTCGAATATGCTGTCGTCATCGGCAAGATGTTTGACCTTATCTCGAAGCCAGGCAAGCATCCCTATTGGTGAATCCCCCAGGGCATAAGAGATTGTCAGGGGCTTTGTGCCCTGGATTTCCAAATATCCTAACTAAAAAACAGAAAGTCGGTAACTGTTCAACTTGGAATGCATTTCACCAATTACTTACCTCTTCCTCTCGCCACCACATCATCCTTCCAAAATTGCTCTCTTTTCCCTTTCCTTGCCAAATGGCCCATATAATCAAGTATATAAAATGGAATGGATATCTCCACCAACTTGGCGGACCTGATGCCAAAGCGTTGACATGAACAGCCACAGCATGTTCAGGATACTCCATCCCCAGGATTCTGCAAATCATGGAACCCCAGTCGCCGCCTTGAGCAACATATTTATCATACCCCAGCGCCAGCATAAGTTTATGATCGACAGCCGCCATATTCTTTAACCAGAAGTCTCCTCCTTTCGGTCCTTCAGAGAAAGCAAATCCTGGTAGTGAAGGAGCTACCACGTGAAAAGCCTGCTGACCAGGTTCCTGTGGATTGGTCAGAGAATCGATAATCTTCTCGACTTCAAGAAAGTTGCCTGGCCATCCATGCTGAAACAGCAAAGGGAGAGCTCCTTCACGGTCCGACTTGTGGTGAACGAAGTGGATCGCCATCGTCTCGCCAGCTTCGGTGATGGGAAGTGTGAACATCTTAAGCTGGCCATTGATGCGTGCTTCGACAGCTCTCCAGTCGTATTTCTTGACCCAGTAATCTTTCAATTGAGATATTGTCGCTGGTGGGACACCATATGACCAGGCATCTTTCTCCGGTAGATCGATGCCAGGAGGAATGCGGGCGGTTGAGACACGTTGGTCGATGAATGAAAGGAGGTCATCTGAAACAGCGATTTTGAAAGGTTTCGGCTCTTCCATCTTGAGATAGAGATAGATTTCAATTGAGACAGTACCGAATAAATTTTCAAAAGATCATATGAGAAAAACCTCTAATCGAGTCGAAGATCCGGAAGTTGGGTTTCGGATCAACAGGCACGCGGAATCCGCGGGTCTGACTGGGGATGGTGGTTCGGACAACCTGTTCAGAGTAATAAGGGGCTTTTCCAGGTTCAATGGCCTTTCAGGAAGTTAACACACTTCTTGATGGGATCTCTTTCCGGACTATACCTTGTTCATCCCGTCACACTCGACGCTCTGTGAGTTTTTTGGGGTTTCGGCTCACTCGAAGAGCAGATTCACTGATTGACAGTCGTATTCAACAACAAATCAAACGTCGACAGGCTAAATAACTCATATTCCATCCAAAGAGTTGACTTGCGAAAGGAGATTGTATCCGAGGCAAGTCTGACATGCATCCTTGGGTCTCCTGGAAGCGGGGCCCGTCTGCATGCGGTCTAGCGCAGCCTAACCATATTCGGGCTCCATCAGCCTCGTGTGCCAACTCACATCAACACACATGGCACTCTTTCGTGATACTGTGGCATCGAGTCATCGAGCCAACGAGACGTCCAAGGTAAGTCATGAGCTCCAGGAACTAACTCATGGAACTTTCTTCGGGGTTCAAATACGCTCTTCAATGTCAACACCTCCTCTCAACGCGTCCCTGCAAATGTATACAGTCCAGCAATACTTCGAAGTCAAGAGCTCATGAGACGCCATGTCCAGCGTACAGGCCGCAGACATACCAGACCCCACCTGGCCCGAGACGTGGCCCAGAACCGCTGACGAAATCCACGTTTTCGACATCCAGGGCGACGTGCTTCTAAAGCTCGTCCGTCATCCAGACGAGCCGGAGTTAGAATCAGAATGTTCAAGTGTTGGCGAAGAAGATAGACCTCAGGTGGAGGAAGTCTTCGACGAAACTCCTCCTGCAAGCGTTGATGTGCCTGATGCAGAGGCACCACCCCTTTCAACACCACCACCTCCTCCTCCACCCAACGAAGAACCAGCACCTGCAGTCCAAGAACCAGATGAGAATGCCCAACGCGACGATGTCTCCGTCCACTCCGATGACTCTGCGAGCTCTGTCGATATCCTCACCGACGTACACATGCGAGTGTCTTCCAAACATCTCATCCTCGCATCTCCCACGTTCCGAAGCATGCTCGGCCCAAACTTCGAGGAGGGACAAAGACTTCGCATTGAAGGGAGTACGGACATTGCATTGGGCGACGACGACCCGGATGCTTTTGAGATCTTGCTAAATATTATACACGGCCTCACGAGGAAGGTTCCCAGAAGTGTATCGCTGGACATGTTGACTAAACTTTCGGTTTTGGTTAACTACTACCAGATGCATGAGGTGGTTGAGCTCTTCTCTGATACCTGGATCGATAATTTGGCAAGGGAAGGTCTCCCACTATCATATTGCCCGGAAGCCATCAGCTGGCTGTTGATTACATGGGTCTTCCATAAGCCGCTGGAGTTCAGAGAGGCGTCAAGGGTCATTGAATTAGGCTGCGATGAGACATTGGAGGATGATTTCGACGAGAGCCTACCAATTCCACCTCCAGTTCTCGGTATGTAATATCAAAACCTTTCGCCTTGGTCAAATGCTAATTATAATCCAGCCGTCATGCTAGCCCATCGCGCGGCCGCAATCGAGGGTGCAATGCTCATCGTCCACGACATCATCGCGCGCTATTCCGGCCCCGACATCCTCTGTCCCGTTGTCTGGGACCAAAATAACAAGCTCGCCTGCGACTCCCTCCTGCTAGGCTCACTGATCAAAGGTTCTGCCGCTATTGGCATCTACCCAAAGCTCTACGCTCCATACCACGGCATAGTATTCAAAGACCTCGCAGCCCAGATCCGAGAAATGAAGGTCTTTGATGCTTTACATGATGTGTGCAATCATGGTCTTGGGAGATACCAGAGTTGCTCTGATGCTCATGGGGTGAAAAGCTCTATTGAAGTTTCGATGAATGCGCTGGAGTGTGCTATGGCTGGACTAAACCTCGAAGAGTTTTTGCCTCAACTTATGTAGGTATAGGTGGTGTTGTGTGTCCCCTCCCCCTCCAAGTGAATGAACCTGGTGAACGTTGTGATGAATGCAACGGGGAAGGCCAACTTTGAGCACAATGCGAGATACATTCCTTCCCATCATTTCCCTTTGTGAGCGACCAATTTGTCCAATATTTATTCGAGTAGCTAGATCGATAGATACTAATAATTTATTCATTCTTTCAAACCTCTACAACGGCTGATGTATCCTTTCCAACCATCAAAGTAACCAAGGATACGCTAGCCTCGATGTAACCCACTGCTGTCCTAATACGCCTCTCAAACCGTTGGACAGCTGAGTGTGCTGCGCTGATGTGAGCTCCAGCTGTCCACCCAGCCTTGCCGGAAGCCGCAGTTACAGCGGGGCTGAGCAGTCAGCTGTGGTCAGCAACATCCCACCACTCTCGGAACGGCACGCTTCCCTTCTTGAATTTACGAGGGAACCGGGTCTAGACCTTTCCGTATCTTCAAGCCTGGCGAGACGAAAACTTTGACTGGTACATGAGTAAATTTAGGATCTTCACATAGCATTTTGAACAGCACAGTTTGTTTTACATGCGCCATTACGTAGGTGACCTATGTACAGGCCTGCCGCTTTATTCATTCTCACGAAGCTTTTCTCTTCCCGCAATCACAGCAAGCAACATCCCCATACCCCATCATCTATACTTTAAAAAATCAAGCAAGAAAGTAATCAACCCCCCCCCCCCAAAAAAAAACACCCACCACTCATTAACTCCCCAAAAATTGCAGTAAACCACCAAGTAACGCGCAAGTAAAGGCAAAGCAAAGAAAAGCAAGATGAAAAGCTATTCGTACAGTATATTATACACACGTACGGTAATCCAGGATGTTGAAACACCATGAGATGATGCGAAACGCAACGAGTACGCCTTCGACATGCATGCTCATAATCGAGCAGTAGGAAACCTCAATGTCAAAGGCAAGAAAAAAAACCGAAGAGTCTATCGGGTATCTGATGTAGCACATTGTGTCATAACTCGTGAATGAAGGAGGAAACGTAGATCCGGTCAGAACAGAGTAAGAAAACTCGTTCGTTTGTTACTCGGATTCTTCTCCTTGTCCTCTGCGCCAGATTATTTCTCGTCCTTCTCGTAGAGGGTGGCGCGTTGCTTGTACAGCTGCTCCCAGGTACTGAGGGTTCCGAGGGCGCGCTGGCAGTGGGCGTCGACATGTTGGAGTCCGTAGACGTAACTGGCGTTGACCCAACCGAAGCTGTAATCGTTAGCGAGATGCATCAGAAAGGGGGGAAAGATCAACTTACCCTTCAGTAGCAACACCCTTGAAGTCGAGGCCTTGGTTTCCGTACTCGGCATCGACGCGGTGGGGGTCAACGGTTCTGGTGACGTCGTACTTCTCGACCACAACACCGTTGTAGTCAACGAAAGCTTTTGTCATCATGAACAGCCACTTGTACGCCAGTCTCTCGGCCTCTTCGGAATAACCGTAGCGAACCAAGCCGGTCCATGCAAGCATCTGCTGTGGTGCCCATCCGTATGGGTAGTCCCACTGTCTATTAGGACGTTCGAGACCAACGACACCTCGAGACTTCTCTGTACCTGACACCAAGCCACCAGCAGCTTCGAACATCGGAAGGCCAATAGCAACGAGCTTCGCAGCTTGTGCAGGGCTTGCAACTCCTGACCACAGAGCCCAGAAGGCTGTGCAGCTCTCGTAAGTACACTGCTCCTTCTTGACAGTATCGAAGTCAAAGTACATTCCCTTCTTCTCATTCCAAAGGTACTTGTCAATTGCAATTTTGCGAAGCTTTGCTCGACGGTCCCAGATAGAAGATGACTCGACGTGGCCAGGCTTCATCCCATCAACCAGGAATTCCTTCGGGACAGGGAGCTTGTTGTTGAAGAAATAATGGATGGTATGGGCGATATCCTTCTCATATTTGTAGAGGAGGGTGTTCAGGTCAATGGTGGCCAAATTTGCAGCAACCTTCTCCAGTCTGTAGGACGTATCATGTCCAGATTCACGGACTGCCCGGTCGTGCAGGAAGTACTCGTCAAGTTCTGGCTCCTTTACGGTGCCGGAGTTGTAGGCCTTGACAAACTCCTCGAAAGTCAAACCATGCTTCTTCGCATATGGCTCAAGAATATGCGTGAAATGAGTAGATTCGGTCTCCGGAGGAACACCAAGGCCCTGCGGCCGGTAACGAGATAGGCCAGTGGCTTTATCCAATCTTGGTTCGGCCATCCAAACCGTGTGGTACTCCTTGATTGCTGCAAGGATAGCAGTCTTCAGAAACTGCTTTGCATCAGGCTCTGATCTGATCTTCTCATAGACCCGAAGAGCCATATCTGTGAGGAATGGGGGCTGCGATCGACAAAGGTAGTAGCTTCTAGTGGCGTTGAGAATTTTGCCATAGTGCTGGATGCAGAAAACGAAGTTTTGGACCATGCATTTGGCCAGATATGGTTGCTCGCTTGCAATAAGGCCAAGTGACTCCATATATGAATCCCATCCGTAGAGCTCATTAAAACGACCGCCCGGTACGACAAAAGGAATACCTTTAAGCGTCTTCTTGCCAAAGATATCGACCGTCTCCTCCATAGCGACTGCCAAGAGACCCGGCTTGTCATTCAAATCTCTGACATGCTCAGGCGTAATCTCCTCCGGAAGCCAACAAACATCCAAGCGGATTTCAGGCCTATCCTTAGCAACCTGTGTATAGTATTCGTATTGCTCAGGGGTGCCTCGAGGAACGTAGATACGAGGACGAGGATCGTCTGTCCAGTCCTTTGGATCTCTTCCTGCAATCTCAATCACCGATCCATCAATGACTCGAGTCAGGTTTCGCCAAAAATCGTGCTTGATAAGACGAGACAGGCGGCTGACGGGATTCTCGTTCAGTCTCTCCTGATCAAGAAAGATATGGGATTGTCCGTGCTTCTTTGCAAGAAACATTTCCTGGTAGAGATTCGAAAGCATGTAATTTCCGCGGACCTCCTTTCTATTGAAGCCATTCGAACCGGCAGTAGGGAGAGAAATGACCTGGAGAAGGAGGTATCAGCTGAGTGAACAAATCAAGTGCGCTAGGGATCTTCGCTCACCTTTGGACCATTATCTTCGATAGTAATTTGGAAGTTCCCATCGGTATCCTCCTGCTCATTCAAATTCTTTATAGTCTGCTCGACGTCGACAAGATAGGTTCTCCCAAACATAGTCGTCTCATCTGTGTGATAACAATCAGCGCTCGATATTGCAGGCAGAGAGTGTGGTTACGGGCTTACCATGGCTGCTTCGGCGGACAGGTGCCTTGATGCCTGTTCTGTCAAATGTCGGGGCTTGATTCTGCGACAACTTCCTGTCAGTAACGGTCAATGGAGCGCAAGCGCTGGTACTCACTGTAGAGAAGGTGCGGGTTCGGAAGTGGTTGGATTTGTGAATGGCATTCTGGCCATAGTAGATGTGAGCGGCACTATGGGGATCAACCTCGTTCGACGAACGAGCTCGCAGAGGTGAGGACATCATCTCTCAATGCCAAAGACCGATCGCAATTGAGTTGTGCTTCGGTGGTTTTGTAGCTCTTGCCCTGGTGGCTATGCTGACGGCAGCTGGTGTTATGTACTCCGTATCTGTAAATAGAGACCAGGTAGCCGCAGGGCTGTGACGGTGGCTGACGGTGGCTGTCCTGACGAGATCGCGAAGAGATAACCAATGTATTGGGAGGGAGCTTGCTTCCAGGGGGCGAGGCTATAGGCCGCGGTCAGATTGTTCTTTCTCTGGAAAGCTGTGAAGGAAAAGTTGACGGTGTAAGGTACTGATGAGTTGAAAGAATCCTTTATCGACAGACGCTAGAAACGCAGCTCGGGGTCGATAAGGAGAGGGTGGGGGACGTGCTGAACAACGGGAGACCCCAGAGAAACTCAAAGCACAAGGCTGCCAGATGTTCTGCAGAAATCGACTTCCCTGAGGCCAGCACAAGGAGCCCAATGTCCGCCAAAGAGTTGACTTCACGATCCGGTGCAGAGATTTGTTAGAATTCCTTGACCGCCTCGCCGAACCGGCCGAAGCTTTTCGATCACCGACCATGGCGCCTCCATCCCGCTGCCAGGGCACTTCCACCCGCCAATAATGGCGGCCTCCGTGGAGGACTTGCAGGCCAAGGGCAATTTTCAACTGTCGCGTGCATAAGCCTCTGCATTTGGCGAGTTTGGGGGTCCCGGTTTGCGGGCATGAGAGTTCGGCTTTGGCTCCGAGTCCTGAATGGTGTGGGATACGAGTAATCTTGTCCTCCCCCGAGTCAGTTCTTCAGTGAGCATTCAAGTGGTCACACGCTCCTGCATCGTTTTCCTGACAAGGTCCCTCTACGGAGTAGGGAGAAGATGGTTCAACTCCGTGCTCAAAGTCCGGATCTGCGAAGCTGTCGTCGATCATCCGATGTCACCTATTCAGCGTTACCCCTTCACGGCGAGACGTAACCTCGATATTCTTCCACATCCACGCAATCTATCGATAACTGCCACTTCACACGGCAGCAAATCAAACTCCCGGATTGCCTCATGAATATGGTCAAGCTGGAGATAAATCCGAAACATGGCTGGGTCTTCAACGCCACAGATGCTGTTTCGGGACCTCCTCGCCAACTTCAATGCGATCACCTGCACACTTTTGACGCCATAATCTCGGACCATGAAGTACCTCTCGTTTCCTCCACGCCGGGGCGGCTCAATGCAGCCCTCGGTGAGGTTGGGGGGTGCCTCGGAAAAGTTTATATACCATGAATCGCCCAGTCCCTAGAGTAACACCATTGGGACAACAGACAGTATACATCACAAGTGTGTGATTTGAAGAGCTCGAGCGAGCTCAGAGGTTCCTCTGGACAAGCGGGGCCAAAGTTGGCCCGCTGGAAAGACAAATCCGAATGACAACCGTTTCGCCGGGGCTGTCATCCGAAAACGTGGGAGGTTGGGGGGTTTCTTCATGTAATATTCGAGACGTCTGGAAGGCCAATGCACAACTATCGTGAATCTCGGCTTCAAAGATCAGATGACCGACCCCAGTCCCAAACCTTGACCAAGCCGGGAGATGTCTCACCCCCAAGATTCGGCACTAATATTACTTGATTTAATTCGTTATGGAGTCTATTTTGACGTCAAGTCGGCGTTCGCCAGTGTTTCCGGAGCACATGAAGAATGTTCGGGACTCCTCAGCCAGCCACAGTCAGCTACCCGCAGCTTACAGATGCACGCCGCCTTTCGCATCCAAGGATATTACGAAGAAAGGAAGGTGGTGTGGTGCCAGAACCAAGATGACTACACTGTGGTCCGGCCGCATGCATCAAGCTTCGACTTGACTCGACGTCGAGGGGTCTGCATGTCAGCTCGCAAATCTGCCGGTTGATTAGTGTAGACCGGTATCAACAACACTTGGCTACAGAAATGAATCTTATCTGGGTACTTACGCTCCTTGAGTTGGATTCCTTCAACATGGTGCATTGTTTGCTTGAAGCGGCTGTTCAATTGGTGCTTCGGTGTGGAGGCCTCACACGCAACAGCTTCAGCAGATATGGAGCAGAGAGTTTGAGCAGAACCAATTCCGATGAAATGAGGTAAATAAGATCTGTGTTTGGTTCTCCGCGACTCGTCGTCTTAAGAGAGAGATAGTGAGAGAGTATGAGAGAGTCTTTCAAGATCTGTCCGAGGCTTGAAGGGCAATCAATGCAAGGAAATCGCCTCTAGGATCATTGCGGGACAGAATGGAACAATATTGGTGGCTGATCATTGCGTCTCGAGGGACAGGTTCTTGCTTTAGATCGAGCAGTGACCAGAGAGTTCTGGGTTCTCTGCTTCGAGCACTTTTGAGGTCCAGGAAATGACTTCTATTATCTGATGGCTACCATCAGGGCAGTGTTGTCCAAGTAGGCAAGCCACGGAGCGACATGTGGACTGATTCAGGTCAATGCTCCTCGTTTCGTTCGTGGCGAAAGGCGGCCAGCTATGCTTCAAATAGAGGTCTCGTTGTCTGCTGCAACAGATCTAAAGATGTTGTGGAGGAGGAATTTTCCGCAATGATAATGCAGTCAACTCTCACCACATTCTTGGAGATTGTGGAGGCAGCATTGTATCAAGGTTGAGTGGTGCTGGCGGGGTCTTTATTGTGTTAGAGACTATCCGAGAGTGGCCTTCCTAGTAGCCCGAAGGGCTCTGCTCTAGAGTCGGCCCATTGGACAGCAACCAGTAACAGCTGATCCGCGTTCTCGTGTTTGCCGACATGATGTGTCTTAGCAGTTGATAGTGAGACCGCCTTTGTTATGCTGGGAGCGGCACAGAGATAACCGTGGCAGTCCCCTGAAGTCGGTCTATTCTAGAGTTGGATTCGGAGAAGTGCTAACGGGATCTTGTGGGGTATGTAGCTTCGGCGGCGGACCAAAATTGGAGTTGAAATCATTGTTGCGCCCTTTGATTGCAGTAGGGGCAATGATTGCTACACTCCACGTGATGCTTATTGATAGCAACTAGAAAGAGACGAGCATGTGTCAGTACGTGATTTCTTTGCAACTTGGTAGGAAAATGGAAGGCCTTATCAAAGACGAAGCTAGATGTGATGAGTATTATATTGTGCAGTGGTATACGTGGCTCTATGCGCAGCCATCAAAATCGGCCGTCTTCTCCTTCGGGTGACAGATGCTTCTGTCGCGACGAACTTCCGACTTTTCACTTTAGGCTTTTCTTTTCTCTCATACAATTTGCGCTCTGCCTAGATCGATGATCCTCTTCGATTTTCAGTCCTGGCATCCAAGGAGAATCCGCTCCTCTTGCAGAGGTGGATAGATCGCTGACTTCTAAAGATGACCTTATCTATGACAGAGTGCCGGATAAATGGAGCTATCGATGCCGAGAGGAGCACGGTGTCAGCGCGCCAGACTGCAATGACCCGGCGAAGACGATTACGATGATCTGGCGAAGACGTTAAAACAGCTTAGATGGTGACAATGGCAACGACGGCGAGCACAGCTGCGTGCACGGCAATAGAGGCAACACACCCTAACACACATGACAAGGCACAATGGCAAGCATAATGACAAGCACACAATAACGGCGGGTATCACGATGGCGAGCACAACTGCGGGCACGATAATAGCGGTAACGGTAGAGGGACACCCAAGGCTGGCCTCTATCTCCACTTGCTTGTCTGTAGAACCATCGCGTCAAAACCGACGGAGACTAATTTTAAGTCTAGTATTAACTCTATTGTACAGCAGCAGGTCGCGAAGCCAGCCCGAGCCTGCCTCTGACCAAGGATCAGTGCATCGATTCTCTATTGAATTTTCGTATGATAATCTCAATTTCTCCTACCACATCCGCGCCACTGGGGCTCTCAGTGGTTCTGGCGCAAATACAGGGAAACCTGGTTATAAGGGTACGGCCGGTTCCAGAATAATTACCCTTATAAAGGGGTTACCCTTATATCCAGACTAATTTTGGTAGGAAAAAAAATTTGGTTCCCGATTTACTACCCTTATAAAGAGGTTACCCTTATAACCAGTACCCTTATAACCAGTACCCTTATAACCAGTACCCTTATAACCAGGTTTCCCTGTATCATCTTCGGCAACCTGTATTCCGCTTACCTGCATCCCTGAAGCACTCGCTGGCTTGGGGGCTTTACTGATCCGCGCCATCTTGTTCCTTGGCTCTGGCACCTCTCGGTACCTTCGCCCTAGTAAATTGGCATAGCGAAGGAGTTTCGCTCTCGTCGCGCTAACTCAGTCTGCGGTGTTTTCGTATTGGCTCATTGTACACGCACAGCCTCATACGCCTTACTTGAAACAATAAATCCAGCGTTGCGTTTCGCGCTCCGCCTTAGATCAAGAGAAAACGGTGTTATTATTTAAGAGACCCTTTATGCTCTATTGTCTATCCTATGCGCGCTCTCAACCTGTCTTATGTATGCCTATCCCAATAAATCAACCATGGAACACCTCCCCCAAACATATGGACTCCAAGAACCCCATCCTAATGTTGTAGAAAGCATCGGCTATTCTAGGCAAGGGGGGGGCTAGCTTAAACTCGCTAGCGGGATAGCGTAGAGCGGACATGGTGGGTAAGGTAGAGCCGGGACGATGTGTGGAGGGTAGCGCTGGAGAAATGCTGCTAGTTCCACAGCAGTCCCGTGATGGTTCGCCAGACTGAGTAATTAATAGGTTAACAGATTCCCAAACTTGGAAGAAGAATTTATTTACTGCCCCGGCGCCTCTGGGCTCTCTGTTGAAGCCAGGCCATCAACGATATAGCAATGGCGATAACGGCGGTGACAAAGGAGAGGACAATGCCAACAATGGCAATGATGTTGGAGAGTATAAGAGCCATTGTATTTAGTGCGATAGACCACGCTCGTAGGGATTTTGGACGGTTAAGTGGAAATCTTGAACTTAGAAGTAGTTGACAGCTGATGATAGGGACTTGCTAAACAGAAGGATGGATCGATAGCTGAGCTGGAGTGGTCTTTCTCTCGAGAACGAGCTGACAAGAGGTAGATTGAGGTTAAATCTTCCCAAGGGACATCGCCAAAGCCGCAGAGAATATGATCACTTTGTCAAATCCAAAGTTAAGATTTGCCCTCATGATCTTCTCCATCAAAAGTGCGACGGGCCCGTATTGGCCCTCAGACGTTCACATTGCAACGAGACGTTAAGTTCGCTACATCAATGAATAGACGTTCTGCGCACTCCTTGCTGGGGGCGACTGTTTATTGCGCTTCGAAATGAGTGGTTGAGCATCTTTGTTATGGGCTTGAGGAAGTGCGTGCTGCCTTCTGTGACATGCTGCTTGCGGCTGATGACGCCTCAGTCGTCAACACAGCTATTGTGTTTGCTTCAAGTGCGTAGTGACATAATTGGTCAGAATCTTTCTTCCAGGACCGAGTGTCGGAATAGTACCGATTTCTCGCAAATCACGACTCACCGCACTTGACGGCCCTGATTTCTGCACGTGGAAGGCCATCCCAGTTCCAGAATTCATCCCTCTTTGAAATCCGCATAAGAGCTGGAAATTTGGCCAATCATCCTCAGCCATTTGTGGCTGAGTGCTGCAGGGTTGCGTCAGCAAACGGTTGGAAGTGCGCAGTGAAATTATTGGCTACGCTGATCAAAGAGATACAGCAAAGCCAGGCCTATTTGAATGCCTCTGGCCCCTTCATCATTGTCAACCTTGGAAAACATCCACGGTCACTCACACAAAATTTCTCCATCAGAAATCTCATCTATCATGCCTTCCGCGCCATCTAGGAGACACCAGGATTTCCAGCCCATAGTTTCCAAACCATGCGAACCGACACGGCAACACCCTGACAAACAGCCTCATCCTTATAAATGGCCACCCCGAAAGCTCGCAAGCCGAAAATGCGAGAATTGCCGCAAGAGCAAGCAAAAGGTATGCTTTTTTCTTCTTTCGTAGAGTTGCCTGTTCTGGATGCTCATAAAATGTGTGTAGTGCGTGGCAGAAGGATCTGGATGCCGGAGATGCTCCAAGCTTCATTGGCCTTGCCCCGGCCTTACAGAGAGAAAACGTTCTCGTCGAACGCCAGTCGGATCACCTGCCACGCCCTCGTCCGCAGCCACTCCTCATCATTCGGAAACACTAGATGACACTTACGAGGATGAATCCGCCTCCGTGGCTCTTGGACTCCTTGCTGTCCAAGGCTCTTGTTCACATCAACTGTCAATGACCCTAACATATTCACTGAAATCAGTCTGCTGATAAGCTTTATAGTGGCACTTCTTGGAATCGCGACATCTCAGCAGATAACAGCTCGCTTTTGGACGATCAGCCTCGAGAAGGCTCTGCCCAGCAGGAACTCGAGTACGGTATCAACGCACTTAACCAGGCATACATAGAAACAGACGGCATCGACCTAGGAGGACCACGTCTGTATTGCGGTAACCTGTCAATCAGGCCATTATTGGGCAGGATTCTAGTGCCCTGGAATATGCCCGAGGATAAGATGCACGAGGATAAGATGCGCGAGGAAGACCGGCTTTGGAAGTTCCGCTCGAACTTCAACAAGCAGCATGTACGCCTCAAGCAGGCAGCCCAGAAACCCTCTACAAAACTTGACCCACTTTCCTGGCAGTTACAGAATCCCAGACAGGCATGGGCTGCTGCAATAACGACAATGCGGCGACTGTCCAGGCTAGAGTCTTCCCCAAAACTCATGGATGCCCTCTCCTTCCTGTGTGTCTCTAGAGCTATGGCAGAGACAGCCGAGCATGATCGAGATGCGTATATATCCGCATTTTCTCAGGACTTGAAGCAATGGAGAAAGATCTTCCCTGAAGTCGAGGAGGTCTCAATGTTCATGTGGGAAATCAATTTGGACTCTGTCCCTCAAATTCCTCAAGTCCACACTACAATACTGCAGCTGCGAGAATCCGTGGCCGCACTAATCGTAAAGGCCAATGCGATGTTCGGTCTTGGAGATCGCAGTTTACACAACAAGACAGATGAACTCGGAGCCTCCTGCCAACGGTGGCCGAGAAACACCGACCAAGCTCCGCCAGCCACGGAACCACCTGACCCCCCGGCAAGAGCAAGAGAAAAGGAACCACCTGTCCGACAGATCTGCCCGAACACCACCCCCCTAGAAGAGAAAACCCCAAGTCCCCTTTCCAACTTAGTTACACTGGTGACCAGTATCATATTTGCACTCGTCGTCTACTTCATGCTAGGTTTGTGCACTCTTCCTCCTTCCACAGAATCATCGGCTTACGTGGAACAAGGCTTTGCCCACACCTCATCGACCACGGTACTGGGATTCCCCAATCCATGGCAGACCCCCATGTCCCAAGCTGGTACGAGCTCCCAGACTACACCACTTGAGACATTTCCCAGCCTAATACCCGCGCCATCCCTCCAAACAGGCTCGACTATCTACAACAAGCCATTTTCAAGCATAGAATCAATCCCTCCTTTACGGGACCTCTCTCAAGAACTCCCTACGGCTACTTACGATAATACCCAAGCTCCTGCTCAGGAATGCTTTCACCATAACCAGATTCCACTACCTTCCTCTTCAAAGGGGGACACTACTCGAACATCCGACTACAATCTAGGCGACCCTGTTAACCCAAGTTGGCTTGATAACGCCTTTCCCGATCCCTTTTCACCATGGACGTGGGGGTAATGGCAACAAAGATACGTGAGAATGGCGGAGCTGATCAATCTGTAAGAAATATATTGTATTGACGAACTGTTCTGAACTGATCTCTAGCAGCGAGGAGCTGGAAGAGGTATAAATACAAGGAATGACTTGTGCTAAGAGTCAAAGAAAGGGATTTCGGAGAAGGCAACAATGCTGGAGCCAGGGAAGCTAGCAGTGCTAGTATTTGCGGAAGGAGAAACCGCTACAATAGCCTTCAATGAAAACTCTCGAACGATGACTGTGAGCTTGCTTCGTTGCTTAGATAGCTAGTCTTTCTTCTTTACACTAGCTCTTATCAAGAGTATTAAGTGTTTCTTGAATTTCATTATATCGAATAATTTCGTCGGTGCTTTTGGGTATTGTAAATAGAATAGCAAACGTGGTCAACGAAGCTTTTTATGAAACCGTTGCATCGTCATAACTCCAGAAAATCACGTACATGCATGAATACCCAGGCCTCATACCCCCAACGTCTGCGTGTCACAAGTCGACAATAGCCGCCCGATATGCGGACAATACTCCGACGCGGTTCTATTCTTGAACCTCCTCTGCTCCCGTTTGAAGATTTTTGAGCTAGCCACCTTGACATCGCTCGTTGAACACTCAGCGAGCTCCAGATGCGCCTGTAGATGACGGGTACTGGATTATGATCGCGGGAGCGACGGTGTTGCCTTAGCAGTGGAGAATCACGAGTTTCGTAGCGATATATCCGCTGTGTACAGTTGTCGTCAGCCATTTATTTTTACCAGTTGCATTGAATCCAGCGCTTATGACGTTTACGTGGTATATGGATGATGGAATGAATATTGTTGATTAATGTATGTTGCGGCGTTGAGAGGGTTGGGTTACATGATAAACGGGAAGGCGTAGGCAGAGAGAGGGGGGGTACAGTACGGGATTGGTCTTATTATGCTCGGCCATGTGATCGATCTTGTCTATAGAGGTACAGGCGTTCACACTTCGTGATCATATATTTAGATGGTCTGAAAAAGCATAATCATAATGCGAATATAGCATTTATTGACCATCTCTCGCTCCTGTTCATCTCTGTCAATTGCGATGCAAAAGTCAACGATGCAAAGAGACTGAAGGAGGAATGAATTTGACTCCAAGACATTGGACTCAACATGGCTCGCTCGCAAACGGTTGATATCCTGTTACCAAGCCTTAAGGAGTGGAACAAACTTCTAGTAGTTTAAACGCGTCCTTCACCGGGGAATAGAGGCGGGAGCCAGCGCCACCAAAAGAATCTCACCACGCATACTGAACCCCTGCCAAAAGATCCAAAAACATACAACAGCAGGTATTCGCTGGTGGTCACCCACCCAACTACTAATCTGCCGATCTAAGGCTTGTGTATGGCAGAGCGGACGGGATGCCCAATTGCTCCTTAGTCTATGGTCGTATGTGACGGAAACTGCATTATTTGAAACTATATCGCATTCGCAGATTTGAATATTAAAATTTGACCGAACGTTCGTGTCCTTAGTTTACGGAGCTGCGAATCAGATCGCAGATCCAGTGATTGGCTTTTGGGATCACGGAACAGAGAATTAGCCTGCCGGTATTTGAGATCTGTTAATTAATCGAACATGTGAAGTGGGGCAACAGGTTCTGAGAGCTGCTGCCTGAAAAGATTGAAGCATGGTTGCTAGAATCGTGGACCGTGGTTCCTGGATCTCGAATGCAACTAATGTGATTCACTGACCTTGGTCACATCACTGGATCAGTGCTCTCGGGGCAACAAAATGCACACAACCTTTTGCGACGTGCAATAACAACACATTGCTCATTTTGATTAGCTACACAGGAGTGATGTTGCTGCTAGTCTTTCAACTTAGTATCTATGATGATTATAATAAGGCTTGACCAATTAAAACTCGAATTAGGCAGGGACAACAAGTACAGTATATGCGTCACGAACATTAAAACGTAGCCAAAGAACCTTGGGCACAGAGACAATATTGTTGTAGGAGAACTTCTAGCAAGATCTCATACTAATTTTATGTATTTATGGGCCTTGTGGAACTAACGACGTAAGGGGTCGCTCGGCTAGCAAGCGATCCAGTCAATTCACGGGATCTGGAAAGTTACATGACTAATCAACCTGATCAGCGAGTGATCAAGAAGCAGGAAGACCCTCTGTAAAGCAGACGAGTCTACAGTAGATAAGAGCTTCTTGCTCCAGCTCAAATAAAGTATCTTCTCACCGCACACCCCTCCACCCCCTTCCTTCCCCAAAAAGTGCCGATTAGAGGCGAGGCCAGGCTAACCGAAGTCCCTGACGAAAACACGTTAGATTATACTAAAAAGCCTTGAATGAAATCTTTATTTATAAAAATTTCTCTTCATATATTGAACTATATAATAAACTCTTAGAAAATTGACTTTTTGACTTATATTATTATATTTAAAATAATAAATATAATATCTTGGTTTAATAACTTTAAGTAATTTAAAGTTTATATTAAATAAATATATAATTTCATAATAAAGAATAGTTATATATAATATTAGAATGTAAAGAACATATTACTAATAAAATAAGACTTATTAAAGATACGGAATTAGTAATACAAAGGTTTTAAGCACTCACATTGAGGCACTAGAGTAATAGTTACGCTCTTGCGATACACCTATCTTAGAGACCGCCTTTCCTACTCGGGCCACACTTCCATCATGTCTAACCATTCAAGCGCAAAACCTGTCACGATCTTGGCCCAGTCCCTAACAGTCGGCAAGTGAAGGTGTTTGCCGTTGTCTTCTATTGTATTTGCGATTGGGGGCAGAGGCGAAGGCAGAAGCCGAATAAATGGTATACCACGTTCCATGAACGGGACGTAATCGCCTACTATTTCAGACTCCATGATTGGCTCGTTCGTCATGGGAAGGAATGCAGATAGCGGGCTCGTCTCGAGAAGACCAATCTTACGCAAGCGGTCTTCAAGACGTGCCATGTTTTTGTATGCCCAATGCGTAAGGAGGAAATATGAGGGAATTGTGGGGTTGATGGATCCCAGGACGTCGAGCAGAACGAATATATTAATTTGGCTCAAAGCATTTGGATACTTCGAGCCAACTGGATTGGTTTTCATCTCCCAAGTCTCACTCAGAGCTCTGTTGCAATTATTAGCAAGAATGTATGGTTTCAATGCTTGGAAAAGCATACCTTGATCCATACAATGCTGGCCCCTTCTCATCCAAAGCCTCCTTCCCGTCAAGAAGTAGTATTTGCACACCCATATCCATCTCGACTGTTCCCCCTTCCCCCAATTCCGCCATCTCGTCATGCATCTGTGTCACATACTGATCGATGCTTCTTGCAACATGCAGCAATATAGCGCAAGGAACAGCACTATCCGTCGCGCCTAAAAACCCCTCTGGGAAGTTCTTGCTGTCATAATGCGCCGCCAACGTCAACCAATTGGCCTGCCCTTGCTTTGTCCAAGGCGGCTCCCTCTTGAAAACAAGGTTCGCGATTGGGACTTCAACACCCATAGGCGTTGTCGTGCTCGAATTGTACCACTCCATCCTCCATCTTGGCAGCTCGCCGCTGAAGAAATTAATGAAATGGCGCTGGACAGTTGTATGCCCTGCTGTCCCGGCGACGCGGGGTATCAGGATCGGGGAAAGATGAGTCCCATGATCAGGGTCGAAGTCCGAGCCTCCGGAGGATATGTTTCGCAAGAAGCTGTCGGAGAGCGGTTTATAAGCATATGTAATGACGAGAAGGCTGTCCATGACCAGGAACAAAAAACAGGGATGGCAGCTTGAGATGGATAAAAAGCTCCTCATGGCTCGGCAGACGGTATCAAGATGATACCCTTATCGAAGTCATAAGATGGTGCCTGTATTTTCTACTTTTGTTTGCGGGAACTTCCTAGCATCTGAAAATCTAGCATGTAAGAAATCAAACACTCAATTCAGAGGTTCACTGAAACCTGGAGCTAATAGATAGGCTTTACACTTTAAAATGTTGGTCAAAAAGCTCGGCAGTGCAATGCAGCAGAGTCCGTGCTCAAGAAAGTGAAATCGAGGTAAAACAAATCTATAACGCTTATGTAATCGGTACTCCCGTGCGTGGAGGGCTTAAGCGAGGTGATAAAAGGGGGTAGCTTCGCTAATTGGGGCGCCTTGACTTGAAAATGAAGTGAGTTAACATCTCAACATTTGCACTGATATGGCATTTTCAGCGCGTCTGTAATTAGAATTGTCATCCGTGGCGTTATTATTGTTGTTATTTTATGCGGCAGCACCCTTTGCTGCGTCTGCGGCTCCTGCTTGACCCTTTCCAGCCGCACCACCGCCAAAGAGAGCAGCTAAGCCACCAGCACCACCGGCTGCTGCTCCACCTGCAGCTCCGGCACCTCCAGCGCCTTTGTGGTGACGGCGTTCTTTGGCCGCGCCTCCCAATAGAGCAGCCAAGCCACCAGCACCGCCTGCGCCGCCTGCGGCATCAGCTCCACCTGCTGCTCCGGCACCACCACCAAAGAGAGCAGCTAAGCCACCAGCACCACCGGCTGCTGCTCCACCTGCTGATGCGGCACCAGCACCGCCCGCGCCTTTATGATGACGTGCTGCCAAGGCAACATCTGCTTCGACCTATCTCATTGATTAGATTTTGAATTGTATGAGATGTTGACTCGAACGTACAGGTGCTGCCTGAGCGACTTGCAAGGTAGCCATCAAGGCTACGGTGAGTAATTGGGTGAGACTAGTGAACTGCATGATGATGGATGCAAAGAAGGACCGTAGGTAAATGGAATAAACGTAGTTGGTGAATGGCAGTTTAGAAGAAATTGATATGGACTACTGACAACGAGGACGAAATCTGAAAAGTGATCGTTTTAAAGAGCAAGATTGAGAAGAAAAAGCCAGAATAAATTAGCTTTTTAAAGAGAAAGAATCAAAAGATGAGACAGGCTCGCCAGGACTCGGATAAGTTCGGGTACTAATGGGACTTTTTCTCCATTGCGAGTCTTCAGTGGAGATCCTTCTCTGTATCGAACCCGAGGACTTGGAAAGCCGTGCCGATCTGTTTCACGCATGATGGAAACATGATGCACCAGTTGGTTACTGACATGCTTCAATCCCGCAAATGATCGAATGCCCAGCCTGTAATTGCCAGAAGATCAATGCGTACGTGACTGAACTCCAAGCTCAGGTCTTGTAAGTTTCATCGGTGGAACATCGCATGTCGAGAGTCCTAGTCCTTTCGGCTTTTCCATGGTGGTAGTGCAGGAGCAGTCAATGCGATGTTTCACCGCCTTGCATGCATTGGCGCGTCGGCTACGTGGATGTGTGGCGATCTGGCGATCCTACAGGGTCGATTGAGTGTTCTGTGCGCCAAGGATACCTTATTTCAACGACTTTTCAGTGGCTATTCCTCCCGATGCTTGTGGGAGACTCACTAAAGCTCCGACCCGGAGGGGCAATACTTGCGAGCTGTAAAACAAAACGAGAACAGACACTCCACCGTTAGAAGTCCATCTCCTCTGAATATCAGGGACACTGAAACCATCCCCCCCGGAAATCGATTCTAATGGTCAAGGGTGTTGCTTTCGGGCATGTTTGGCACGGCAAATTACAAGCAGTAAGTTCGGCCCAAGTATTGTATTGGTATCCTTTGTTCGAAATCCGCATCTAACGCTTTCGAAAGATTCGGTTTCATTTTTCATAGTATACACGTTCTGGCTTTTCGATCCACTTTTGAATCAACGAGCCTTCATTGACGCCTTGCAAGAACATATCTGGCATCGAGTCTATTCTATATCCCTAACCATCTATTGTCTTCTTGTTGGTGCAATAGAATTCCAGACATGAAGGACATTAACGCAGGATATGAAAAAGTCCCTCCTGATGAGCTTTCCACAACTGTCGCAGAAGATGGGGCAGGATTCGACTTGTTCGAGCTAAAGCAGCAAAATTTGAGAACAGAGCAAATACATCGTTCCAAATGTCTTTTAATCGCCAACTCGATTCTATTCTGCACCTCTGCATTTCTCCTAGCTACAACTTACATCCGAGGCACCCCAAACACAGCGCAATTCGTCTCGAAATTCTCTTCATATTCACCAGCTCGAAAAGCCGTGCAATACGTATCCGGCACCTTCAACGCCACTCAAGGAAAGGACTCGGGCTACATTGGTACAAGCAACGAAACAGAAGAAATGTGGAATTGGGTCACGGTGGATATGGGTGACCAGATGGTCACACCAGAGGAGCTGAAGCTGGTCAACAAACCTGAGACCTCGGTCAAGATCAAGAATCCCAAGACAGGAAAGGAAGGATATCGAATCGGATTGGAGGTTTTTCATCAGCTTCACTGCTTGAATCTCGTTAGGAAGAGCACGTATCGTGATCATTACGAGGGAAAGGGTGACTTTGCTGAAGAAGATGAAGTCAAAATACGCAACCATCTAGGTATGGACAGTCGAATTCCCCCCTCTTTCCCTCGTGTATCCTCTTCTCGCTACAAGGCATTTTATTAAACTGACATTCACTGATTTGGACAACTGCTTATCTACCACATAGACCATTGTTTAGAGATGCTACGTATGAATATCATGTGTCAAGTCGACATCGGTGTGATAACTTTCCATGAACTGCCTGACAAACCCGGTGATCCGTGGCCGGATTTTAGCACTCTGCACGTTTGTCGCGATTTCGATGCTGTGAGGAAATGGGCTATTGATAATACGGTTGCGAATGATGATATATTTTGAATGGAAGAAAGAGAAAGAAGAACTTTCCGGAAACGTGATGGGTGGGAATGTCCCTGATTTTGGATCTTGTATAGAAAGGAATGCAGGGAACGGTTTTTAGTTGAGCGTTGGCAGGTTGATGTTATAGCGGTATTTAATATAGGAAAATCTGGATAGTTAATCTGTTGATTTTCGTTGAGTTGTACGGATGAAATAGAGCTTCTTATAAGAAGGAAAATGAACTAATTTGCGTCTACGTCAATTTATTAGGGCACAGCCATGCACGGCAATCAGTATAAACCTGTCCGGTATTGCAAGTCTCGATAGGTAAATATTATTTTCTAGCTTGGGGAGGCGTCAACAATGCGCTAACTGTTCCTCCTCAGAAATTCTTTCTAGAACGCTGTGCCAACATATGCTCTTTATATGCTGTGTATTTTTGGGTATCTGATGTTGAATTGACACTAGGTATGAACCACCCAATTTTCCAAACAGGGAGGGGATGCTTCTTATGCCGACCTCGTGTAGCATTTAACAATCTATAGGTCGGCCCTCCTAGTTCCATGGTACCAAACCAACAAGACGTTGCAAGTCATTGAACCAAGTTCAGCTGTAATACTAGTCAACCAATTTCAATAAATTTGTTGGTCGTCATAGGCTCTGACGCTTTCCAGGTAATTGATGACCTGGCCGTAATCTTTACAAACTGTTGAGAGAATCAGCGACTTGTCCTTTCTTGGCATTCCATTTCACTGAAAATACCGTGCTTTGAATCCCAGCCATCGGATCCTCCATTATGGTCTGGGAATGTTGTCTCCAGCCCTTCAAGAGCCATGTCGGCTGAACACATAATGGCCTGACGCATATAGTCAAAGCAGTGAATCATGTGCCAGTGGTGATCTTCTGGCAAAGCTGTGTTGGACTTCAGGCCAGAGTATGTCTCTACTACGGCAAACAGACAATGCAGCTGATGGGTCATTGAAGTTGTGAAAACTGTCTTGTTCGGCCATACGATAGGGTGAGGTAGATCATGATATCTGTGTGTGTCGTTCACCCATTGAAATCCAATTCCGTCTGTTATGAATTCAGCAGTCTGTTCCACGAGAATTCAAATCAATAATTCTTACGAGGCATTAGTTCATTCCATGCAGTCAGAACTTCTTCTCGAAAAAACTCTGATGTGTTGTATGGCGCAAATGTTTGGTTGATTTGAAATGTCGTGACTTGGGTCGAGACTATTCCATTGTTAGATTACTGCTGTCATTCTTTATATCTCTGGTAGATACCTACAGTGTGGCCCAACACCCGTAAAGTCTCCTCCTACCTCATTCTCGCTGGTTTTTGGGATGGCCTTCTGCGATTGATCTCGCGCCAGCAGTCCGACGATGACAAGTAGCAATACAGCGTCAAGGAACCATCGTGCCTGATTAATGATGGATAGGCATGTTACCCTCTTTGATTTTGTCGCGTATTTCTGGCGGAACTCCTCTCCATACATCTGCTTCTCGTCTCCCATCAAAGACTCTTCCACCTCGGTGGTTGATGAATCTTCATGATCATCGATGGGGACATTTTTATATTTGAGCTGGCTGGCCATAATATATCAAGAAAGAAAGAAACGGTCTTAGTGAGGAATAAGAACTAAAAAGGAAGGAGCGTCAGACTAAAAGCGAACCTAATTGTAAAATTGTGTGGTCGAGGGGGAATTGCACGATGTCCGATCCATCGGCTGAAGTGATAAAACAAGAGACCAATGATGTTTGAGGTCATGAGCATTGATGAATTGGTGTTCTTACGCTATACAAGTTGTTTTAGGTTACGGCTTGTTCGCTGCCAAACATCCGGATGTTTCACTTTCAACGGTAAGACCATTGCAAACCAGCGAACGCGAATAGGAGCGGCTACTTCTACCGAGGTCCAAAACTAGCTAGTATAGCACCACCCAAACTATAACTCCCTCAGAACTTATATAGGATAGAGGTGACGGTGCAACGTGCATCACGTGCTTTCCATATCCACGTGACTAACCACGGCGAAATGCAAGATCAGGTGGATAGGATGTTTGCGTTGCGTTTCTTAATAACGGGAGAAGCTGATATGTCGGTTAGATCCTTTGTCGTAGGTAGATGCACAATAACTCGCTTGCGTTGCGTTTCTCAAAAAGGAGTGAAGGATAGATTTTGCGCTGCTCTCCAAGGTTATCTACCTTTTCACTTTACACTCGCTCAAGACTCGAGGTCCATTGACAGATACTCAATTTGTAGAAATTGCTTCCTTAAAACCTCCCCCTTGTGACATGAATGCCGTGCTCCTCACCTTTCCTGCAATCACTGATGTCATTGTGGAGGGGTCACCCCTGACTTGTGCACGAATTAAGCGAGCCCCTTTCTCGCTACTTCCCAAAACGGACATTTGTTGATTGCGACCCTTCTTTCTCAATTCCAACATTGCACCAACATGAAATCTACGAAAGAAGATAACGCATCCAATGAATCGGGGTAATTATTGTCGCATCAATTTGCCAAATGTAATTTCCGACCCCGCTCGCTCGACGAGATCGTCAAATCTGGCAAGGCGATCGAAGATCCCATATGCCTGTTTGGACAATTTGTCTCTGCCGTAACTGCAGATGCTTTGAAGGACATCCAACCTCCGTCAGAGGTGAGTTGAAGGGTACCATTCTGTCCCTTTAGGAAAGCTAATTGCCAATTACAGTTCTCAACCTTTGTACGCGATTTGTGCGTGAAGGTGCCGTCCGTTGCTCAATATCTCGTCCAAGAAATCCTCAAAACACTTTAGCTGCCTAGACTGCTAATACTTCGAGTCGGGGGTTTAGAGTAGAGTTAGTTATCAATTGCAAGTGGCAGAATGAGTTTTATTTGTGTGTGCGACGATTTCAAAAAAAAAAGGGCGCGTTCAATTCCGATTCTCAGCTAAGATGCTAACTAATCTCGTATTTAGGCGGTCAGCTGTTGCAATGTGGCCATATCCAAATAAAGGTACATAGCCTGCTCTGGGGTCCAGGTGAAAGTTGAGCCGAAGTCTGGCACGCTATACGAATATTTCTTGGTCCAGCTCTCGGCGTTTCCTTGCAACTCTGCGACGGACTTGTCGACTAAAGCCCTTCCAACAATGTCGTATCCGCCAGGTCTTTCACGAAGGACAGCTGCAACATCACATCCAAGGAATTGGCATATCGAATCCCCAATGCGAGCATTCATCGGAACGTAGCCGGTCTGACCATTGTCCATCACAAAGGGCAAACAGTTTTGCGATTCCTGGGTACTGTGTGATTTTTTGATCTGTTTCGATGACGGGGTGGCTGAAGTGTTGATTGATACTAAAAAGCGAGTCGCATTTTGGGCTATCTGAAGTCAGCCGGTAATTTAAATTGATTTTGCAGAGAATTCCTACTGACCTTGCAAAGCAAACGAAGTCTGGCTGCTGATCGGTATTACTTTTCTCATATCCTCGATCGTTCGTGACATATTCTCGCGAGATCTAGCATCTATATGATGTGGAGGCAGTTTCGACAGCTGTAACAATATAGTAGCTGAATTACAAGCCTGGCCAAGGCCTGAGATTATGCTAGTGCAAATGCCAAATATATTTATTGCAGACAGGCTGAGCTCGGAGTCAGGTGCTAGTAGATACCTGTCGGCCCCATCGCGCAGCTCTGAGGGACGGTCAAAGGACCGTTGAAGCATTTGACTGAACCGAACAGTATGTTGACTGGGTCCGCCCTCGCGACTATGAGATGGATGATAGAAGTTAATAACGTCTGCATATATCTGAAACAAAGTTTTGGAATAATCCACCGCCAATTCATCGTTCTGACAGTCAACGGCAAGTCCTAGAAGTGCGTAAACCTTGTCTCTTGGGTCACTGCAAATCGAATCTTGACAAGTCTCTATTAAGTCCTCGAGCTTGTTGCTTTGCTGAGAAGTTCGATGACGATCCAAGCTGAAAGCCTGACTGCCTTGAACCTTCTCGTTGGTCCTTAATAATTGAAACCTTGCAGTAAAGGCCGGAGCAGGAGCCAAACTTGGAGAACTCAGTAACATTCGTAGACGATGAAGACCCTTCCAGTTTGCGGAGAGATCGTCAAATAGAATGGTAATATCTGATGCTAAGCCAATCTCTTGCACGATCCACATCCGTCGCCAATAAGGCCGATCGAAGAATTGTAAAACTGTGATCGGGTTGAATTCCGGGAGAAGGTGAGTCCCTGCCAGGTAATAATCTCCATCCCCTAGCTGGGTCTCCTCAGCTAGCTTGTTGAGTCCGATCATCCATGCGTATACATCGTAGAAATCTCGACCGTTATTCGATTTCTCCTTCAAGCAGCCAAGCCACGCGACCACTTCAACGGCGGTTTTGTAGATCTGGCCCATGAGACGAACTTGATGATTTCTTTCCGCGGTGTTTCGCTGATCAATGCACAAGGCATCGATCCATATCCATTTGGTGTCGCCTTTCGTGAAGTGATAACGGGTCGTCAAGTTTGGGACGCTGAAGCCCCTGTCTCGAAGGTTCCACAACGCGTGCCACAAGTTTTCTCGAATCTTGACACGAGATCCATCTAAGATGATGGCTTTCGAATTGGTATGTCCCCAAGCATATGAAAGTGCACGGTACGGTGGAGCACTCTCAAGGCGGAATTTTTCGATTTTGCATCGTATTTCAGCGCATTCTTCCTCTGGGTCGACGGCCTCGATCGTCAGCAGCCTGATGCCATCCGAGCCTTCCAAAGGTGAATACGGATAGCCCGGCATTTGAGTCATCAGGACAGGAGAATAGAGCTCGATTTGACGAAGGCATTTGAAGAGAAAATGATCGTACTTATGTCGAGGTAAGACGAGGCTGAGATGTTGAGGCTGTGCAAATTTGCTGCCTGAGGGCGAAACGAAATTCTGGTCATAAAACACACATTTATCCCTGTCAGGAAAGTAGTGTGGCAGACTTTACTAGCTAGTGACTCCTTATACGCCTAGGAACCGTACATCTGAGTACTTATCTGAGGTTGGAGTTATTGGTAACGATCTTGTCGCAAATAGCAAGGAACAGTGATTTGCATAAATGGTTGTCTGATTAAAAGAAGCTCTGAAGGGAGCCTCTGGATCTAGCTAAATAAAAGGGGCTGCTGAGTAAGCGAAGCTAAGCTCCCTAGTACCCGTATCCGTACGACAGATCTCATAAACGTCGTTCGATGGTTCTAGAACAATGCAGATCTCCCCAATTTCCGAACCCTGAAATATGTATTCAGCTATTACATACACAGAGCCATATGAACACCAATGGTGAAAGTAGTAAGAAAATAAAGCCCGTATGTACATAGTACAACCAAACCAGACCCCCCTAGATCGTTTCATCTCGCTAGGAATATGAATTTAGACTTTCAATCTGCCCCGCTCCCTTGACGTCGCATTCGCGCGCATTGTGTGTGGGTTGCAGTACGGGGGCTTGGGTGCGCGGCTGTGATTTGCATATGTGGATGACATGATGAGCGTGGTTGTGTAGTTAGGAGGTATGTGTGTGTGTGTCAGTGTTCGACGTTGCTAAAGAGAGGGAAAATTCATGCGTAGCCCAGAGTAAATCAATATCTCAATTCTCTACTACCGAGGTCGCTAAGCTTAAAATGTAACCTTTTTGCCAGTACTCTCAACGATACCGCCCGTCAATCGAGCACTACCATGCGGCAGCATATACTCGACCTTCTTAGGAGTTTCACTGATCTTCTCCCTGACGCCCTCCGTTGCTCCTTCAAGGGCTTCTGTAGGTCTGCTCTTGGTACCGTCCTTGCCGTATCGTTTCTTGTAACGGACTTGAGCATCTTCTGCAAACTCCATACGCAACGGTCGGCCCTTGATTTTGTTGACCCACCACTTTCTCGTCTTGGTCTTCTTGGGCCTTGTTTTGCGGACACCTTCTGAACCAGATGCTTCGTCCTCCGACTCCGACTCAGATGCATCCGAAAGCTCCTCCTCGATGCACACGAAACCTCGAACAGCATTCTCTGCACCCTCCAATTCCTCGAACGTGATCCAAGCATACCCTTTACACTTGCCGGAATCCTCAAACTGTGCGACCTTCACATTGGCAATGGCTCCACACTTCTCAAAATGCTCCTTGAGATTGTCCTCCGTGGTGTCAAAGCTCAGATTGCCAAGGAAGACTCTCTTGCTCGGTGGTTTGCCATCATTTCTACTCTCCTCCTTGGTCTTCTGAGGTCTCCCCTCAAATGACTTATTGTTCTTGATCAGAACTCGTCGTCCTCCTAGTAGCTGTTCAGACAATTCGATAGCATAGCCGACGGCTTCCGAGCAGTTGAAGTCAACGTAGGCATATCCTTGGTTGTTCACAACCTTTACGAACTTCTTCTTCTCTTCGACCTTGTTGGCTGGCTTGCCATCGTTGGGCGTTGGCATATGGACTCGGGTGATCATTTCTTCGGTGATGTCTGAATACTCAACAAAGAACTTTCGCAAATCTTCCTTGGAAAGGTGCCATGGCAAGTTGCCGATCCAGATACCGTGTTCAGACCTCTTCTCAACCTCACTCTTCTTCGCTTGCTTCTTTTCTGGCTCAGGGGTAGACTCAGCTCCAGACTTGGAAGGAGGAAGAGGCTTTCCCTTCTTGAGACGACGAAGAGCCTTCTTGGAGGGTGGCTCTGGAGCGGTGATATCGACTTCAATTTCCTCAACTGAGGCTTTGCGCTTCTTAGATGGGGGTTGCTTGGAAGTTTCTTCAACGGCCTGGGATGCAGATTCTGGAGCAGCTACCGAGAAGCCTTCGTCAGGGGAGGATGCATCTGCAAACTTGGTGGACTTTTGCGGAGCTTCATCAAGTGATTCTGCCTTTCTTTTCTTACTGGGCTTATCTTTTTTCCCTTTCGGGGCTGACAATGCTTCGTCGCCAGGTGTTGATGCATGTGCAAGCTTAGCGGATTTCTCTGGGACTTCATCATGTTCTTCTCCCTTCCTATTCTTGCTTGGCTTGTCTTTTTTTGACTTCGAAGCCAACTTCGGAGCTTTGGACTTGAGGGTTTCGCTTGTCCCGGCGACTGCGACGACGATTGGGGTAGCCATGGCTGGAGGAGGTATACGCGGATTCGAAGTGAAGATTGACGGTGATATTGGGCGGAGCTGTGTTGCTTAATTATCTACCACGTATGTTGACGCGGTGGTAGTCGAAGGTGGAAGGAGGGTAGGGCAGGCGACGGCGAAGGTAGACTTTTCAGTTGGAGAAGGTCGCAGTTCTCGATCTCTCTCAACGGAGCCCTTGGACCTTGAGGTTGAGTCGCTTTGGCAGAAGCAGAGAATATCTGGTCTATTTCCCTTGGTATCTGAACGAGGCTGTTGGGGAGCAGGTTCTCGTATGAGGGTATGTTGATGGGAGATGGAGAAGCCCCGCCTTGAGGGGAAAGCAGGTGGGGTACGAGTTATTCGAGGAGGACGACGAGTCTCTCTTGTACAGGACGGTGCCAATTGCTACTTGAAATGAAGCGCAATAGTTCTCATGATAGTCCAAGATGGACGTGGCGTAGTTGATCAGTAGATAGAATCTTTCAAGATCGAGATTTATTTACAAAAATAATTCTACATATGTGGTCGGCCACGAGCTCTTGAAACTCCGGATCTAACGTTTCTGGGTATCGCTCTGTCTTTAGACGGACGCTGCTCTATAAAGAGGGAACCGCCGCTTTATACTAGCGTTCGCGACTTCCAAATGCTTGATGTTCATGGTGATGACTTTGAAAGCCTGTTCAATAACCCGCCAATGACACCGCTTCGAGTATTCACAGGTTCTTGACATGAGCTGTGCATGATATCAACCACCACACAAATGTTATCGTTCTTCCGATAACACACCACCACCATCATGGCATCGACCAGTGACGAAGGCCCTGTATTCGACACGGCAATGGAACAGGACGAGGACATGGCACAGGGAAAGCTCGACGAGCCAAAGGCTACCTACAAGTCATTCAAGTACGTCGCATTCGGGGTTGAGCTTCAGTTCTCAACGTCCGTGACCCATTGTCATTAGCGCAAACCAAACCAAGAACGGCATCCTTGAGCTCTGCTAACCTGCCTCCCTTCAGGAAGAAGTATCGGAAGATGAGAATCAAGTTCGATGACTCGATGGGTAAAAGCAATGATTACTTCAACCAAGAAAAAAAAGCTATGGAGACTGCCAAAAGACTGAAGCAGCAGAACGAGTGAGCAAGATCCTTCCCCCACAAGCAGGACAATCTGACTTCTTTGCGCTCCAGTCAACTCCTCGACCTACTCTTCGATGTGAATGAATCTGCGCAGATTCCAGTCGACAAGCGCATCGACCTGACGGCCGACATCCCCGCCCTTTCCCCAATCCCCCCTCTGTTGAGCAACGATGACCTCTATAATGCAGCCGAACTACAAACCCCCGAAGGCCAAGCCCTCTACAACGAAATCCGCACAATGATATCTGAAAAAGCTTCCTCGAACGACGCTTCCAAACCCCTCAAATCTCTCGCTACCTTGATGACAACCACCCCACACCTATCTCTCAACCACCCAAGCCTCCCTTCAGAGCTGATGACCTCTCTCGAGCCAGACGAAGGACAAACAGCACCACTAGCATACCTCACACCCGACCAACTCGACGACTACATCGACGATGTCGACGCCTCCCTCGGCCTCGTGGCCCCTCTTCCCCCACAATTCCAAAATACGCCCCAGCACGACCTCACATTCGGCAATTTCCACAGCCCATACAACTGGTTGCGTCGAAACGTGCCTCAGATCTTCCTGCAAGACGGTGAAAGCAGCGAAAAGTCGCATGGCAAGCCAGGCGCCTTGCGCGGAGCAGGAAAACGAGCCAGCATGCCAGCTCCAAGCAAGCCTGATGCATTGGAGTTTGTGGAGGAGGATGGAATTGGGTATGATGCAGCGTTAGGTGGCCCGGTGCACGCGAAGGGCAAGAGGAAGAGGGAAGAGGATGATGGTGGGTATCATCCTAAGGGTGGACGGGCGACCGGGGAAGGCAAGGCGAAGAAGCCGCGGAAGAAGAAGAGTGATGAGACGACGCCTGCTACGAGTGGAAGGAAGGGAAAGGGTAGAGCGAAGTTGAGTTCTCCTGCTGCAGATCCTCATTCGTTTGGGCCGATTTGAGTGTGATATTAATGGATGGGATGGGCGGCGTTTGATTATGGAGACCATTTGGCTCTGGCAAGTGAGTTTTGGGAGGAAGATCTGTAAAATAGTGGAACGAGCATAAAAACGAATTAGCCACATCAGATCTGGTAATCGACCCAGTTTGGAATGCAAAAAGTCTCAATGGTCTTGTGTGCAATGCAGTTCTATGTACAATGCAGCAGCTCTATCGAACGAGCAAGCAATGCAAGCCATTCTATCCAAATCAAGGACATCACCAATTCCCTCTTTCCTTGATGTCTCTCTTAGCCAGCTAACCAAGGCAAATCTCTATGTAGGGCCTGGGATCCCCATCTACAGCTTCTGCTTCAAAAGGCTCTTCATCCGTCTCTCAACCGCATTCATATACTCCGTCGTCGTGACATAATCCTCTCTCCCCGTCTTCCCACACGCCAGCGCCAGATCCTTCGTCATAATGCCGTCAATATCGACTGTATCGATACATGCCTTCTCTAGGCTCTCCGCAAACGCCACGACCTCTGGCGTCTCATCCAGAATCCCTCGTTGGACCAATCCTCGGGTCCAGGCGAAGATCGAAGCGATCGGGTTTGTGGATGTCTCGTTGCCTTTTTGATGCTCGCGGTAATGGCGTGTGACAGTCCCGTGTGCGGCTTCCGATTCGAAGGTCTTGCCGTCGGGCGTGATGAGGACGGATGTCATGAGGCCGAGGGAGCCGAAGCCTTGGGCTACAACGTCGGACTGAACGTCGCCGTCATAATCTGTTTCCGTCAGCTTTTGGAGGGGTAAAAGAGGGGTTAAGGGACATACTCTTCAAAGCCATAATGTACCCTCCGGAACTCTTCATCATCTGCGCAACCATATCATCTATAAGTCTATGCTCATACCAAATCTTCTTCTCCTCAAACGCCTTCTTGTACTTCTTATCATAGATCGCCTGGAAGATATCCTTAAACCGTCCATCGTACTTCTTGAGAATCGTGTTCTTCGTGCTCATGTACAACGGCAGACTCTTCGCCAGGGCCAGTTTAAAACTTGCGTGAGCAAAGCCCTCGATCGACTCGTCGGTGTTGTATTGTGTCTGCGCTACCCCGCCGCCAGTCTTGAACTCAAAAACCTCGATTTCTTCCGGCTTGCCTCCTGTGGGTGTAAAGACCATCTTCAGCGTGCCATTGCCTGGAACCACGAGGTCCTTCGCGCGGTATTGGTCCCCAAAGGCGTGACGGCCGATGATGATGGGTTTCTTCCAGCCCGGGACCAGGCGTGGGATGCGGGGGATGACAATGGGTTCTCTGAAGACGGTTCCTCCTAATGCGTTTCGAATTGTACCGTTGGGGGACAGCCACACTGTCAATCACCACAGTATTAGCAAATTCCGCCAATGGCCACAAGCAAGAATGGATAGAAAGACAATAAAGAGGGAAGGCGTACTCTGCTTCAAATTAAACTCCTTAACCCTCGCCTCGTCCGGCGTAATAGTAGCACACTTAACCCCAACACTGTACTTCTGAATCGCCTCTGCGCTATCAATCGTAACCTGGTCGTTCGTCTCGTCCCGATACTCGAGCCCCAGGTCGTAGTACTTGAGGTCGATGTCCAGGTACGGGTGGATGAACTTGTCCTTGATGTCCTTCCAGATAATGCGCGTCATCTCGTCGCCGTCCAGCTCCACCACTGGGTTCTTGACCTTGATCTTCTTGAAGGTCGCCATGCTGCGCTGGAACTGCGGTGACAATATGCCGCTGAATGCCGGGTTGCGGAGGAAGGGCGAGGAGGAGGAGAGTCTGGAGAGCGTGCGCGCGAGGTTGCTCCGTGAGACGTTCATGGCGAGGAAGGAGGAGCGTCTGCCGACGCTGCGAAAGACGGTGTAGTTTCTTCTTCGTTCTCTTCCGTTCTTAGTGTAGAGAGATAACACCTTAGCTAGAGAGATTGGCGTGCGTCGTCCCGAGGTTGTAAATGGTTGGACGTTCGTAGTTGAATGTGGGGTGTCCCACGGGGATACCGACTCGAGTTTCACGGGAGAGGGATGTTACTTTAGCCGGGAGTGAACTGCGCAACTTTGAAAGAGCCTCGAAATCGCGCAGCGAAAAGGTATTTGTTAGCTTTTATTTCGAAGCGAGAAAACATTCCGACTTTAGTTCTCTTGGAAAAATTCAATTTGTCATTTTTCGAGCTCAAGCTCCAACAGCTATCCGAAAACGGAGACACCTCCCCACATCTGCTCGGCCGTCAATATCCGTTATTGCACAGAGATGAAGATCATGTCACGTGTCGACGCCCTCGGGTACACCAATAGGGGTTGTACATTGAAGACAAGAAGATGAAGATCTAAGATGGGAGCCTATACAGACAGATATGAGGGCCACAATTGCTGCTGAGTCCAAGGACTCGCAACTATTCAACGTCCTCTTACCGAGTTCATCCTTTTCCCCTTCGGCAAAGTCACCTCAGATCACTCATCAATGCCAACACAAATGAGGGTAAAGACCGTAATTAAACCAAAAAAAACTACTTTACTATCCAACCCGCGAATATACCACAAAGAGATTCGTGAGTACTCATAGTCATAACAAGCCCACCGACCCGACGAAGTACCGTTACCCGTCGTCGAAGTCAACGCTGAGAAATGCCCGATCAGATATTGTATGCCACCTCCTACTCCCCCAGGACCGAGACTCCATCCACAAATAGACCGTTCATATCATGTAAGAAACATAAATATAAAATACCCAACCCAGCAATAAAACAGTTGAGAAAGGAAGAGAGATAATGAGAGAGGGTAAGAGATGTTATCGGCCTTTCCTTCCTTCAATGTTCGCCGAATATGCCTTGTATCCCACCTACCCACCAAAGAGAAACTCGAATGTATATTTGAACCTCGAGTTGTTGAAGGAAAGGAAACACATAGATGATAGCCTTGACCCGTTGTACCCAGCCTCTGAAAACGCCATCCATTTCGTTCCGCCTCCCTACTCCTACTCCGAAAACAATCTAGCCGCTCCCTATTAATATCATATTGCGATCCCATAATCTAATGTAGCCATAGCCATCGGCTATCACGCGTGGTTGCTTTCAGTTACTGCGGATAGACAATATTCTCATAGTACGGTACCACAGTAGGTTGGCAGTCGGGGCATGCAGAGGGCCCATATCCATAATCAACATACGAGTTACCATGGCAAGTGGAGCAATAGGGAGCCGCATATTGAGCGCCATCCACCATGGTAACTTCGCTGTGATCCTCTGGGGTTTGCATCCCAGGACCAAGTTTCTGGCGAGCTCTGACGCGATCTTCTTCGCAGGGACTTTTGCATGATGCACATTCCCATCCTTGTCGTTCAACATAGTTCTTGACGAGGCACCTGGCACAGCGCCAGTACTTGTATTCAATGTTGCGCTCGGCAAGCCATAATCTCTGTGCTTTCTGCCACTTCAGTTTATCTTTCCCTCCTGATGATTTCTCGCCTCTGCAACAGCCGATATCTTCCTTATGGTAGTCTCGAAGATGGTCTCTGTAGTGATCCTTTCGCGTAAAAGAGTTTTCTCCTTGGGATCGAGGACACTTGCGGTAGTCGCAAGGGAATGAATCCTTGACGTCGGCGTGGACATTCTTGTAGTGGCGTTCAAGGTCTGCTGGGCGACCGAAGACACTGACCTTTCCATTGCATGGTCCCGGATATTGGCAAGGAAATTGATTCTTTTTGTACGACCCTGGTCTGGAGAAATGTGAGCAAAGCATAATATGTTATTAACGGGAAGGACGGACGTACGTTGATTCATCCAAATGTACCCTCTGCGGAGTCTGACTAGTTGGTGTGTACCTCTCCTGCAGCTGAAAGTATGGTAATTTGCCCTTGGGGACGAAGAATTTGTATAGCTTCACAAAGTCTGTGCCCGGAGGCCAGCCTAGGCTAGATGGCGTGTGTCTGGTCTCGGGCTGTGGGAAGTAGGGGTAGCCCAATGATGGATCGTATTGCTGTGAAGGCAGAGAATTGTTGCCATAAAACGGCGAGTTGGACATATTGTTAACATGAGATAGGGGCGATAGGCCTCCGGAAGAGTAAGAAAACCGGCTGTCGCTGTCGCTGCTGGTGTTAGATAGACGGTCCAACTCAAAACCTCCACTATGATATCTTGGTGTGACTACCACGGCATCGTTGGGGGAGTATTTGACATCGCTTTCCACAGAGAAGTAGAAAAGGTTCTGTTCTCCCATTTTTGGAGGTGCTGTTTGACCCGCCCTAAGGAGAGTACAGCTCTTACAAAATGGGGCTGTGACATGTCAAACTCTGACAAGAAGACTGGTGGAAAATTTTACTTACTATCTGGGAGGAGGTTCAAGGAAGCAATAAGAGAAAGGCGGGCTGATATACTAAGAACTGAAGGCAAAGATCTAGATACACACTTGTTGCTGATCTTACCACATGTGCTTTGAGGGAGCACTTCTATAGACCTTCGCCTTCTTCACCCATGCCGAGATCTTCCAGGGCAGTCATGTGTGACATATCCGGCTCGCATGGATCAGGGGCCACTTTACCAGAATCTAAACACATGGCGCCGGTGTGATGGGTTTGATTCATATGCATCTGGGGAGGGGGAAACGTGAAGAGATGATGTCCAGTGATTTGGAAGCCCTGAAGGCGCCTGCTTTGGTATTGAGGCAGGGTTGTGACAACCACGGCTCGGGAGCGAGACTTTAGACCGCCTTGTATGCAGACCATCAAGCTTGCCCAGATCCGTTCACCGAGATGGACTGAGAGCCCACGGCTAAGAAACGCTATAACTCGTCGCCGACTTTTGTAAGCTTGGGAGGGTTGTTGCAATATGGCTAGATCCGACGAATGCTCCCATGAAAATGCCTCAGAGCCTCGTCGTTGTGCGACCTCAAAGCAATAGAAATAAGCATGAACCATTGACGGGTGGGCATTACGCCTACAGCCTTGCTGAGGCGAACGGGTTCAGGATCCTCTTTCCGGTCTCGCCAACTGTTAGGCAGATTTGGAGGCTGATTTCCCGCCATATTGTTGGCTTTGCACCCTCTGGGACGAGTCCACGACAACCGGTGAGGCGATGCTGCAGATATTTGTTCGTGCCACGACACATCGGGCACACTGCCTCTGAAGCATAGATTGCTCCGATAACTAACTGGTAGGATCGGGCGACGAGCTACCGCTCCAGCACCTGGATGTTGAAGGAAGACAAGCAGGTTCAGCGAGATTCGGGACATGCGCGGCTCTATATCGTCGCCCTGTTGGTGTAATCACCATTCCAGGACGAGTGCAGAATGAATATGCGAGGTGAGCTGTATCAGCATCCATTCTGTTGATTGGAGAATTGGGAGATGTTGGGGGGTGCCATTCTCGAAGGTGTGAGGTGTTAGGCAGCCAGCCTTGGGCGGGGCGGGGTTGTTCGCAGCTTCGCCCGCCTCCCTTTTGCCTCGACGCCGCTTGAAGGTCTGGCACTCCGGATCGTAAGGCGGTCTGGCGAGCGTGGAAAGATCCCTGAGACATCCCGTGGGATCGTTGACGCCCTGCTGCTTGCTGCCCAGCGGCCTGGACCGTGTGGACAATTGAGGCCTCTTATCATGTGAAGGTCCAAGGAGGCTGTGAAGCTGGTGGACTGGAGAAGCTTTGGGTGGCGTGGGACTGATGTGATACTTCGCAATGAAGACCAGCAGCCAGATAACTTCCCTACGCAGTGTTAGCTTTCAGTGGAATTGATGGGCGAGGCAGAGGATAAAAGATCCTCTTCCGAAGATAATAATCGAAAGAGAAGTTTGTTTTATTTTGGTTTGAGAAGGCGAGAAGGGAGGTGGTCGCGATTGACCAATCGCCGCCTCAAAGTGGGGCGAGCCAAAATACTGCTTGGGCGGCGATCACATCTGAACCTCACTCAAATCAGTGATAAGGGGCTCAAAAGGCGGTGTTGATCGAGGCATCCGGAACATACAAGGACAAGATCTCCTGCAGAAAGCATATCGTTGTTGGGATAAGCAATCACTCTTATACTTTGCCCTTTCCGCCTCCCCCCAACATCGTTTGCGAACTGGAGTGCACTCATCGGGCAGCAACGCAGGGAATCTGAGCTGTTTCTGCATCAATCTGGGGTCGCATCCAAGAGACCTCCTCTCGCCTAATTCAGATCCATCATATCTATAAGGCTTCAAATCATTTGCTGGCTTTCTGTGCTCGTTTTCGCCTCCAAGATCGATCACCAATCGATGGGCGTGGGGTCCGAAGCTGCGGCGTCAGCCTGAAAAGTCGGTAGGTACCTTTCCGAATGAGGTGACCGAGAACAACGCAATTATCATATATCAGCAAGTTTCACGTAAGATCTGGTATCTCCCAGGCAGTGCTTTCTTGTGAAGGCCCACAGATGCGCGAGCCAGGAGACGGGTATGCTGAGGGAAAACAAAGCGGTTACACAAACACCATCTCGATCAGATGAGCAGACTTGTTTGCTAATTAAGACGGTGAACGTCAATTTTCCCAGCCAGGCCTCGGTCAAAGCGATGCTATGCGCCAACCGACCTTCCAACTCGAATTCCTTGCCGCCCGTCAATAAATCATACATCGTCTTCCAGGAACTTGTACGCGAACTTAAAGTCGGCCTTCCGACGGTTCATCCTGTCGGATTAGTCAGTCGGGGCAACATTATGAGCCAGATGTCCAACATACCATGTACTCTCGTAGTCAAAGAAGCGGTAGGTGCCTTGCTCAAACTCCTCCGTGATGGTCTTGGGCTCCTCGTGACGTTGAAACCATGTTTGATATTGCTTGTGGAATCTCCAGCTTTGATCCTTCAACGCTTTGGCAGCAAGATATTGTTGATATGTTTCCTGCTTGTAGTAGAAGACATAGAATAAAGTATCTGGATCAATCCGGGTGTACAGCCGAGGATCATCGAACACGGGATCAACCTCTTGAGGATAGTACGCAGGAGTCCGAATTGGGTTCTTTGGCTTGTAGTTCCTCGGCGTTCCTACGTCAATCGTATCCGGACAACTATTCAAAGAAGATGCCAGCATTCTCTGAGATGATTGTGATGGAGCACTGGTGACTCGCCGTTGGGTTGCCTCGAATGATTGGAGTAAATCTTGCAGTCCGGACGGAAGATGATAGATGGACTCGTCTTCCTCCGGAACAATATTCTTGACACCATTTGTGATGCCGTTGGGCTTAGGAGGGGCAGCCTTTGAACTTTCCACAGTTTCCGGCACAGCTGGGGCTTTTCCTGACGATACTCTCGATGGACCCGGCCTGGTGCTTTCTGAGCGTTCTGGTACAGGCGGTTGCGAGGTACTGCTAGCGCTAGGGACCGCGCTTGACTGGCTCAACGCTGGGGATTTGGTTTGTGCACTTGAAGTGGCTTCAGACACAGAGGCAGCCGTTGGAATACTAGACCGGTTCACAGGCGTTTGATTCACACCTGCAGGTTGGGCATTTACTGCAGTAGGGGACGAATTAACGCTAGGTTCCCGGGCCACATGCGGTGGTAACGGGGGATGGGTAACAGAGGAACTAGGTGCAGGTAGAGCTTCAGGTGGAGGAGGTAACGGAGCAATTCCCATATTACTCTTATCACTCGCCGCAGCTGCGGCAGCCGCTGAAGCGTACTTCAAAGTCTCCCCTGGAGGCCTGGTAGGTACCGCCGCCGGCTTCATATGGCTGATGGTTCCATTGGAAAGCGTCGGCGACGGAGTGTGTAATGTGGCCAGCGTCGGCAGAGGACTCTTCATCTGTGTCGAGGGTCTTCGCGCAGCAGCCACAGGAGGCTCTACCGGCGCTTTCGACTTCCCAGGTATACTACTTGATCGTGTTTCGACCTCAGGTGTCTCTTCCTGCACTGATTGTGTGTCTTGGGAGGACACCCGGTCATTGTCATTATTCATGCCGTAGTTGTCCTCCTCTTCCTGGAGGTTGAGATCGTCGTACATCTCATCGTCCTCCATAAAGTCATCATTCATGCCATCGGAGACATAATATCGAATGGTTTCCTCGAGATCGTTGACCTGTTCGGTTTCCACCCCGCCATTTTCTAACGACCGTTTGATTAGCTCCAGTTTCCCCTGATGCCATTTATGTCGCTCTGTGATTCGTTCAATCTCCGCCATTCGATCTGCCTTCGATGTCTGGTTCTTCCCCTTCTTCATCGTGGCTTGTATTCCCTCCGCCTCCGCCTCGAGCTGCTCTATTTGTCGTTCCAGCTCGTCCACCATGTTGCTGAGGAATTCGCACGCCTCCATCTTCGCCCGTTCTTTGGGGTCCAGCTTGGCAGCTGCTGATAAACCTTCTTTCGAATATGCTTTCGTCTTCATGGCCTTCTCTACAGCTTTAAATTTCTCCATTTGCTAGAGCCCGTTAGCAAACAACACGAACGCTGTGATAGATCTGCGTACTGTCTCGATCAATTTCCGATACTCCAGCAGCGGCCCCTTGTCTTTGATGTCGTTGCTAGCCGCCCATGTCTTGATCTGGTCCCGAAGCCTTTGCAGCTTCTTGATCTCACGCTTGAGATTGTCTTCTTGCTTCTCCTTTTGAGCAGCATTTGTGGATTGCTCGATCTTCTCGTAGATAGACTCAAACTCTGCAACGCCTTCGGTAACCTTCTTGAAGCACTTATCGACTTCCTGCTGGAGCTTTCGTTGCGCCATCGTGGGTTGAGGAGGGGTGCAATAGCTGTGGTTGGTTTGCTGTTGAACAATTGGTGTCGTGTCCACGGATCAGGTTGTGAGTGCCGAATTTGCAGCCCCATGCGCGGCGCGATGTCGAGGACAAGGTGGGTCGGAGGTATGAATGTTGGTACAGGAAACTTTACACGAGGTTCTGTCTGGAGAGTGAATATCGTGAGCGCAAGATCGTTTGGAATGGTTGAAGCTGCTTCGGCCTTGGAGGTACGCGCCTTCTGGATTGGCTCGCTTAGATCCTTGGTAGCATCTTCCTGCAGCATGCGACCAGCCTTGAAATCTGGGGAATGGCTCTTCAACTTCCTCACCCTTCCGAATTGGAGGTTGGTCATAATTTGTGGCAATGCATGGTCTACGGGGGTGTTTTTCCTGAATAATTGAGTTTTGTTCAAGTATTTTGAAGCCTCGGGTTAAATCATCCCAATTTTTGTTGGCCGGTCTGGGACATTGCATCATCTGAAACCGACTTACTTTCATCTGATAGCACTACCTTTTCACACTCGCAGCACCAACTCATGAAGCCTCAAAAGGGTTCTATTGGACCAGGTTTCTAGATTCCCTAGTGTTATATCGTATTTAGAAGTTCATCTAACAGCAAATTTGATACAATGAAAGGCAAGTCCTCCTGACGGGAGTATTCGGAAGGTTCCCTGACCTTTCTCAGCCATTCTCCAGCGAGTGTTATCTGCTTCAGTCACTGTTGATAAGCAGTTGGTTTCGTCCATTGGGAAAGGAATTCTCGTGTTTGCTGCTATGGCGCCCGGTGATACCGAGAAGGATGCAGAGCATTTAGCGTCGAAGGTGCTCAAAATGCGACTGTGGGACGATGACAATGGTGATCGGGTAGGGACATGATTGAACATTCTACATCTACTCACATTTCTAATTGTTGATAGTGGAAACAAAGTGTTCAAGATATCAATGGAGAGGTCTTGTGCGGTGAGGAATGATTGCTGGTTGCCCCCATACTTTTACTTATCCTTCGTCAGTTTCTCAGTTCACTTTGCTTGCAAGCACCAAGAAGGGAAGCAAGCCGGATTTCCACGGTGCATTAGGTGGAGGCCAGGCCAAGGCGCTTTATGAGGTTTTCTTTTCGAAAGTCCAAGAAGGCTACAAACAAGAAAAGGTTAAAGATGGGGTTTTCCAGGCCATGATGGTAAGTTCTTCACCGCGAGGGATGTGATCGCATTGCTTACCGTATTTCTAGGAGGTGGCTCTGGTTAATGATGGACCTGTCAGATATTCTCATGCTCTGAATGTTTCAAAAACTGACCATGCTTTAGGTTACCTTGGAAATGTCAGCTGGTCCGAGTGGGCAGAAATGAGATGCGAATGCTGTTGGCATAGAGAAATCCTAACTAGGAAATCTTTCAGCTGTAAAGGACAGGTTGTATATTCAATGGCATGCATCACGTGGACTGTGGTTCTGTGGGTTTGCTGTCTCTGCTAGTTCCCGCCCGTGGATCGTGGACCATGCCCAAAAGCCAAGAAGCACGTGATACATTGAGCAAGCTCCTGGAATCTCAGACTTACCATATGCCTTGCAGCTAATAAAGCAAACGTGATGAGGTCCCTTCAAGATCTAAAGTGAACCGTTAATCATCCAAATAGCTCAGATGAAACTAGCAGTCATGTGATCGGTCTTACATGCGGTGAAGCGGGAAAACAGAAATTCCGCACATGGAAAGCACTCGAAACGAGGCTGAATATATTTAAAGACCACCCCACGATCAGGTCCCCGATTTTTCGATCAATACAACACTCGTTCAATCCCCAACCACCACACCACAACCCAAAAACGATACCCACAATGACGGAAGACAAGAAACGCAGCCGCGTCTTCTTCGACATCTCAATTGGCAACAAGCCCGAAGGACGCATCACCTTCGAGCTGTACGACGATGTCGTCCCCAAGACCGCAGAAAACTTCCGCGCGCTCTGCACCGGCGAGAAAGGCAAAGGCAAGACCGGCCACGAACTTTCGTACAAGGGCTCCACCTTCCACCGCGTCATCAAGCAATTCATGATCCAAGGCGGTGATTTCACAGCCCACAATGGCACGGGTGGGGAGTCAATCTACGGCACCAAGTTCGATGACGAGAACTTCAATCTCAAGCACGAGAAGCCGTTCTTGCTCTCCATGGCCAACGCCGGCCCAGGTAAGCCCTACCCCGTTCCCCCAACATTACAATTTCCAGAAAAACAGGCTGACGCGAGCCTCCAGGTACGAACGGCTCCCAATTCTTCGTCACCACCGTGCCCACCCCGCACCTAGACGGGAAGCACGTCGTCTTCGGTGAAGTACTAAATGGCAAATCCCTTGTCCGCAAAATCGAAAACATGCCCACCCAACCCGGCGACAAGCCGACCAAAGAAGTAACCATCACCTCCTGCGGTCAACTCACCGGGGACGAAGCCCTCGCCGCCTCCGAAAAAGCGCCCGACAAGACCGGCGACCCATACGAGGACTTCCCCGAAGACCAAGCGGCAACTCCTACCGCAGAGGAGATCATGAAGATCGCGACGGACCTGAAGGGTTTCGGCAACGCTGCGTTCAAGAAGGGCGATTTGAGTCTGGGGTTGGATAAATATCAGAAGGGGCTGCGGTACCTGAATGAGGATCCGAGCTTGGATGGCGAGCCGGCGGAGATGAAGAAGAGTCTTGATGCGCTGCGCTTTATCTTGAATTCGAATTCTGCCCTTCTGGCTAACAAGCTGAAGGATTTCAGCGATGGGTTGAGATATGCGTCCGCTGCGCTGGATGTGGCTGATATCACTGATGCCGAGAAGGCGAAGGCGCTGTACCGTCGTGCGGTCGCGGAGATCGGGCTGAAGGATGAGGATGCCGCGTTGAATGACCTCGAGGAGGCGAATAAGTTGGTCCCTGGCGATGCAGCTGTGGTTAAGGAGTTGGCGATTGTGAAGAAGGCGGCTGCTGAGAGGGCCAAGAAGGAGAAGGCTGCTTACAGCAAGTTCTTCTCATGAAGCCTCCCCACCATCTCTAGCTCGCAAAGTCATCTTGGGGGGAAATGATTATGGAGATGAGGTCCCGGTAGATGAGATGTGATAAAATTTGAGCAGTGCATGGGCAGTCAAAAAAACGGAGCAACGAGGCGTTCGCTGCTGAATATCGGTGCTATGCTTTGCTTTGGTTGCTGATACTATTGATACCATGCACGCTGAATTGCGAATGAGAACAAATAAAAGAAGTGGTATAAAATCAAAACCGTCCAAACTCAACCCAGCCATGTATGCAATACCCGTGCACCCCCAACCCATTTGTACCTTCCCAAGAAAATGCCAAAACGTCACCCGCCTGTCTGTCGCTCCAAAACCCCTCTATCAAGATATAATGCAGATATAGCGACCAACTAATCAAATCAAATCATCCCCCCAGACCATGGAGTCTCCTTATCCAAGCTACCAACAGTAGGACTCGTAGTTGTGCTGGTACTCACAGATCCCTCGCCACCCCCCTTTCCCTTTCTCCGTAACCCACTGAGAAAACTCATCGGCTGCTTCCCATTCCGACTTCCTGGCGGTCTCCCCGGAGTTTCATGTTCATCCACCGGTTCGTAAGGCCTCTGATATTTGCTGTCCTTCCCAAACGTGCTTTCCCAGAAACTCTGCCTCTCTTTGCGCTCACGACTACCCATCTCACTTCCTGAACTGCCTGGCGCTACACGCGCTCCGGATCCTCCGATGCTGGCATGCGCCGCGTACTCTGCCCATGGTGGAGAATGCGGCATCTCGGCTTCCAGCACTACTGGATGAGAGCTTACAACATCGTGGATGGTAGATGATTCCAAGTTTTCGACGATGTCCTCCCATTGCAGCGACAGGGTGTCAATACTCCGGTCTCCGGATTCGGCTTTTGAGATGCAATCATCAGTACGACGTTGGAGGCTGATGCACAATCGATTGAATTCTAAGAGCTCGCCTTCGAGACTCTGTTGCTCCATATAATGGGCGGTTGCCTCGAGCCAGAGTTTGACCAGGGCAGCAAAGTTTCTCGCGTGGTCTATCAGATACGGGAGAGACGGGAAGCCTTCTCGTGAGGTGGGAGGGAGACGAGCGAGGATAGTAATTGGCGTGGAGTAGGATGCGGGAAGGGCGAAAGAGTTCCTCTCTGCGGGAATGGCACAGACAGAATCGATGAAATCCTTGACTCCTTGTCGATGGCCTGTCAAGAATCGGTTCATCGGCTCCATCCATGCCTCCTTCTGGCCGAAGTTCGAGAGATTAGCTAAAGCTTGCAAACTCTTAGCGATCAATGTTAGAGTCCGTTGCGCTTTTGGTTGGGGATGATCCCGTAGCAGTCCGAAGAGCTTGGGGTTGAGGAGAGCAGGACAGAAGAACCGTAGAAACAAAAACCCAGAGACGCTGGTATAGGCAACAGTACGCAGAAAGTCTCCATATCGATCTTCAGCAACTGCCCGTATGTACTTCAGGATTTGACGCAACTCTGGTGGACAACGAGTTGCAGAACCAGAAATGCTGTCCCAGACATCCGTGGTCAAAGATATGAGTAGGTTCCAGTTTTTGCTGACATCTTCAGTATTTGATATCCGAGACGGATCAACCTCGCAGTCGGGATTGAGAGAATTGATCTCGATGATTTTCTCTGACAGGACATCGTCCAGGTATTCCTTTCCAAGACGTCGCATGTGGAAATCCAAGGCTTGCGTGAGTAGAGAATTGCCACGAAAGAGAAGATTGGCCTCGCCTTGAAGAGACTTCCCCATATCTCGGACAGACTGTTCTCGATCGCTCACGGAGTGGAAGGATTCGTTTGATCCTATCCTTCTACTCCACCTCAGACGTCGTACCGGAGTTTCTTTCCCAACACCATCAATCTCATCCTCGACCAGAGCAGTCAGCCACTCCGCAGCATGTCCAGAAACTTGAAAAATATTCATCAACACTTCCGACAGCGCTTTCAAGTTGGTAGGAATGACTTGGGCGATTTGCAGTGTCAGTCCACTTCCAAAATTATGCAATAGTTCCGAAATTGGTTGGTAGTCTTTGGCGAGGAGGACGACCAATTCATCGTGCCGTATCCTCAAGAAGATCTCGCCAATCTGCTCTTGTTGATCGTCGAGTATCGGGTACCAGGCTTCACTGTCTTTGCCACGGTCAAGCTTGTCGATCGAAAGTTCAACCATCCCGCAATGTACCTCAGCAGGTTGGGTGGTCGGTGAGTGAATGCTCGATGAGGATAGAAAGCCATGAGTCGCAACAGCTGGATGTTCGACTTGCTTCAGTACAATTGATAGCCTTGGTAGATGTGCTGGCAAATCCAGAAATTCGCAATCTTCTCTCCAGAAAGGATTCTTCGTCTCTGTCTTCGTGGTTGTCCTTGCACGGATCTCGCCGTCCAAAACAACCTCAGCAAAGTAGTCTCCCGCTGAGGGGTCTTGTTGTTCCAGCCTTGGAGATCTACCAAGTGAAAAAGAATCCGGCTTCACAACCGGTCTGCGAATCTTGGCTTCGACAAGCCGTAGACTTATGGACTTCTCGATGCGGAACATGTCGTTTGTCGGAGGCGGAGGCTGTGGAACGCTTAAATCATCGTACTGCTCGCCGTTGAGTGATTGTGGCCCATATATTTCTGGAATCGCGAAGGCTCGTAAAAGGCAGAACCACACTTCATGAGTGAGTCGTGACTCCAGAGCAATATACACTGGTCGGAAGATAGACAGCTGTGTTGACGTAGGAGTATACTGTGGGAAAATGGCTATACAGTATTCCTCCTCTAAAACCGATCTATCCAGTCGTTGGATAGCACACCGAGATAGTTGTGATAGCTGGATGACTGATAGTAAGGTTATGTCATTCTCTGTCAAAAGCTTGAATTCTCCATTGTCTTGCAGGATGCACGATACTCTCCGCCAACTTGATCGGGACGAGCCGCGCAGGTCTCTTGTTGAAGGCCGCCGTACGATAGCACTTGGAGATGCGGGTGCTCCTTTATCCCACAGAAGTAACTTCGCAACTTTGATGATATTGGCACCTTTAGAACCTGTGAGGGAGTTAAAGCTCGAATCTCGTCTTTGGATGCCTGGTTTTCGTTCTGACAAAGCCCCGCCTGTTGACCTGGGAGGACTGCCTTGGAGTGTTCCGGTTCGTATTTGTTGCCAACATAGTAAAGCCGCCAACCAGAGGTCAAATTCAGCCTGTACCGTTGGCAAAAGATGTATTTCAATACCTTGCGCTCTATTTGATAACTCAAGACACTTCACTTGTCTCTCCGTTGAGTTTATAGGCTTCACTCGGCATCCCCGGAGATCTGATATAACAATGACATGGAACGGTCCTCTATCGTCACCCTCGTGCATCAGAGCCCCTTTCACGTCGTCAATATAACATATCCCCGGATACCAAGGGCCGTGTTCCACGGTCTGGTACTCAACCTGACCTTTCATTCGTCCACATAAAGATTTCATTAACATTAATATTTTGTTGGCATCTCCCGTGGCTACCGGAAATGGAAGAGAATCGACTGATGGAACATCGCTGCTCATTGTTGATATTGGTGAAGTAGGCCGGGACGATCGTTTGACAAGCCTTCGGCCTCCTTTCACAGAATTAGACTTCTGGAGTTGTGAGGGCGGCGGTCGTGTGATAGAGGGGTAGCCGAGGGAGGTTGATGTGTCCAGAGAAGTTTGGGGTAGTACATCGTGGAACGAGGAGGAAGCTGTTGAATGTACCGAGCCTATACGGTGCCGGCTCTTCGACACAGTATTGGATGTTGGTCTCTGGCGGTGAGTTTCGTTGTCCATAGTACGAGTTCTGGGGCGCATGCTCACAGGCGGACCAGAGCGAGACCGAGTCGGCGCTCCTTCCAGAGAGTCGGTGCTGTATGAATCCTCAAAGACGAGCCCTTGTCGTCGATCCCTGGGTTTCTCGCCCCCTTTTATAGAGCGCGGCGATGAGTGTATTACTGAACTCTCAGTGCCATAGGAAGCACCTAGCCCATGATCTACAGGCTCCGGTGTCACAGCACGTATTGTGCCTTGCACGGCGGGCCTCGACCTCTGCGCGGGATCCACCGTCCTCTCCAAAGTCCTCTCCGCATTCCGCTGCCAGTCCTGCAGAGCGCCATTCTCCCCGTAGGTGCCATTGTACGATCGGCTGCCGTCCATCATACCAGAAGGTAAAATACTCATCTGCCGATGGCTTCTCATTTATGCCAGCGCATGCCCCCAACCCAATCCACCCAGTCGTCGAAGAGGGGATGATATGTCCGGGCCGGTATCGAAGGCCGTGTCTATGAACAGGACGAGGTTGATTCGTAGATATTCCTTTAGTAGTAGCATCTGACGTCGAAGAGTCGTGGAATGGCCACTCCGCCAGTGTATTTCAAATCGTGTACGACGAGCAGCGCGCAAGGATAGAGTCGGCGCAGTCGAGGACTCGTTGCGCACGACGTCTGGACGTTCTTCCGTGATTCGTCAATGGCAGCGCTCTATCGACAATTGTGAAGTTGCGCCTCTGCTCGTCCCAATTCCTTCCTCGATTCTCGACACCTCGTCATCCTATGTAACCATACGGACAAAGCTGACAAGACTCTGGGGTCTGTAATGCCGGATTTCCGCTTTGAGGTCCTGCCGAAAAGGCTGGATTCGAGAAGGCAGGCACGATGCAGGGACGATGCACGAGGAAACACAGAACGGGACGGGGAAGAGGAGCTCAAGGTCTCAAAAAAGGTCGCGGTTCAGCTGATGCTGCAGATGATGCGGCCCAGGACTGGGGTCCAACTCTCGGCACCCACGGCAAGGAAAATGCCTGCTTCGGCCACGGATATGGCTATTGGTGGATGGTTGCTGGACGACCTTTACCTCCTGCAACGCATCGAGCTTAAGAGCCCTGATATGATACATCTGCCAATGTCGGATGCATGAATCCGGCCAAGGCCTTCTGGAAGACTGGAATACTGATCTTTATGGTTGTTCCTTGGCAGAACTTAACAAAGCGTGTGTCAATCGAGTCCCGGATCGACACCCGTTCGGCCTTCCCGTGAATCGGCAGAATCTCCCTCCCCTCCTGTTTCCCTCCCAGAGCCACACTTCTCAGCCTCCTGTCTTAGATGTCTTGGATTCTTCAGCGCAAACCTAATCTGCTGATCATCAGGGAAAAAATAAATAATCCGTGTCATTTCCGATAAACCCCCGCACAACCGGACATTTGGATTGGACTCCTTCCCCCTGCCATCTTATCGGTTTCTGCGGCTTGCTGCCCTGGAGAATGGCTTGAGGGTTGTGGCTACGGGAGCGAAGCGAAGTGAGGAGGATGTCAAAAGCATCAGCGTGCCTTGTCCGTAAGACGCTCGGGAGTCTCAATATAACTTTACGAGGCCTCTCATTGGAGCTGCCCCTGGTGCCTTGCTTTAGCAAGACTCAAGAGGGTGTTTGGCATTTTTTGGAGGTCAGCACGGAGTCCGCGAAGTGAGAAGTGCCCAGTTATTTCCAGTGCTCGTCATCATTGAGACATTGACCATGAAGCAAAAGCAAACACCACCAAACAAGAGACCATATCCCATCCCGCCCTGCCCCAATCAAGCCAATCCCAAAGCACCCCGGATATATGTAATTCAAGAACTAAAACACCGGAAGAATTCCCCGAACCTCGTGATCTTCGCAAGTTTCAACGGAAGGACTTATCAGACAGTCCATCCGGGCTCGACGGGCTCAGAGGCTGACTCCTCACGCCACTGAGATCACCACTCCCTGTCCTTCTCAAAGCTTGGGACATCGTCTCTATTGTCAGCTCGCCACCATTGAGCGTTGGATGAGTCAAAATCGGACTTCCCAGAGCCTTCCCTCGGGGCGACAGCTCAACGCCCTTTACGGATGCGGATTTGCTTGTTGGAGGGGACGTACCGAACCCTTGGGATGAGACCGGGGATCGTACCGGCGAAGGTGACCTGTTGTATCCCGAAGACAATGTACTTAAGCCCGCCACGTACATAGAGTCTCTGCTCCCAGCATGCTCTGCATGCTCGGACTGTACAATATCTGAAAAGGAGATGAAACTCAACCGTCGAACATCTGTACTATCCAGCGCACCGTAGTTCGAAGCTGCGTCATCTTTGTCTGGATGGGCAATAAGCTCATCCGCCCAATTCCCTGCAATCGGTTCCATGCCCATGCCCGTCACTGCCACCGCGGCAGGTTGGTGGTAGGAGTGCATCACAATTTCAACTGTATCTGGATTGAGTTCGTTGTTCGTAATGGCTTCCGAGGAAGCATCTAACACTGGCGGAATATGATTCTCTGTCTGAATGTGTGATGGGATCGCTGGAGAGTTCGGTCCTGGGAGTGTATCGTCCTGCACATCTCTCTCAAATATTTGCGAGCCAGCAGGTGACACGATACGGGGAGAGGAGGAGTACAGATTCCGTTGCGGCGAAGTAGATGTATGATATGGATAGTCTGGGTGTGATCGCGGGGGGGAGGAGTTCTGTAGAGGAATTCGACGTGCTACGGGTTGTGCGATTGGTGTTGTGAAATTTCCCAAGCTCGTGACTGGCGCGAGCTCACTCTTCTTCTTTCCTTTCGTCTTATCATCCTCTTTTTTCTTCCCAAATCCAAACAATCTCCTCCTTGCTTGCTTCACTCCATCACCTTCCGTCTTCTCAAAATCTTCCTCGGCATCGCTGCTGTCGGCAGATTTGAACATAGATGTCCTTGTCGTTTCTTGGAATCCTTCGCCAAGTAGAGGAACTTTCGACGCGATTAATGGCGCTTGAGCAGCTGGAACAGGAGTATTGGGATGCAGCGTGCTCGACTCGGATGCGCTCATTTTGAGCAGCTTCAGAGTGCCGGCGAAAAGTGTAGGTATTCAGGAACACGCAGGCGTCGCGGTTGATAATATAGCTGAGATTCGTCGCTTAGGCTATAATTGTGGTCTGCTGGCCTGTCCTTGAGACTCATGCACCATAATCTAACATTCAGGAGGAGAAACTTACGTGTTCAGCTAGCGATACGACTATGGGTAGACGGAACAAACTGGTATTTAGGTGCTCTAGAGAGCTCGAGGAATTGGAGACATCGGCAGCGACATTTATGGCGGCCAGGAGCTGACGGGGTGACTTGTGAGCTGAGCTGGGTGCGAGTGTCCTTTGATTCAATGCATTGATGTTCCTTGCCGGGCCGCCTCTGACGAGCGAGCAGTCATGAGATCCGAATTGGCGGCCCACGCCGTTTGTGCAACTTGTGCATGCACCCCCCTGACGTTTTATCTTATGTAAGCAGCACATCGTCGAAAATATCGAGAGCTTCATGAGTGCAGTTCTTTCTCAGCAATGGAGGCCAGTTTATTCCGAAGACCTGTCGCCAACCTCCTCTCAGGCAGGGCGCAATGCCTGCTTGCACTCAATGCCGCATCCAGTCGCCATGAATCCTCATACCGACGCTCGAAGTCACGTCTGAATGTCAAGCCGGAGCCGTCCTTCCTCCCCTCATATTCGAAGACTCCGGTACAACAGGACCATATCATCTTCAATCCGCCTTCCTCAGCTCCATCGGTCCTCCACACTCCGCTCAAATTCCTCCCAAAAGAAGACAAACGAAAACAGCTCCTCGTGGCCACCGCACAGAAGTTCTCCTCGTCGCAAATGCGATTACCACCACCCATACGAGCAAAGCCGAAAGTCCCCCATCACCATCTGAGCGATGCAGATATTGCGGAAATCGTCAAACTGAAGCAGCAGGATCCAGATCAGTGGACCAACACGAAGCTAGCGAGGAAGTTCAATTGCTCGTCGTTGTTCGTCAGCATTTGCTTGACCCAATGCGGAGTGGATAATGCGGAGAGGAAGAAGGAGATGCAGGAAAAGTTCGAGGCTGTAAAGGCGAGGTGGGGTCCGAGAAGGAGAAAAGCAAAGGAGGAGCAGGATAGAAGGTTTAAGCTTGCATACAGAGGCGACTGAGGAGTCTGGGCGCATGCGGGAGGTGAGATGAGTTAGAATAGAGCGGTGTCCTTGTACGAACACTGCGGATGGACTAGAAGAGGTGATTCTGATTTCACAACGTACCAATACATGGGGCACTTTATTTTGTACAGTATTGGAGCGGTGGCGTTAGAGAAAACGTGTAGGACTATGTACAAAGACACACCAAAAACAGTCCCCGTTCAAACTTTAGTACGTTTTGAGCCATTTCTCCGGTTCGAGCACAAGCCAAGCGGCAGGAGAATCTCCATTCGCGGCGCCTGTTGGACCTTCCCTCAATTTTTGTTCAAGGCCTAGGTCACATTTAGGAGGAATTGCATAGTGCAGTTGATCCTGCAGTATCATCTCCGCAAACCTGTTATTCCTTGGCTGTACTTTCAATGCCTACTGTGCCCAAGAAGTCGTGGCGCTCGATGAGGTGTATATTACTGTTATGGGAATTCACTCGAGTGGCTCTCACTTCTCACATCATGTCTATGGATCAAGGTATGCATTGGCAACCGGGGTATATATATGTCATCTTCTGTCGTGAGCTTTGTCCAAGAATTTCTCTCTTGTATTGACGGATCTCGAAGGATCTCATTACTCATTAATATGCCTCTATCATCTTGCAAGGCTTACTCACGTCTGCATTCACTTGACTTGACAATGGCAAATTACTATTGTCATCCCACACTTACAACCTGTAATTTGTCGCAACAATAGGTTTAGCAAAGTTGCGAACATTCTCGATTCTCTCCATCATAGCTATTGTCCAACGTTTCATTGTGCGGCATCAGAGCAAATAACTATAAAGTACCATTTCCTTTCCATCTTCCCTCCTTTCTTCTTTGGCATCGCACGATTTCTCGATAGCAACGTCTTCTCTCGACTCACAACTCAAGCTTCGCAGCTACTTGCTTACTTCCATCCACTCTTCACAACACTCATTGATCTTCGGACACTTCTCATCCCACCATACCTCATTCTCTCTCTCCGACTGCCTCTTCCATCTCATCATGGGTCTTATAACAGGATCCGGAAAATCGACGAGCAATGTTCCTCTCCGCCAGTGGGGAAGAGCACCAGCGAAGTCGTTTGACCGTTTCAACGAGTTGCCCAAGGAGCTTCGAAAGATGGTAAGTAACCCCTGAAGATTCTGTCATCCCTTTTCGATCTTTTCGACTGGTGTTCCTTGGGTTTTGTTGGTCTCTTTTTCATATGAAGATCGCATTGGAAGTCCAATTCCTTCTTTTGCAGCTGAATCTTTCCTCAGCAATCATCTTATATTGAAGAATTCAAGCTAACACTCATCTCAGGTCTGGAAGGCGGCTCGCCCCCGCCGAATTCTCTCTCTCACCCACCATCTTGGTCCGCCCTTCCTCACAATCTGCCAATCCACCCCAATGATCCCCGGAGAAGCTTGGGACGAGGTACGACGAGACTACACCACCATCACCGAGACAATCAACGGCACTCGTCGGATGACAACCGACCTCCATTTCTGTCCGGACTCGGACACTCTCTACATCACCAACCAACCCCCTCAGGGGGTTACCTTCCCTTGGTTCCGTCTCCTCAACGAAATGGCCGCTACCTTCCGCACCTACCCCAAGGCCCTCGCCATCAACCACGACTTCATCACGCCTGGCGCCCTCCAAGTCACGGATTTCCTCCGGTTTTCCGACATGGTCGAGCTCCATGATGTCGTTGGTCGCGCAGCCCGCAAAACTCGGACGAAGACCCTGGTCCCAGGGCAACCAGTCAAGTTCGGACGAACATTTCGGGGAGAGGAGACGAGAGCAGAGTTTCTGGCACGGGTGGCGGGTGTGGAGGCATTGTGTGCAGAGTTGGTGAGAGGAACACAGCAATTGAGGCGCCGATTCCTGTTGTCAAAATTATGATGTTGTTTGACGGGGACCTTTGATTGGTTGAAACCGTCATTAAAATGATCCAACAATTCTTGTAGCTAGCTTCCACTCAATTTCATCTCTTCGGCGGCTGAGGTTGGCCAACTTCCATTCCTACGGGTCATCAATTCTCGATCTCTTTGTGACGAAAAGGATTTGATCTATACCTACTTCACGGCAGGACGATGCATGACAACATGCCTATCAAGCCCCATCCCCTCGCCTCCCTCATACTCCCACAACCTAACCTCCATAACTTCAAACTCCGTAAACCCATACTTTTTATACAACCCCAGTCCCTCTTTACTCGCACCAAGCACAGCTTGCAGACCCAGCCTATCTGCCTCCTTTAACCCATCTTCTATCAACAACTTGCCAATTCCTCTTCTCTGGTATTCTGGTGACACCACAAGAGTATTCAACTCTATTCCATCAGTCAGTCTCGGGTGAGAGGAAGGAAAAGGAGAATAAAACTCACTAGCATAACTCCTCCCCTCTGTACTCCTCGCGATATGCTTCTCAGCCCCCAAAAACACATCCTCACAAAGCTTAACATTAGCCCCCTCTCCCCACCCATTCTCTTTCTTCTCCCCTTTCCCATCCCCTATTCCCTCCTCTCCTATCTCACCATTTACCACCCCATCTTCCCTCGTCAAATGAAAACTCCACCCCGCAGCACCAACCAATTCCTCCTCTCCACTCTCTTTCAAAATAACAGCTTTCGTAATCACATTCTTCGACCCTTTCTCTTTCGGCTGACTAGCCAAAGTCTTTTCCCGCAAAAGCAAGTTTCCTCGGGAGTCACGGGTGGGCCCGAAGGCGACGGCGGAGAATTCTTCTGAGTAGAAGACATGCGCTTCCAGGGCGGCTATGGGGTAGAAATCGGGGGCTGAGGCAGGGAGCAGAGTTATGGGCGGGAGGGGACTTGAAGCTGCCATTTTTGGCGGTATGAACTCAAAGAGGACAGACCTTGGAAAGGAATTGCGTGTTGGAAGAAAGGACCGGGCTCAAGTGGGGAAAGATATCGAGGGATGAGAGGAAAGGACACTTGCTTTATACCTTGCAATTGAGCTTGAGATTTCTTAGATAATTTGTTTTGGTGAAAGTGTTACCGTTCTACATTCAGCCCACTCGTGCTTGGCTGCGGCGTCCCGATAGATGTTCCTGCCGGTGAGTCATTGCCGAGTTCTTCTGTTGAACTGCAGTCTCTCTTCTCGGACAACGCACTTGGAAGCCGGATTTGGAAGGTGTGAAGTTGATATTCGGTGAGTGATTTTGGGATGGAAAACACCAGAATCCGAAGGAATCGAAAAGGGGTACTCACGTGACGGACAAGAGTGGATGACAAGCTGGAGAGCTTTCAGGGGTATCAAAGGGCATGTCATTTATATCATATCCGCTCCTCCTTGAAGAGCTCAAGCTCCTGCTATGTCAGCACTTCACGTTGCCAAATTTCTCCACCAGACGTGCGTCAAGGCAAAACCTTCCAATCAACAGCCACACCCCATTTCTCCCCCTCGATCACAACCTCCCAAACGGGTCCTTTAATCCCCACCGTCTTTCCTGCTTCAAGTCTACTCCCCCTCTGCAATCCAGTCGCTTGTCCCTCCCCAGCAAGCATAACTCTCACATTGCTCACAGTGTCCACCATCTCTCCCTCTCCGCCATTCATAGAATGGACCTGCCTCCCTCTGACCAACAGCATCCTCGCCTGCGACTCGGCGCCGCCGCCACTAACCTCACCAACCTCAATCCTAACAAGCCACTCATCATCCCTCTTCCCTGCCTCTTTGGAAGGTACCGTGCTCTCGATGTTAACAAGCCAGTCCCTGACCTCGGCAGCTAGCCCTCCATTAACATAGTTCTGTCCTCTTCTATGCGGAGAGAATTGCTCTGGTAATGGATCTAAAGCACCTTGAGCACTTTCAGAGGGATCCGGCGGCCGAAATCGAGGAGGTTTGAGGAAAGTTGCTTGTTTAGACGTAGAAGGTTGAGGAGTGGCAGGATGTGCAGGGGTTGAGGTTATAAATCGAGGGGCTGTTGTAGTTATAGGGCGGCGAGGCGCGGGTGGTGAGGAGAGGATAGGGAGGGAGGAGGAGACTGAGTCTTGAGTGTCCGAGGGGATTTGGGGTAGCTCTTCATCTTTCTCCCCTTCCTCGTTGCCGGGTTCTGGTGATGAGGAGATACGTCGACGTTTTATAGTCCGCTCCTCTATCTTGTAATCACCCTCTTCGTCTGCAGATAGGTATTCCTGGTGTAGTTCTTGGTCCTCGGTCTCAATTGAGTCCTGGATATCGTGATCGGACGAGAAGCTTTCGATAACATCGTGTTCCCTTGGTGTCTTGCTCGCAGGAGTCAGATAACGCGTCGCTGCTGGTGTAGCTAGAGGGAGAGTCTGCGAAACGGTCGGCCTTGGGGTCGAAGGGAAGGTGAATCGTGGAGTTGATTTGAATTGCGGATTCGGACCAGGAGTATGCTCTTGTGCCAAAGGCGTTTGTCGGACTTTCCGCTCCTTCTTGATCACGAACCGATGTGGTGAGGGTGTCTGCAGAGCTCTTAATCAGATAAAAGCGTCAGAGAAGTGCAGATAGAGCTCACCAGCGGTGGAGGAGGCATGGTTGCAGGGTCATGTCGTGGGGTTGATCTGCGAGAAGGCTGACGCCTCAAACGAGAAGGCTCGACGCGTCGGGACTCATTTCTCGCTCTTCAACCACCAGAATCTTTCCATCGACATCTGCAATTGTACCTCCGCAACTCGTGCAATCTGGGTGGTCCCAATTTACCGCAAGTGTTGACGCGCGTGGGTAATTGACCGGTGTGTTTTCTCCGGATTTTCAGATGTCACAAGAGAATGACGTCTGGTGCATCTGCCCTCCACCAAATGATGATCCCCCTCCATTAACTATGCATTAGTGTGAGAACTTTTCGAAGGTAAAACCAAACTTCCCTTCCCTCTCTCTATTTATATTTCTTTCTCATGATTTCTTTCTCTTCGATACTTCATCTTGATCGAGCAGATCACAAAAACTCTTAAAATGCCCAATCCACCCTCCAAGATGGCAGGAGACTCCTCTATATTTCATATCTTTACCAAGAAGCATGAAGTAGTTCTGTTCTCAAGTACAGTGATTACTCTCTATGAGGACGATCAAGGTACTTCTGGCCTATGCCATATCATACATATGTTTGGTTCCGACCTCTGATCCAGGGATGATGTCGCTTGTCAACACAAACTATTCCACCTCGAGACCATGCAAATATCAAAAAATCCCCAATCATCGGCATCATAGTCTCAGCCTACTACCTAGGTTGTGCAGTCGGAGCCGTGATAGCTTCCTGGCTCGCAGACAAAGAAGGCCGCAAACCCTCCATCTTCACCTGCCTTATTACAACCTCACTTGGCAACATCCTCATGTTCATATCCGGCCTCTCAATGCATGGCTTCTCACCCTGGAAAGGAAGAGCACTAGCCTGCATGCTCACAGGCCGAGTAGCCTTGGGATTAGGAGTAGGAGGCATCGACGCCGTGATCCCCCGTGTACGAAGTACAGCTCCGAGCTCTCCTCCGACGGAGCAAGAGGTCGAGCCCTGGCCCAAGAATTCCAAATGAACATCTTCGGCCTGCTGATTGCATACGGCATCAGCCTCGGCGTGACCCGCGGCTTGAAGGAGTCACGGTGGGCATGGCGAATCCCCATCATGGTCATGCAGCTCTTCCCAATTTTACTAGTGTCCTTCATCAGCCGGCTCCCCGAGTCACCCCGCTACTTCATGAGCAAGGAGCAAAAATATGAGGCCCAAAAAGCGCTCGAAGAAGTGTGGTCCAAAAAAGATGCGAAGTCCAAACTCAACGGCTTGCAAGAAGCACAGGACAACGAAAGCGATGCAAAGTAGGGTACATGCTCCTCCCAAGCGGCTCACAATTTCACCCCTCGATGGTCACAGTAATGGGACAGATAAATCAAGCATTTACAGGCTGTGGCGCTGTGTCAGTCTACGGACCGCAGATCTTCCAACTTCTCGGTTTTGACACCTGGGAAGCAGAGTACTTGACCCTTGGGAACTATATCTTGTATTCCCTCATGATGGCCTCTGCCTGGCTTTCCATGAACATAGTCGGAAGACGGAAACTCATGGTCTGGGGGGCTGCTGGTCTTGCTATATGCTTTGCCATTCTTACTGGATTTGGAGGAATAGCGCAGGGTCTTCCAGACGTGCCAGATCTAGCAGTTGAGATTCCGGGGAGCGTCACGCTATTTGTTGCTACTACTACCTTTTGCATTGGGTGGTTGGCTACCGTCTGGCTTATCCCCACTGAGATTTATTCCAGCACAGCAAGAGCACAGGGGAGTGCTATCAGCGGTATTATCTGGGGATTGGCGAATTTTGCTATCACATTGCTGACCCCGATTGGGTTTAACAGTCTAAAGTATTGGTTGTTCCTGGTGTTTGCGGTCACGAATATTTTTGCTGGGTGGTGGACCTGGAAATACACGCCAGAGAGTGGAGGACGGAGTTTCGAAGAGAGCCAGGAGTTCTTTAATAGTGCGAAGGAGGATGGGAGTTGGAGTGTTAAGAGGGTTGATGGCGGGAAGTTTGAGAAAATGCCGGGGGATAATAATGAGGAGGAGGAAGATTGCGAGCAATTACCATTGTTGAGACAAAAGAGATGATGTAGGACAGAATCTGTCTTACTGTCTTACGATCAAGATATTGTTATTTCCAATCTCAAGGTACATCCCATTCTTCGCACAATCTAATCTAAGAACATTCTGGCCATGGTCACATTATCTTGCGAGGCTACGTTACGAGCAAGCTCATCCCATGCCTCTCCAATTGAATCACCCAATCCCAGCTTCGCGGCTGGCCGGCGTCATGGTCTTCCCACATCTTCTTCACCACTTCGAACGTCAGATCCACGTTTCCCAAGCTACTCCATGCTCGCACCCGTTTGAAATGCTTCGTGACAGCATTTCTATCCTCCTGCCGTATCGCCGCGGATCCAACGACGAATAATGGAAAGAGCAAACAAGCCATCACCCCATCGCCAGATATGATCTCGGTCATTCCAGCTGCCATATCTTTGACAGCAGACTGAACAAGGGGGTCCGACTTTCCGTTTGGGTAGATGATGGAGAAGAGCCAGATAAAGAGTGCCCATTGATAGAACTGCGCGATCAGTTCTCGATCTTTGCAAGGCGTGTCTTTTGGCTTCCAGCGAAAAAGATCTTCCCAGATCTCCAGAGCCTTGTTGATTATGTCGTATTTCGGAGGAAATGAGCCAGGCCCAGCTTCCGAACGCAGTGACGATATGCGTGTAACGTATTCGATAAGACCGTCTTGAACACCGACGAGGGATGGGTTCTGATCGGACAGATTAGTGGGGCAGTTGATACGAGGTGTCGAAGAAGGCACCGTGACCATAGCGAGCGAGTCGTGATAAAGGAAGAATTCGAGAAGGAAAGGGTTCATTGTCGCTGTTGAGGTGATGTTGAGCAACTCCCGTGCCATTTGGAGGTGGACTCGCCAGCCATCACCACCTGTTCCTTCACATATCTCATACAGGCAGAGTAGAAGGGAAGTAGCGAAAATGGCGTCCCGATCTTGGGACAAAGATTGTGAGGCAATGGCTGCTGCAGTTCTTTTCAGTGCTTCTATTCGTTGCGTCTGGGTTTGCAAAGCTTTTTGGTGAAGTCGATTCCTCTCTCCGCTAAGTTCGGGGCTCATCCCGGCCGGTTGGAGATTCAAGAGATGAGAGCAAGCGAGGGAGAGGAGAGTGTGCATGAGGGTCGGATCTGCCAGAGCCAGAGGCGTCACAATGGAATTCATTGGGTTAGAATCATCACTCGACGTGGTCAACACTCTAGACATGACATGCGTGAAGTGATAAAACAGTCGCCTATGGAGAGTTGATTCCAATCCAGATATAAGAAATGGGAGTTCAGGGGGCATACAACGCGGCCGGGCCACGTCCTGAGAGGTTATTGTCTCGACGGTCCTGCTTCGACCAATAAGGAAGCTTCCGGAGTTGGCTTGCTGAGTGCTGAATGCAGATATCGCCTGCTTGTATGACACGAATTGCTCGCCGAAAGGAGCTGGTTGACTGGGTTGTTGAAACAGAAGGCTGTAGTCATCGTCTGCTGCGTCGTCTTCGAAGCTGCCATTGCGTTGATCGAAACAAATCGTGGAGGATTGGGGTAATATTGGTACATTGCACCACTGAGCCATTTCGTGGTTGGGGTCAGACGTCTCATCGTCGAAGGTGCCAGCATTCTGAGGTGGAAACATGTTCACATTGGCACTGCTTCGTCCCGTCATCATCCCTCCAGTCCTTTCCAGCGTCTCCAAAAAAGCAATTGGAGTTGGTTTCGTCTTTGGAATTCTTTTGCCAACCCTCCGATTTCCCCAAATGGTTAGTGGAGGGTAACCTTCACAGAAAACATTCGTTTTTACACAAGCCTTGCAAGCCGGTTTTGCTTCGTCGCATTTTTTCCTTCGCCTTCGACAAGTAAGACAGCCTGTGCGTGTACGGTTGATCTTGGGCTTTGGGCTGCCACTTGAAGTGTCTTCTGAGCCTCCAGCACTTCCACATACTGGGGAGCTTTTGGACGCCATATTCCATCGATCGGTTAAGACACAAAACAAATCCGAAAAGGAACAACTTCGACACAAACAAGAAGCATGAAAGCACCACAATGCAAAGAGGGAATGAGCCGGACTTGGGTTTTATGGGATCGGAGAAGCCAAAGGCCCAACCTGACCGCGCCTGACGTGGGAAAGCCATGAGTAGCAGCTGAAAAGCGGGGCATTGGTTTCTTTGGGGTCGAGAACTAATCAGAGAGCTCAACTTTCTCCGACCAGGCATCTTCCATCACTACTGGACGACTTGAGCCTGCTTTTGTCTCCAGAGCGCCAAAGCGGTACTGTGAAATTTGTGATTGGAAGCCGGTTCCAAGCTGTCGGGTCGTCTCCCGTCTGCGTCACCAATGGAGGCGATCCGATAGGGCTACAGGATACATGAGCGGCAGGCTAGGCTGAGATAGAGATGCGGTCAGCAAGTTGGTTCATGGCAGTGTGATGTGATGGCTTCGATGGAACGGCAGTCGTGGAGGAGTGAGGTGAGGAAGAAAGGAGGGAGAAAATATGTTGCACGTGATAGATTTCCAGAATTGACAGGGATCTAGTGAATACGGAGAACACGCCAACTACCTTCTCGCTCCTGCTGTCCTCACTCTCTCCTTCATACAACACAAATGCTCCATCAACTCATTGCTTTCGCTCAAGTTCTTCTGCGGGCACTCCAATGCCGTTATTCTCCATTCCTTCAGGAGAATAGTCTCCTAAGACCTCCTCACACCAAAATCGGAACACCGCCGCCCACACATGTCTCCCCTTGTACTTTGCAATTTCCTCTGGCCACGCTTCTATGGCTGAGCGCAAACAGTAAATGCTATCCTTCTCGTCACGCAAATCGGTCATTGGTATCAAATAGGTTCGAACTAAGAACATGACAGCCCGAGTCCGCGGAAGTCTCCGCAGCGTTTGCCTTTCGTATCTGATACGGAGGTCTTCGATCCTTGGCGGAGTGGGGAGTGAGTCTGCAAAAGGTTCTTGTTGGAACATAGTATCGTTTGTTTGGATAAAGTAATTGTTTCGTTGCACAGGACTGGAGACCTTCAAGCCAAGGAAGAACCTAAAGTGTCAGCACCACTTTGGTAGCTGGAATTGACATACTTCTCCATCGCAGTTCTCAGTTTCACATCCCAAATTGGTACTGGGCCGTGTATCTCCCACAATGGCCATCCTATGCGCTCGGAGATATACCACCCTGCTGGAGCCATTGAGAAGCTGGCTTGTCTGAGAAACATGGTCAGCCTGTTCGTCCCACTTGTCTAAGGACTTACAAGTAGTAATTCCGAGCATCTTGTCCTGATCCTTCGATCAACAAGTTGATATCTTCCATCGCCAACTGAGCTGCGACTTCTAGGGGATGTTGCTCGTAAGGTTTGGTAACTTTGAAGGTCCGATTCGTTATCCCGTTGTAGATATAACCTTGCTTTCCTTTTGGGTATTGAAACTGGGATGGATAACGCTTGATCAAAAAGTTGACGATGCAATCGAGTGCCTCCTCACATGCCTCCTCTGCGCATGGAAGAACTTGCATAACCCCATCACGTTGGTTTTTGAGAAGAAATCTTTTGAGGCTTTGTTCTTCTTCATACTTGTTGTCGATGACGAGCCAGTCTTCTTCTGGCATTTTTCGGATCCCCATTGTCATGTTGTACTTTCCGGCTTTCCATGGTCGATAACGGCGAGGTTTGGTTTTCGAGACGTCGAAAAAAGGGAGAGGCTCAATGTTCGAGAAGTCCAATGACCGTCTTCGAGCTCTGAATGTCATTTTCCGTGCAATAAAATAGGACAGTGCAAAGACAAGTCCCAGTAATGTCATTTGGAATGGCTTTGGAGCCGAGAGTTTGAGCGCCCAAGATTGTCCTGCGAGGGAGAACTCATGAGAAGTAGCCATGGCAGATAGAAGAAAACGAAGGATGTGGCAAATTCCATTCCAAAGTATGAAGGATTGATTGATTGACTTGAATATGATACTTCGTAATCCATCTTCGATGTACAGTACTTGCACAGTACTTGCACAGTGTACGCACCTTTTCAGGGATGGGCACGCATTGCCCAAATCAAGGCAGCGCCATGTAATAAGGCGTACTGCATCTCTACCACGACTGCAACTGCAGAAAACTAAATGTTTGGTCACCAAGTGGTTCACTTGGGACCAGGGTCACATGTTCCCCTTTCAGTAAGCGAACCGCGGGGAGCCCGAAGAGCGCCAGAAGCGCCAATCCCTCCATGACAGGCCAACGTGCATGAACCTCTCCAGTAATATTCTCGACTCACAGATGATTCGTTTCCATTGAGTTGGTAAGCAGTAAAGGAAGGTCTCTTACGTTGGTGAGGCCTAATGTTGCATTGGTGTCCTACTTTGCTGAATCTGGCCGAGAACCCACATCAGAACCAATCATGAGTTAGCTTCCAAATTTCTCGCAATCACCCACTCAACGTTGCTCTATCCTCGTCCAAAAATATTGCAAAGGTGGGAATTCAAGGATGTGTACTGGAAAACACGTCCTCACAAACACCTCGGATCCGATCTCGACGAGGAGTTGGAGACAAAAATTTCTACCAGCAATGATCACCAAGCTTAACTTATTAAGAGGCGGCTGGACTTAAGTTGATCAAGATAGCTCTTGATTGCTGCCTAGTCTTCATCCTCCATTTTCCAAAAAGGAAAATATTTGAGAACTGACAAGGGCTCGGTCAGCTTTGTCAAAAATGGTTTCCTTTGCAGGATTCGCATTGCTGTTCGCTGGCTCAAAATCGTTTCTGCTGTCTCTGAATGGCAAGCAGAGCTAAACAAGTCAAGCTTTCGCGGTCCTTCATCCTCATTTGTTCGCGACCTTCGAGTGAGGCGCCGCAAGCGTTACCCTACGGAACGCAACAGCTCTTGGACTCAAGAAGCTGTTTCCAAATACTTCCTACCGTACATGATGCCATCAGAGAGTGGTATCAGCCAACACATACGTGGTGCCACAGAAGTGTGCATCAATGTAGTTTGCCGAATGATTGGCTGCAACATATCGAAAGCTTCATGGATCGGCCCGTCCGAGGCGCAGCCGGCTGGCCTCTGATGCCCAATCCAGAGATCCTGACAGCTTGCCGTCCATCAGTATCCTCGGGTGATGACGAGGGGGGAGTGGCTTGCAAGATTCAGCGTTCCTGTTCGTCTGTCCCAAAGAAGCTATGAATCTGGTCTGCTGACATTGTTGTGTCGATAGATAATTCAATAGCATATTTCCAACCTTCAGATAGCTCTGTCAAGTTGCGACTGGTTATTCCAGGTATTTCAAATGTTTCATTTTTTGTTGGGCGGGGCGGAGGGCTTGTGACTCACTGCTGCACGGCATTCTGCGCAGATTGCAGTTTCCCAAAAAGACACTACCCACGGAGGCAGAGAGCTCCAATGGCAAGCCTAGCGATCTTGGATAGTATTAAATGAAATACAGTAACGCGGGGTGACTCCTTCAGCCTCGCTATGCCAAAATTTGCTGTCACACATGTAATTGATATTCTTGGCTCTCAGTGAGCCGTCGGCAGTTCGGCGGCGTATCCCTGAAACTTTTTCCTACAAAATGAGGGATCATAACAAAGTCCGAGGCAATTATGTTCTAAATTGCACTTTGTCATCTCATCATCTCCTTGTCCCCATTCTGCATCTCTTCCGTCTCTTTGGTAGCATCTAGTAGACTCGATTACGCAATATGGAAGTGGTTATCGTCAATTGCCAGGCCCTATGTGACACAATTAACCAGAGACGAAAAGGGGGATTATGAGAATCCAGGTCAAGCTGCTCTCGGTCAGTCCCTTCTTCTCCTTCATACGTGGCCGAATAGCTCTGCATCAAACAGCTTCATTTCGAGTCTTTCCTCTTCTCCCGTGTCTTCTGAGACCCAGCGGACGACCTATGGTTGCTTTTCACAATCATGAGAATAGCAATTTGAGTCAAAGTGTAATTCAAACTACACGTACTGAGTGACAAACAGAAATTTTGCTTTCAGGAGACTTCTAACACAAGCTAATAAGCACAGAATCAGAAAGTGAAGACCCAGTTGATGGGATCGTTCCAGAATATCCGCCAAAACTCTATTACTGCCGCCACTCCCCTCAAACTCCACGCACGAGAGCAATGCAGCAATCACTTCTAGAAGTCCCGAAACAGCATATACTGAAACTCCCTTCTGCATATTATTACCTTCATTGTGTGTCGGACTCGAAGCGATGCTCATCACCCCACTCTCAATCGAGCTTCCCTCTGAAGACGTGGTCGGTTTCGCGTTGATTGTAGCCGTCCCTGCAGACCCAGTTGGGCTCAAAACGCTGACGCTCGCTTTGGTCTGGGCACCAGACAGGGAGGTTGCACCTGCGGTGGCGATTCTGAGCTCTGTGGCGGTGAGCGATGGGTCAATGACCTGCTTTCCAGAAACGCATCCCCGGGATTGGAGACCGATTTGCCCTTGCAGGTAGTAGAAATAGCTGGTGTCACCTAGGCTGGTTTCCTAGAGCTCCTAGGAGTCATCAGCACAGAAGGGTGTGGAGGCTAGAGCAGTCGGGCAGTCTTGAGCTTTGAGTCGCTCGAGTCAGCTTTTTACACAGGTACATTGATTGTTCAGGGGAAGGGGAGTATGGGGAACGAACCATCAGGACAACAAAAGTTCGCACATCAAACTCTGCACCGCTCGTAGGATTGCAAACCAGAGAGTTTGGACAACATGTTTCATTTGTGCATGGGGTTGAGAGAGCGGGAGAGAGGACAAGTGGTTGCCAGGAAGGGCTGCCCACAGCCTGCGAGGATATTGTCGCGCTTTTGCCAGGCTTTCCAGATCGAGCGGGGTATCAAGTTGGCTATTTCTAGCTGTTGGGAGTTTGATGCTGCGGTGATAACACCAAGGGAAAGGAAAGTGAGAGTGAGGACATGCATTGTTGCTGTACTTCTTGAAGAGAACGATGAATGATGGAAGGGAATTGAATTGAATGCTTTCCAAATATAATGGAAGAAGGTGGTCCTCTTAGTAGATGATATAATTGAAACGTTAAAGTAAACAAGAAAGGAAATGGAGCAGTTGATTATGCCTCCAAGTTCTCCTCCTCACCTCTGCCAGGTTCGTCTTCCCCTTCAGCATGCAAACACGGCAACACCTCAACTGCATCACGGAGAACTTCATCAGACCACCACACGTCTCTGCCTTACACTAGATGTTTCACGGCATGATTTCTCATCAAAATAATTTCCATCCCACCTGCGAGATGTCTCTGCGAGCTTTCGGAGCACAGATTCAGCGAATCGAGCTGAGCACAGGCTCAGCAATCCCCCTCCTCTCGTTCAAACGCCAGTTACGCCACAGTCTGGAAGAGGAAGATAGAATGGCAAATCGAGATGCGGCGGATGAATTTAGGGAGCGACTACAGATTGGTTATTGTGGGAGTCGGTGAGATTAGAAAATATGTCGGATGTAGAGGTAGGCGGATGGGAATTTTGGCCGAGTCGGGGTTTGCTTATTTATCTATGACTGAAGGAAGTTGAGAACGGGTGGCACTGGAGCACTGCCACGAAATTGAGGTTGTAGAGGCGGCCCATCATGGAGAATTTTCTGGTGTTGGTCCAAGTATGAAGTTGCTCAACTCGATTTCACATGAAAGTATGGCAAGACTTCAATCTTAATTGCCGTAACACAAGCTGGGCATTTGCCATGGTCACATTGGCTGTTTACAAGATATCCCTAGGTGAATACAAAAGTCCTCAAGATCTTCTCACACAAACCTCGAGCTGCCTTGCTCAGTTTTCTTGCCGTCAACACTTGCAACATTAATCGAGAGAGGGTATCAATGAAGTGCTTTTGGGAGTCTCGCGAGCAGTGGTGAAGGATGTCGCTTGTGCTTCAATTCCTGCATTCATTGACAATAACAAGCATTTCCTAGCCGACAGTCGTGTAAACTCGTGTCACAGTCCTGCGAGGCTTATTCCGGATCAGTACAACTCCAGCTTTCCAGACCGCACTGACTTTCTCCGCTTTCTCCTTCTTAATTGTTTTCTTCCACCAACTACAATGGTGAACTGTTATTTATATTGCGGCGCGCTGCGATCAATGATGCGGACTCGTAAGCGAGAGCACAATTGTCCGAATTCCTGGCCTCCCTAGCTGCTCAAGCTACCGTTCCCACGAATTCTGGATCCATATTCCGCCCTTCCAAGATTCCACAGTCAGCTTCCAGCACGCCTATACAACTTTCCAAGAGGCTTGCTTCCCGACTGTCAGGGAAGAGCCCGCTTCGAAAGTCATGCAAGACCGCTGAGGACTCTCATTCCCAAGAGGATTCCGAAATGGCGACCAAATCTGCCCTTGATTCCCAGTGGGACACCAAGGGTGACCTTGGCAAAGAGCCAGCAGTCTCACGACGACCCGTATATCGCAGGGTTCACAGACTGGTCAATGACAAAATGCTACCGACACAAGAAGAGAAGCCGAAGAGGAGCAGCGTCAACTGCAGACATGGATGGGCATCGTCCAGCAGGTAGAGAAGTATACTCCAGCCAATAGTCTCCCCACCACCGTCTTCCGCAAGCCCGACTTCCGTTTCCGAGGCCCCGAGGGCTGCGAACGCCGAGTCGGTACCGACATTCCAAGCCACTACGTAAACTTCCGTAATCTCGAGCGTCTGCGCGTAGAATTCCAAAGGCAGCAAAGTATAGTATCTCCATCGAGCCGAGCTACTCTGACAGAACCTATCGAGATCTCGTTCGCAATCTGAATGAGTTCTTCAGCCTTGAGTCAACTCCGGGTATAGCCCAAGCAAACGCCACATCTTGCCAAGTACTTCCTCGCCTTCGATAGCACCTTGCCATACCCCATTATCAACTTCTTCAAGGAATACGCTCCAAAGGATTAGGAGAAGATGTGTGGCAAGCTCTTAATTCGATAGAAGGACTCTCTTCTCAACGCTACATCCAAGATTCATTACGCTTACCTTCGTATTCAAGGAGTAGTGGCATTAACAAAAGCAAAGATTAGCATCTTGCTAATGGCCATAATAATCGCTAAGAATATTTAAGAAAAGCGCTCAAAGGGCTTTAACGCGCTAATTACTCAAGAGACAAATGTCGGAGTCGATTATCTTGCTTCGAAGCTATCCGAAGAGCTACAACACCATAACGTCGACGCCACCATCATCCGTCTCGGTTCTCTGCCAACTGAGAACGCGAAATTCAACGCGAAGTTGTTGAAGCCTCATTTCATTGATAACTTCTACGACGATACCAAGGAGACTGAGATGTGGATCGCTACGCGTCGTTTTCCTCTGTCCGCGAGAAGCCTCACACAACTCTCATCTCAACCCACCATCTTCATCTCAACATACGACAACAACAACAATGACGAAACTTAAAAGGCCCAGAAAGCCTTTCATAAGGGAGATCTAGCTGCTGGTCTGGACTCAGACGAAATCGAGCTCTACAACCAGATGAAAGGAGCCAAGGAGATACACTGCAAGCCCGAGGGCTGCAATCGTCATCCCCCACCCCGAGAGAGTTAAGCAATGGTCTGAAAGACCCATTGTGGTGGTTAGGGAAAAGAGAAAAGAAAATGGAAACGAGAAGGAAAGGTGGGCATTTATACCCTCTAGGCCGAGGGGAAATAAAAGAAGGAGAGAGTAAGGGAAGTTGTAATAGAGGGAAGGAGTAGGGGAAATAATAGAAGGAAGGAAGGAACAAAGGAGGGAAGGGACAAAGGAAGGAAGGAATGAAGGTGCTTGCTTACTGCCACGCTTAAGTCTCTCAGTCACCTAATAATAATTGGGTTTTCGACAAATTCGAGTATTGATAATTGAAGCTCAAGATATTTACCTGTTACAACACAACCTCGCCTTTAAACAAACGCGCAAGTTTTAAAGAGGTTACCTGCAATAGCTGGATTGGCAAATATGATAGAGAAAAGCCAGGGCTGGAGCCACAGGGCGGGTTTGTGGATAGAGAATTTGGCGTTTGGCTTACTTTGGCGGCTTCCTCCTCCTCCTCCTCCTCCTCCTCCTCCATCCCATCTCAACCACAACCACAACCACAACCACAACCACAACCACAACCACAACCACAACCACAATCTCGCCCTCAGAACCTCCTCCCCTCCATCTTCCTCAACTCACTGGACGAAAACTGGAAGTACTTGTCCTGGACCTTGTCTTGGACTTTCAAGCAGGAGGCCAGGGGATATGAGGGGATGTATTGAACGAAATACGAGGAGCATTTGGCTGGGGAATTCGTCATGGACTGCAGAGGGTGAGGAGGAAGAGAGGAGAGTTCATACCTGTACATAGATCTTTCCGCGTGAAATGCTCCACAAACCGCACACAATGAGCTCGTCTTCAGACCCAGTATTATTCTTTTAGATTCGACGTTGACATGACTAGCATTTCGTATAAAGCATCAGATAATGGTGACTTCTGCAGGCTCTTCGTCTTTAATAAAGTCCTCCGAGATGTTGGTCGCCAGTCCCACTCTTTTATACACGCCTTTAACGTCGGTCCTTCGCAATGCGAGGCCCACCCCGTGTCCAAACTCGTTCTGCATAACCAAAAGTATGGCGAGTTTCTCATCCATTCGAACTTCACTCTTCCGGTCCCAAAGAATATGCAAAAGCGGCTCCCCTTTGACATTATCTTTCCTCGGCAGCGAAAATGCCGTTGCCATAAACCTCTCAGGGGCACTTATCACCGCTCTCACCACTGTCTTCATTCGTCCTTTTACCTTTAGAAACCCACCAAACAGCTTCCCTTTTTTATTAGCCCCCGCCGGCTGAACCTTTATCTCAAGTATTTCCATGGCCTTGATGCCATAGGGACCAATATCATCAATACAATACCAGGTGGAACAACCAGCAGAAGCCCAAGACCATGACGGAGCTACATACGCATCCACCACCTCAGTTACCCGTGCATCTCTGACAACTTGCCAAAGTAAGTCAAACGCCAAATTTTCCATCCACAAACCTGCCCTGTAGCTCCAGCCCAGTCTTTTCTCTATCACATCTGCCAATCCAGCTATTGCAGGTAACATATCACTCGGATCTGTGAACCGTCTCCTTGAATAATCTCTAACGGTCCGCCACCAAATAACATGCCAGTCCGCGATGGCGATCCGCTTCATGGACCTCCCACGCCAGGGACTCTTGCGGCTGTCTTCGAAGTCGAGCATTCGGTGTCGCCAATCACCTGGCTCCGCGGCTATAGCAAAGAGGTAGCTGTAATCCATAGGCATGTCGGGATAAAGATCGTACGCTGTGCGAACCTCGTACCGGTTGACAGCTTCTCTACATTCGAAGATCACGTTTGTGCTCGTAAAGTGAAGTACGCGGACAGAAAGTTCGCGTTCTTGAAGTGTCCAGCCCCGCTTGAAAAGAGGGTTTGAGAACAAAGGACCCGTCCAAGCCGGACTGACGGTCAGGAGGAGCCTCGTGAGCTCCTCCGGCCAGCTTCCGAACCACATAGAGAGAATCCGGGAAGGAGAACGTTTCGTCACGAGGAAGCCACCGTCGCAGTGGGACGAGACGCCAGCAGCGATGGTTAGTGTTGCGCAGGAATATACCTGCGCCATGGTCTCTATTTCACGTTCCCGGTCGATTTCGTCATCTTGGATGATGCAGAGGGCGTCTATCCAGATATATCTTATTGAGAGAGAGCGAGTGACCTCGAGAGCTTCTTGAAGAGTCTTCGGAAGCTTCTTGGCATTGATTTCATGTTGGTGGACTGCAAGAGAGGAGAGCGTCGTTCGCCCGCTTTCGGGCATCGAGTCGCTCCAGCAGTAGCTGAGGGCTACATATCTTCGATCGGGGTCGACAATTGCACTTGAGTTGAGGAGACGGATGGAGGATGGGCATTGGACGTCGACTAGGCGTGTTGGTAGAAACGATGAGTTCTCTTGGGGGTTTCGATTGCAGGTTTTGTGGTTCTCTAGGCAGTTTTGGATCCAGGACAGTTGTCTCTTGACTTCGTGTTTAGGATTCTTTCTGGCGCGCGAAGTACCGGTGACTCGTGAAATAAGCTGATCGAAGAGACCAGACATGGCTGAGAAATTTAAGGGTGGCTCGCACGATAGGCCAGAAGAATTCCGTCACGCCATGGATGTTTTCCGGGCCTACAACCTGAACGAAGGTGCGGACTGTGGATATTTAATGGCATACGAATCATACGCGCTCAAAAACTAAGGCTGAAGGCCAAATTCCTGATCGAGATCACAAGGCTGGCGAGCAAAAGGCTGCCTGCTACATCACTCCCCGCCAACATATGCTCGCAGATGATTAAAAGCAAGATTTTGACTTGTCAAAGCGAAGCTTTTGTTTAGAAGGGGTCACCCACCAACCGCCCCTGCCCACGCCTACCCCCTAATTTTTTCCCTCAATTTTTCAAAGTCTTCGGAAAAATTTAAAAACTTTCCAGATTATAGAGAATACTCGAAATATTGTGAATATCGTATGAATTCTTCGAATTTGTAGCGTTAAGGTCTCCAAAATTCAAGTTGAGCGGGAAGGGGGTGTGGGCGATTAGTGAGTGACACCTTCTACGCGAAATGGCTGGTGTGGCAAATGGTTCACGTAACAGGTAAAATGCTCTATCACATAACCTGGAGAAATATTTGACCGGCCACCGGAGGCTTAAGGGGGGGGGGGTTCTCCCCAAGATTAAATACTTATCGTATCTTCTTCAACTTTCTTTCTCCTTTCCTTAGGGAGGGCTTTGTGGGTCTTCCCTCAAGAGCAGACACTCTTTGCTAACTAAGCCCTCTCTTAAAAGAATACTTCCTCTTGCGCAGCTTCGTTACCCGGGGGGGGGGGCTTCAGCTTTATGAGGTCAATATCCAAGGCGGCTGGAATCGGTGGAGGTTTTCAACTGCTGACAACATTTCGTGAGATTGGAAATATCAAGGCATCCAGCAACCACGCAATATACAGTTGGTTATTCCGATGTCCCAGCTTGGCCTGCGTGTCTGCCATGAGGTGGCTGTTCGCAAAATGTGATTGATACTCAACTTGTCGAGATCAAATTCCCCCAATGTTCCGAGAAACTATCAAGAGCTTCAGCAAACAAATATCATTTATCAACACCCCAACCACCTTTTAAGCCTTCCCATATTCCGAAGAGCCCAATTTCAGATACCAAATCAAGACAAATCCAACATCCAACACCTCCAATGCTGACCCATACCCTAAACATCGGACAAAGGAAATTTACACCATTATCCCCACGGATATCATACCGTAAGAACTACAGGCGGAGTGGTCTTCAGAGTAACTGGGAAGGAGCCATTGACAATGTCATCGTTGGAAGCGGCTGCGTTCCAATAGAGCGCGTAAATACCGGTGGTATTCGTCGCGGTTGCCCAGAACATCATTTCATAATCCGAGTCGCTTGCAGCATACCTGCTGGAGTCAGCGTCGTCTTCTTAGAGAGGAATAGAAAACCTACGCAACACTTGTGCCAAAGAACGTGAACCCAGTTGTCACGGCACCAGTGGGTAAGGTACTGTTACTTGAAAAGCCGACCTGCGTGAACGACCCAGTCGTGGGCACGATGTACATTGACTCGGTGGAATTGAACGATACAGTGGAGTTGTTTGGTGAGATTGTCCATGCCGTGGTCGTTGAATCGGAGTCCAGGGTGAAGGTGACATTAGTTTTAACTGCAGCCCATGATGGAGCCGCAGCGGTGCCGGCATACGCGAGTCCTATCTCCAATGTCAGAAAGGTGAGGGTTGCAGAGCGAAAAGATCTTACCATTGGCGTAGAAAACTGGTCCCCCGTTTGGACCCTCACCTGAGGAATCTGTTCCATATACATACAGGAAGATGCCAGACTCTGTTGTACGCTTGTGGTGGAGCGAGGCGGCGCTGGACAGAGAGCAAAGTGCCAATAGGGCGGCAGCAGATGTGGACTTGAACAACATAATGAAAGAGAGTATGGGCTTCAGAAGATACGAAGAGATTGAGAAACAGGAGTTGATTGTTCTTGCTTGAAAGGGATGACCTGCAGCTCGCAGCAGCGACCGATCATTATGTATTCCATACAGCACACTCGTGCGAATAGGAGAGACGGAGGTTTTCGAAGGCAGAAATTTTTCACTTGGCTATAGATCCACCCAGGGAGGGGTGACGCATGTAGAGATCCTGGATAGTTCCTCTGAACTGACGTCTCCAGGGCTGAGCACAATAGTCAGTGGAGGTGACGATATCCTTGCTGTGTCCACAGATTGCCACCCCTGGAGGAAAATATTAGCGAATTTAAGGGGGATTTTCTGTGGCCGTGGTTATACCTCCGAAGATCTATCGCTCGGGACGAGCAACTCGGGACCACACGCTGGTTGATCAATCCAGGCTGAACTGTGGCATTTCGTGTGCATTGTGTCGATCATTGCGTTGCACCATGTGACGCGTTTCAGCAACCCCAATTAGGAAAAGGGGGCAGACGAGAATAGCTCATTTGTTCGCCACGTCCGCAATGCCGGTTCGTCCTAATTTCAAAACACCATGATAGTTTTTCTCCACACCTAGCAAACCTTATTTTGGCATAACATCGGCAACGCAAGTAAAAGGATGTTTCCGGTTTTAACGCCTCTCACTGGTCAGTGGTTTCGTCTGCTGCAGGCGGACAGCCGAATGTCCACGGAGCTTTGGTCCAATTTCAGTCTTCTCCACCTCCACCAAGGGAGCTCCTGGTACGTTTCTTGTACATGGAGACAAGGCTGAGCCTCGCGGCGTCGTCCGGATGTACGTTATCCCAAGTCGTCTGCATGTTAAACTTCGAACCACGAAAGACGTGGGCTCAGATTTCTCGTATCAATCCAAGCAGTGACCTGTTTTTTGACTTCGTTCCAGCCTCGGAGATTATGCCGATCTTCTTTGACTTCCAAAGTTGGATTTGCATGCCAGTGTCTGCCTCTGACGAATCTGAACTCCATCTATATATTCCAGAGATCTGGACTTGGCAATCTCCATCAGCTAACCACCCATCTTCTTCTCTATTCTCTATTTCTTTCTTAAATATTTGGAGTCTCTCATTTCCGTGCCCACCCCCGCTTTTCAGCATGCACTTCTTACCTTCTTTACTGGCTTCGAGCCTGTCGTTAATTATCTCGGGCGTCTCCGCTGCCCCTCATGAGTCTCACTTGGGCAAGAGATGTACCAACTCTGCATCTGATAGATCTTGTTGGGGAGACTACGATCTCTCTACCGATTACTACAACACAGTTCCTGATACTGGAGTCACTAGAGAGGTAATTTTTTCCTTATTTTCTCCATGAAAATATACTGACAGTAAGCAGTACTACCTCGAACTTGTCAACACAACAGCTGCACCCGATGGAGTCTCGCGAAATGTCCTGCTTGTCAATGGAACATTTCCTGGCCCTACTCTCTTCGCCGACTGGGGAGACACTGTTGGTGAGTATCTCAACTCCATTCTTTCCATGGTCATACTAACAATCGAAAGTCGTAAAATTGTATAACGGGCTAGAGAATAATGGTACGGGCTTGCATTTCCATGGAATTCGTCAGAACTACACCAACCAGATGGACGGTGTTCCATCCATCACTCAATGCCCGACCGCTCCGGGAGATTCAATCACCTATACATGGAGAGCGACCCAATACGGCCACACGTGGTACCATTCTCATTTCGCTCTCCAAGCTTGGGAGGGTGTCCTGGGCGGTATCATCATCAACGGCCCTGCAACTGCCAATTATGACAACGATATGGGCGTTCTGTTTCTAAACGACTGGACACATCAAACCGCAGATGAGATTTATATCACTGCCGAGACTTCGGGCCCACCAACTCTTGATAATGGTCTTCTGAACGGCACAAATGTCTATGATGATTCCGGATCCCGTTTCAACATGACTGTCACCGAGGGCGAGTCTCACCGAATCCGACTTATTAACGGTGCCATCGACACTCACTTCAAGTTTATGATTGATGATCACAACCTCACTGTCATTGCCATGGATCTTGTTCCCATCGTTCCTTACACAACTTCCGTCCTCAGTATCGGAATGGGCCAAAGGTATGATGTTATTCTCAACGCCACCGAGACATCTGGAAACTATTGGATTCGCGCAATTCCTCAGACCGAGTGCAGTGACAACGACAACGCCGACAACATCAAGGGAATATTGAAGTATGATTCTACCGATTCAACTGAGCCGACCACCTCCGCGTACTCCTACACGGACAGTTGCGACGACGAAGATGTCTCTGATCTCGTCCCATATTACGCATTGGATGCCAGCGACAACAGTACCGAGGATGACTTTGCAGTTACTGTCGGAAAATCCAACAGTCTCTTCAAATGGTACATGGCAGCTACTACATTCGTTGTAGAATGGGATGACCCAACTCTCCTCCAAATCTACAACGACGATACAAATTTCACCACCTCATCGCACGTAATCGAGCTTGATACCGCCAATGAATGGGTCTACTTCGTCATCGAGACTACTCAAGCAGTGCCTCACCCGATCCATCTTCATGGTCACGATTTCTTCATTCTCGCGCAAGGATCGGGAACATTTGACAGCAGCTCCACAACTCTTTCCTTGACCAACCCACCTCGAAGAGATGTCGCTATGCTTCCTTCATCTGGACACCTCGTCATCGCCTTCCAAACCGATAACCCAGGCGCCTGGTTGATGCACTGCCACATCGGATGGCACACATCTGAGGGTTTCGCTCTCCAGCTTGTTGAACGCTACTCCGAGATCGCCGCTCTAATCGATTACGATACCCTTAACAGCACTTGCGCTGCCTGGGAAACATATGCAACCGCTAATGACATCGTGTCAGACGACTCTGGAGTGTAAACGGATTATCCTCACATTGCTCGCACTATACCCACGCTGCATCGTTAATATTTCTTTTGTTTGTTTGGTCTGGAGTTGCATTGTTTGCGTAGGATGATCAGGGATCTTTTGTTCGGGCAAGGTGATGCATTGGCATGGAGTTTACATTGTGAAAGGGTAGATTTTCCTTAATCTTGTTCTCTTAGAGTATCAAAAGTTCTATCTGCATCGAGTACAAGATCTCTCATTGTGAAGTTTGCTACGAAATGGTTGTTCTGCTTGCAAAGTGATCTCTAATTGATACAACCCCACTCCCGCGCCAGTAAGTTTGTAACCACTCTCCTCCATCGCCCCTTCCACGTTCTCCCCGACCTCGAATACTCATTCCTCTTCAGTCATCCCAAAATATCTTTTCGACCCTTTTCGATCCGTTTCGCTCTCGATTCAATCGTTTGCCACCATCGTCCGACTCTCATTCAGTGGTGCTGTCACATGATCCGCTCCTCCCCCTGAATTAAGCGAAACTTGGCTTGGCTCAAGAGATTTCAACAACTATTTGATTTACACTTAAGTGTACTTCCAGAAATGTGATGTGATTGTTTCAAATATCCTGCTCGGTCTGGGTAGAATGAATTTTATTCATGGAAAAGGCGCATTTCTTGAAATGTTGAGAGTGAATGAAGCGAACCGAGACCCCATCCTAGGACTCACCTTTGATATCGATCAACCCCGTGAGCAATCGTCAAATTCCAATTTACATTAGATTCTGGTCATAAAATTCATATCGTACCATCACAGCTACTATACAACTGTCCCTTCGAAAATCCTCATCACCACTGCTTCACTTTTCCAGCACCGGGGTTGGATGGAGTTTTCGAGGATGAGCTCAACTCCGATGCTGCGACCCCTGAATCAAGCCCATGCGCAGAAGCCCTGGAATTCAATTCGGATATAGAACTTCTCAGCCCCAAATTTCCCAGAAGAGACACAGACCGTAATTCACTACGTCTCGACGGTAGACGGAGTATTGCTTGTAGGATCAGGACCCATCTCTCGCTCTCCTTAGCATCTCGAGTCTATAAGATTTGACAGTTAGAAATTTCATATTTTGAGTGGTCCTTAGAGCGAGTTGATTGTTTATGATCTTCCGAGACATTTGAGGAGACTATCCCCGAGACTTTCGGGACAGATAAGTTAAAGAAAACTATTGTCACTAACTCTCGGTTCTTGGTGATGATTATCGCATCCAGCTCACTATTTGCATTCCGTCTCACAGCTTCGATTTCCTGCTCTCTCTGCTGTTGCAGTGACTCCTTCTCATCTTCGTGTTTCTCCCGTAACGTGTCTAGTTGTTCTTCATGCTGTGCTTTGATTCTCTCAAGAGCCACTTCTCGTTCCCTTATAAAGCCCTTCAAATTCCTCTCCACATCCTTACCCTCAGCCGCTCGCTGATTGACAACTTCGAAGCGCTGGTTGGCGCCCTCCAGATCGCCTTGAAGTTTCGTGATATCTGCTTTGAGATTTGCGATCTCTCGGTTCTTATCTCGTATCTCATCCCGCAATCTCCCAACCTGGGGCCGCAAATTGTTGGCTTCCGTCTCGAAAGGTTGAAGTCTGGTGATCTCCTCTTGACTGGTTCCCGTTTCATTGCGCAACGTCCCCACCACCGGACGGAGATCATTTGCTTCCCTCTCGAAAGGGGTGAGTCTTTCAACCTCCAACTCCGCATCTGCTCTGGCCCGTCTTTCACTCAAAATAGTGTTGTCGCGAGTCTGGATTGTCACATCTTTTGTTTGAACTTCCACCTCAAGCGAGGATATCCTTCTCTCCCTGATAGCAATCGCGTTTTTTTGAGAATCGATTTCCTTGACGTATTGTCCGAGCTTGGCCGTTCGATTTCCTCTCAGGCTGTCCAGGCCTTTTATGATAACTGAGATGGCGAAGTAGCCGAGCAAGATCCCGATGCTCATCCATAGCATGTCGTGTCGAGGGTCTGGCGGAGGAGCTTCAGTCACGGCATGTCCAGCTGTGATGACGGGCATGGCTGCGACAGCTTCTCCGGATGATTGTTCCTGAGCCAGCCCGAGAAACAGAAATGACGAAGAGAGAGAAATGAATCCATCAGTCAGTTCGTGTGAACTGTGCAGCCTCGCCTCAAGTCAGTACTCTGCCTTGGAGCAAGCTTTCTGCAGCCACAATCACACCTTCGGTGAGTGTTGGGAGACAAGCTACCTTTCCTGCGCAGCCTCATGCATTGTGTTCAAATGCGGAGCTCGACAGGCGCCACAAAGCGAATGGGGATGAGGTTGCTCGAAATGGTTCGCTTTATTGGGCGCCACCGGAATCCTCTTCGCTGACTCGTTCTTCTTGCACGTCTGCCTTCAATTATCCTGCCTGTGGTGACAAAGCATAAGACACGAGGTACCACAAGGTTGGAGTAAACCTGGCGAACTCGAACAGTTTTCCTACCCCTACCAAGACAGGCAGACCCCAGCCTTGCCTCACCTTCTCCCAAGATTGAGAGCCTTTTGAGGGGTTCGAACATTCGAAAGTTCCTTTGCTATTGAGATCTATTTCTCGATTTTGCTTCAACCATTTTGCAACTCGCCGATTGTACTTTGTACTCTAATAAAATTGCGAAAGATGTCAATCTCCCCTCAAAATGCCATCACGATCTTCTTCAACGTCACTCCAGACAATGGGCAATGCTTCAATCCACCCGAAGTATTTCTCTGGTTCATATCCATGACCGTAATGAGCTGTACCTGGTCTCTCTTATTCGGGAGTCTCGATTTTCGGAAAATATTACGACATGTCCAAATCCCCCTTTTCGAAGACAAGTCAGCGAACTTCTTTATCAGCCTGACCGGGAGTCTTGTATGGAACATCGCCATGAGTGTTCTGACAGCATACATCTTGACTACAGGGGGACTCGCCTCCTCAGCACCTTTGCGCTACCTTCTCATGGCATGGTTCTGTCGTCCTTTGCCTGGAGCAGCCACTTTGCCTACAAGTTTGTTCGACTACAACGCCTTTCGAGCAAACATCCAAGAAATAATTGTCGTCGAGTCCATCTACGCACTTCCACCTATCTACCTCTTCGGCACAATTGCGAGCGAGTCAATCCATTTTGGTGTTCATGCGAAATACTATCTCGCACAAGATAAGCACTACCACTTTGGATTTGCTTTGCTTCGCGGCGGTGCTGCCGTCGATCTCCTGGCTTGGATCCTTCTTATATTCGTACTGGGGTCGATTGTCTTTGTGCTGATGGAAGAGGGGATATCAAAATCTTTGGCGAGAAAGGATGATAGAATCACATGGACTCTCCTGGCTCTGTGCGTGCTGAGATTTTTGGGTGGTGGGTTGCTGTGGGTTGGAAGTGTGCAGTTGTCTCCGGCGAACTTCTGTCCGACAAAGTCGATGATTACGAAGATCACGCTTCTCTGGACCTTTGTGCCGTTGGTGGATGTTCTGTGGAGGGGAGTTTGGGGAGTTGAGCAGCAGGAAAATGGTAGAGAAGGAAGATACGACTAACATTCTTGTATCCTCACTAAGGAGATATGGCATTTTCAGAAACAATAAAAGAACATATGAATACCATTGATTGAGCTTCGGCGTTGTGGGGCAGTGTGGAATCATAACGAAGGACTACATGGCTCCTCCAATAACCCGAATAACACAATGCACTGTAGCCTCATCCTGCAAACCATAATCCAACAAAGAATTTCCTTCCTTGAGCTGTTTCCCCTTGTAAATAATTCTCAAATGCTCAGGATCGACCCCCTGTCTCGAAGCCACCTTCTCGATGAAAACCTTTACAGGCATTCCTAGCTTCACAGGGCCCACGTTCATCGGCCGGCTCTGATCGACATCTAGAGCGAAGATTGTTCTCAGTTCTTCGCCTGAGAACCCCGCTTCATCGTAAGATGGGAGCTCGGAAGGGGCTTCCACTACAGTTGTGCGTGAAGATGGGGGTGCTCGATCGGGAGCGGATTCGGTGAAGACGTAGCGGATGATTGCTCCCTAATATTCTCATCAAAAGTGTTATAACCCCAGAAAATTAAAATAGCTCACATCTTGAATCCCGCAGGCGTTGAGGGTTTGATCTAATTCATCAGTACAATACTTCGACGTGTGAAGCTAAGGCCTCCAACTCACCGTTGCTCATCTCGTTTCCCAAATGATATAACTGCAAACCCTCCCAACTGCTTGCCGGCTTCCGATTCAACATCGTAACCGTCCTCTTCAGCCGATCTACGGTCATTTCCTTGTAGATTCCATTTAGAACTTGCTCACCAGTCCCATCTACCCCCAAAATGTGGATGTCACTGATCGTTGCGCTCTCCATCTTGCTCTCTTCGTTCCTCTTGATTGACAATCTCAAGGAATGCAAGAGTAGGACTGGATTTAGTATTGTGACCCTGGGGAACGAAAAAGTGCCACGAGGCTCAGGACGCCTATGCTCGCAAAAAGTCCGTGACTACCCAAGGCTCGCGGCGGATTGCCCAAATGAGGCTGTCCATCCTTGGAGTCAACCTAGCCTTGATAGAGTGAACGGGAGAAACCCAAAACATTGGTGCATGTCTCATCACATCTTGAAACTGCTGCACAAAGCCGTGGCTAGATATTGTTGGTTGAAAGTGGTGGGGGTGCGCGAGGCTGGACATAGTGGCGTCAAATGATCCAAAGGCGGATTGGAAGTCTGCCTTGCCTTCCTCTTGACCCGAAGTTCCCCGCAGCTGCCTGCATCTTGGAATCCTCGAACAATTCCCAGTACATTGTAATCTCGATCTCATAGCCTGCCTTGATGCTCAAACATGGTGCTCGTCACTCACACCAAACTATCGACCCCAGAAATGGACGATTGGACGCTGTGTTGGGAAGTCAATCTCCGCTTTCATAATCGAGTTTGTTTGCTCCTAGATTGTTATGTGTGTGGAAAAACACAGTCTTCGAGGAACTACCATTCCACCTTCTTGAGAGACGCAACAAGTTGTCGAAGGGGACATACCTGGAGCGACTGGACTAAAAATACGTCTTGCATTTGTAGCATTTGTGACAAGGATAATGTGCTGGAGATTACAAAGAGGGAGAAAACATGTTTCGTGGAAGGTTGCAAGTCTTTGTTGAATGTTGCGGTGAAAGTTGTGGAGGACAAAATTGATGATGAGAGCATTTTGAAAGAGTGAGTTCAGTGAAGCTGCGTTCAGACAATGTCCAGACTTTCACCGAACAGTCGAATACGAATACGTGCTCAAGAGAGAAGAAAAGCTAACATTCCCAGATATCGAGAGCTGTGGAAGAAGCATCAAGTTTTCACGTGCCTGATTTGCCAATGCGAGGAATCACTCGAAGATGCACCTTCTCGGCCTCCTACCCCCAATTGCAAACACGATCCAAGCGTCTGCTCAGATTGTATGTCAGGATTTCTGTCGAATGCAATTGATAAGGGGGGATGGCAAGAGATTCGATGCCCAGATTCCAGTTGCGATCAAATCTTGTCCGGAGGTGATGTTCAAGCTTTTGCTTCTCGAGAGGCTTTTTTGAAGTAAGAGCCATTCTTCAAGTCTCAAGAAAAGCCTAACTAGAAAAGATATGAAGAACTGGTCACTATGAGAACCCTCTCCAAACTACCAAGCTTCCGGTGGTGTGCGGGTGATGGCTGTGAATCTGGTCAGATTCCGTCAGGAAGTAAGTCAACGCTGGTTGCGAAACATCCTCCCTATCTTATTGACATGGTCCAGGCAGGAATCCGAAATGGAAATGCCGCAAGTGTTCGGCATGCAACTGCTTCAATTGCAAAACACTCTACCACGAGAAGAAAACATGTCAACAATATCAACGCTTTAAACAAGTTGACGGCGAAAGTCTCGAAACGATCTTGAAAACAACGAAAGGCTGTCCCAAGCGTGGGTGTATGAGAAGAGTGGAGAAGCACAAGAGGTGTAGGGACACATTTTGCGAAAGGAAAGGAGGTAAGTCCGTGGAACTCTCAACACTTTTCGACCGGAGAAAGCTGATGAATAGGTCTTAAGGTGGATGCGGGACAGAATTTTGCTGGAATTGTAAAGTCATTTATTCTGCAAACAATAGACACCATCTTGCAGGTTGCCAGTTTGCGAGCGCGCAGACAAGGCCAAAGCCGTCTGCTAGAGATCGGTTGTATGCGGAAGACTGGGACAAGGATCCTGAATATGAGGCTCCTGATGATTTGTACGTGTGGGACAGCACTTGACGCGCCTCGATCTGAAATATCCACATCTCCCGACACGTCGTCAGTATTTCTGAGCACCTTTGAATGCACCAAGGCAGATTTGGAGGGCGCTCGATGGGTCTAGTTGTTCCTACCCTCGTCGTGGATGAGGAGGAAAGATCGTGAGGAGAAAACTGGTTGACTGGGCTCGTTCTGAAATATTCCCACTCGCTCCCTTGTGCTCAGTACATTTGAGAACGAATCAGGGAAGATAATGACGACGTCGCTGCTTCCCTTCCTTCTTCGCAAACTCAACAACAAGCTGGAGTTGTTCTTTCAAATTGTCCGTCTTGCTCGCAAATTTCGTGATCGTGATAGAGTAATGAGAGAAATCGATCCCACTCAATCACACCGCCCACCCGCCGTTGATTCCTACGCCTACAAGAACGAAGCACTGGCTTAATCCTGCCTCGATCCCCAAGAACAAGATCTTTTAAGACAATTTTGTTGCAATAAGTTGAAAACAAATTACTGGAGATGCCCTCTGGTCAATCTGCTTGCCCGTTTTCGACGACCAAAATGCGCCCAATTCCTTGTCACAGCACTATATGTCTATCGAGTTGATTCTCTGACCGTCTTCTGGCTCCTGCTCAACGTACCAAAAATCTGAATGACTTCCAAGTTGGTTGTCCTTGAAGAGCGGTTTGGTGAAAGTGAGCTGCACTGGAATGTACTTTCCCTCTCGTTCTCACCGGAGAACCTTTCACTTCAAACTATGTATTTGCAGCTCATGGAACGCCATTCTGGCAGCATGATTATGAAGTTCATTCTCAGCTTCTGTAATAGAAGAAAGAAAACAGTTTTATTCCTCGAGATATTCACCCACGGTCGCATCGGTCATTGCCAAAGGTGAATTCCCACCATCGCACTTTTCATGAATAAATTTTCTTCCAACTCCGTTTTCGCTCCTCCACTGTGCAACACCTTCCTTCGCAATCACAATCCACAAGTCGCAACCATGAGCATGAAACAGATCGAGCCCTACGTCCGGCGTTGCCCCATAGCTACGTCCTTTCCCGCACCACAGACGCCATTCATCTACTACTTCTTGTACGACGGATATTATAACTGCGAGGAGTTTGAGAAGCTCTTCCCTCGTGCAACGAAGGTAGGACTTGCATGTCTCCAAGGTTGGGTATGGCACATCAATGTCAAAGGTACGCTCCCCGCCCGCGACGTCGCGCGCACCGCTGATAGATTTAGGGAAACAAAACATCCGGAAGATGTTCTACAACGGCGAAGACCCTTCTCAAAACGGCATCAGAAGCATTACTTACGGCTGGGTATATCGCGTTGTGAAGGAGGACGAAGGAAGCTTGCATGGCAAATACGGGGTCGATCGAGTCAGAATGGGACAATGCGTCACTGTAAAGCATCCCTACCTCCCAAGTGCCGTCGCTGGACTCCCCGTGATTCTTTACTGGGACCCTCGCAACACCCGGGATGGATGGAACTGGAATAAATGGAGCAGCAGCGAAGCAGAACAACTCAAATGGAAGAAAGCAGCTGCTTCATTGAGAGGAGCCGGTGTCCCGAAGTGGTACATCGAGCACGTCCTAGATACTGTGAAGAGGGCCAAGCCATACCACACAATCCACGACAACTACACAGCTGAGGACAGTACGATCTATTTCAACCCTCAGGACCTACATTATACTCCTCCAACCACTTTCACGCTACCTGCCCCGCTGCGGCCATACAGTAGTCAAGGACGAATTCAAGGACAGGCCACTATCGGCAGAGCGGTAAAAGCAATACCCAGATCACAACCAACCCCTTCTGGGCCCAAGTCGGTTTCTAGACCCCCATCAATTGCTCGACCACAATCAACTACCGTTCCGCAATCAGTTTCCCGACCCCAATCAAGTCCTCGACCACACTCAGCTACCGGACCACAATCTGCCAACCCACAATCCGGTGCCAGAGCTCGGCCAACAAATCAGCGATCCACCATTCCGCCTCCAACAGGTCCTGGCCCGAACGTCAAGGTGGTGAAGAAGAGAAAGTCGGATTCTAGCGACGATGGAGGACAGCCACTGAAGAAGCCAATGAACAAGAAGCCGCCCCCCGGTCCTAGTAACCTTCGCCACGGAACCCACGCTTGATCGGTGATATCTGGGTGGGCTGAATCGACTTGTACACTTTCTACGCCAGGATGGAGGGATGGAGGGAACGCACCTTGTATCATATTTGAGGATAATGCAGATCATTGAGACAAGTTCTTCGTGGAACATAAATCAAGGTGCTTTGAAATCACAAGTGATGTTGAAGCGGAAGCGGAACCGTTATATACCGCTTCACCAACATTATTATAACCACCCTTTCCACACCACTCCTCCAACTTCTCGCCCATATATACACAATGACATCTTCAAGAGCCAACGCCCTAGCCACCGGAGTAAACGGCTACGTCGGCAACTCACTAGCCACGCCTTCGTCCGCGCCGGCTACAAAACTTACGGCCCGCACTCCTCCCTCCTCTCTACCCTCTCATCCGCAGAAGTCATCCCTCTCCTCGGATCCCCCGTCGACACCTCCCTCCGTCCGTCCCTCTCAGCTCAAGTAATCATCTTCCCAATCCTCGTCTCCACAATCCAGGATGTAAACAACTACGGAGTAATTCCTCACTTGTGGTATGAAAGCCCAGGGAGCGAGAGCTGCTACGTCTGTTTGGGCTTGAGCGATCCTTAGATCCCTTTTTAATATCTGGGAGACGACGAGCTGAATTGAGACAGATTGTGCTGAAGCTTACGTCCTCTGTCAAGCCAAGAGAAAAAGTTGTAGCAGGACACTGCTACAACATCTCCACCTCCTCGTTTGAAACACTAGGCGCCATTCTTCGAGTATCGTATTGAATAGGGCGTGAAGTTTGTCAAAAAGGAAGGGAGGGTGGGTCCAAGAGCCATGTTGATGGGATTCAGTCAGTGGGTTGGGAGGGAGAAGTTGAGAAGGGATACCGAGCGGAGGGATAGGAGGATGTTGTTTTCGGAGGGCTTGTGGGATACAGGATTTGCGGCGGTTGAGAGGGGCGATGAGGGGTTGAAGAAGATGAGGTTGATGTTTGAGGCGCTGACTGCGGGGCAGAAATAGACTTGTATTTTGTTGCTGAGATCTAATGTATGAGATTGTGACTAAGAATCTTGGTATATACCTACCAAACGCCGCGTATAAGCCAACTCTAAACTCGAAATCAAACAATATTTATAGCACCTGCTTCGGCCGAGTCTGGCATTACGAGCAAGGTATTTTCTTCCACTTCATCCTCGCCACTTGGCGTTCTATCTCTTGGATGCTTTCTCTTCAAACACCCAAAACTCCATATCCCAATCGCACCAACAAAACAAATCAAGGCGAGAGCTAAGAATGGAAGTCCAACCCAAGGACCCTGCAACCGCAAACCCAAAGTATACAGCGCAGCAAATGTCGGACCCGCAGCTAAGCTGCCACAAGTCTCAACAAGCCCAATAGCAGCGTACAGCCGTCCGACATGTTCCTGGCCAACTAAAGAAGTCACCAGAGACCTCGCCAGCGCATCTGTCCCAGCACCTAAGGTGAAAACAACCAATCCCACAATTGTTCCCACTATGGTTGGACTCATACCAATCAACAGCGCCCCAACGACAAGTAAAATGACTGAAAACCTGGCAAGAATTATGTCTTTTTGACTGGATGAAAAGTGGAGACGCTTGGTGAGGTAATGGGAGATGGAGGGTAGAAGGGCAAAGAGGAGCACGGTGCAGATGAATGCTCGAAGAGAGAGTAGATATCCAGCTTGACTGAGTTTCCAACGGAAACGATTGGAGATATAGCGGAGGAGTATGCTCGCAGATTGCCTGCCGAATGGCTGGATTAGGAAAACGAGGAGTAGGAGCAAAATTGGCAGTGAGTGTAGAACACTCAGCGAGCCGTAGACTTCTTTCAAACTGTTCACGGCCTGTGAGATTATTGAACCAAAGAAGCCTGGTTTGTCGTCTTCGTCGATTGGAAAGCTCCGTTCCGAAACTGCATCTGGTGTAAGGGTTGCGGATTCGCTCTCGCGAGATCGCATATGTAAGGTCTCTGGAATGAATACCAGAAGAGCAGCTGCTGGCAGGAATGCCGAGATCCCAATAAGTAAGGGTATCCAGGGGGATTTTGTCATCAGGAAAGATGCTATTGAAGGCGCAATAATTTCAGCGAATAAACCCATTCCCCCTCCCATCAGGAAGATATTGGCTCTAGCTGCTTGTTAGCAAAGATCCCCAGGGAGGCCCTCAGAGCTCACCTCTTTGCTTGGGGGGTAACATCGGATCCAATGGCATAAAACATCATGCTTCCCACAGCTTCGCCACCACCAATTAGGGTGAAGATGGGGTCTAGCCATAGTAGGCGCTGTGGGAAAATGAATTAGTAAATGTCGAGGAATACTTGCCAAGATGGACCAGAGACTTCAAGGTACTTACAACTGGAATATGCCTCCAAAACCTCATTATCATTAAACTCCACAAGTTGGCCAGAAAAAGTCCCGAAATAGCAAGAAAAAGTACAGGGCGACGGCCAATTCTATGCCAAATCAGCCTTCATCATCTCGCCAGACGTATATAGAGTATCACTCACCTATCTGCCAAAAGCCCATAAGGAACAGCCGTCAAAAGCGCTAGAGTACCACTCATTAGCCCTCTCCTCTCCTTTCATCCCATCTCCTTCTTGCTTCCACTTACACGGCACCGTCCCCAAAAAATGCAGCCCCGCCAACAAAAAGTTCAACTCCTCCTGCACCAGATCAGCCTTACACAACCGCTCCTCAATATCTTCCCCCAGCCCTCTATGCTCCTTCCCTTCCAAACGATTATAATAATGATGGCATACGATATCTTCATAAAGCCTGATCGAAGGAACGCCTATGAGATACCCGCCGAACGCGAGGATGAAGATGATGGCGAAGATTATCAAGGTTATAATGAGGCGGGAGCGCGTTTGGTAGAATGGGAGGGAGGAGGAGGGAGAGCGGATATGTGGGGGTCGGATATCTGGGAGTAGCGGCGCATCCTCATCATCATCAGGTTCGGAGGGCGGTTCCGGGACCGTCATTGTGAGATGTCGTCTCGTTTCGATGTTGAGGATGCTTCAGATTCAGCAGCAAAGGCAAGAAGACCTGCGATGCGCCAGCGCAGTCGCCCTATTTATCAAATGAACAGTACTGCATATAGAGTAAGGCCGACATAAGAGAGAGAGGGAATTGACGAGTGAGAGGTGGTGGATAGAAAGGCTGATGAGAGATCAGAACCGGCGAGATTCGCCCGGACAGGGGAAGGGAAACTGAGCCGCGTCATGATCAGGGAGGTTTTAAAGGTTGCCTACCGATACACGCTTCGGATATTGATTTTGTTCCTGAGGGGGGATACAAAGCGTGGTATCCCAGTGGTTCAATTGTGGTTATGAAGATGACAAATGGCCCAGCAGTAGAGGATGCTGCATGATGTTTGCAGTGGTCTTTTCGGCTGCCCTGACGTGGCCTCCAATCAACAAAAAAGTAAGCACCGACGATCTTTGATGGTTGACGTCTGACGTCCAGCATCGTGGCATTCTCATCGCGACAGACCTTCCTATTCCAGATGTTTCTCTTGCCATGGTATCATCAGATAAGAAACCAAGAGTGGGAGGTGGGAAGCTGGGAGGGGGGGGGAGTTCCGGGTTGAGGGAGCTCGAGGAGTCGGTTGGAGGACTCGCATCAGTGGCCGTTTGATATTGATCTAGTGATCATATGTTGTATTGTATGTCCCTCCAGTCCGATAAATTAATCGCCCGCTACAGTCAGAACAATCGATCCAGTCGTCTCAGAAGAGCGTGATGGGGGCTTCGCATTTGATCATCGCAATCCTGAAGTATCAGGAGCATCTGATCTGCAACAGATGTTCTTCTTACGCAGTACAGCGAAACAATGAGTATTGTGAAATCTATGAACTCTGTATCATTTTCTAGAACAAAAACATCATTCCATTACGCAAAATTACACCCCCCCTATTCCCAGAACATCCAATTACTAGCCAACCCACCATTTATACTCCCTGTTTTATAAACCCATCTAGCAAGTGCCAGCTCCATATCCACCGCAGTTTCCACCTCGGAAGGAGCCATTAGGGCAGCCACCAACAGCGCAGATGTTTCCATACTTGGCAGCATAAGTAGCGTTAGTGTAGGCATAAGCCTGGCTGACGCTCCAGTAATCGTTGCCACGGTACTGGCCATAGTTCGTGGCATAGTTCTGAGCCCATGATTCCGAGTACATGGCGCATTGGATTCCTTGAGGCTGGTTGTTGTTGCTCAGAACGTAAACCACGACCTGGTTGCAGACGTTTGGCTTGGCTGGCGCCGCGGGAGGGTGACGGCTGTTGTAGGCAGTCTGGGCAGTGCAAGCGGTGGTGCAAGCCTCGACACCTCCCTCGAATGTCTGAACTTTGTCGAAGGAGAAGAATTTGTAGCCCATGTATGTGTTGGTGTTGGTGACTGGGTCGTTGGGTGCGTTGATTGCTCCACCCAGAGCCATGGGCGCAGTAAAACCAGGCTGTGCTTTAGGAGGAGCGAGCTTGTTGTAGCCGTTACTTCCGGTGATCGCAACCTTGAAGGCGGGCTCTGTTCTCAATTAGCAAGTGCATATTCTGCCAGAGTCGAGCGACTTACTTCGGGTCCCGCCAGTATTTGTTGCCGTTTCCGGCTTTACCTGCACTCCCCACCGGACACACTTGATGTTGGTGACCGAAGTTGGGTTCGGGCACCCATCAGCTGGAGCAATACTAGGATCACGCTCGAAGTAGATGTTGAAAGCCTGGCATCGGCCTCCTTCAAGTTGATCGCAACTGTGGAAGTCAGCAAGGATACGACGAAAGATTGGGTACTACTCACTATTCTTGACAGAGGATAGGATCATACTTGTCGAGCGTCTTGTAGCCAAGATAAGACGTCGTCTGACTGGAAGCTTGCTTGCCCTGGAAAGCCGGTGTGTAGCCCTGCGGTGTTGGGGCATTACTTGAAGCATCTAAAAAGGGCTGGTAGGTCAAGAATGCGTCGGGAGTATCGGGGCTGCTTAGAGTTAGTTTCTGCGACTCGATAGATATAGTGATTTCTTACTTGTTCACTGCAGGCCCACTGCCATCGGGCAAAGCACCGCAGTCCGCAGTACGGGGTTTAAGCTGATCAGCAACCCCCATGACATCCCTCTTCTCAGTAGGGTCGGATGTTGAAGCAACGTCAGTCACTGCAGCACTGGCAATAGCAGAGGCTGCAGATGCCGGCTGGATGGCAACAGTGTCGACCGTGACATTGGTGGGAGGAGTGTATATCGTTGGATCCGGGGTGGCGTCGACTTCATCGAAGACGATATCCTGAGGACGAGGAGCTGCAAGAGCGAGTGCTGCAAAAGCAGAGACAACGAATGTGGGACGCATTGTGAAGAGTGTCTCAAAGAATGTGGCTTTGAAGTAGATTCGATGATTGTGATGAATTAGAGTAAAGGACGATGGATGGGAAAGGTAAAATATTTATCGAAATGTGGTACATGGAGACTGCACTTGCACCTGTCATCTCCTCTGAGGCTTCTGAGCCCAGCTGAATGGTCAATACAGTCTAATAACGCCTCACCATGCGCCTCACCACGCCGTCAAGGAAAGAATAGGCGCGAAGTCACTCTAATTGTCAAGGGTTTGGCGTCTAGATGCATCAAGAGCCTCACTAGGATGATGTGAACTCGATTCCCACGTGGTGGGACATCTGGAATTCTCTCTCGCTCTACTGATGGAATCGGTAGTCACTATCGAGCCATGCTGGCCGTATTCGTTTGCGAATTCTAGAGCCTGCGGTTGATACCCGCAAGAGATCTGTCGGAGGACCGGTCGTCAGTCAGATGTCGCAGAGATGGTGAGCTGGATTAGGAAAGGATGGCATGCTTTAAGGTTAAATTAACTAACCTGATCCAGAGAGAGGCACGGGACAAGAAGCAGCGGCGAGAGGGGAAATGACCAGAAGTGGATGGCCTTGTGGACAATCGGCCACCATTCTTCAGTCAACTGCAGCAACAACGGTCTGGAATTCCTCCCAGTATCCACTCTCAGCTCATCCAGACACCTGCGCAACACGAGAACCCATTATCTGATTGCACGAGCCACTGACTGATCCGGAATGTCGAGTCGAGGAACGAGCGCCACAAATAGTCGGGCTCCTCCTGCAGAAGCCATCGGACCCTGCCCAGGCGAGAATGGAGAAGCATGCCTGGGCGTCTTTCTCGAAATACAATCAAACTTGCAGACCTTGGGTGAGTCCGCTGCGAAGGGGGGAACAGTTGGTTCTTCTGGCAACGGCTTCGAGAAATGAAATGAAAGCTGTTCCTGCGTCGAAGCCACCCCACAGCCAAAATGTAAGTTTATAAGGTTTGAGACCGCCGCAATGCGGAAGACTCAGCCATCCGCGGACGGCTGCAACCATGAGGCGTCCACAATCAAACGCCTCTCAATATTCAACGTTGAACCTTACAATTCTTTGAAGTCCACGCTTTCAAGCCATGATCTGACGCCTTCTTGAGACATGCTTCAGCTGCGAGTCCGGAGGAAGTCTGGGGGAGCAGCATCCCGCAGATCTCCCGCTCAGCCCCTGAATAAACCGAGCCCTCAGATCCCGGAAATTACCCCTGCAGCCAACCACCAACCTTTAAATAGTGCTCTTTAGCGACTCGACAACCTCACACTATTATCAACGCCTTTCCAAGAACAGATGTTTACAACCGCAAATCAATAGACTTGGATCCTTGGCAATAGGACTTACGAATGGACCAATGACTTTCGGAAATGCCGCCAATCAAGTCCAAAGACCCATGCATGCGAAACCACAGGGAGCAACACACCCGCGTGCGGTTTTCAAGTCACGCTTCTGCAAACGAGGTTTGACAAACATGAGCGGATCGGACTATCTTCTGCTGCAACAGGCTGACAGCTGACAACAAAAATGGGCAAACGTTTTCGAGGTCTGGCCCAAGCTAAGACAATGCGAGTCTCTTGCCCTGGCCAAATCCCCTTCATACCCACCACCTAAACTCTCGCTTCTCTTCGTCTCTTCCAGTTCGAAACCAAACCAGCGCGCCGCCATCAACCAATACGGCCCCCTCAACGCCACAAAAGCCATAGCAGAAGCCACATCTCGACTACTCTTCGTATTTGGAACATTGAGATCCAATCCTCAACCATCGGAGCGTCCGCGTCCAAGAACAACATAAAAGCCTTTCAGTTCTCCACTTCATCCATTTGTGGATGGAGATGGTTGCCATGTGCGACATTTGCCTGGGAAATAGAATCGGGGTCGTTTCTCGCAAGGCTGAACACTTTGAGCAGACTGCATGAATCGATACCCGATGTTCGAAAAGCCTGTGTAACCCCTCCAGAACGGGAACAGAGCTGGGCTGGTGCCAAAGGCCGGGCTTGATGTTTTGGAGAAGATATTGGAGCCAAAGCCCAGCACCGCCTCCCCGAATAGCCTTTAGTAGCTCGGGTAGGCTCTCATCCTGACCCCTACAAGCTCTGACCAACATTCACGTGATATTCGGACCTTCCTTCTCTAGGTATTCACCGTGCTGATGCTCCTATCTATCAGTCCTGCTCTTCAGAAGCTCGAGTCCTCTGTCTGAATAGGAAGTTATCAGTATTTTGGAGACTTTGATCTTTCTATGTTATTGAGTTTATTGAATTGTCTTCGGTAGCTATCAATTTTTGATCCCCACAAATACTCACGCGCCTCACTATTGGGTCAAGGTAACTGTAGTCGCCCCTAAGTTAACGAGTCAACCACCAATGAAGTGTCTGGAAATCAACAAGTTCATTCCGAGAAACTTAAAATTTAGCAAGTATCTACACTAAAAATTTGTAGACTACAACAGATCTGTCTCGATTTTAAGAGATTCGTCACATCGTTCATAAACATCATTATCTTCATTTCCCACCTCCTTTATACTTCACAAATCACCTCCAACCCCACCATTCGTCTGCCCCTCCACCAACCCACCGCCAATCTCCGCCCTCTCGCCACTATCCATCCTCTCAAACGCCTTCTCAACCTGATACTCCCAATCACTCCACGCAACAATAACCCACTCAATGGCTCCCACCAAATACAGCGCAATACACTGTCCGACCCACAGCCCAGCAAGACCCCAGCCATGGAACGCAAGCCAAATCCCCAACGGCAACGCGCCCATATAATAACTAACAATATTAACGGCAGCACCGATATGCTGCCTCCCCATACCCCTTAAACTACCACCACAACTCCCATTCAGTCCATCCGCAATCTGGAATAACGCAACATATGGCATGACTTCCGCCGTAAGACGGATAACATTAACATCATCATTGAAGATCTTCGCATAGAAGTCCTTGACAGCCATCAAGACAATAAGCACAAGAACACCCATCACCATGCTCAACCAAGCCGCCACATTCGCCGCCCTCGCCGCCCCCTTCGCGTTCCTCGCACCCAGCAGATTGCCCACCCGCGCAGAAGCCGCAACACCGATCCCAAACGGAATCGTGTTCATCACCTGATCCGTCGTCATGATGACACTTTGCGCCGCCAACGGAATCGTGCCTAGTTGTCCGGCGGCAAGGGCGACGATCTCAAAGGCCCACCATTCCGTGCCGACGTGCACGACGCCGAGGATTGCGAGGCGGGCGAAGGTGGAGAGGTTCTGGTAGCAGAGGCGCGACCAGCCGCCCCAGCAGGCGGAGCCGGCGATGAAGCGGGCGTAGAGGACGAGGAGGAGGAACGAGAGCCAGTAAGAAAGGCCGGTGGCGAGGGGCGCGCCGATGAGGTGTAGGTTGAAGGTGTAAACGAAGAGGTAGTTGAGGGCGACGTTCAATGGGGAGGTGATGAGGAGGACGTAGGTTCCTGGGCGCATGATTTCTGTAGTCTGTTAGAGGGAGTGAGGGGATGGGAAGAGGGACGAACCCTGTGCTTGCAGGTACTTCTTCATGGATTCAAAGTAGATGTACCCCAGCCCTCCTGGGATCAATGCAGTCAGGAACTTGGCACTGTCAATGCAGATATATTCTTCCTGGCCAAGAAGCCTGAAGACTGGAGCTGAGCATGCCCAGAGAATGGCAACTGGGATATACATCGCAGTAAGGACGAGGAAAGCTCGTTGCAGGAGAATCCCAAGGTCGTGTGGGTTCTTGCTGCCCGTAAAGGTCGAAGATGCCAATGTATCCAACGCAGTTGAACCGCCCAATGCTATCAGCCATGCTGTTGACATGGCAAACATATAGCTGAACGCTGCAGTAGCCAATGCTTCAGGACTCAGTCGTCCCACTATCAACACCGAGAAAGTCTGTAGCGAGTTTTGCAGCGTATATGCCAGGATCACAGGCACGGAGCCTCGAAGAAGGAGAAGGAATTCGTGGAGCCATAGCTTTGCAGGCGGTTCGTTCTCTTCGAATTCGTAGGTCGAGCCTTCTGAGGCCGAGAAGCAGGGGGGCTGAGGGTCTGACGGTTTTGGGAGGAGGGACGAACGCTCGTTTGGCGGGGTAGATATCGGTGACCCTTTATTGGAGGATCGAAGGAACTTGGGAATCCATGAGGAATCGTTTGAATTGGCCATTTTCTAACTCTCTTGTGTTGTACTCAACTACAATTGAGTGTTACAGCAACATTGGGAAGTATATGAGAGATATGAGCGAGGGAAGGACAGGATTTTCGATATCAATTGGTCTGTCTGCCAGCAGACTGGATATCTCTGAAAGTATGACAGCACAGCGACAGGGACATGGTGACAAAGAAGGACGTAAAGGAATGAGCAACGGGTACTTGTACCACGACGGCCAATGAGATCTGCATCGGAGCCGTCTCGCAGGCCCGTAGATGGAGACGCCGTGGTCCTGTCTGCGAATTGTGAGTGCAGATTCGTCAATGGCGTCGATTCCACGGCAATGGCAGAGGACGAGTGAAGCCAGCGCGAATTAATGCGAGTTTTGTGTAAATGGGAAGACTTTTGTTGGCTGAAGGCGCGTCTGCGAGGGTTTTGCTTATCTTTGACATTGGACGTTGTTGGTCATCGTTATCTTTGTCCTTCTCGTAATAGTTCCACAGCACGTGACGCCCCTTTACGTAACCGATGAGGTTTGGCTTTTACAAATCGTGTTGGAAGATCTTCTTAATGCTAATGACAGGAGAAATATTTTTGCTTTTCAAAATAAATGCTTTGAGGCTGATGAAGTGTCTCGCTATGGGGTAAAACCTTCCCGGTGGGTGGGCCCCTCATTGGTTAGCACGACCCCCGCTGGTTCATTAGATGACTGTAACACCATAGGGGAATGAGGCATTGTCACCAATCGGCCGGGGGGCTTGTCTTATCCGTCTATTTTGGACTCCATTTGGATCAGAAGGCCGCTTCTGCCTAGTGGGACAGGACACTGTCAAGTGATTAAACTGTGGAGGACCATCTCCCCCTAATTTGTGTTGAATAGGGAAGGAGTTCATTTTCGTCCAAAAGTGGATGAAGACTGGTGGGAGGGTTTGAGATCAACACTAAAGGGAATTTCAACGCAATCCGAGCCTTCCTTCCTCGGGCTGCGTTGTATGCCTTTTTTTTTTTTTGAATACAGATACAGGCCTCGCGACGTGGCACTCCATCCCTGGACTTCCGAGTTATTCGTCATCGAAAATTGCGAGTGCAAAATTGTTTGAGCATCCCCAGGTCGAACATCCAGACTTGCGTGTTGTCAAGGTGCATCCTGGAGTGGTTGAGATGGCGATGACGGAAAAGATTCGGGTGACTGCCAATGATGATCGTAAGTTTTGTGGTAATGAAACTTGGACGTTATACTGACTAGGTGCAGCAGAGCTCATTGGGGGCGTCATGGTCTGGCTTTCGAGTCCAGAGGCAAATTTCTTGAGAGGCATATTCATCTAAGCAAACTAGGATGTTGATGAACTGAAAGAATTTGCCGCAGAGATTAAGAGTCCGAGATTTTTGGTGTTGGATCTAAACCAATAAGCCTTTGGCGATATGGGGAAAAGGCGAAGTTTTTGCTGTGAAAATCCGAGACTTGGATGCGCGACATCGAACTTGTGCCTGATTTAGCAACTTGGTACAAGGTCGATTTTTATGTGGTCCCAAATGCATCTTGGAAGCTTCCTCCTTCAACGAAAGAATCCCAGATTTCCTATTTATATGTCAGCTCTCAAAACAGTGGCACACAAGAAAGGGGTAACATACCCAGTCAATGTCCATGTTAACCTCAGGACTTCCTAACCGTTGATTTGGGGCAAAGAGAGGTAGCTGGCGAGGCGTTTCTTGCCCCATTTGACCCTGAACAAATCCCAGGTTTTCTTCCATAGCGTGAGTACTGAGCACTTGTGACAGGACTTGATAGACTTTGGCTGCCTCAGGAGAGCTATGTTTTTCTTCCTTCCATACATTACAGGCAAATTCAAGCGATTGCCAGATCTTCGCTTGCTCACTCTCGTCAAAGTCCAATCTTCGACTGGACTGCTCCTCCAGTTTTCGATATCTGACATCCAAACAGATGATCATAGCCGCAAGGATAAATTCGTGACTGGTATGCGCCACTCGATACCAATGCCGAGGCTTCGTAGCTCCTTTAATTTTCGTTTCGGCGTATAGATATTGCTGGTGATCGAGTAAGCGCAATGCTGATTCCATACCGCTGATAGGATCTAGAAAAGCGAGCGTCTATTCTACCCAGAATCAGAAATTTCCGGTGCAGGATGCAAACATTTTGGTTGTAAAGAAATTCCAATTGTATACGACGGTTGACGAGATATGGGATTTCGTTGAGCAATCTCTCCGGGGTGTCCATTTTGAGGTGAGCAGGGAGCTCTTTGTAAGCTTGTGCCATCTTGTCATCGAGTTTGAGTACCTCGTCGTAGGAATGCTGACTCAAGGATCCTATGAGACTGATAATATCCCCGCCAACTGAAATGATCTTCCTTTTTGCTAGCATATAACAGACCGGCGTCTCCTCCTCGAGTGACCTCGATTCAGGAAGGGCTGTCATGTCCTCAGTCAACTCCCAATCGTGAAGATTCCGGGGAGCCAGTGTATCGGAATCTATTGTGCGGATCGTGCTTGGAAGACCGACGAGAAAGGAGGTCAAGATGTCGAGACCTTGCACGAAACACCAAACTCTCCGGCGCACTTCGCCCTGGAAGATGGAGATTTCGGGATACTGCGAAGGGTCCCTGTGTTGAAGTCAGACATAGAAACATATTTCCAAGGCAAACACAAGCCTATGATATCCCATTTGCAACGCAACCCGTACAAGCAATCCTACCACCATCCATACTCGGGTCTCACTATCGCCATTATGTGCCCATTCTGCCATGCAATTGTAAATCATTGTCTCAACTGTGTGCGGTGCACATTCTTGGTAACGACGGAGTCAGTAATTGCCCTTGAATGCTGTTTGAGAACATAGGGACATTGTAGAAAATTGTGAAACTGTGAATAGAAAGGAGGATTCTCTTCGCTCACGTACTTGTGATGTCTCCCATCATCAAACACTGAGCTGTTCGGAGGCGGTAAAGCTCATACAGGGACCGAGATGTACCCTCATACTCTGGAGGTTCTTCATCGTTGAGATAGAATGACAGCATGATCAAACTAAGCATGGAAAACAAAAGCCCAATCCACATGATTTGTGTCTCCGAGGGGCTTTCCCAGTGAGCCTGGTATTGTTTCATGAAAGTGGGCTCGTGCAAGACGTCTGATGAGGAGTTAGCCATTGAAGCTGGCAGAAAATTAAAGGATACCAACGAAAGGTAGGAATAGGAGAGTTCTTTTTATCAAAGAATCGTTCGATCAGCTTGTCAGTCGTGCACTTCGGAGGTATGGTTGCCAAAAGCTCCTCCAATCCGACTGGTTTAACAACCCCACACAGTAATCCCGGCCCATTGGCAGTGCCTGTTGAGAAGGCGACTTGGGAAAGAAGATCGTCTTGGTCATCTTGAACTTGATTCCAGAAGCTCTTCAACTCGGTCAACTACCAATACTGCAAGTCAGCGTCACCTTGTTTCAAGCAATGCAGAACACTGCAAGGCAAGTTACCTCTTTCATAACATCACGCCAGTGAGTTGAGCCTCTGTATACGGAGCTATGGCCGTCTACTTTTAGCACCCCTAATCCATGTTGGATACTAGCTGTCGAGGTGCTTTCGGCCTCACGTGACACGTCCTCTTGAGACGAATGTCCACTCCCATCTTCAGAACTAGGATGTACTTGACCGGGAACACCATCTTGTGCAACCAGGGTCGTGACAAGATTCTCCAATCGGTTGAGCCGTTCTTGCATACCCTCAGCGTGGGCTGAGCGGAGACTAGGCGCAGGGATCGGTCCATGGCCACGATAATCACATCGCGAAGGAATACCCCGCACAATGCAGTTTTGACAGGGCAATTCGCGATTGCATTTAATCCTATTATAACCTTTAGCTTCTACCATCGGAGCACGAACTATGATCAAATAATGAACGAGCCTCCCGGGATGCCACGGAGCCGGTGAGGTATTGTAGAGAGCAGAGAGGTTCTCACTTTCTGATTCGACAAGATTCGCAGGCGAGAGGAGCCCGAGGGTTCTTGTGGGCCTTGCGTGGTTTGGTGTTTCTGGTGTCCGCGGGCATTTTGCTGCTTGAGACTAGGTGAGATTTCGCAGATGCGGAGGAAGAGAAGGAAAGAGCCTTGGGTGTGATGTGAAAATAGTCACCTGACTTTATTTCCGTGGGGATATTCGGTTCCCCTTTTTTTTGCTTCGGGCTTAAGTTCCCAAAATCAGGGAACGGTAAATGTACCTGGATTCTGATACTATGAGTTATGCGGGAAACTCCTCAATGCCCGGAGTTTATATGGACGGTTTAAAAAGATGGAACTGTTACAAACATTCCCTGTCTTCCTCGATCACAGGTGGGATATTGGCAAAATGAATGTATAAGGTGAAACTCGAAGCCGAAAAGAAGCTGCACACTCGATCCTCCATTCCGCCATTCTATATCATTAATTAGTTATCACCATGAGTTTGAGTAAGATCTGGCTCCAGCTCGAGCAACTTCCCCCTATAAACGTTGATTTTACAAGAAAGTTGTTGGGTCGAACACGGGACTAGGAAAGGAGGAGTTCGTCATTTCGTCCGTCTGAACGCCTCCAAAGTCATCATTGCTGTCCACTCTTTACCCAAAGGGAAATCTGCTCAGGAAGACATCGAAGCCACCACCAATCGACATGGAGTGGGTGCAGTATGGGAAATCGACTGGCCCGCTCAGCGTCGGTGAGAGAATTTGCAAAGAGAGTTGTAACGTTGCCACGAGTCAATGCCGTTGTTTCCAGTGCGAGTATAGCAACGCCAAAGTTCGAGATACTCGAGGACAATGAGCATCGCTTGATGTAAAGAAGCTGAAACTTCAACCTCGACAACCGATTGGGCAAGAAAGCATACTTCGAAAATTTTTGTCGTCTCCAGATCTCAATCTCCAGGAAAATGAATCTGAGTAGATGCATGCACACTATTCTCCGCCAGCCAACTTCAAATCGAAACAACATCAAAGCCGGTTTCTCCGGCATCTATTGCAAGCCTGAATATTGCACTAATCATCGAATTAGTACCGATAATTCCTGAATTGCCAGAGAGGGCTCGGGAGCCGAAGAGCCAGGCTCTTGAGCTCTCACATATAAATGACAACAATTCAATATGGTAATAAGCTTACCTGCTGACATTCAAAAATGTACGACGGCAGTGTATCGCGGCACTCCTCACACTGGTGTCTGCCCCTCACATACTGCCAGGTCTCATGGTCACAATTATGTCTATCCCTCAGGTTCTGGACGACAGCGGCGAATCTGGCCTGTTGCTCTGGAGGATTGACTCTCGCAGGCTGGCGTGCAACGACCTGGTTCGCACGTGCAAGCAGTCGGTCTTCGTTCCATTGTGCACAGTCGCAAGTCTTCCAGCGTTGGCCGCAAATGTAGCAGAACTCGGCCCTGCAAGTGCATCTACGGAAGTAAGCAGTGATCCTCGAATAAGACAAGAGGACTAACGTAATGTGGTTGCAGCCAATTTCCAACTCGACGAGGCGGCGACAATTGAAGCATCGTTGCCATCCATGTTCTTCAGCGGCATCGAGGGCTTGTTGGAGAGCCACATCTTCTGGACAGTCTCCTGTGTGACTAGCTTTGCAAATTGTGCAAGTGACCATCAAGCAATTCGGGCAGGATGCCTCTCCATTGGCGATATTCTCAACTCGGATGAAAGCGGAGCACGGAGGATTGGAGCAGTAGGTACGATCTGGTGCGTCGAACTCGATCTTTTCCCGCTCGTATCGTTGAATGAGGTCACCGGTGAGGAAAATGCGGATACTGCTGCCGGTTGCGATTGACTGACGGCAGCAACGTGGAGGAAAGAGGGAGTCGTCTCCCAAAGAAGCGAGAAAGAGCCCTCGAAGACAGTCTCGGCAGTACTCGTGGCCACAGGGTGCGCGTGCAAGCTGGAAGAAAACGACGTGTTCCTGGCAAGCGGTACAGCATCGTTTTGTCTGCTTCGGTGGGTTCCTCATTGCAGCCCAGGCGGAAGATTCGGCAACCTCCTCATCGTTTTCATCGACAAAGCGATCCGATCGACCCTTCACTAGTTGTCCGTCAAGTGACTCTTCTTCGACTGGTGCAGTCACGTAAAGAGCTCGAAGCTTCTCCAAAATCTCATCGTCCAGAAACTCAGAACCAACAGTCCATGGTGGGAGAGGATGATGAGCAGCCACACCGCCAAGCCTACAAGCAATGTCTCGGTCTCCTGCGGCGGCCTGTTCTTGAGAAAGTGATTCTACCAGAACATCGCCATCCATTTGGCAGGCCTGAGCAATGCTGGTGCTCATTTTTCGGTCTTCCACAAGAGCAACACTGCGCTCTAAGTCCTCCCTGTACATTTGAAATGCAATCTGCGAGTCCGAGAGCACTCCTTCTCGACCTTTGCCTTTGCCCGCGAAGGACTCGACGAGCTCGTTGCTGTCCTCGAGTTGGAGCTGAATCATGAGAGCGGCGGTTGCGATGTCCATATTGGCGAACATGTCCATCGTGTTGGCTGTACCGCCTCGCAGCATTTTGGATGCAGAGAGAGCTGTCTCAAATAGCTGGGAGCACTGGCTCGAAAAATGCACGGACAATTGTTTGCTTTGATCTCCTTTCACCGCCAAAGACTTCTGGGGCGAAAAAAACAAACGGGGATCCTTGTAATCATCAAGTCAATGCTCTTCCGTCTATCACCTGCAAGTTTTGACGCGGCTGGTGGAAGCACCTCGTTGAGTCTGGACAACTCGCTGCAGGCCGCCGGCACCAAGTGAGCCGGGGCATGACTCAACTGTGAGATCCAGCCCGTCTGTGGAGAATTCTCTCGTATGTTTGGGAAGATGCGGGGTTGAGCAGCCCATCCCATTGAAACTGGAAAGGAGGCTTCGGCAATCTTGTGCAACGGATATCTGATTCGTCCTTCCATTGCCATCAATCCCCTACAAACTCGTCCTTAACCTCGACCCCCCACAGCTTCACAAGCTACTCCTTGGCTTCTCAAATCCCTCACATCATCTCTGTCCGCCGACATGCGACCATTCAACTCACACTCAACATCTCCTCCAGCCTCCAGGGACGCACTCGGTGCAATTATCCCCAATACCCAGACATCGTCATTCAAACACATCTCCCTCCACCACCCTTCAACCAAACTTCTTACTCCCCCCCCTCTTAACCTCGCCCTCCTTGCTCTTAATCTCTTTCCCCTTCAAATCCTTATTCTTCTTCCCCCCCTTCAACAACTCCAGATGTCCCGCCTTAGCACCGAGCGTCCGCTCCGTCATTGCCGTCAAGCCCGCTGAATGTTTCTGCTTCCCGTCAGCTCTCCGCCCTCTATGCCTTCCCCTTCCCTTTTTTCCATTTCCATCCCCTTCCCTCTCCAAAACCACATCTCACACATCATTTTCTGGAATTCTGTCGCCCCCTCACCCCTCATCCGCACCCCTTCCCACCCAACACAAATTCACGAAAGCAAAGCCAGGGCCACTGCATCTGCTCCTCTAGCAGATTGGGGGGAAAAAAGGAAAGAGTAAATACCTTCACCATCCCCTTATTCCTGACCAAAACCTGCTTCCGCGGCGCAATCGTCCTCGCGCCCTTCTTCGGCCCCAGCACGGTCGGCTTGCGAGATGTTTTCGCAGTCGCGGTTGTGAGTTTCTTGGATTTGAGGGTCCCTTGCGCCATCTTCTATTGTCGTAGTATAAATGTGTTAGAAGATTGGATTGTTCTGGCGTGAAGCGGTTGGATGGAGGGGAGGGGAAGTTGGAGTTGAGGGATTGGGAAGGAAAATCGCGGGAGATTTTGGAGGCGGCCGCTAGCGCAAGGCCCATTGTAGCTGCGCTAGCTTAGCAGCCGAGTATCGATCAGCTTTGAGAAAAGGGGGCGGGGAGTTGGGATGAATCGATGGCGTTTCCAAGAAGAGGGAACAGAGGGTAAGGGGGAAGCAGTAATGGGAGATGGGAGATGGAAGATGGGGGTAGTCTAGTTGCAAAATGAAAAGCGAAATGATGTTGTGATGCTTTTTGGAGTCAACTCACTCTCATTGCGAGGCGATCCTCTCCATCAAATAGTTTATAATGCAGGCCATATCATTCATCAAGTCTAACCCCGCCCCATCTTTTAATTCGAACCATAGAAACACACATTTGTCCAGCAAGTAAGAAGTGTAACCACCCATCCAGTCCGAACCAGTTCGTGATTTCCATGTCATATCCTCAAATCATCAAGTCATGCCATCGTAATAGAGTTCGAAGCCCGAGCTTATCATCTGAAATGTAAAAGTTGATCGTAAATCAAGCAAATCAATCGCTCGCTCATAGTCAAGAAGAAAATGCCAGGAAAGTAAGTTACACGTTGAAAAGGAAGCGCGAACCGCCATCCGGGGGAATCATTGTGATAATACAGTCCTGGGATCCGCGCTTTCCAATCCTTGGCCTATTTTTTTTGTTCGAATCTGCTGCTGGGTATCTTTGAATGGGGTAGTAGGAACTCATTGAGTTCTCGTTCGTAAAACATCGTCGACGCCGCTCTGGACGCCCTTTGGACCGCTGATGCTAGCCCTGAGCTTCTCGCTTCGTTGCTGTCTTCTCCGCTCACTCATCCGCCTCCGCATCCCTCCCCATCCAATGTACTCTATCCTAATACCCAAACCCGGGATGGTGTGGATCCTCCCGCCATTTCCTTCCTTGAAACCGTACCCAAACGAACCCTCGGAAGGTCCGCTCACTGGCCGCGCAACAGCGTACTGCTGCCTGTCACTTGCGTCCCTTCTGAGACTTGTGTTACTCCTCTGTTTGACAACTCTCATATTTCCACTCGGGGTTCTCCTCATAGTTCGACGATCTACCGCAGAGGGCAGGTAATCATAATCATCATCCTCGATGGGCAAAATGGCGAAGGTCCGCTTCAACTTTTGACTGAAGCTTCGTTTTGGCAGTGGAGGTCTGTTATCAACAGGTGGGTACTGGCTGAACTCGTCGTCATCATCAGACTCCTGATCTTCAAGATCATCCCAGAAGTGGGCGGGTCTCCAGAAAGGATGCAATTTGCTTCCATCAGCAGGGCGATCAGCAACTGAGGGATATAGCGTTGACGGATTGGCAGTCTCTTTCGAGGTTTGCGTTGAATGATCCGTCAAATCTCTCCGTGGGGTGTTACTCAACGAAAATGTGCGTTTGAGGAGACCCGGCTGATGAGCAGCTGATTCTGAATTGCGACGATTGCTGAAAGCACGACGCATCAATGACAAACCCCTCTTAGGTTTGTCATTTGAAGTAGAAGGCCTATCATCCAGATTATGGCCCAGCTGGCGATTCTCTTCGTCTCCAGGAGTCAGTGCAGCCGGCGTGGGCGGAATGAACTTGATCGCTGGTGGTTCAGGAGGCGCTCGGGGGTTCCTGAGAGGAGAATCGATTTCATCCATTGAATATATTGGTTGTGGGGGCGTCACTGGGCCCATAGAAGCTGACCCGTTGGCCTTGGGCTGCTGTGTTGTATCGATAGCCTTGAGATTAGGAGGTGACGGGTCAGATGACGCTCTCTGCTGCACAACCAGGACTGACTTGTTCTGGTGTGGAAATATAGACACAGCCAAGGCTTCTGAGACCTCTGCAGTAGTGCCGGCAGTTTCGTAGGATGCCTGAGAAAATGGTGTGACTTGCGTAGAAAGTCGTTTTCCAAAGAAGGGATCTCCGTTATGATCAAAGTTATGATCCACGTTCAGAGGTGGCACATTGTCTGTCTCTACCTCTTCTTCGGGCGATGGGTGGCTTTGGACTGGCTCAGGCTTAACTTCTTTGGCTACTTCTTTGTTTTGGGCTTGGATCGTGTTGTGAGCCCTGAGACTCTCAGCAGTTAGAGATCCAGCCCTCGACGTATTGCGACTAGTGGGAGCGGAGAGTGATGAGCTTCTAGCCGGGATGTTTGGAGGAAAATCTATCGTTCGGACTGAATTTCCAGAACCGGCTGATTCCGACATCGTTCGCTTCCTTGGAGGCAGACTATCAAAATAACCAGGATCGTTGTATTTCGATGACTGGGACAACGGCGCCGAATTAAGAGACATGCTACGCTTGGTCCTCCGGCTGCTTGTAGATCTGAGCGAGGGGGGTCTTGAGGATCTTGTAGATGAGCGTCGATCAGGGATAACGACAACTGGAATTGCTCCGCTCTTCAAGAGTTCCCGGCGTGACCTGCTACTTGAAGAGGTTGTGGTTATGGTGGCATTTGAGGCCAAGCTTCGATGCCTTTTCTCCGGGATCCTTGCCATGGAGTGATGCAGGCGGTGTGGAGCTTCACTCGACCCAACCGAGTCTGGGCCAGAAGTAACTGTCGACTGGTCCGAACTGAACTCTCTCAACCCGAGCTGCTTCTTACTGTGTCGAAGAGTCTTTCGTCTTGTCGGTGGAGCGTCAACAACCATGGCCTCTATGACTGTGGAACTCACTGAACGTCCTGACATGGCCGAGAATCTCCGGACGTCTGGCGTTGATGGTGATTCTGGATGTACAACAGGTGTAGGCCAAACCCTGCGTTCCCCAAATTTTCCACCGGGCGTTTGGTCAGACGCGTCCCTTTGCAGCCGATGTCTTGCAATTCGCTCTTGTAACGGTAGACTCCTCACAACCTTGGTTGCCGCTGTTGGGGAAACAACATCATCCTCCAAAACATCTCCCGAAGGCCCGTCTGTCAACATTTGTAGTTTACGAGCAGGCCTCTTACGGACAGTCACATTCCTCATAAGATTGTCGTCCCATTCCCGTTCGACTTCGCTTACCTCCTCTGTCGATCCCCATTCTCCATCAAATACAACAAATTCCTCCTGTGATCTATCCACTTTTGCTCTGGGTGTTGTAGCTCCTTCATTATCAGACTCTAAGCCCAGTCCTAATCCCACTTCTTTGGGTTTCGAGGGCCTTTGCGGGACTTGGGGCACCTCCACTGCTGATGTTCTTGCTGAAGGGAGGACCGGTCTCACGGTGGGCTCTGACACTTCATCTTCCTCTGAGGATTCTGGGTGCTCTCGAGCAGTTTTGAACGAGTCGGTGCGCGAAGATGGATATCGGTCACTGCCGGGAGGACGAAACGCCAAGGGCATCGCTCTTGGAGGGGTGACATCTGGAGTGGGTGGACTTTTCTGACCTGGTGGCGTGCTTGGTGCAGATGGAACGTCTGTCGGCGTTTTTATGGATGCAATATCGAATCTAGGTGCTGCGGTGATCGTAGGGTGAGATCCTGAGGATTGCCGTGAATGAGTTGGAGGGGTTGGGGGCAGAGCACCTATCCTTTTGGACGCGTGTTTCAACATTCGCGGACTCGATGTATCTGAGCTGGATATGGAGGAATTGCCTGTGTCTATGACAAGATCGCGGGGCTTTGTGGCACGAGGCAGAGGGTACACTTCTGGAAAGCGAACCTCTCGCGGATGGGGGAGTATCTTGTGCTTCCTCAGTAGAGTCGTGCCCACACCTTGCGGTCCATTGGGAGCATCAACAGAGGCCCCCAGCTCTCGGGCCGGCATCCTGAGCCAGTTCGTCTGTGTGAGGAGCATTCACGCCGAGTCAACGCAGGACTTGGGGGATAGATTATCGCTGGGTCATCGCCTTGTCATCGACTAGGCTTCGATTTCGTTTTCAAGAGGTCGCCGGCTGTTCATCGACAATTCGGTTTCATGCACGAGAACGCTATCGGCAAGTGTAGTAGCCCTCGTGGCTCGCGGCTCGCAGCTCGCAGTCTAATGTATTGCGAAAGAGAAATAACGAGAGTCGTGAATATCGTGAACGTCGTGAAAGGACCGTGGTATCGCAGTACAAGTCAAGCGGGTCGGAAAAGCAAGCAGTGGCGCTCGAGAAGGAGAGGAGCTGCCCCGAATGAGGAGTGAGACTCAGGAGATGCGGCGTCGCTGGTGCGTCCAGGCTGCAAGAAGCCAGAGAGAAGGCGCTCAAGTCGCCCAGAAAGTGATCCGGCAGCGAGTCGGATTCGCACGACGAGTTGTGTCGGATGGAGGCTGGGGATTATCGTCGTCGCGGGCCACTGGCAGAGCATGCGACGAGCCTCTCTGCCTTTCGATGTCGTTGGGGGAGAGCGCACAGTCTGAGATGGCCTCGGATGGGGAGGTGGTCTCTGGCTTGAACGCCCCTAATTGGGCCGGCGAGGGCACTGGGACTGCGACCGGGACTGACGCAGCGGCCGGCGAGTGAGTGGCTCCCGTGCCATTGGATACAGGTCCTTTTGCAGGAATCCTCGAATCAGAAGGCCAAACTGCGAGGGGGCAGTGGGCAGTGTGCAGTGGGCAGTGGGCAGATGCTTTTCCTAGCCTCGATGCGGAGCAGCAGGACGCTGCAGCTGCATGAAACGTATGTGGCCAAATACACCCACGAATCACCCTCATGAAGTCATGAAAAGCTCCTCCCTGCCAGGTCTGCGCCGCGCCGCCTGGATTTCTGCAACTTTCCTGCCGTGCCTACCTACTGCCCACGGTGCCCACCTGCCTGCAAGCGTCTCGCTGAAAAGAAAATCTGGGAGGCTGGGCCGATGACCGTCGGCCTTGGAGCCTTCGAGGACGTCGAATCTCGGAGGATCATTGGACCAGGCCACGAATCGTCTCAGGAAGCCTGTCTAGAAGTGATTCGACGTGCATGAAGCTTCTCTAACTGCATGAGAGAGATTTAGGGGGCGGAGGTTTTTGGATCACGTGACTAGCATCCTCCTCAAATGCATGCCTTTGATACAAGGAAGCATCTCAGGCTACAACAACGCTGCCCTAGGACCCCTCGCCGCTGCTTTTCCCACCCCGCCGATAAAGCTCTCCTCAAGTCTTATCGTGGAATTCCCTCACCGCTTCCCGATGCGTCCGAAGCGACCCCGGTCGTTGACAAGTTCGATTACCTCTCCATTACCCAATTCCAAATGACAATGCATTCCTGTCATTCTTATTATTGATAGTACCTGACCTGTCCCCAAAGCCGTTACCATTATCCCTCGGCCAGGTCTTGGTTAGAGCACTCCGAAGCGTGTACCCCTCCAGATCCTTTATCTGTGCCCCGCATGCATCGGACGAAATCTTTCTGTATCTGCTCCAGTTACCTAAGAAGATCAGCCACAACATGACCAGCAGCTTGGTAACTTCTCAGGTAATCTTCCAAAAGGCCAATGGCCGAGATAGCCTGTGAGCCTGCGGCCATACCACGCGTGGCTTGGTCGGGATCATGCTGCGAGAGTGCTCATCGGTCTACCTGTAATATCGCACAGTCAAGATGACGCCTGCAGTGCCCTCAAGCAGCGCCAGCACAGCACTATTCATAAAGGCAATTCCCCTCATTTGCGGCCTTTCCTTCCTTCCTCTGCTGCTCAATTGCCCTCCCCCTCCCCGCCCTCGCCATGTTGACCAACATCTTGACCGTGGTCATCCTGGTTACCACTGCACTTGCTCATGGCGATCATGAGCAACAAGTCCCAATCCAGGGGCCGCACAAAGCCTTGTGGTACAACACGTTGCCCGGTGACGGTGGAACTCAGGTAAGCCAATTGAGATCCCGAGCGGTCGGAGGCTGACAGTGCGAAGGCCGACTCTGTATTCTCCGGCATCTCGACATTTGGTCGTCTGCCATACTTCCCATGTCTGGCATCTGATGATGTGAAGTACGATATTGCCTTTATCGGTGCGTGCCTGCCTACTTGTACCCTAAAGGGTACCCATCAAGGTTGGGACACTAAGAGTGGCTCGCAGGTGCTCCATTCGACACAGGAACTTCATACAGACCTGGGGCCAGATTTGGGCCATCTGGAATCCGTCAAGGTTCTCGCCGTCTCAATCTTTAGTCAGTCTCCCCAAACAGCATAGAAGCTGATACCCTGGTTCGTAAACATAGGCTCACGCAGGGTTGGTTTCAGTGGAGGATACAACGTCCCACTGGAGACAAATCCATTCAACAGCTGGGCAACAGTCCTAGACTGTGGAGATATCCCAGTCACGTCGTAAGCCCGTCTATCCGCCTCGACAACTGTGCCGATACTTACTACCTGGCAGTTATGATAACACCTGGGCTCTTCACCAAATTGAAGAGGGACACAATTCAATCTTGACCCGCGCTCCAGCGACTGATGCTAAAAAGAAAGGTCCAGCGAAGAATGGAAAGACTCTTCCCAGAGTCATCACCCTCGGAGGTGACCACACAATCACTCTACCTCTCCTCCGATCAGTCAACCGCGCTTACGGTCCAATCTCTGTGATCCACTTCGACTCTCATCTTGACACATGGAAGCCAAAGGTCTTCGGGGGATCTCCAAGCAAGGTTGCCAGCATCAACCACGGCACCTACTTCTACCATGCTTCTCAAGAAGGCCTGCTCGCGAACGACTCCAACATCCATGCCGGTATCCGAACAACTTTGAGCGGGCCCAGTGACTATGAAAATGATGGCTACTGTGGCTTTGAGATTGTGGAGGCCAGAGAAATCGACACTATTGGAATGAATGGTATCATCAAGAAGATCAAGGACCGTGTTGGCACTACTAAACCAGTCTATCTGTCGATTGACATCGATACTCTTGATCCAGCTTGTAAGATAGTATTTCTTTCTACTCGTGCGCTCTACTGACAAACCTCAGTTGCGCCTGCGACCGGTACTCCGGAGACGGGTGGCTGGTCCACACGCGAACTCCGTACTATCCTGAGAGGACTCGAAGGAATCAACCTTATCGCAGCGGATATCGTGGAGGTCGCTCCAGCGTACGACACCAACGCCGAGCACACCACAATGGCTGCCGCAGATGCTCTTTATGAAGTGATGAGCTTGATGGTGAAGAAGGGACCCCTCAGCAAAATGATTGAGAGCGAGGAGGCTGAAGGGAGGGATGAGGTGTAGATAAAGCAGTGCGGGAGATGCCGAGAGAGATATTGAGCTAGAAATTGGACGAGGACTAGATTGGAATCGCGAATGACTGGATAATGGTGGATTTATGACAGATAGATGGAGGAAAGGCTGATGGTGTTCCTGGATTAAAGGTACAAGATGACAAGATGACAAACCGAAATTTAAGCAGGCTTCGTTAGGTCACGTGTCAAATCCACATTTTCCAAAATTTAAATCCTTCATTTCGACCTCAAACATCGACATCCACATCCATGGAACAATTCTGAGCACGACCATCCCGGCGGCGTTTCCTTTTCTCCAACGACGTCAGATCCATGGAAATCGATTGAACGATGATCTTCGCGAAGTTGGCCCTAACAAGTATGTCCGTGGACAAATCGGCGCCAACTTCTCCGAAGCAGGATCTCACCACCAATGTGCTGCGCCTCAAGATGTCTGCAGTGCAGATAAGCCTGTTCAACCACGGGCAGCGGTGAGTTGGCGGCGCCTTTTCTGCGCAGCCCTAAATCTCTCACCTGAGCGTCTCCTTCTCACCTTCATCGTTATTGCCATCTAATCCTCTATCTACAATTTGACTGACATTAGTGTCGTTGCGACACGAGCGTTGGCCTTCACTCCTAGGTCCAATTGACCTCGTATTCCTAGGCGCTACGGATCACCAACCACCAGCCTCATATTTGATTGTCGGTGACCGAGCATCCAAACCTCCAGCTTCACTCATAAAGACACGCCGAAATGGTAATCTCAGACGCATTCCCTCATTTCGGCCCCACTTCTCTTCCATACTGGCCTCCCACCACATTATCTACGAGCTCGAGTCTCAACAGAGAGCAAGCGACAACAAGCCTCACCACATCGAGTAGCTATTCAAGTCCAACCAGCGGACCTTACATTGATACACACAACCAAAATGTCTGGGGTGGTCTTGCTTCCGGTGCGAAAATAGCTATTTGCCTCGTGGTCGTCGGTATTGGCATCATCGTCCTGGCCTCGATTTGGTGTTGCTGCGGATGCTGCATTGGAGGCCGGCGTTGTGGGAAGAGACAGATACCTCCGGGACAAGGCAATCGTGGTGATCTGCCATTGTCCACGATGCCTGGAGCCGAAAGGAGAGGACGGCAAGACGACAGAGCTGTAGATGGAGATCTACCTCCGCCGCAGTACGAAGAGACGGCCCCGCATCAACATCAGACGATTGCAGGCGGCATCACACATGTGAGGGAGGAGGAAGAAGGGGTTATATCTGATGGGAAGACCCCGTTGAGCGAGATTCCTTTTGAGGATGTTGTGCTCGATCACCCTGTGTCTGCGGGCTCCGCGTCGGGGTCTGGCTCGCCCAGCTCAGCCCGGGAATTCGCAGTGAGACATCATGGGCTGGGAGGAGATACACGAGGGCATACGAATTCGTGAAGAGTGTGGGAGAGGGGGAGGAGTTTCAATTCTGGCAGGGAAAAGCTTCAAGGCTGGCTTTGCTCAGCCTTGAGAATACAGGCGTCGATCGCCGATATGAAAGCACGATGTGCTGAGCGGCTCCAAGCCTCGGTCGCGGCATTCTGAAAACAGAAGTCAGACGCATGGTGGACGGGCAATGGGTGAAGAGTTCCCGTGAAGGATTAGGGAGTTCGGACGGTAGGGATTTGAAACTTCGGAACGGGACCAAAATGGATAGTCTGGAAATCTTGTATAATGGGGGAAGAATATTGGGCAAGGAGTCTGGGCGATACGGAGCAAGTTTTCATACCCATATGTATTACTTTGTTAATGTTAATAACAGGCGAGTCATATTGTGACTGAATGTCAAAAGTTCCCTTTCTAGCCGGGGCATCAAATCTCTGTCTTTTTGAGTCCTTGCTGTCTTCGCAAATGGCCAGCATTGCTTGTCGATTCCGTCACCCTCATAGCAGTAGGATGAACAAGAAAGGATACTTCTTGCCCCGCTCTTGGCTCCTGTGAGCTTCAGCGGAGAGAGGGCCAGCGTCAGCTCGCCAAAACCCGCAAAAAGATTCAACCAAGATGCAACATTGCTACCTCCCTTTCCTTATTTTCCTCAGAGTGGAGTCGAACAAACCCCCTGCATGAACATCTGGAGGCCTGGTTTTTGTCTGATTTGCTCCTTCCTTCACAGCTTGATAAGAGTCCTGGCCGAGTTGCTCTTTCTCTCCTCGTGGAAGCAAATTTAGAAGTCACCATACATCTCGCACTTTCGTACATTTCGAAATCATTTCGTTCTTCCTCTTTACAAATTCTTGATTCCTTATACCCTAGAGCTTCTTTCAAAATTTCTTTCATCATCCTTCTCTGGCTCTACGGCCAAATTTCACCATTATTCCGATACTCCACATTGCCGTTGAGTTTTCCACCCCACGTCTCATTGACTTCCGGAATTCTAACATAACCAAGTCTCAGAATGTCTCCACCATCTCATACCGACGTTCCTCCAGCACCCCCTCCTTCGACTTCACCAAACGGTCGACGAGTAGCCTTCTCCAACGACATCCCCATGGCTGAAATTACCCCTTCTCCTCATCCCTCGAGCACCATCGAACCTCGACCCTCTGTCGGATATGACAACGTACATCATCGTGGGTTCAAGCTGGCAAAGGGAATTCGAATCAGGCCCATGCACATTCTGAGCATCTGCTGGCGAACCGCAAGCCCTGCCTCCAAATGTGTCAACCTTCTTTGGCCGCTTGTGCCAACGGCTATTGTCCTCCAGTACACACACCCTGATGATCTCCATCTCCTGGTGTTCATTCTGAGTTATCTTGCAATGGTTCCATGTGCCAACCTTATCGGCTTCGCCTCGCACGAGAGCACCCGCAAACTTCCTAAAGTCCTGGGTCATCTAATTGAGATTATCCTGGCTTCGACGCCGGAGATGATTCTGCTCCTCGTCCTTCTGAACAAGAAGCAGTACTACGTCATTCAAGCCGCCGCTCTTGGATCTCTTCTTGCAACACTTTTGTTATGCCTCGGCGTATGCTTCTTTTGCGGGGGGTTGATTTACAGTGAGCAAACCTTTAATGGAGCTGTCAGCGAACTCGGGAGTGATCTCCTTCTAACTGCGTATGTACTTCCTTTCCGCTTTCTCAATCGTGCAGTATACGTCTCTAATTTCTCACAGTGGAATGGGCCTCATGATTCCCGGAGCTTTCCATGCGACCCACCAAGATCAAACGGCCGCATCGGGACACGTCCTCCTCATCTCTCGCATCACCTCGATCTTCCTCATGCTTGCTTACTTTATATATGTTTACTTCCAGATGCGCTCCCACCACAGATTATACGAGGTCATGCTCGAGCACGAAGAGGAAATCGTTAGCAATCTGGCGCCAATTCACAAGGAAGAGAAGCTATGCTTTGCAGAATGCCTCGTCTCTCTCGCGATTGCTCTCACGCTCGTCACCATGCTGGCTATCAATCTCGTCCAAGGGATCCCCTTCATCGTCAAAGAACGTGGAGTTTCCGAATCCTTCCTCGGCTTGATCCTGGTTCCCATCGTTGAGAAGGCTGCAGAGCACATCACCACTGTCGAAGATGCCTGCCGAAACCACATGACAGCGGCCATGTTTCACTGTCTTGGTTCGACTATTCAAACCGCTTTGTTCAACATCCCACTTGTTGTCTTGGTCGGATGGGCCATTGGAAGGGACCTTGACTTGGAGTTTGAGCTCTTCAATATGATTGTGCTAGTTCTGAGCATTCTTGTGGTGGGTAGTTTTACCCGGGACCTGAAAAGTAACTATCTTGAGGGCAGTTTGTGTTTGATTGTTTACGTACTGATCGCTGTGGGCTCGTACTTTGATTGATGGACGAGGGGAAAAGGTGGATTTATAGAAGAGAAGGATGTTACCTCTGAACATGGGTAAGTCAGGTTGCGGTGGGTGCATATCGATAGTGTCTGGCTTCCTAGAACACTCTCGGTTCTTCATTCTTCTTTGACGCCGTGCAGATTGGACACTCTTGGGAGCTGCTCAGCAGCAGTTGAAGTGTTTTCGCCACACCGTCTCCCTGAACAGAGATGAACTTCGGTTTCACGGCAATTTGCCGAAACATAGACATTCATCTCATCCAATCCAAACATCAAGCTTTACACTACGGCCAGCCTACCCAATTCCCATCCAATTATTCGGCAAGTGTCATCTCCGTTCTGCGACAGTTTCCCCTCTTCCACACCTGTCCTTGATAGATCCATTTCATTTCTTAGATTTTGATTTGAAATTAAGATATCTATCTACATTACTTCAATTGCAGTTCCCGGATTGACCTTACTGGGGATCTCGCTGTGGTGGTGAACACTTTATCCCTTGCAGCCATGCCCTTGTGTATCAGCAATGTAAATATGGTTTTAGAGTGTACAGGTATGAAGCTCAATATACAGCAATGTCTGGAACAACGAAGCTAGGGTATAGAAGAGAGGTATTGTCAACAACCGTAAAACCACCGAGCGAAAAATGTCCCAATCTCCGGAGTTATAGACCCTTTAAACCTTCAAACCATCGCCAAGTCCCGTATCTCTGCCCACGTTCTTCCAAACCTCGTCCTGCTTCCCGTCATTCAAGCTCAAGGCATTTGGCTTCTTCTCATCATCCAATATAAAATATTTCCCCGTTTTCCAAACTCTTCCCTCACTTTCCTTCGGACTCCCAAATAGATCGGCAATCGCCTTCGCAGGGACAGATGGAGGGTTAATCGCGTCTTTCCTCACGAGCCTCAACAATGGCCCGGTAACTCCCAAGATCCCATACAGGATCGGAAAGACCCAGTGACGCTCGCTGCCGAGAAGTCTGCCTCCAGCATTCATCGAGCCAGGATCCAGATTGATGATATGGACCTTGTTCTCAGGATAAACCTATTCGCGTCAGTACGAGCCCCTTCCATCTCCAGCGTCCCCATTTGAGAGCAGAAGAGCAAGAAACCCACAGTATAAAGTCGTCTCTGGAATGCAAACCCCACCATCATCGTCACCAGCTTACAACTCCCATACCTCTTCATGCCCTCCAAGAACCCCACCTTCTCCCCTTCTTTCCCCTCACTCTCCTCTTTGCCCTCGAAATAATCACACCTCCCAATCTCATACGCTCCACTCCCGACATTGACAACCGTGCTCCCCTCCCCCTCGAGCATCACTCCCAAAAGTCCCCTCATTAACAAAGCCGGCGCCAGACAATTAACTGTATACATAACATCCTTCCATTTCTGCCCCTTGAAGAATGTCTGATTCGCAGCACAATTCACCAGCCCTCCTCCCACCAGCCCCTTCAGCTCCCCACTCGCAACCCTCGCCTTCACATCCCCAACAAACGTTCTCACTCCATCCAGATCCGAAAGATCGAGCTTCTCAAGCGCGAACGACCCCTTCTTCGACTCAAGGAAGGTAGAGATGGTCTTCGCATGTTCGTCGTCCGGGTTTCGACACGTGAGCAAGAGGTGGAAGCGGCCGGGGTACGAGGTCTCCAGGGCTCGCGCGAGAGAGGATCCAAGCGAGCCGGTCCCGCCGGTGATGATTATTGTGCTTTGTGGTGCCATTTGGGGTTGCGAGCTTGGGAGCACTGTAAGGAAGAGCCACCAGGAGGGGTTGTGGGAAAGGAACGGCACTTATGTATCAAGGTGGTATTGAGAGGAGGTCATATGGTCTTCGTCACTTCGTGCAACCACTTCAATTTTGAAGTGTGTCGGCCGCGCGGAAGTAATCAATTTGGAATGAGAGATATCGATCGGGATTTCTGTTCAGCCGCTGAGGAAAGAAGTCTCCGAGCATAGGAACCCAAAAAGCTTAATTTAGCCGCAACGAAGGTAGATAATTTTCAATAAAGTTCTGAAACCATGCCTCGATTAGGATGTGGAAGACAACTTCATTACTGGATCTGGAGGTCTTGCATTATCGCCGAACGAGTTACTTCACCATCCGGACGCAGTTCTGCAAACAATGCGTTTGTTAACTTATAAATAAACTCTGATGATTATTAACCAGGAGCAAGAAATTTCAAGTCTTCAACGGCTTGCATGTATCGGGTGAGAACTCGGGTCGACTTTAATGGCATGTCAAGACAAGCAAGGATCTCCTGCTGCAATAGCAATACCACAGTCACTACAACACGCGGAAAGATTCGTTGAAGGCATGTCATTGCTACTACCCAAACTGATCCCAAAGCATACTGAGAAGAGATCCTTGAATCCATTTGTTGTTTTGTTGTTTCCCGCTTGCAGTTCTGACTCCTCCCGAGGCTCGCGGGGTCCCATCATCACAGAGCCAAGATCCTGCGCCTCATGTCACCGATGAAATGACCAGCCAAACGAGCGATAAACCCAGGATTACAGACATGCAGAAAAGAAAACAACCAAGAAAAAGTAAAAGAGAGATCCCCAAATAAACCCCTTGCACCCATCCATCCTTATCCAGTGTTATTGTTGTGTCAATCTTACGCCCTTTGCATCGCTATATGTCCAAGAAGACTGTTCACTTCTTGGTAGCCTTCTCCTGCTCAGCGAGGTACTCCTCATCGCTAGCATCAAGAATGTCATATTCCTCATCGGTCATGAAGCCGTCCTCAGTCTCATCATCCTCGAGCGTCTCCTCGACGAAGTCCTCGAATTCCTCGGCGTCCTCCTCAATTTCAGAGGTGTCAGGGATGGCTGGAAGTTCCTCGTGAATGCTGGTCGTTGGCGATTCCTTCTCAAGCTTGGGGAAGACCATCTGGCTGCCTTCGGACTCAACCTTAGCTTCTGTTGGCTCTTCCTTGACAACTAGAGCTGGCTCCTTGACATTGACATCACACCACAGTCTGTGGCCAAACTTGTTGCCGTCCGGGCCAGTGAGGCGCCAGTAAGAGATGAAGTTGCCAGCACGGTTTGGAGTTCTCATTAAGACTGTGAAGCCGGCCTCCTGGCCCGGAGCAACTTCAGTGTAGCAAGTAGTGCTCTCAGCAGCGGAAACAAGCTCGTGAACACTGGCGGGGTGCTGGGGGTCAACAGCACACATGTTGTCACCACCAACGAACTTGACTGTGCATCCAGCGGGCCAAGAAGTGTTACCACCATTGCGAAGATACCAGGTCTGCTCGAAGACGTTGTTGGGTGGAAGGACAGTGCCATCAGCAACAACATCACGAACGAAGTAAGCAACTAACTCCTCAGGGACAGCTGCAGCGGGAAGCTCCTTGGCCTCCTCAACCTTGACTTCGGGAACCTTCTCCTCCTTAGTCTCCTCGGCCTTTAGTGGCTCGGTTGGCTGGAGATCAGCAACGGTCTGCACTTGAGTGGCAGCATTTGCTGACTGAGATGGTGTAGTCTCAGTGGACTTGGATGTAGTGCGGCCACGAGCGATACGGTCACCCATAACCGGCATACGTTGACCATCCTCGTGATCTCCCAAAGTTGTGACACTGACGTTGCGGACCGGTGTCTTGAATTTGATGAGAGGGTGAGTGCGGTTGTGTGGGTTTGAAGGGCTGGCCTCACACGAAGCACAGAAGTCAGTATCGTGACAAACAGCACACTTGTATCGGTCTCCCTTGATGTAGGATTGAACACCATTGTTTTGGTTGCAAAGAGGGCCGTCACAGTAGATGCCGTGATGGCGGGCCTTGTTGGTGAAAGATCTGGACAGTGATGCAAGATCATTGAGGGGTTCGTAAATTGGTACGAATCGGTGGCGAGCATGGATGAAGTTGGCATTGGGAATGCAAGATGCACAGAAGTCCCAATCAGGGCAGTCAAGGCACTTGTGACGCACGCCATAGATGTACTATTTTATTAGCAATTATTCCGTTACAAGTGGCTGAATGAATATACCTTATCACATCCATCACAGATTGCATTGTGGCCAATGTTACGACCTGGAGCGAGCAGGGTCTTGGCAATGAAATCAAGCTGGGTCTCCTCAACAGCAGGTTCGAATGCATGCTTTGGGTGGTGGCCATGCTGCATGCCAATGTGGCAAGGAATGCAGAGATCATAGTCAGGGCAGGTGGCGCAGGTGACAAAGTTCTCCTCGGAGAGTTCTGCGATGTGATATCAGCAAGGTGCACGACGATCCACACTGCTCAAGGAGCTCACCTTGGATGCAAGAATTGCAGGTGCGAGTAGCAACTGGAACTTGCAAGTCTTCTGGGATGATTGGTGCGGCCTTTGGCTCAGATGCCACTGGCTTTGGTGCAATTGTCTCGGTGGTGCTGTTGATGACCTTTCCATTTTTAACAAAACGCTTAATCATCCAGTGATCCTCGCCACCGCAAAGGACGCCCCCATTGACACAGGTTTGGCAGAGGTCATAGTCGCCATCATCGCAGGTACTGCAATGATAGTGCTCATCTGGGATAGATTCACTGCAGTTGTTGCAGTAAACGGAGAATATGCTGGCGGTCTGAACTGGAACAGATGGTCCGATTGTGCTTGTGTGGGCTTGTTGGCGTTCATTGGACAATCCAGCCAACTCTGCAAACCACTTGTCCCGAGCAGCAGTGCCACGAGTAACAGGGATCTCAGTGCTCGAACAGTTGTTCATTCTCGGAACCTCCTTGTGATGGAACATGCTGGGGACCTCTCGCTTGAACTGACTGCAGCAAGGAGCCATCGGTGGGACGCTGGTTGTGCTAGTGATGCTGGATCGAGGTTGGTTGATGAGGAGTTCCTCGAACCCACGCTGGATCTCGGCAACAGAGCCGGGATAGATTGTCTTCTCAGAGTAACTGGCGGTAGATGATGGTTCTGGAGCGTCCAGAACGTCTTGAGATTCGGTTGAGCCGGGCATCTTGAAGCTTTGGAAAGAAGGAATATCAGGCAAGACTGGCTTGTCGTCAACGGGGCTGACTGGGTTGGGCTCCTCGTCCTCGACGGTAGCAGGCTTTGGCATGACGGGCTCCTTGTCCTTGATAGTGACCTTGAGACGAAGCTTTAGCTTCGCCTTCGCGGCACGGTAGAGTTGCTTGTAGACCGAGGTGTTGTTTGGGTCGAGGACAACGAAGGCTGCGGCACTGTCGGAGTAACGCTCGAAGATAGCTTCGGAGGTGGGTGGGATGGCAAGAAGGAAGCGGAGCTATGAACACATCATCGGGTCAGCTTCCTGATCAAAGCACAGTGGAAGGGGATCGTGATGGAAGTTGTCTCAAAGCTTTGAGGCTGAGAGCCTCATTCATATGCCTGGTGGAACCACAACGTACCTTATCCGGGAGGGTGCTGGCTCCGAGATCACGAAGAGGGAGCTTGAATCGGCGGTTGCTGCCCTCGATGTTGATCTTGAGAGTGACCAAGGTGTCCTGATTAGTTGTTGAAGTCGACGCCATGACTGCTATGATCCGGCTGAGCTGTGTCAGCTAACAAACAAGCTCAAGCGGTGACGTCTCAGGTTGGGGCGACGAACTGTAGTGTACTCAGCGCTGGAGATCTTCGAGGGATCGAAGAGTCGAGGCGGTAAGAACTGATCACGATGAAGTCCTTACGATGAAGTGCTGTGGTGATGGGGAAAGGAAGGGAAGGGAAGGAGGATAGACGAGGTAGAAGGAGGGGAGATGGCAGAGGTGCCTGGAGCAGCTCGATAAGCGGCGTTGCAACGCGCTAGGCCTCGTTTGGCCGGGCGACCGCAGGCACCTTCGACGTACGCAAGCTGAACGACAAATCAACTTCGAGAACTACTTGGAAAGAGGCAAAGCGGCGAGACGGATCGAGAGTGCTCAGGAGGTATCTGTGAGTAAAGGCGATTGCTGGGAAAGGGCGAGTTCTTGTGAGGGTTTGGCAAGTGTACGAGGTGGTGGGGAGTGCTCGGCCTCGCGCAGCCGGATAAGCTAAGTAGAGCGGCAAATCCGATCACGAGGTACTGTAGGTGAATACACCGACTAACATCATGACCCCCGATATAGATTTATGCTCGGTTTGGGGTATGTCCATTTCTCCAATAAATTCACGGGCTCATTATCTACTTTCCAATACTTCTATCCCAGATATACTCCATTTTGCTGCATGCAACCTACTCTTCTGCGTTCCCGAGGTTCGAAGCGGCATTGCGTCGTGGATTTATGGTATCGTCAGTGATTCGAGGAGCCCGGAGGTAGCACTGCAGTGCATGCGAACTATTTGTGAAAAGTGTTCACATTTGAGACACCAACCATTTTTTGATTCAATTACCACCCGCCTATGGCTTCCGAAAAGATAGAACTAAGGCTTGGGGCCGACCTGTCGTTTCGAGAGGTGGTTGCCTCCCTTCAGCTGCAAGGGTGCTTGAGGCTCCAACATAAAATTTCAGAGGATCCTTTTTTCTGTCAAATTGCTCGAAGCTTCGGGACGAAAAGTGGGAAATGAGGTCACCGAATGTAGGTACCTATCTTTGAAGTTTTGCAGTAACCAATATCATCACTGATGCTCCTATTTAACTACTACTACTCTACCGCCACGGCCCAAGACCAACGCTCGGAATGCCTCAAGAGGAATCTTTCTTAAACGACAATGATGAAGAAGGCTATCATGCAACAAGACAGCAGGTAATAAAATGCAGGTAGCTGAAAAGCGTGTAGCCGCCTGCCAAACTGGTGTCTTCTCCGCCACCCGATATGACATCGAATTGTGTCATGGGAAATCAAGAGATCGATTACCACCTTCCAACGATAATCGACAACAACAGATATCTTTTCGCAGAGAACAGTGCAATGGGGAAAGGGGTAGCAACGCTTCCATAACGCACAATGAAACCCAGGCCCTGACAAGATCGCTGAAAGCATTAAAGAGAATATAACAAGTGATAGCACGCCGAAAGAGAGCCGACTACTGTGGGTAGTACACGACTCCTTGCGGTGGCTGCGGATAATAGAAGCCGTCAGGGGAGGGTGTCATCATTCCACCTAATCCAGCCACGCCACCAATTTGCTGCATCGGATATGATTGTGGTTGCTGATATGATGGGAAAGTAGCCACAGCCGGAATTTGTGTAGCGTCGTAGTAGTATACCATTCCGTTAACTTCTTGGGCCACCAGATTCTGAACACCTTGTTGAGACGCTGCATTATCCGATTGCTGACCGGCTTGATGGAACGAGGCTTGCTGTTGTTGCGGCTGAGAAGGAACGAATGGAGGTGCACCACCGGAAGGAGCCATAGCTTGATTAAAGGATTGTGGGTAGAAGTATCCCTGCGGTGGTTGCATGACCTGGTAAGGCTGAGAGTAAAAGTTTTGTGGTTGTTGCTGGTATGGGTTTGGCTGGAAAGGTTGGGCATGGATGGCACGTTCGGGGATTTGGGAGAGAGGAGTGCCGGTTGAAGCCTGGCTTGGGTATGAAGGGTTTCGAGAATGTAACATGGTATCGTGTGGATAGTTGTTGCCATTAACTTGGATTGGGACCTGTTGATGGAAAGGTTGCTGATGTTGTTGAGGAGGGTTAAATGACAATGTTGCGGGTGACTCAATATCAGCGACTGATACTGCTTTCTGGGGACGAGGCTGATGCATAGGAATCGGATTGGGTCGGTTCTCGCGGAAGGTGGGTTTTTGTGGAAGTGGATAAGTCTGTGGTCGCGGTAGGTCATCGATGGATGAAGATACTTGTGGCGGCCCATTCTGGGGCTCGGATTCCGCGGGTTGGAGTTGTTGTGGTTGTACCGGCTGGCTTAATGGGGGCAGCCTAACAACAGGCTTGGACGGGTCCATGGTCATTTGTGGCCGGGACATCGTCGAACCTGTTGGAGAGACGATGTTCTCTCTGTTGACTTCCCGAGCAAGAGATGAACGACGGCTCATGGCAATACTGGGCGAGTAGGCACTGCCGTACACACTACCACCGAAAACACTTGTGCGTCTCGAGTATCCACCGATAGAACCTAGTATAGATCGTCCTCTGCCACGTCCGCCGAAGCCTTGTTGATTGGGCCTCATAGCTCGAGGTATGAAGATGAAAGACCTGTCAACTGCAGGGAATATATATCTCGGAGGATGACCGGGAAGAGAGATTCGGACTGGCTTATCACGGCGCAGTGGTGGGCGGTGATCGGGGAGTCGAGTATACTGCTTCCAAGGGATGCCCGGAAAGACGACAGGCTTCTCCATGGTGGACAGGAACAGGCGAATTTGCACATTTCCAACATGCTTTGTTGTTGACAATGCTCGATTCGGAGGTGCAGACTTTGGAGCACTGACTGGTACTCGAGATGGCAGGTTGGAAACTCCGTTTGAATAGTTCGATGCCTGGTAGTTGCGAGGTGTAGGTTCGCTGATGACTTCGTGCATGTCGTGAGTCCACGGAGCATCGGTAGGCTCGAAAGTGTGGCCCATTTGACTGTGACTGATCAGTACTTGATGTTCTGGTTATATGAAATAGAAGCATACTTAGATGGTGCAAAAGGACCGCCAATACCAGGCCGTCCTCTGCCTCTGCCTCTGCCAAATGGCCGAAATCCATTCGCTGCTGGTCCAGAGTGACGATGATCATGCATGAAGAATGCTCCTCGGTTTGGCACAAATGCTGGATCTGCATCTCGCTTCTTTTTGTATTCCTCGTGCTCCCTTCGTCGTCGCTCGTGTGGAAGCTCTTGTGGTTGATCCATCTGAGCTGTGGAATTCACCACAGCTGGAGATGGTACCTGGAATTCTTCATCCTCACGGAGGTCCTCGTATTGTACCTCCTCCACAATGGCACTTTGATCAGATATCTTGAGCCCATTAAGCATCATATCCATATCGCTGGTGCCGTTCGTGAGCGGCTTCTTGGAAGCTTCCGCGATGCCTTTGGCTGATTTGCCTGGGGCCTCCTTGGGTTGCTTTTCTCCATTTCCATTGACTTTGGATAGCTCAGAAGAGGCAGCAGGAGCTGCTCCAACTGTGCTGATCTCGTCACCTTCTTGTGCGTCATCCTCTTCACTTATTATCGACCCCTCACTCAACGAATCGTCATCGAGGTCTCCGGCGTCGGGGCCTCCTTCCTCATCGCCTTCGTCCTCAACCCGTCTTCGAATTGCAGCTAAGTCCTTCCTCTGTCGATGGACCATTTTGAGGAAGTGTGCTGGCTGTCGTTCGAGATGCGACGGGCTGGCGGGCGAGGAGTGAGGATCGAAGGGGCAATCTTTCGTGACAGATCATGCAGTAGTGGCGTTCAGAACGGGATTTGTACCGCCCGCGGCAATAAAAGTATAGGTGACAGTCTCTGTATGCGTGTGGGATGAGCAGTCTGATGGGTGATACCTGCACGCCGATGAGCAAGCTGAAGAAGGAGAAGGGATGAGCGTTTGGAAATTCGGTTTGGAGGCTGATTCTGAAAGCCAAGAGAATCGCGCTTGACTTTCGGATCCTTGCGCCTTCCCTGGCTGAAGTCCGCGCTAGGCCGTAAGCGAATATTGGGGAAGGAGGAACGAACACCTTTCCTACGAACATCTTATATTGAAGAACTGTTAATTGTCGCTGTAGAAAAGTGGACCGTGCAGTGGAAATGATTAGGTTACTCGTATTTCCCAAAATTATCTTCGCCGTCTGTTCTGAAGTTTCAGATCCCGCCACTCTAAACTTCGTTGGAAAGACAGCACAAAGAAACGTCCTTAGCCCTGGGAACTGGCATGGGAGAGAATATACCGCGGTCATGGACATCCTTGCCCGACAGTTGACTAGATTTTCTTACATGTCTATTTATCCCTTCCAGTGTTTTTCGTAAAACTGTCAATATCATAACTCCATTGCTGCTTCTCTGAGCAGCCTGTCCTAAGCAGGATTAGACGCAGCACTGTTTTACGTTTCGCAATGACTTGACTCTTCAAATATTCCAGCCTAAGCCAATCTTCTGATAAGTGCTTACGGAAAGAAGTTTTCACACCTTCGTATCGTTCTTTGCTTTTTTCTTTCGTCACGTGCTCGTCCTTTTGCGGACCGATCGACCTGCAAGCGATGCAGGATGAGCTGTCTTCCCTTTCCCTAGCTGCAATTCGTTAGGAATGTGCCAAACTAATTTCTTCAGTACAATACATTATCCCATTCCTAAACAGGTCTCAATAGTCAAGACATTCTCATCCCTCGAGACTGGCAATCGCTGAACTGTCTCGGACATTTTCCCGACGCCGTCACGATGATGGAGATGGACTAGATCCGGAAGCTACACTGTAGCTGCCAATAGTTTCAATTCAATAGTAAATGCTTCTAAATTGCGGGGTCCTGCTTTAAACTTCGGAAGCGTCGCCTTACTATCCCATCTCTTGCATGGATAAAGATGGGTCCCTTGACCTTATCCACAAGTGGGACAATACCGGATTCAGGCCCCTGCACCTTCATCTTTGACTGTTATCATTTCTGAAAGAAGCGAGAAGAGACTTATCCGTAAGGCTGAATTCGAGGATGACCTGAAAATTGGATTACGAACTGGCAGTCCAGTCCATAACTGGCTGACCGGCAGAAACACTCGAGCTGATTGAGGGTGAAGCATGATACCGCAAGGTTGATGATAGCGAAGAGCGATGGGAACAGTTTTACGATTAGGAACCTGGTGCTCTCAAAATCCATCGAATTCGACATGCTGGTATATTGGGCACTATGTGCAATAAGTTTCGAGGAACCTGTACTGTAAGTTCACACCGAGTCACCGACCTCCCCAATCTTTTCCGATGATAAATCTTTACCCCACCACCCATCATCCAGATTCTACTAGCACACCAAGACAAACTAATGCCTATGGAAAGCCCAAGGGCTTGGCACCGAGGCTGAAATTGATCCTCACCCGCCTCGAGTCCTGAAACTAGCCCAATGCAGATGCTCTTCAGTCCACGTTTACCTTCTATTACTCTGACTGCGAAATTCATCCGACGGACAAGGCGATGTGGAATATACAGCTACAGATATACGAACAGTTTCAGGCGTCTAAGCAAGACTTGCAAGACCACTCGGTGCGCATTGGCATGCTAGGCTTCGTGCATGTATACTAATTCACCCTTGCTCTGGACATTCTCGTTGCACCAGAGACATTTCGCACTTTGGCGCAATGTGCAACAAGAGTTCCTGCCGGATGATTCACTTAACCGCTGTGCGATTCAGACGAAAAGACATCAAGAAAATGTCAGTAAGTTATCATCCCAATGTATCAGGCGACTTCAGACCAAAAGAGCCATAGGAAACAAAATTTCTAGAGCAACAATGCACCCACCATCAACCTCATCATCCCTCAAAACTTTGCGGAAGGAAACAACCCATATGACAACCCCAAACCCCCTTGCAAATCTTCGCAATGTAAACCGCTCCAAAAAGTCTCTTGAGCCAACATCCTGAACCCTTCAAACTTCCTTCCATTCTCCCCATTTCTGGTATGAAAAGTCAAGTAAACCAACGCACACACAGGACCCAGCGGACCCCGGTAGCAAGAAAAGACTGGCGTCACCCTTCACGATTCGTACACAAGTAGTATCGCGGAGGGGAAACCTTCACACCACTCTAGAAGCCAACCTGCACTCTATCCAACAACCCTCACAACAAAACCCCAGAACTACATCTCACCGAGATAGGACTTCCTCACAGCCTCGTTTCTCGAATGTAAGAACATATTAGTTTGAAGGGGGAGAGTGTGGAGTAAGAGAAGAGCAAGAGGAGCTTCCGGAGAGTCTTTTTTTTAATTAAAAAAAATTAAAAAAGAGAAAGTCAGTTGAACCTTCATTCATTGCACAGAGGGGAAGCTGGGACATTGAATCTACGTGTAATAACAGTTTGAAATATTAAAGCAAACATACATTCACTCAAGATGAAAGTTGTTCAATGTACCAGCCTAACCTTGGGAGATTGAACCGATCTGCAACTAAAACCTACTAAGCAATTCACTCAACCAGCGAGCTCCATGAACCGGAGCCCAACTTTGACATTCCCAATGTTCCAAGTCGACCCCGTACAATGAGTACGACGTGCAACAAAACTCAATATTCTCGAATCACTCGAGAGCAGTGAAGAGGTTTTTCATCATTCCTTTGCCTGCAGACGTTGGGCTTAGAGAGGTAGGAACAGCTGCGTCACACGCGGCCACAGTTAAGGAGCAAGGATTATTATTTGATTTTCTTCCATTCCGTTTGATTTCGTTGCTTGGGTTTGCTTGCTCTGCTATCGGGCTGGGCCAGTTCTAATACACCCCCATCGTCCCCATCGTCACCACCCCAGCACGTCATCCCACCCCATCAACGCCAAAAAAGCAATCACACCGACGAGCCAGCGAGCCCGAGCAGCAGCAAAGACGCAAGCGCAACCACCATCCAATCCAATGCGCCAACCATGAGCTGTATGCGTATACGTTAAGAAAGAGGGCGCCTTTATTCCTTCCTTCGTCTCTTCTCTTCCCTATGTACATCCCCAATCCCAACCTAGTGCCGAAACCACAACCCAAAGCCAGAAGCGATGCAAAAGCAAAATGTAGGCAAGGATGATGGAAAAGAAGAATGAAGGAATAACGACGAAGAACCTAATCTACAATGTTGCCTTGCTTTGCCTTGCTTTGCCGCTCGCGTTAGATGGCGTTTTGCCCCGGAACGCCAAATCAATCATGTATGTATACTCTTTCATTGCTTGCATGACACGTAAGCCCAGCACGAGACCCGGTATGGATGGGATGTGCTAGTGTAGTACCGTAGACTTGAAGACGACGAAGCCTCCAGCCCGATGCATGCCTCCTTTTACTCTTAACAAAAACTTTTCCGTTGATCCGCACCCCATGCTATCCTACACCGAGATTGAATGGCCGTTATGAATAGCGGCGGCCCATTTGTTGGCCAGCCATGACTTGCTGCTGTTGACCTTGCATGGCGGCAGCCATGCCGTAAGGGTTCATTTGGCCTTGATAGCCTTCCATAAGTTGGTGCATGCCGAGACCTGCAAGGCCTTGCTGTTGGCTGACTGGGCAGTCTTTGTGGGCGAGAAGAAGCGTCTTGAGGTTGACAACTTCGTCTCGTAATGCGGAAAGTTGGGCGTTGAGACTATCGTTCTCAGCACTGTAGATCTCAACTTTCTGTTGCAGATTAGCAAGCCATTGCTTCTTGCGTTGTCTGCACTTGAGGGCGGCCACCCTATGATAATGTTAGCGCTGAAGTGGGACACTGATGGTATCGACTTACCGATTTCGCTCGAGGAAGTTCTTTCGCTTCTCTTCGTCAGTCATCTTCTTTCCGTTGGCATTATACTCGTCTTTGCTCATGTCCGGTTCCTCCTCAGATTGAGGTTCCATTTCCATGGCACTTCCGTTATTGCGCTTCGACTTCTTGTTAGCTGGCTTTGATGGTTGGTTCTTTTGTCCATTTGCTTGGACATCTGTAGAGCCACGCTTGCCCTTGCCACGAGTATTCGGTCTGCTTTGCTGTTCGTTCTCGTCAGAGAAGCCGCTCATTTCACTTACTCCACGACCAGAAGTCGTGCTGATGGATCCACCGTTTCGGTTCGCCATGTTTGGCGAGGTTTCAACTGACTGACCTCCCATCTGCATGTTTTGTGGATGAGCGTGGACAGGCATTTGGGGAGCCATTGTATAATGATTCGTAGGTTGGGGGCCGTTACGAGCTTGAGCTAGTAAAAAAAGCCCGTTAGCAGCGTCGTTGGCGTCGTGTTGATCAAACTGGCCGGGTACTGGAGGTTTTACGTCCATACCATTAAGATCTTGAGGTTGAGAGGTGATGTTGGGCTGCGCCTGGGCAGCCTCTCTCTTCTGAGCAGCAGCAGCGTTCATAGCAGTGCGGTGGAAGTCGAGAGTCGTAGGAGTTGCGCCGCCACTCGCAAGTTGACTGAAAAGTGCCTGAGAGTTGGGACTTGGCTCAGGGAACATAGAGCCACCGCCACCTGGAGTCAAACCTGACCTGAGGCCAGACTCGTTGGGTGTGGGGAAGCCACCACGTAGGTGATGACCGTCAGTGAAGTAGTCGTCCTTTTGGGGGCCTGAAAGCATCGCAGGACTGAGTGGACCTGATCGCAGGCCTCCCCAGAAGTTGGGTGTAACTCCGGGGCCTAATATTCCAGCCGGTGAAGTCAGAGCAGCAACAGAGGGTAATTTTGTACCGCCAGGTGTCTGTACTTGTCCACCATTCGTAGTGCTACCGCCAGCAAAGGAGTATTCAAAAGGATTCGTTTCGCTCGAGAGGTGGCCGTGATTACTCGAGAAATAGTCCGGCGTATTGGCTACCGCCGCAGGTCGGGGAGGGGGAGCGAGTGGCTCTGCATTGGTTGATTCACCCTTTACTGTATCCTCTGGCTTTGTGCCCGATGCAGGTTCTGGAGACATAGAGATTAGCCTTTCCCACTCCTCCAAGTCGGTCGCGCAAGAGGAAAGTCAAGAGGGTTAAGGAGGCCCTGCCCTCGCCGGTCGCATCGACAGCGACGGCGACGGCGAGGATGGAATTGATTGACTTACCGGTGGCTGCTGGAGGTTCGGCATTGGCATTGGTTTGCACGGGCGACTTGGTGTCCGCCTTCTTCGCGGAGACTTTGGGAGAGGAGCCCATGATTGAGTTCGGTCGCGCGAGCGGGGGGTAAGGAGCGTTGTGTAGTCAACAGTCGTGGCTTACACAGGATGACGATGTTCTGAGATCTGCAGGAGGAATGGACTGGCAATGCGCCCGCAATCTAATCTGGGTTGCAGTGACTGGGCGTTGTGCTGGTGGTCTGATGGAGTCGATGCGGAAGGGGAAGGGGAAGGGATGACGTTCGTCGAGGTTTAAAGTAGGATGACGCACTCAGGCTCTGCAACCGTTAACTCTGGCACGCTCCGACCGCCGCCGCTGCTGCAGCTTCACCCACAACGTACCACCTCTGGGCACCAATAGACGCTGCGACAGCGAGGTCGAGTAAATTGTGATCGCGCAGTGCCAGAAACGACAGGATAATTGATGGCCGCCGGTGGGTGGGTGGGCGTCAGCAAGGTTGTGGATGGGTGAAAAAGAAAAGAATTGCGTGCGAGGATGGCAAGTGGCAAGCAACGCGACCAGCCCCTGACAAATTCAAGTCAATCTCCCCAGCGCTGCCCTTCAACACAATGCAATGCGGCGTGATCGAGCAGCACGGGATGCAGAGAGCGTGCAGGGCACGGCACAGCACAGTATCGAAGACAATGGTGTCAAAAGCGGATGTGCCTACTGCTGTCCTTTTGGCGTTCGCTGAACTGGGTCGAATTCACTGGCTTTCCCGGTGGTGACGTCGCTTTGCGACCGGTACAAAAGGAGTCCACGGTACGCGAAAGTCGCCGTCTGCACACGACCAGCCCTGGACACGGCTGGGAGTGCGAGGAGCGTGTACCGGTAGAGCAATCGAGCTACAGTTCTGGTTGATCTGGGCCAGAGGAGGGGCGTGACTGCGGCTCTGCAAACCTGACTGAGTGGCAGATCCGAATGCGAACAGGTGTTGATGTGGTTTGAGAGGCACGGCAGGATGACGCAGAGGAATGACGTCTGAAGGCTTATAAAAAAAAGATGGGCTGTTGGACGACTCGGTCCTTGACAGGTCTGCGTCCGGGCCGCGCGCCAAGGCAAGGAGACCAATGGTTGGCCGCGGAGTAGGGGAAATATGGGCCCGCTGTTGCACCATTCCCAAATGGGCCCATCTTGGTCTGGATCCTCAGGAGGTAATGCCCCGGATTAGAAATGCAATACTCCCCCAGACTTCACTTACTTGTGCACCGTTGAGAAGAGGAGGAGGAGGACGAGGACAAGGAGAAGAATGCTCCCCTAATTCAAACTTGTAATATAGGATCGTAATCACCGGACAATTCGACCATTCTGAAAGACAGACCTGAGGGCTTGACTTCCGCTAATGCTAATTGATTAAATCCCGGGCAATGCTCCGAATCCTCGTTGATTAAATTCCGACTGGGTCGGCATTTTACTTCCGCGGCGAATAGTCGGTTAGAAGCGCCTTTTAGATAAGATGTGGCAGATTTCCTCTCTTTGGATATATTTCATCTAGGGTTTACGACTCTAGGCCGTGAACAGCTGATTTGAGTCCAAAACACGGCGAGGTAGTAACGTAACATAGAACAAGAAAGGAATACGAGACCATTTTCTTTCCTCCTATTTTTAGCCCAGTCCAGGCTCGCTTCGCCCCTAACCCCCCTCCCCCTCCGAGGATATAGTATTGAACATTCAACAGCAGAATATAGAAGTTGTCGTTTTACACAGAAATTGGAGACAGAGAAAAGAATTGAGGAAGTCGGATTGCGGTTTAAACTTTTGCATTCGTCGATCGGCCTTATTTCCTTACTCGCGGCTTCACTCAGTTAGACATGTTGCCCTGCAAACGATATTTAATGACCTACAAAATGAATAGGATAAAAACTTAAAGAATACAACAAGCAAACTACGCTCTAGAGGCTTAGTATCTAAATGGACCTTAGAATTTTTGAGCTGTAGGCTTTTTGAGCTGGTCGTTGCTGTGCAACCTGCCGCACTCGTGGGTGTTCGCTGGATTGCCACGGAAACCTCACCGACTCCAGTGCTCCTCATTTTTGAGAATTCCCAAGGACTAGAATATGGGAGTGTACATTCAACTTTATATTCCATAAGTTAGCTCAAGATACTGTCAGGCCTCGGCTGTGTATTTCTCTGGTAAGCTTCACTGTCATAAGGCTGAGCTATCTTACACACCGAGCTAGGTCTTAAATATGAACGAATACTTTCTTGGTCATTGTTCCAAGTATCTATGTATTACAACAACTCCCAGATACTATTCAATGCACCCCAGGCCGTTCACCCAGCACTTTCAACATCCCTTGAATCGTCGATCTATACACAATCATAACCTCAAACCCAGCTGGCTCCCTCACAACTTCTCCACCTCCTTCACGCTTCTCACCCGAAACCCATGCCTCGGCGCATGAATCCTCACCTCTCCTCCCTCCTCCGTCCGTCCCTCAACCACCACCTCCCTCGTGCTTAACCCTACCAGTCTGCCTCTATCCTTCCTACTGAACCCCGAATCAATCGGCCAAACCTCAACCATCTCCCCCTTCCTCAACCCACTCGGATTGTCGCCATCGACACTCGCCTCCTCCTCTGCCCACTCGCCGTTCCCAACAGCCTGCACAGCTTCAGCTCCCGAGATCTTTTGCGCCGGCCCATTCTTCTTCATCGCAGCGAGCACCACGGCGTCGAAACGTTCGATCCATGCGAAGGTCTTCGGGAATTGCTGAGAAGAAATGTAGGCCGGCGGCAGCGCACCCTTCAATCCCTTCAACCAGCTAAAAAGCCAGGCCGCTACAACCGTGTCATTAGACCTCCCTTTCTTCACTCAACCCCCAAAATCCTCCCCAACACAAAAACAAAAACAATAAAAAGCATACCTTCAATATCAGCCAACATTGGCCCTTCCCTACCTCCTAACACCCACTCCCTCCCATCCGCCAAAACCGTCCCCTCAAAAAACTCAAAAGCCGCATGAATCTCGACCAACGCCTCGGGCCTCGCTCTCTCGATATTCTCCTTACTCCAGCTCCTCCCCGTATAGTCTTCTCTATCCTTCGTAAACTTCGGGTCCTTCAACAGCGGCATGTCTGACGGGATGAGTGCAGCGGCTCTATTAAACATCCCGGCATCGATGGCCCAGTGTTCGAGGAGTTTGGTGAGAGTTGCTTGGTCGGGGGATGGGGAGGGAGAGGTGAGAGCGGGGTGGGCAGAGGAAGGGGGAAAGAGGGTCTCGAGTTTGGAGAGGATGAGGCGTGTGTCGAGGTAGATGTCTCGACCTATCGAGAGGAGTGGGATTCGGCGGTATGCGGTGCCGAGGGAGGAAATGTCTGGGCGGGGCATGGTTGCTGGTTGCATCTATGAATTTGTTGTCAGTGAGGGGATGTGAAGGGGAGAAGGAGGGGACAGACGCATTGTTTAAATGGTATTCGGCGGAGGTTGAGGTACCATGTTATTCTATTATTGTTAGCAGAAATTCAATGGGAGACGGAGGAAGCGTACCGTCGGGCATAGGGAGAGAAGCTGTAATGGTAGAGGATTATTTCTCTGCTTTGATCCATTGTGTTTACTGCTTTGATGCTGGAGTACAAACGCAGTTGATTGAAGCAGATTGGAACACCGTGAAAACTTAAAGAATTAGGTTATAGCATAGCAGAGCATAGCTACTTTGAAGACGTCGGATGTGATTCAAGCTCAAGTGGGGTCACCGAAGCTCCATCAACCTCGGCAAGCTACACCCTGCCAATCTCTCCTTTCCCCACACAGCCATAATTGGACTCCTGCTGCACACCCATCACCATAAACCATCACACTATATTTCAATATGCACAAGTTCATCCCAATCCTACTGCATTCTACACGCATTGACTTTTCCCAAACCAGATCCCCGTCAAATGCCATAACTTCCCCGTTATCACTACAACTCCACTATTCGTTTCGAAATCTGTTATCTTAACAGGCTTCACAGGCGTTTCATGTGGTTCCATGCTCGTCGTCGAATCGGGAGTCTTTCCCAGGTTCCCGGAACGTTTGATCTTATGCATAATCTTACCCTTCCATGTTTCTAAGAATAACTCTTCTGCAGGGTCGTTCAATGGGGATACTGAGACTTTGACATGGCCGATGTCTTCATTATTGAAATTGGAATTGATACTTTTATTCTATGATTAAGAGAGAGAGATGAACATCGTGCCTCCGGCAGACGGAAAGGGTTCTCGGAGGTGGAATCTGTCGCTTCGAATTTCCTTTCCTGAGCTGTCGCAGTAGGTCCATCATATGTTGCTCTGTATGCAAGCTGCAAGCACTTCCGATATCACATTCCGTATGCTGCGGGGGTCTCAAGGGAAGTCCTCCAACACTTCTCGAGTCGGTCGGGATCTAAAAGAAGGAGGAGGAGAGGGACAAAGTCACTTGCACACCAGAAGACTGGTTCAGGTTCCCAGTCAGGTGTTCGCCAATCAAGCGACAGCTGCATACTCACACCACCGTGCCTGACTCTCCTTTTCTCACACCAGCGGCTGAAGTAGACAAACTGAATCAAACCACATAAAAATTGGTGATATTGTCACGTAAAAGCAAGATATGGGTCTGGTAATGTCTCTGAACTTCCCCTAACTGCCTTCAAAAGTACGTTGAGTTGAGAAACCTAACATTGCAATTGAAACACTTTTCCAACTTCCTACTGGTGTCCTATTTTACATCGCCCCTCTCCCAATCTGTCTTCTCTCCCTATTATCCCCGCCATTCACCTTCCGCGGCCCATTATTCTCTATCCTAATCCTCTCTCCCTTATTCATCGCGCAATTCTACCCCTTTACCTCAGACTCGGGATTTCGCTTCGGGCTCCTGCTACAATGGTACATCTACTTCGGAACCGTAGCCAAAATCCTCTTTTGCATTCCAGAACGCAGTTTCTGAGGCTTGGGGTATGAAAGGGGAGAAGGCGTCGCGATGAAAGAATGGGGATGGGAGAAGTTCAAATGGAGTGTAGCGTTGATGTGCTCGATGCGTGTGGAACTTCCAAGTCAAGGGTCTCCCATCTCTGGGGGAGGAAAATGACATGAGGGCGTGATTTCTGAGGCAGTTAAAGAGGTGTATTTGGTTGTTCTTGGCTACTGATTTGAGGTCGTTGGTTCTGAGGCAAGTGCACCCGATGTTGAGATGAGCGCGAGAGATTTGAGTTGGTGACAAAGTTGCTGATACTTCTTGGGATGGGAATTCAAAGTTACTGCTCAACGAGTATGCTATATCAGTGGTTTGCAATCTTCGGAGTTCTGTTTGGAGTGGGTGAGCAAAAGGTGAGCATGAACGCCATCTCATTAACACTCTTTGATAATCAACAGGTTCAACAACTCTGAAGGAAACTGAGCCCAGCTACTAATTTTCTATAGGAAGGGCCACCCATATTCCGAGACCTAAAGAAGGTCACAACCCTCCGCTACTTCTGGGGCTTTAACTGGCATCAAGGTCTCCGCATGGTACACTCCCCTTCCGCCCTTTCGCGACCCCAACACTAACCAAACAGGTCTTTACGACCTTCACTCACGGCCTCCAAAACACCCTCCACATCCCACGCCACAAATCCTCTCCTCTTTAACAACCATCCTCGGCACTTTCACCCTCTCAGGCTTCTACCACGACGACGGCTCGTACAGTACAGCCTCGCGTACCCCACCCCTAACTCTCTCCACGCTACAACCTTCGATCGTTTCTAGCGCTTCTTTATTTTCTTCGAGCTTCAAGCTCGAGGAATCGTTCTCGAAGACGTGGGACTGAAAGCAATCAGACGATAGCGTAGAGCGAGAAAACAGGAGAAAGAGGACGACGGGGGTTGGGAACATGTTTTTGGGTATTTATGGGTTGTGAAATGGCTGTTCGGGACGGGGAGTGTGCTGCTTGATGCGTATTTGAAGAGCGAGATGGGAATGATTGGCATGCAGTCCAGCTTTCTTGAACAAGTGATGAAAGCAGTGATCACTCGGTGTGGTAAACACTAAGGTTGTTTTAGTACGAGACCCATGATTCTGGTAAGTAGTTGAAGAGCATTATTGGGTTCGATTGAGGATAAGCCATATGTGAGAGTGGTGATTTTGAAGGAGAAGTTCTCTTGTAAAATATTGACATTTACATTGCTTGCTATGCATGCTACAGTAGCTAGCCAAACACCACGCAACCCATGCCCGCCAATAAAACAGATCATTAAAGAGTCATCTCCACGAGAAAAAAAAATGCAGAAAGCAGACCCAAAAAACCAAAAAGATCAAAAAAACACCTTATTTTAAACTCCCAAACCCAATGCACGCGTGAGCGGCTGGCATCCGTGTATTGTCTCCAGCCAAGGGAACCATTCTATCCGATCCTGAGCGAAGCTCCCAAGATCTCAGTGAAGAGAAAGAAAGCTGAATTCCGTCGATGAGCCAGCCATCACGTGCCTTTCTGGTCGTCGCCGGAGTTATATCTTTCCTCCTCCACATCTACTATACACCCGTTCCCCTTTCCCCATATCCTTTCTCTCAGCCAGGGCCTCGCCTCGCCCGCTTTATCTCCGTATCGAGCAAGCAGTGCTCCAGCTCTCGCTAGGAAAGTTGACGGGACTAGGTGGCGGCGGCGCAGGAGGAGCATAGTCGTTCTCGTCCATCCTTGAGATGAAGTTGTATGGAGCCTTTGCTTTCGAGTTCAGTGTGTTGGTGAGGAAGAGCGAGACATCTTGACCCAGGGAGGTGTTTGTGAGGAGGGGCGAGCGACGGCGAGGGACGGGGAGGGCGATGGGTGTTGGTGTTTGGGAAGGCATCTTTGTGTTTGTGAAGGATTGTGAGGCGATGTGAGATTCTAGGACTTGCAGACAGTCCTCGCGGTATTGGCGAGAGATTTAGTGAAGCAGGCTGAGATTCGGGTCAGTCGGACATTCAGTACACATATGCAAAAAGCGGTGGACTCACCAGCAGCGGTTTCCGACAGTGATACAAGCCTCTTAAGATGGTGGTGTGTAAGTTGATGACAGCAGAGGACACGTTATTTGAGCAAAAACTAAGTTCGAGTAAACCAACATGGAAGAAGTAAAAAAAGACAAACGGGCAGGCACGGCGATATTTATCAAATCCCACAGACCGTAAGCCCTTGTCATTCATCCCACATCCCCGTTCGATCCTCCATTTAAAAAAATAAAGTCCAGCCCTGCCCTCCCCCCAGTCTCGCGACTGCAATAGGATAGCCTCTTTGCTTTTGGTAAGACAAGGACGCAGCGCACCCGAGAATCCGCCTCCAGCACGACCCCCCTGCACTGGCTCGTTGATACAGTACAAGAACATTCTTGGAAGAACCCAGCCCATGCCATAACCATGCCTTACCTTGGCATTCCATGCACACTGCAATCTCGCTCCGACAGGGCTCACCTCCCCCATGAACCCGATTCCCCCGGACTGCGCATCCCCTGTCCATCACTCCAGAAGCAGACCTGTCACCAGCAGCCAAACGCCAGCTCATTCCGAAAGTTGCTGGCTGGTGAGGAGAGGCTTGCATGTCCAGACTCCTCCAGCTTCCAGCTTCCGAGCAGGCCAGGACTCCATTCCACTCCACTCCTCACAATATTTTTGTGGGGTAAGGGAGAGATACTGTATGTTCAGAGCCTGCAGGGTGGCTTTCACTGGCAGGCTGGCAGCCGGATTCCACTATCCGCTCCCCAGACTCACTAGTGGGCAATAGAATGCCACATCACCCTCACACTCCCAACGCTTCACTGCAATTCGACACAAAGCCTCCAATCCCATCACCAAATTGAGGCGGTGAGAATGGAAAGCGAAGTTAGCTTTTCCCTTACATCGGTCTGCCTGATGGTGCCTAGGCAACAGCTAAAAGTGCAGTGCTCCAGTTCCGGTGCAGCAAATGGAAAAAAGGAGGCAGTTTACGTGCGTTGCTGCGTCTTGACTCATGGGGAAGGTCTTTGAGGCCTGTCTCTCGTCTGGATGCCAGGAGTGGGACTGTGGGACGGAGTGTTTCCAGTTCGGCAGCGCAGCTGGAAATGGATATTGTGCTGGGCCACGTTGCCGCCGGGTGTTTCCAGAGCTTCCACGAGTGTCTCAGTCCCGGCAAGGGCATGGGGCATGGGGAGGTGAACGGGGGGGAGTGGGGGACATGAGTGAGGCTTACAGGCGTCTGCGTGGGGGAGTACAGAGCGTGGAGGTCATAGCCAAGAGCTGTCATCTTTCAAATCAATCTTCCCCATCTACTCCGTAGACTATCGTTTGCCCCCATCTAACCCCCTTGCCTCCTTTCTTTAGACCAGAGTCAAACGGGAGGGTGAGAGTATCTGTACTTTTCCTCGCGTCTCGTCCTACCAGACAAAATTGTTGCGAGAGGCCCGCACACGAGCTCGGGGGCTCAAAGAGAGGCTGTGTTTCGTTTGCATTGCTAGGAGGACCCGAGCAAACGTAAGGGCGTCTCAGACATCCGATCCCAATGCAACCACAGTGAGAAACCTGGGCCTCCGGGGAAAGACAAGCGGGCCCATCCGTCCGCGATCCCACCGCCCGCGGGAATTGCACACGAACACGCCAGGTGCCTCCCAGCCTGCAAGAGGCACTTGCAATGTTGGATCCGCAGCTCTCGAGCCTGTCTTCATGCTTTGTCTCCTTTGATCTGGCTGAGTAAGTGCCTGCACCGCTCGCTGACTTCGAATGCTAATTGCTGATTCGGAGCCCCGAACCGAAGTCCTTTGCCTCCTCACTGCGTGTAGGTTCTGTCCGAGAGCTCGACTCCGATTTGGCCAGCAGTTGCGAATGAATTGACAGCGGTAGGGTACAGTACGTTTTGATTCAGTGCCTAAAATACTTCTCACGAACACGAAGAAACAGCTCCGTGAGATCAGCCATACCCGCCTCTTTGCATCTCTTCAATTTACCCCCTTTTATCCGACGGCTGTTGCTGCAACTTGCAAGCTCACCACGAGGGCAGATATACTCCGAGATTTCGGAATAGAATGATTTCATGAATTTATCATATTTCATCCCAGCCCCATCTGAGATCATCCATGATCATCTCGTGCACATTTATCCTTCCTGCCATGCATGCGTCCAGACCCGGAACCCATGACACGACCCATGCATTACCCCGGATTTTCCCCAGATCAACCTCGGCGCCTTCCAAATATTTTTAAATATCCATCAAATAGCCTCATCTCGATGTCACATATTCTGTCCCAGTTCCGTGCCAGTTCATAAGGCTGAATACCATCGTCATCCACTTAGTACAATAAAGCACCATAGTGGACCACACCTGCTAAAAAGCCGTCTACCTGAACCTACCACTACTTCACACTCTCCCTTCCGTGCAGACTTCCAGAACCTCCAAGCCCCCACCTTCGCAAGGTTTCCGCGGAGCATATGCTACCTTAAACAGAGTAGTTCGTCTGGAGCTTGAGGACGGTCTCTCCTTTCCCTCACCAGCTGTTCGACGCGTGGCATTCCAGGTCCAGCTCTCCCCTCCATCTCCAAAGTCGCGTGGCGGACGGTGGAACGTTAGGCCTCGAGATGCCGCGCTGCCTCGGTTTTGACTCCTTTCGGCAACGTGAGTGAGGTCAAGTGTTTGTTTGGTTGCACTGGATGGGCAGCTATGCTTAATCTTGCAGGTGTGAGGGATGCTGGATGCTGGATGTGGGAGGGCTTTGGTACTCGGTGAGCAGAGGCGAGGCTTTGGAGGGGGTGAGTCAGGTAGCCTTGTGCAGATGAGTTGTCGGGATCTTTCTGGGCAGCCTTGTGAACTTGCAAGAGCTGTCGAGGCTGGAGATCCGCACTGCAATTTTAGCGTCGTCAAGGAGGATCTCTTCCATTCTCCTGATTGAACGCCTTAGCCATGCCAGTAACCCGCCATCTCAAAAAATCCGAATCAAATCAAACATTACAACTCACAAATGCTACAAACACTCATCCCCATAAAGCTCAACCTTGAATTTATATCACAAGTCATCAGTCACTAAAACAAAGTCACGAAGTCAAACGCAATATGATTGAAATGTATGTCCATTATTGCTACGTATCGACTACTGTAGTCTACGGACAAATCAGCCTCTTCTCAGAAGCTTTCCGCAATACAATCAGAACACCTGCATATCCATGCGGTATGCGGCAAGCAAGCTAAACGCCTCTCTTCCGTGCTTTCAATACCATGCGGTAAATGCAACGATCAAGTCCACCCCCTTAACGCCATGCAATGCTGAAGTTTGTTTGTCTATATGCCATATCTCGATTCAAGATCTCAATCTCATAATACTGAGTGAGATGATGTCCGCGGCGAAGAAGTGAGAGAAAGCCTCATGCTCATAACTCTCTGTAGTCACTTGGGCGAACTCTCTTCTGGCGTCCCTGGTGACGATGGGGATTCACAGGCTTGCGAAAGTACGCATTATCCTCTTCATTCGGCAACGGCTCCGCGAACACTGTCTTCTGCTGATTTGGGAACGCTCCAATTGCTCCATTCGCATTGCCACCATTCTGTGCTCCACCGCCATTCAGAATCCCATTCCCAGCCCCCATATTTCCGTTCATCATTCCAATATTGTTCATCCCGCCAAACCCGCCAGCGCCAGGATTGTACATGTTAGGGAAGCCATTGAAACCATTCATTCCATTCATTCCCATCATAGGGTTCATGGGCATCATCGGCATGGCGTTTGGCATCATAGGGAAACCATTCATCATGTTGTTCGGCATGGCAGGGAAACCATTACCGCCGTAGAAATTGTTCGGCATGTTCATGTTGAAGGACATATTTGGGAAACCGGCCATACCATTCATCATTTGCTGTTGTTGGAGAACGGCTTGCTTCTGGGCTTCTTGTTGCTGCATTGCCTTGGGTCCCTTGGGGATCTTGGGATTCTCGAGGAGTTCGTCGGCCGGACGTTTCTTGGAGACAGGTTCGTTCTTCACAGGTGACTTTTCAGTAATAGGAGTCGAGGTTGAGACTGGTGGTGACTTGGCCTGTGATTTAGTATCGGCAGGTGACTTTGGAGTCGGCGATTTCGATTTGGCCTTTTGGACCTCAGTCGGAGTTGATTCTGGTTTTACGCTTGGACTTCGCGATCGCTCCTTTTCTCTTTCCTTCTTCGCGGCAGCATTCTTCTCTTCCAGGTATGCCTTTATCTTCGCAGATGTCTCATCGTCAGGCTTAAGATCATCAATCAACACTCCTTCAGTCTGACAGCCAGGACATGTGAAGTCGCTCTCGATGAGCGCGTTAGTAATGCAATCATTGCAGTACGTCTTCTCACAACAGGGCGTCTTCATTGGGTCTATGAATACTCTCTTGTCGATCGAACACTCCAGCCCCCTATCCTGCAACTCCTTATCTCCAAGCGCAGCAGCCTTTTGTGCAGCAACAGAAGACTTCGTCTTTTCTTGAAATTTGTCCCAGGACGCCTTATCTGGCTCTGCAATCACGAACTGACCCTCTGCATTAAGCATGATACCAGAAGGTGGTTTTGCATCATCCGATGCATCGCCAGTAAGAGCCGGTTTCTCCACAGTCTTCAGAAACGATCTTGGAATACCGGTCGTACGCTTGATACGAGGCTTGTTCTCATAGTTGGGATCATCGTTCGTAGGACACTCCTTGATCCAATGTCCCTTCTCTCCACACCGATAACAAATATAGCCTGGGGGAGGGGGGTTATCTGAATTCGCGCCTGGCTTCTTGCCCATGAAGTGGACTTTTGTTTGTCTAGTTAGGTTAGTATGAATTGATACAGGACCATAGATCGCGACTTACTTGGCCGCCTCTGCTTGTTGTGCACTCCACTGCTCGCTTTGAGCTTGGAACATGGCCGCCATTCGTTCCTCTTCCGTCATGGAGCTGTTCATCTGTGTAGGACCATTGGTGCTCGCGGCTGGCTTCGCCTTGCTCGCCTGCTCCTTTCGTGACGAGTTCTTTGCATTGACTGGCATTTTACCTGTCACATATCTGTTGGCTTTGCCGGCGCCCTTCTTGATGGCGGGCAGTCGGCGGGCGAGGACTGTTGTAGATCGAGGAATGATAGCAGTGTCATCATCATATTCTGGTTTCTAGTTAGCAATACGTCCAGTGAACTTATAGCAAGGAGAACTTACCTTCTTTGCCATCGTCGCTGAACACTGCAAGGTCGAAGTCGGTTCCATCACCAAGGCCGCTCTTGATGATGATATCACGTTTGAGCTCAAATACAGAGATACCGGTACCATCAAACTCCAGTCTGGTAGGTTCCTTCTGGGACTTGAACCTGTAAAATACGGAGGACGTCATGATTTCAAGATGTGAAGTGAACGGTGAGTCGTAGTCGAGATGTGTGTGTCGGAGAAGCTGATCGTATCGTATTTGAAGTCTGAAGAGCGCAGAACGCAACTATTCTGAAGCACTTATTGAACGCAAGCAGTGCTCAGAGATCAGTGATCGAAGAGGAAGGGACAGGGACAAGGGTTCGTGAAATGCGACCGTATGCAAGATCAGGATTCTTCTTTTTTCCGTTCAGGAGAACGAGGTGAAATCAAATCTGATTGCAATCACTGGAGATAACTCTGGTGACACGAACAACAAGCTCTGAGAGAAAGGAAATGATGTACAAGATTGCAGCAGAGCTGCGATGTGCGACGTTCTGAGATTGATTGTTGGCTCCTCCACAATACCAGCTGAACCGCCACGACTCCTATTGTGCCCACCAACTATTGTTCCTCCCCCACTTCTGACGGACAATGAGCGAAAGCAGGGACCTCAGTATGCGCTTCTGATGCCAGATCTGATGATCCGGCGTTGGTGCTGTGTATCGCGATGGTGATTGTTGGTGTTGTTGGATGAAGGTGAGAAGGGGCAGCAGGAAGGTTCTTGATCAAAGAAATGGACGCTGGGTTTGTCAGCGCGCTAAATCCTGATAAAGGCTAGCGTCAAAATCACCTGACTAACCTCCTTTAACCACCCCCCACGTGGACAATGAGGACCTCCAGTCCAAGGACTTATTCAAAGACATTTTTTCATTCACGAAATAGCCAGCGTGTCTGCCTCTTGGGCTGGTCGCCATTTAATCAGGAAAATACTCACCGTAAGTCTTGATACATTGAAGCTTCGACCATTTTCTCATGGTTTCCAAGATGTCGACTAGGAGGTTTCAAATCACCATGTACATATTGTCATCGAATCTACCAGCCATCAACCACCTCGCTCAATCTGAGCACCACTTCCTTCAGTCTCTCCGCCTCTCTCTATCCTCTTCCTCTCCCCATCATCCTCACCGCTCGTCCACTCCGCCCACCACCGCAATTCTTGTTGCCAACCTTCCAAGGGCGGGCATCTCTCCCTCGCTTCTCTTCTCCTCTCCTTCCTGCAATTGGGGCACCACAAATGAATGGAGCGAACCCGAAGGTTACTTTGGAATGAGACCATGGAAGCGGTGCTGGCAGTCCTTTCAGACCCGCTATCCGCTCACCGTTCTTATCCATAAACGATTTCGGTTCCTTGAAACACGCTGAGGCTCTCTTGGCATCCTCATGGCCACATCTGTGATGTACCACGATGGTCTCGCACATCTTCGTTTGGGGAGTGGAGTGACGTGAGGAGGTGGATAAAAATAGTTGAGGTTAGGTGTCTTTTCTCTAAACTAAGCTACCCAGCTCTCGCGAGAGGGCACTCGATATCGGCTGAAAGTTTCGAACGGGGACCTGGCCCCCAGGTTCTCTCTTCTCGAAAATGACCGTCTCGTCGGAATCGATTGTCAATGGAGAGTATTGACAGAGGCTCAATTGGCTAGCTCTTGTCTTGACAATGGTTGTCACGTCTGAAACGTTTGATGAGTTGGAAGTTGTGGTTGAGACTCCTGGTTGAAAGCAGAGAAGCGCTTGGTAAATTTGTTGTGGCAAGCAAGCAAAAAAAGAAGAATCTTCAGAGTTCGGAAAATTCACACACTTCTTCTCGGTGCGAGAGATCAACTATAGAAATCATCGCGAGTAACTGCATTACACCCTTATCGCTAACATTCGTTGTGGATTCGCCCGACTCCTTGGTGCTTTGGCCAGAGACATCCTCCCCAGCTTCTTGTTATTGCAAAGCCAGGTTCCTGAATCATTGTCGGAATTCTCAAAGATTCAGTCATTGACAGTAATTTCCTGGTCAAACAACAAGCATTGCTTCTCTCATGTGCTTGCCTCGTGTTGCTTCGCCAGGTCCTGCAACACTTTCAGGCGTTTCTGTCGTTCCTTCACAGCCGTTGCCTCCTTCACCGCCCAACCGGGGTGGCAGGCAGCTCGACTGGGTTAGCATAGCTATTGACGTCTTCAGCATCAGCCTCAACAGGTTCCCATCCACGTTCGTGAGCCGCAACGATCATGTCAACAGACCGGTCATTGATTGGGTCAAGTCCATAAGCCATGCCATACAAATCGAGCGCTCGTTGAGTGGACGAGCGGCGAGAGTTAGACGGGATGCCGTCGTAGGACTGGGGTCGATGATTGCCTTCTTGACTTAAGACAATGTAACTTGTTAAAGGCTTGCCCACAACTGGGACTGCGACATGAATGCTTGCCGTTGTTGGAGAATATTGTTGACGACTATTCCTGAGTCTTAGCTCCGAGGATGTTGTCGGCGAAGGTAGAGGGCTGAATCGAGAGTGAGGGAACTCGCCGTCGCCGTCAAGAGCAATAGGAGTGTCGTTATTTGGGGAACCACAGCGACCACAGAGTAAACTCCCACTTAGTTCGACACGGGGAGCGAGCCGAGTCCGTGGCTGCAGGAGCCTTCTTGGGAGCAGTGCCTTTGCCGACGCCCTTCTTAGTGGTAACAAGCTTCTTTACGGGAGCCGTACCCTTCTTGGCAGCAGGCTTCTTGGTGGATTCTTCCGCGTCAGAAGTGTCCTCAGCGGCAGTTGCCTTGCCCTTCTTGGTAGCGGTAGCCTTCTTGACGGGAGGCTTCTTCGGGGACTCTTCGACTGTCTGGCCACGCGGCGCTGTTGTGTAGCGGGCTTGACTCTCCTCTCTTTCCGTGGAGGAAATTTATACATAACGAGATCCTTCCTTCTTGCTCGAGGGTGCCAAAAAGAGGGAAATTTCAAGCACGGCAGGGAGTACATCAGCATCTCAATTATCCACAAACGAAGCTGCCAATATAGACTCCGACACGGGAAATTGGGTTACTCAAAGCCAGGTTGGAAGGAATCGTCACTTACCTCCCACCACTCTGTTCCGCCAACTTCTGGGTCTCCTGGGAGTTCCATCACTTTGGTAGCCACCAGAGTGGCATAACGCAGTGAGCATGGAAGCCAAACCGCGGCACCGACTCTTCCCAGCCCTTCTTGAAAACGAATAGTTTGTGCCAGCTTTCGCATTGATCAGCATCTCCTGTCCCAAGGATTCATCTTCGCCGGCTTTTTTCTCTGGTTGCTTGCCAAAAAAAAACTTGCCGATGAACTTTGTGCCTCCTTGATTCTTCTCCATTGATGGAAACGAGGCCTTGGTGCGAATGGTTCTCGGATGGCCAAGCACATAGTTTGTTAGCTTTCTTGAGATATTATCCTTGAATCACCGAGTTCTTTTCTCAACTCGGTGTCGACGGCTTCCCAGCCCTCTTGATTATCTTCTTGATGAGATGTGGTATCTCCTGACACCTCATTGGCTGGTTGTTGCGTTGGTCGAGCGTGCGTCTGGATTGGGAGGCGGATACCATTGGCATCGTTATCGTTATTTGGATGGTCGTGCCATCTCTTCTCGAAGTTCCTTTTCGCTGCACGTCTCAATAATCTGAACACCGATCTCGCGTACGGATGTACCCGAAGACTTGGCAGCTTCGGCTTATTAGTCTCTGAGGGAGTGTGTGAATGTCACACCAATGGTTAGACCAATTCCAAAGACACTTGGGGCCAAAGAAAGGAGCGAATCTGAATTGTCTTTGAAGAGTGCTCCTCGGGAAGGAAAGCCTTCTTCTCTGCGGGGTGCATATGGGAGCCTTGGTGTGATGTGTCGTTTGGTCGGATAAGTATAGTAGGCGTCAAGTTGTCCAAGTGTGCTATGCGACCAATGTCTCCGACCTCCTGTCCCAAAGGCCATTGTGCCTTGGTGACCATGAACAGTCTCGCTGGTACTCCCTGAAAAAGGAAGCCGCTTAATATTTCGGCACTCGGATTTGGATTCTCCACGGTAACGTAACTGATGGTGGAGATGACGGCGGAGGCCGCGGTACTCTCGACGAAGGATGCTGGAATCTGTCCTTGCGCATGTCTAGTAAAAAGCTTTCGGAACGACACTAGTCGATGCCTTTCGTCATCATATTCAACTTTGGTTGAATACCCTCAAGGTCCCTGCGGCAATCGTTTCCACAGACGGCTGGCTCGTCGAAAGCATAACTCTCGTCTCTAGATGTCGGAAATCTAGCTTGACAGCTTCCGCAGGTGGCGAGGAGACCATTGGCATCACCCGCATTCCAATTCGGGTCAATGGAGGCTTTGAGGAGGAGATCTTGTTTGTTCATGTCATCGTAGATTGCGGGAAGCTTCATGTTGTCTGTCGTTCCGAGGGCTGCCTCGATGTAGAAGAGCATGCTCAAAAGGTATGAGGCTATATGCTCTCTCAGAACAGATGAGGAAAGCCGATGGAGAACATGGGTTCTGCCAGGCATCGGATTTCTTCGTCGATACTGATCACTTCGGAAGCTGGTCTGCCGACCCGTTGTGGCGAAGATGGCGGCACCTTTCGGTTGTTGTTGTATGGCCGGACAACAAGATCCATTCATTTCTTCACGAAGAACTCGATCTCCTGGACCGTCTGGATATCTCCGTGCCCTGGGAAGAGTTCCTTTTCTTCTTTAACAGCCTATCACTCTGAAATCGGCAAGACGGCAGTCTCTCCTCATGCCCATGGGGTCTTGGCCTTCGGAACGGTCCCAAGACAATGCCAGCCTTCCGAAGTTCACGCGGACCATTTTCTGGATGGATGGGACACATGTAACCTAGAGCGCAGTCGCCGGCTTCGTACTCGCCTTGAAGGCTCTCCCGTAGGCGACATCGAGTGGGATAGGTGGCATCGTTCTCCCGTTCCGCCTTTCAAGGGTGACCATTGTGGTTGCAGTTGCAGTTGCGCCGCTATCACATCCTAGAGTTGGGGTGGGAGAACGAATGACCTGCTCGGCCTTCACGTTGGATACCGTAGGCATAGGCAACGTCGAACCCTTGAGAAAAAGAAGCCGCCATGATAACTTGAAGCCTGACGTGCGGCTTCCTATTGCCATACGCATGTCAGCGAAGCTTTGTGGATTGTTGAAGAAGCTGTTGTTATGCGACTCTGAAGACGATGGAGACATGGGTCGCTATGAGGACCAAAGTTGTTCTGGCTGTTGATGAAGCGTCGAGAGTCCATCATCGGGTCCGGTGCGTTCTCGACCTCCCTTGAAAATCCACGGAAAGGAATAGTTGATTTGCTCAGAAACATCCTTGTCATCTTCAACCCAGTCATAGTCTCCTCGATTGTCTTTTGCTCTTGGCCTTCTTGGCCTTGGAAGGACAGCTCATCTGGCAAGAAACGCTCCACTCGATCGATAACTCCTTGTGTGTCCAGATGTCCTTTTAAAGGCTCTAATGAGGACAGACATTGAAGGTATTTTCCTGGTTAGTTGCTGCTTGGCAGGAGGAGGAGATTGAGGCTCAGTAGAACGCTTGCCGTTGGCCTTGCTTTTAGAAGCAGGTAAAGATTTCATGCCAAGTCGTACTCATAACCGCAGTAGGTCCCCAAGGTGTCTCTAGAATCCTCGCACTTTGGACACCGTTCACTTCAAAGACACCGTTCACTTCAAAGACACCGTTCACTTCAAAGACACCGTTCACTTCAAAGACACCGTTCACTTCAAAGACACCGTTCACTTCAAGACACCGCTCACTTCAAAGACACCGCTCACCTCAAAGCCACCGCTCACCTCAAACACACCGTTCACTTCAAAGACACCGCTCACCTTGATGACACAGTTGATTTCAAAGAAATCGTTCATTTTGACAGAGAAGTGCGACCACCTGCAACGACAAGGCCATTTCTGCTGCCCAATATTACATCGCGTGTTCCGATTGCTCGCCCCATGCAACAGGCAGAATCCGTGGTGCTAGGTAAGGCCTCAATCAATCGAAGCACCGAGGCGGCGGAGTGTCTCGATGAGCAGGTTGTCCGCGGAGGATGCTGCCCCAGGATGAGGATTGCATACATCATTACTGCCGAGCGAGGTGCTGTAAGGGTCGGATTGGCAGCGAGGAGGGTGTAGGTCTCGGTGACAGTGAGAGAACCGTAACCAAACGGGCACTTGCTGTTGCTGCCAACAATGAGAAGGTCTGCATGCCTAGCTAGTTATGTGAGGGGGTGCCTTCGGGCGGATCCGAAGTTGCTCAAGACATCCGTGACCGTGGTGGTGATATCGGAGCTTGAGTACTCGGCAGCGGCTACAGATTCGTCAATAAGGGTTTCCTTGATAGTTGCTGGTTCTTCAACTTACCTTGGGAGAAGAACAAGAGAACCGAACGGATTGCTCAAGACGAGGGCTTGAGTTTTGCGTCTTGGAATAGTTTGTGGGTAGCCGCGCGTTGCAAGGACTGCCGTGCAGAGAGATGAAGAGATCGCCGAGGTTAATGTATTGGGAACGCTCTTTCAGCATCCGGTTGCCCCTGGCAGCAGAGATTGCGGTATTTGAGAGGTGTGTGCCATCCATGGTACGGAGAATCCAGGAAAGTCGCCCCATGTTCTTTCTGATCAGGAAACCCAAGTCTGTGTGAGTCCTTTCTCCATTCCACTTCAGAGAACATACCTTTCGTTGAACATCACATTGCACGCCGAAGCGGCTAAGGTTTAGGGTCTCTGTTTTATCTCAAGAAGCTAACAAGTACAAGATTTTCTCCAACAACATTATGTCCCCTCTCTTGCGTTTGTTGGTGGCTGAGTGTGGGAGTGACATGTCCCACCCGGACCCGTGGTCGGAGGGAGACGTGTCAAACTTTCCCCCTGCTGCTTGAACTTTTGCTCGGCTCTCCGTACGGAGCCTTGAGATGTCTAATGTCTTTGGCTTTAAAGGAGATTCGAAGAGTGGAGGGTCCGATGCGCTTTCCAGGAAGAGCCGAAGTAGGCTTTGTTGCCAATTTCTCAGAGGATATGGAAAGCTTGATAGGCAAGGAGGATATCTCCTTAGATGTAACTTCATCCGCTGAGCCAAATTATATCATTGCAGGAGTGGCGTCTTCTTCCTCGACCTCATCTCTGCGCTCAACCTTCGCGCAAATCTTCCTGGCAGACCGCGTAGTTCAAAGCAGGCCTTGAAACTCTTCCTGCAGATGGTTCAAAGAGCGAGTTAGAATAGGTTGACCAAAATCGAAGATGGTTGGCAAGGCTAGAAGGCAAGTTGAAGTGCAGAAGATGTCGAGACTTGGAAGGTGTCTGGAGGGAGGCAGCGGTTGGGCTTCTGCGCTGCTCTGCCTGGAAAGAACAACCTGTTCCACTCGACTTGTACTGTGGCGGTAAATGGGGCCGCTGCAATATCGCTTAGGCAGATCGAGGATGCTCTGGTGGATCCATTGAGCAGCGTTGTCATTGTCCAGGTGGGGGAGATCAAGTCGGAGGCATTGGACGTTTGATAGGTCGAACTTGGCAGAGAATATTGGTGGGGCACTGCACGGTTAGCAGGGGCTCAGCACTGCATGGAGGATGCTTACCTAGGGGATGGGTGCCAACGCCAGATCGAGCGCAACAGAGTCTCTTGTTAGTGTACTTGCGAGGAGGAACAAGAGAGATGTCCTCGGGAGCGAAGCCGAGGCTGTTGTACCTGTTTCGAGTCTGTAATATTGATCCATCTGCAGGGGCAAGGTAGAGGTTGAACCTGCCTTTCGAGTTTAACCCCGAATGGCCTCGACTGCGAACTTGTAAGAAGGCTTTAGTACAGTAAGTGCAGCGGTAGTAAAGGCACGGATGCCTAGATCTTCTTCTTTGATGATGGTTGTATAGGAAGAGATAGATGGAGTGGGGCTTGAGAGGTGCTCGGGTTGCGGCGATCGGTGTCAGGGCGAGGGTCAGGTCAGGTAAGGAGGAGTCGTTGATGCAACAGAGGATGTGAGAGAAAAGCTTGGCCATATCGTCAAGCATGTCTTCATGACGCTCTCCATAGTACTTGATGCTTTGCTTGTGTGTGCTTTGATGCAAGAAATTGGTTGGGATTGGGTGGAGGCAAGATGCATGTGATATTCTTGAGGAGGGGAGAACGAGTTCAGAAAATTATTCGTGGGAGGAGCTAAATGAGCATCGCTGCGCTCCGCAAACACCAACACGGCAGTCTTCTCGATATTGGTCATGAGGAGCGGAGTCAGGTGATGGCCACAGCTTGGACCGCCCCAAGTTTGTTAGTTTTTGACGTCTTGGGTGCATTCCAGACGTTGATTCTTTCTTGCTGTTTACTTCTTTAATAGTTGGTTATTTGTTCTTCAAACTGTGCTATTTGCTAGAGGAGAGCAGCAGCATGTGTCGGTATGAGTCGAAGAGGAATCCTTATTGCTCGCATGAGCAAATCCCTACCTTCCAAAGCTCCTTAGCATCTTTCTTCTTAACAACAATGTGGTATTGTGTCTTTTATTCCTCTAATAATCTTGTTGCCCACATGAGTGTGCATGTGCGGGTTGGTAAGTGTCGAATAGCAGCCTCCATTACTTGCACAGGCAAATTACTTTGGAATAACGATACGTCTTTGTGTCTATTTATTCCTCTAAAGTCGAAGAAGCTGGCGAATCGTCGAATAGGAACCCACCTTAGTTTCAGAAACAGGTTTCTAACCCCCAAGGCGACCTAGCGCCTGCATTTTAACCACAAGTTTTCTTTCTGTCTCTCCTTAAGAGTTGCCCAACTTCTTTTTCTCGAACAAGTGCATCTCCAAACAAAACATCGCTTAGTTCGACGCTACTGGTAACCGAAGGGGCTGACTCTTGCTTCCCCTTCGGATCTGGCAATCTGGAATATCATTGGTTAATATCCGATTCTCTGTGCTCATTTATAGTTCTCTTTGAGCAAAGCATTGTGCGAGATGGACTAAGATTTAAAGGCAAGCATGCATCCCTACAACTGGCTCCTCTTTGTAATATCATTGTTGTAATTCATATGGGGGTATATGCTGCTAACTAAATCCTAAGACAACCGATGCCAAAACCCAGACCAAAATTAGGGAGAGAATCTAAACATTAAGCCATGCTGGTGAATAAGTATCGCATAACTCCGAATCCGTTCCAGAATGAAAACTCAGACCGCCTGACCTCATTGCTCTAATCTTGCTGCCGCCTTCTGATGGGTATATTGCTGCACCATTGCTCCTCCCGAATCCTGCTCTCCAAACCATTAATTAACGTTACCCATTTGACTCGTTGAAAGCTCATTAGAAGCCATTACCATCAACTCTCCTTCTTCCTGCCCACCCTTCTCGCTCTCCGCTTAGCCACCACCTCCGGATCCCAAACCCCAGCGAAAAGATCCTCACACTCATCCTCATCCTCACTATCAAAGACCACGACTTCCTCTCCCTCTTTTGCTTGCCCATTCTCCCTCCCATCCAACATCCCATCCTCCGCCGCACTCCCCACAACACCAACATCCTCCCACCCCAACCCCAGCACAACCCTCTTCATCTCCAAAATAAACTTCCCAATCTTATACTTCTGCGCCGCCTCTTTGGCATCCACGTATTTCCACCCCAGCACCGTGCCACAAATCGTGCAGCTCACATCCGCAACAACATGTTGCCCTGTCAATAACTCCCTATTAACATTCCTCCCCACCTTCGTATTGACCAAATCAGTAACCTTCTTATTCCCCTCTTTCTTCGTTGAGTTTGAGATTGTGTAAGGTGGAGAAGGGGGAGGTGAGACGAGGTATGCGCGGCCATGCCGTCCCGTGAAGCCTTTACTAACCACCTGGCTCGCGAGCGCGATGTCCGTTGCGCAGTTTAAGCAGCGGAGGGTATTAGGCTGTGCGCGCTGTAAGCCACGGGTCTCTTCTTCCTGCTCGTCGTCTAAATGTGTCACATTCTTATTCCCGAACGGTCCACTGTACTCTGGGATCTTGGAGAGCGCGGCGCGCAGCACAGCTTTCGCGGATGTTGGGGAGGAGGGGAGGATGAAGTGCGCGGAGGGCGGAGAGGAGGAGGGTGTTGTTGCGGGAGAAGAGGTTGCTGAGCTGGAGAGGGAGGGTGGTGGGTAGGAGGAGGTCGAGGAGCGTCGGCGGAAGGGGAAGGAGAGCGAGGGAAGGAGGTACGTTGCGAAGGGGGGCCGTGGTTCCGGCGCCATCTTGTCTGCTGTTGGGTAATGTTTTGAGGAGTTCTTGCTGTGATATCTGCCTCAAGTCCACCAATTAGTCAGTTCCAAGCACTTGTCCGGACTTCGGAAGTGCGCGGCTATGGCAGAACTTGACTTACAATGGTCACTGTGACGAAATACACGCCCTAGCTTAAGTTGTAGTAAAGTTCGGAGTCATGTCGTCGTCGGTCCCCTAGTGTTGCCAGGCGGTTGAGCCTTTTCTAGGGAAAGGGAGTCATATGTAGAGCGGTCCGATGGCGCGAGCACTTTGTGCCTGTATGCGGTGTGGAGGGGTTGTGTGCTGGCTGATCGTCAGATCATGTACCCAACTCCGAGCCTCGCAGCCCCTCATTGGCTTATCTTATCGAAACACCCCTGCAGATTTTATATTATTGAAAGTCCCCCTTCCCTCTTGAGCATTTTATATTTTTATTAATTATCCTCGTCTGCTGGATTGTGATGTTACAATATGCGTAGTATGAGGGAACATCGGAGGTCGGTTCCGGCAACTCAAGGCGAGTTCATCTGGTGAGGGGTGAAACGATCGTGAAAGGCTGTAACTCCGCGCTTACCAGTGATCAGCTGCACCATGTGATGTCTGCGTGACTTATAAAGCAGAACCATAGGTTGGCAATGCACATACAGTAGTGATCGACGATCTGGATGTATCCATTTTAAGAGAGAGGTTTTATGTCCATGGTCTGAATGGCCCCTAAAGAGAAGAACGGGACGGAAGTCCAGACCGAGGCACCCCCGAGGCACCCTCGTGAAGCACCCCGAGTCATGATAGACCCCTCGAATGCTCTCTCCTACTCATGGATGCTTCCATATTCCATGAGGTTCATGCAGGAAGTCGAATCCAGCTGTGTGAATTTCGAACTCGACGGACAAATCAAGCCGATCGCCTGGCCAGAACGTGCTGAGCTGTGATTGGTTGGCGTCAAACACGTGATGCTGCTAAGCTTTTCTTAATTAGCGGGGCGTTGCTTGATCATGAAATCGACTCCAACGACACTTCATCCCAACTTCACCGCTGATCTTCGACCCCAACAAATCAATCAAGCACTCCAATCTTCGAACGCCCCATCAAACACCTTCATCTCCAATCGATCCAGTCCTCGACCGACGATCTCCAGCCTTACCTTCACACCCTCCACCAACGCAACCGTGGCAAAAATCGACAGCAATGGCTCCCAGCAGAAACAACAATCATAATAGTAGTAATCGCAATGGCGAGAGCGTAGGCCGCACCGCCAGCATTCTCGCCTCTGCCTACTGCGTCGACGCCTCTGCTCGCCTCACGGGCTTCCACTACTCCACTACCGGGGCCGGCGGGGCACTGTGGTTTCCCTGAGGTCCTGGGGATCTCAGGGATTCCCTCACCACCATCAAGTCCCCCTCTCGCAGCCCTGACGTCTGCCAACGAGCTCGCGCTCATCTCCGAGCCCAGCAACTCTGGCACCAAGAAGCGCGAATCCGATGGCAGGAAGAGGAGCAGTAGAGGGGGGGCAGCGTACCACATCCGGGAAGAGTGTGAGAGACTCTTCTGCGAGACCATGAAAGCCGTATTCCTTGGTGAAGAAGGAAAGGCGGCGCATAATGGCTCTATCGTGATGGGTACGAACGCGCATTCACCTCCTGACGAAAGTGTGGGTGCGTACGACAACAATTACTTTGCCAATGGCAAAGGAGGACAGGCTATGGATGCTTGGCTTGAGGTCTGGGACTACTCTAGTGGTTGCAGCTTCCGGGTATTCGTGGGTGGAAATGGAGAGAACAAGTCGCTATTTGCATTCTTTGATTCTGCGGTCGTTGGATCCGATTTGAAACAAGGGTATGTTGTCTCCCACATCACATCACATAAATCTAACATATGTAGGCTCATGGCTCTCATCGAACTCGCCGAAACGGTCTTCGCCGTCTCTCAGGTAGTCATCTGCCTCGATCGATCCGTGCAAGAGACCGAACGCAAATCTTTCATGAAAAGTCTTCGATGGGTCGGATTCGAGTTGATTACATTGGACCTGTGGGCGAACGATATCGATGTCACAAGTGACAAATGGCTTTTCTTAGGCATGGAAATATGATTCTCACAATGGAAAGGCGCTGGCGTACCGGTTTCATAAGTACATACTCTCATTAGGTCAAGCATGGTCAAGCATTGCCTGGGTTCGCGGCGGATTCTGATTCATTTTCATAGCGGGGTGCCTGCTGTACGTATGGATTTTCCCTGTTTGTAATCAAAACGGCCGCACATAGCGAATTGATCTCACTCCCTCGGGTTGCCTTTCACACTCGCAGAAGCCGAGTCCGATGAATTTCAAGTAGTTCAGAGGATGACAAGGGTCTGTCACGTGATTCGTTCACTTCCTCTGAACTTGAAAATCTTGTGAGACATTGAGAGCTGAACATTCATCCGTCTTTTATAGAATCCAGTCCGTCGATCCCAAGTGGGAGACTATAGTGCTGTGACCTTTGCAGCTACCTTTTCTACTCGCGTGTAAAAAATTACTAGGGGCCGCATAAGCAGGTGCAAATGCAAAAAGTAAAAGCCAGATTTTCTTTTTTTAAGAGAGTATATTGCGATCTTGGGGGGGGGGGGTCCCGACCCCATACTCTGCAGGGCGACCGGTCCGCTGTGAGCTTGTGAATGCAAGCTTTGCAGAAAAGCGCTCATACCAAGAATTATCCTATGCCTGGGGAAAGTCTGCGGATGGCTTCAAGCAGATCTACATTGACGAGCATCCATTTCAAGTCGGCATCAATCTATTCGAGGCTTTGGAAACCCTTCGCTAGGCATACTTGCTTGACAGGTATCTCTAGGTCGACAGGTATCTCTAGGTCGACAGGTATCTCTAGGTCGACAGGTATCTCTAGGTCGACAGGTATCTCTAGGTCGACAGCATCTGCATCAACCAAGCTGATAATTAAGAAAAAAGCTCTTAGGTTCAACGGGTGGGAAGAACTTACAGTCAAGCAAGCGATATTCTTGTTTGGCTGGGTCTGGCAGGTGATTCTGGCCACCTTGCGTTCGATTTCATGACCAGCATGTCCCAGAGGCCGTCTCCTGGTCGATGGAATGAGAAGGAACTCGAAACCCCCTTTTTTTTGTGAAGAGAAACCATGCAGCATGAACCGCAGTTAGGAAACATGGCGAGCGAGGCTACATTGGGTAGAAATGGAGGATCACAACACACAAGAGAGGAAGATGCGCATCAGAGAAGATTCATGATTCTATGAAACGGGCTCGGCACAAAAGAGATCCATTTCTGGAAGCACTCCAAAATTCATCATCAAATCCGTCGAACCTCCCTCAGATTCTGAATCTGAAGCCCTTCTTCCCCGCCTCAGTCGTCCCCGAATTGATCGCCCCCTCAACAAAGATGCCAGCATCCAATTTCTTATTCAACCTCACCAGGATCATCCTCAAAATAATCGCCGCCACGATTGCCATCAGAGCCATAGCGCAGTTCACGATCATAGCCACTATATATTTCGGGCTTGCGCTGGGGAGATACATGTAGCTCGCATAGATTGAACTGGTGTTTGAGACAGCGTTGATGAATGCTAGGGCTGCTGCTCGCTTTGCTGGTGGACGAGGCATTGAGTTGCTGATCCAGTGAAGGGCGACTACGTAGCCGGAATATACGCCGGGAACCATGAGCATCATAGCAAAGTATCTAGCTCCTGTGTGGGTCGTCGCAGCCGCCAGGATGTATGCGATCATGGCGAAGCAAAGAGGGACGATAATGTGGAAGAAACGCTCTCCGGTTCGATCTGGGCGATGTCAGTTCGTCAACTCGAACTAGCGCAAGAAGGCTTACCAGCGTGCCACGAATTGAGGAAGGTTGTGATGACTGCCAAAACGTATGGCGGAGCTGTTAATAGCAAAGTGTTCACGTCGTTGTATTTGAGTGTTTTAACCACCGTCCTGGCTGTTGTCAGTTCTGAAGTTCCAAGACTCGAGGGAGAACGTACGGGAAGAAATTCGTCACTGTTCCAGAGGCAACAATGCCAAAGAGCATAAACATGAGAACATAAGTCTTGATGTCAGAGAACGCAAGCTTCAGTCCAACCTTGAAGGATTGATGTTGGCTGTCAATCCAATCGTCCTCGCCTATATCTTCGTCGAGTCGCCAAATAGCCAGTTGACGCTCTTCATCAGTCAACCAGGTCGTAGTTCGCGGGAAGTCTGGCAGAATGAAGTAGCCGAAGGAAGCGATTGCTATGGTAGCCACTCCTTCGATAATGAAGAGCCATTTCCAAGCTAGCATTCCCCTAAGTCCATTCATATGAGCCTTGACGCCGGCTGCGATTAATCCAGAGAATGCGCCGCTGATGAGAGCACCGGAGTAGAACATTGCGGTCCGGAGACCTAGCTCTTTTCGTGTGTACCAGCATGAAAGATAGTACAGGCATCCAGGCTGAGATGGTTAGTTGAAGCTGGAAATTAGAAGAGACAGACTTACAAAGTAAGCAGCTTCTACGAAACCAAGCATGAATCGACATGCAATAAGACCACCAAAGCCTTTACAAGCTGCTGTTGCCGCTGATATCGCACCCCAGACAATCATGCAAGTTGGGAGATAAAGTGAAGGCTTCCCGATCTTGTTCAAGAACAAGTTTGAGGGGACTTGCATGAGAAGGTATCCGACAAATAGGATACTGACAGCTGTCTGGTACATTGGATTAGACTTGGTGGATAATTTGGTCTCCCATGCGACGTACATTGAATTCAGAGCCCTTGAGGTTCAAATCTGTGACAATGCCTGCCAGTTTGGCGGCAGCAATATTATTCTGAAAGTATCAGCAGACACTTCGGTCACAACGCGTCTGCGACTTACTCTGTCCAGATAATTCATGATATACATCAAGATTATCATAGGCATCAACCTGAGATCGATCTTTGCCTTCAATCTCTTTTCAGCAGCATGTCGTTCTTCTGGCGTCCAGTTCCGAATGAACTCTGGAGCTTCAAATCTTCTTGGTGTCGGCACCGCAAGAATTCCAGGATCCCCTCCAACGATGTCAATCTCTTGCATTCGTGCTTTATCCGAGCCTGAATCCATTTCTGGGGCCGAAAGGCCTTTCTCGAAATCATCGTGAGCGGGAGTCATGTTTTATCGCCACGATGGTTCTGCTGGTACAAAGGCACAGGCCGTGAGATCACACAGATTCGCCGGCTTCAATCCGGGGAAACGGGCCTAATATGGAAAGCAAACAACAAGGAACCCCCATCTTTGCTCCTGGTAATATTCATTGCCCCCGGCTGAACAGTTCGGCCTAGCGCACTGGCTCAAGGCTCATTGTGCTGGCAGTTTCATGGAGCCATGTGAAGTTCGCCGTCATCGCGACTGACGTCGAAGATTATCCGCCAGTTAGTGACGGTTGAGGCACGGCACGAGGCCCCAATACTTCGCGGGGTAGGCGCAGAAAAACTGGATCGTGGGGTGTGATTTGCATTTGTTCAGGGATCGGCAACTGAAGGCTTTGGTGGTGATGACCACTGATATTGTTTTGTTCCCCTCGTTTGCCCCAAAACAGGGCCGAAAAGGTGACTGCATGTTGATCCACCATCTCGGGGACGTTACAGCCTTTCAATTGCTCCCCCGCTTCTGTTCCCGGAGTGAGAGGCGGCAATTGGAACTGTTTGTGTAACGATAATGGGCGGGAGGGACTTCGCCTGGAAGGGAGGAAGGGATCGATAGCCGCATCCGATAGCCACATCCGAAATTGAACGATCAATTGACATCAATACTGTTCCGAGTGCAAAACGATCGGGCGTGAAGATCGAGAGCTCCCATTCAAACTTTAACTAGAAAATATACAAGTCAGTAATCGTAAACCTTGCCATCTTAAAGCATTGCTCTAAAATATGTCTGATGCCTCGAGTAAGTAATCCTTATTCATCCCAATCTCGATGCCATCAGACCGTTTCTGTCCTATATTTCAGTCACCGCCTCCAAATGCTCATCTCGACCTAGACCTCACATTTATCCTGAAAAGCAGTCAGCTGAGAAAGTTTCGAAAATGGATTGACTGCTTACCCCTTGATGCTCCAAATCCACAAACTTCCCCTTCTCCCTCCTCGAGATGGCCTCTGCACGCTTCTTATAGGCTCTCTTTCGTCCCGTGGCCTTCAAACCCCCATATCTTTGCTGTCGCTTCCTCTTTCTCTCCCTCTCATATCTAACCTTCTTCTTCTCCTTATTTGCTTCGATCCAAGATTCCTCCCAAAAGTGCAACTCGTCCAATGGTTCGCCCAAATTGAATTCGGGAACATCGCTATTGTCCCATTTTAGTCTACGCTGCTCTGGATATAAATCGTTCATGTCTGCAAGCATCCCGTAATCTCCCCATGGTGTGAGTTGTGGGCAGACTTTGGGTCGGCGGTGGTGCTTTTTTGTCTTTAACATGCGAAGCTTCGGTTGTTCGCTTCTCGTCCGACGAGGGGCTGATTCAATGTTCTTATCCTCGCTCTCATCAAGCTCCCCTCCCGCGATACCGGTTGGACCATAGTTGATTTTCTTGGGCGTTCTCTCGTCTGAGTTGTCGTTATTCTCATTGCCGTCGGAACGTTCCCTGCGTCTGATAGCTCCCTGGGGTGATTCCTTGAAGCCGGACTTGGTGAAAAGTATGATGTTGGGTTTGGGTTTCTGGATATCAAGTGCAGACTGGATGATTTTCAGTATTTTCGGGATGTCTGGTGCATCCGGAAGGGGACATGGTGATGGTACTGAAGTTGTGGAAGTCATGATGAGAGGACAAGACTTGTGTGAAGGGGTGCTGATGGTTTGAGGTTGGTCTTGAAGAGGAAAACGTGGTATGGGTGAGCGGTAGTATTTGTATGCAGGAAAAGTCTATGGTATTGAGACGAAGACCATGTGAAGGAAACTATTGTGTTATTTCGTCACTTGGCTGACACAATAGGACAATAGGAGAGATTGTCCATTTCAAAATTCATTTAGTGGCCGTGGATTTCTGACTCGATTCATTTCGGTCCCAAAAAATTCAGCCCAAGGAAATCTTGAGATATGGTAACACTAACAGGGGCACTCGCTCACACTACGAAAGCCTCCTGAACGCATCAGCCACTTTCCTATCTCCTACCTTCTCATCCTGTCCTCTCCCCTTTCCCATCGATCACGTGATGGAAATGCATCACAGAAAATCAAGGAATTTGAGAAGCAATTACAACTTGGATTGCTTCTGTATCACGAGAATCTTCTCCAAGCCTTCCTTGAGGCTCTCATTCATGCCATTAGCAGCAGGTCGACCAGTATCCCTGGCGACAAAGACATGGATGATCTCCCCAACCGACTTCACCTCCTGAATTCCTTGCTCGAAGAGTCCTATCTCATAGGTGACACTGCTCTTTCCCAGCTTGTTGACTCGGAGTGCTAGATCTGCCACAGCAGGGAAAGCAATGGAGCCAAAGAAGTCTGCATGAGAGTGAACCACGAGCCCATATTGAGATGAAGTTGGAGGGTGGAGTCCGCACTCCTTGATCAAATAGGTATTGACCACCGAATCGTATCTGACCATATTAGATATGTTGTCCCAAACTTCATGTTTGGTGTTTTGGCCTCTCCGCGTACAGGAAGTTGTAGATACTATTATTCATGTGATTATACACTAACAATCAACAGTCAGCATTACTCGATGTGGAGATTTCGACCCCGAAGAATTTTGGAGTTCTAATATCCCACAACTCGGGAGAGATTCAAGTTGACTTGAGATATGCATACTGTCGTTGTCGGACCTGCATTCACAAATCAGCTGACTGTGCTCAATCCTAACTTGTACTCGTACCATCTCGTTCTATACTCCAAAATGTACCCGTAATCCTCCCTCCGGCGTTCCTTGAGCGTAAGGTGAGACATATTTCGTGATCGGTCCAGACAGGATGCAGGATGCAGGACTGGGAGCAGCTATGACGAGATTGCTAGCATGTCTTCGTCACGATCAAGAGAACAACGATTGTATCAATATCAGGGACGGCGATCGAGAATGGAGGGGAACTGGAATTACTAAGAAGGAAAGTTTAAAGATGAAACCAGACTATCTGAGAAAGAGAGTTCAGACCGAGAGCCTCAGAGCCGAGGTATCAAGGTTGCGACTGGCTTGGACGAATCGGGGAAGGCGCGGGCTTTACCTGCAGGTCCTCGTGAATAATCTTAACCTTCAAAAACCACGATTGAAAGTAAACTTCACCATACCTCACCACACTCTGTTTTGACAGCTTACGAACCGCTGGCTCCCTCACCGAGGATTATAGCGCTCCTGGCCCGGCGGCTTGCGACAGTCAATCCGAAGATGGCGCTCGTCGAGGTCCCCCAGGAGACTTCCTACCCTCCGCTGGAGGAGAAGAAACCTTTCACCGAACCAGCTTCGGTTCTTGTTACCCCATGCGACCCGTGGCCTCGGCCGTACTATCTCGAGAATGGCCTACGGCGGGTCGCCCCATACCACTACACCTACAATACATACTGCAAGGAGAGATGGAGAGGACGGGAATTACTTGATATCTTCTCCAGCGAGTTCCGAGACAGACCTCTGGAGTACTATGTAAGTGCCGGTCCGAGGCGGTTGAACTTGGTCTGACGGGGTCAGAAAGATGCCATAGAACGTGGATCTGTTGTCGTTAATGGCAAGCCGGTGCCCAGTACCTCACATGTTGTCAAGAATGGCGATGTGATATCGCATACACTACATCGACACGAGCCCCCTGTAACCTCTCTCCCGATATCTGTTCTACATGAAGACGATGATATGATTGTTATCAACAAGCCATCTGGGGTTCCAGTCCATCCTGCGGGTCGTTATAATTTCAATTCTGTGGTGGAAATCATGCGAGCAGAACGAGGGCATGGTTTCAATCCATTGCCTTGCAATAGACTGGATAGATTGACGAGTGGGGTCATGTTCATTGGCAAGAACGCAAAGGCTGCAGAGAAGCTGAGCATGCAAATTACAGCCAGGACAGTTCGGAAAGAATACATTGCCCGCGTAAAAGGCGAATTTCCAGATGGTGAGGTCGTTTGCGACATGCCTATTCTACAGATATCGCCAAAACTTGGCCTGAACCGGGTTCGAGCAAATGGGAAAGCTGCTCGAACTGTCTTTAAAAAGCTTGCATACTACCCGCCGGGATCGAAGGAACAAAATCTATCAGAAGAAACAAATGCAGACAGGTCAAAGAAGGAAGGATACACAATTGTCAGATGTCTTCCAGTAACAGGAAGAACTCACCAACTGCGAGTCCATTTACAGTTCCTTGGCCACCCAATCGCAAATGATCCGATATATTGCAATCAACGTGTCTGGGGGACCAGGTTGGGGTTCAACGATGCAGATGCTTCGCAAGATACCGACGAGGACATTATTACTAGACTCTCACGGATGGGCAAGTCCGAGGTTGCAGATGCGGTAGCCTACCACGATGAGATGGTTGACGAGTACAACAAGAAGAAAGCAGAGAAAATGTCGGGTGAGCTCTGCGAAGTTTGTCAAACCCCACTTTACACGGATCCGGGTGAGCAGGAACTTACTTTGTGGCTGCATAGCCTTCGATATGAAGACGCTGGAGGTTCCTGGAGTTATGTCAGCCCTCTGCCAGCTTGGGCTTTGCCACCGGACGGGCGGGAGGGACCGACTCAAGTTGGAACGATGGACGAACTGGTCGCAGCGGTGAAAGACGAAAATCCTGAGATCGCATAGCTGTGACTTGCACAGCCCTAAATGCATATGTGCCAAGACAGAAGACCATCCATGTTCATCTGGATCGGAGTAAAAATGCCTGTTTCTAAGGTTCCGGAAACTCGCGAAGCAACCAATGCCTGAGATGGACTTGCTCGTAGTGGACAAAAGAAGTGGCGCTGAATTCCCGAAGTGTCCCAAACCAACTCTTTTCAGATGCTTCCCCTCCGAACTTTCAATGTCTACTCTTGTATTGTCCATGAAGTCCTGGAACATTTAAAACTCGTCTCCTTTCAATGTGAGACGGTACGATTAATGGTCAAGGGCTTGGAACTCTCTATGAATCGGGGCGCGCTCACGGATCGAGACTTTTGAATTAGGATCCAAGGACGCCACAGCGCCATTGAAATAGACCCTTACTGGCATCAAACCGTTAGACACTACGAACCCGATCCATCTCGAGAGTCCCACACAGTCGCCGACCTGCCGGATAGATTTAATTAACAAACGCTGAAACGGAAGTTCGCCAGCCTGTAAATTGATAACTATTTTCCAAAAACCAAATTTTTGTTTTTGTGGCAGAGCTAGGGGAAAGGGTGTTTTTGGCGATTGTGCAGCATATTTCCGATCATGGTTGATGGGAAACAGGGCTGGCCATCGCACGGGACTTAGACTGACATCCTTAGTCAAAGTCGACGGATAGTGTTTTGCTATAAGACGCCGTGTTGTCCGTCTCCCCGAACACCTCTCCGCAAACAATCTCCTTATATTTACAATCCTGTCAGAGATGCTGAGTCGGCGCGAGAATCAAGGCATTCCGACGCGCGGCGGCGCACCAGGATAAGGCAGAGCTCTCAACATCTCAACAACTCTTTCTTGGATTCTTTGTATCATTCTACGAATATCGGAATTCAGACCGATGCGTATCAGGCCCCCTCGCCAAGAAATTGCCCCTCCAAGAGGATCCTTTGGCGCAATAATTCAAGCGCCAGACGCACCAACTCTTTCTTAGCATATCTGACTGCAAATCCATATTTTTCAACTCAAAAGAGTCCGATGATGGAGCCATAGAGAATGGGGGAATCACCATCTTCGAAGCCCGGTGCCAAACGCAGAGCTACACGGGCGGGCGCTCGAAGTGTGGCCACTTTGACTCCAGAACAGCTTGCTAGGAAACGAGCAAACGATCGAGAAGCACAGAGGAGCATTCGTCAAAGGACTAGAGATCACATTGAAAGCTTAGAACAGCGAATTCACGACTTATCAGGAGACCGGCAAGATGAGAGAAATATTGATGAGATACAGAGGAGAAATGAGGAGCTTGAAGAAGAGTTGAAGCGTTTGAAGGATATCCTTCACACCCTTGAAGATGATATTGGCTCATCACCCTTGACGACGAACTCAATGTGTACGTGTGCATCCTACAGTTTGGAACAGTGAAGAAGGCCTTCGGAATCTTTTGTTCTTTTGTTCATTGAGTGATGAATGCGCTCATTCCCTACTTTGCTTCCACAAAAGAGTATTACTGACTTTCGGATAAGTAAGGTCCGATATGAATGCTTTGAGGGAGCCCCGTCTACATTCATATGCTCAACCTTGGTCACGCTCCTCTCTGAGCAACATAACCAGCGCGCTGTCTGGATCCATGCCTCTGACGAGTGCAGGCGATTTATGGACAACAGTTCCTGCTTACTCGACGTCGAATTCAGAATTCTCAACAGCCGGCAGCTTAACGAGTGACTCGTTCAGCTCTGATACAGGCTTTAGTGCTGCTGCGGCGGCTGGGGGACCATTGGCTCCACCGACAAGCCTTGGATTGATGCCGGCCGGCTCACGGCCTCAATTCGGACGAAGTATATCTTACCCATTCGGTAGCCTGGGTAGAACAGGTAGTTTATCATCGCACTGGTACATTTTATTGCTGACGAACGACTTGCAGATTCATCGTGGCCTTCACTTCAAGCTCCTTCATCATCTTTGAATGACAAATATTTGTCTACTGGTTCTCCTTCTGTTGGCTCCTCCGCCCGGGGATCGCCAATAATCACTCCCTCCATGATAAATGAAACCATCCCACAAATGGATCCCGTACCAGTCGTCAATCCACCAGTCCCAATATCCTACGATCTTCCCACAATGGTGAACCAGCCTTCCCTCCAAGCGTGGGAGCTTCCACTTCGTTTGGTCCCTCCAACTGGTCCAGTGGACAGTATTCTCATATGTCTCCTCCAGCGGCAAAGGGGTCTTGCCATCAATGGAAACTCAAGAGGAATTGTCATCGGACCTTTCTCTCCTAGTCTCAAAGCTCTTCTGAATCCAGAACAATCAGACTCGGTGCACGCGGTTGCCTCAGTCATCACGAGTCTCCTTCAGAGAACTGCACTCCGTGGTCTTCCAGAGAAGGTAGCTGTTCTTTTTGTCATGAATCATCTCTCCCAATGGCAGATCCTGCCGTCTGAGAAGACTTATAACAACCTTCCGGAATGGCATGTCCCGCGAGTATCCCAGCTGCTAACACCGCATCCGATATGGATAGATCAGGTGAGTGTCAGAGTCGTCCAAACATTTCCCCTTAAATTAATCTTGTCTGCTAAAACTCGATCACAGATAGTCTGGGGCAAACTCCGAGACATCGTAATCAACAACCAAGAGCGATACGCAACAGACGAATTTCAATATACCTACGCGCAGTCCCTTAATGTCAACTGGCCATACCGAGACATGGACGTGATGGTTTTCGAAGGCTCTGAAGTGAGAGTGTCCGACCTTTTCGCCTGTCATATTCTCGAGCTATCGAATTGGAGTCTGGATGAGCCGTTTCAGAGGAAATATCCGGAGCTGAGAGATTCATGTAAATTCACGGAGTTTGGGTCGGAAGTGAATGGTCTTAGTGGAAATGTGAAGGCTGGTTGAAATTGAGAATTTGGACATACTTTGGGAAGAAACACATGGGGTAGAGAAAATGGCCCTGACGTTACGTTTAACGGCTGTAATGAGAAATGGCATAGAATAATGTAGGAATCAAGAATGACACAAACTTGCAATTTGCACTGGTCTGAACTGTTGATCAGCTCAGTTGTCCTGCGAGAAACCGGATGTTCTTGCATAATATCTTTCCATAAATATTGATCTATATATCAAGTATGTTTGGAATCTCGCTCCTGATATAATGTGAGGCACACAATAGCAGGGTGCTGCACAAGTAGTCAAGGTAAGGCAAAGTGTAGAGTGACGCTTGCAAGTATAACTAATTCTAATAAGTGACTTTAATGAGAGACTAATTAATGCCTCCTTCCGGAGCTATGTGTATCTCTCTATATACCTCTTGGCGCTTCGAGTGACTCCGAAGGCTTTTTGCAAGCTCGACCTCCCAAGTACCGCAGGTTGGACGTATTATCTCGCTCTGGACAGGAAAGCATCGAGATTTGCCTTCCACAAGCAGCCTCGAATTCCTTTGATAATGACTAGCTTCACGCAGTTGGACTCTGCAGGAATCAAAGCTTTCTGGGCGAGTATTCAGATTTATGTCTTCGAGGATCGATAACGATCATGCAACCACTGAAAAGGGAGTTTCTATTACCATGTTCTATCCACAGTGTGAAGGTGGAAGCAGTATTAACAAAAACTCGTATAGGATGATTTGTTCCGACTATGCGACTCGCAAACTTTCGTATGAATCGGACAGACTGCCTGATTCGTCGAGACTGGTATCTGCCGTGGTAGCACAAGGTGGCGGGGTTAATTGTGCCGGTATCTGGTGGAAAGATCTGGCATATGGAATTTGCTGGTATGATTTGACCTTCGTCTCCCTTCCTTGTTACGACCTAGCAAATACTTGGCGCCGTCGTGGCTATGGACATCAGTTCTTAACAGAATTGAGTTTTCCAAGGAACTTCCTCAACCCATCACGCTGTGCTACTCATGGAGAGCAGGAAAACTGCTTGTTTTTTGGCATTGTCATTCCCAGTGGAGACCCACTCGCGCCACTGCCTGATGGAGAGGGCAAGCTTTATGCGGAAAGCTATCGCCGGATTGGTTACAGTGGGCTACAAACAGTACGAGATTTCGAGCCGCCTTTCTCACAAAGAGTCAGGTCACTGAGATTGCACTCTGTTGACAGAGGGGAAGAGGGGGTTGAGGTCGATCGATGGGCAACATGTGAGGATAGTAGCATGATGATGGGTACTTGCAGAACAAGCATTCCTCTTCTACTATGTGCTGCCGTGGCACCATTCCTCGAGACGTACAGTATTGGGAAATGTCTAACTTTGATTGAGCATATGGAAAATTGATGCCATTTGTTTTGACTCCCGGGAGACGATCTTCCTCATCTCTTTCCATCTTCCCTTGGGGATCTTGCGTAAACTCCAGCTAAACTCAAGGCACTGCCTTCCAAATCTCTTGCGCAACGTGTCCCATTGTTGCTGCCACCCCAGTGACGAGTACGATCGTTCGGTTCGTTGATCTGCTTGTCTATGTCTGCCACATTAAAGAAGCTGCTTCTAACTACGAATCTCTCAGGGCGAAGACAAAATGTTCAAACTACAAACTCGAGGTTACAAACCTCGCCGCAGTTATGCTGTAAGGATCCTTGTTGATCCCCTCTGTATTCCCGCCAGATCTGGGGCAAGAATGCGTAGCCGATGAGCCCGGGCACTTTCATGATCCAAACACAAACTGGACAAATGCTTAGAAGAAGAGTAAAATCAATGCAAATAAATGGTGTCAAATCTTTGATCTTATTCGATAGAAATACTTTATTCCTTCAAGGAGGCTGGAAGCAAGGATGGAGTAGGCGGGGCACTAAGGAGGATGAGCATTGCCCCATCTTTTGGAGCTTTTGGAGTCATTGCTCAGGCTTGGACAGAGCGCGCTGTACATATCGTTAAGAATAGTAGAGGCTTAAACAAGAAACAAGTACAAGTTGAAGTTCGAGGTTTTGATCGTGTAGCAATCGGCGGGGTGCCTCCCTCTGAGTGGGAGTCAAGACACAAAGCAGGGGGAGGCGGAGGCTCTTCAATAGCAAAGCTACTGATAATTGACTAGTTATTAGACAATGGGCAGATCTATCGTTGATTGGCCTTTTGTTTCATGAAATTTTATGGAATATTTTGGATGAAAAAGAATATGAAGTTGAACGCCAGAGACTTTAATTAGGCTTAGCGCAACTGAGATTGGGGCGAATCAGAGGTTGATCTTGATGACCGAGCTCCTGTATCGCGAATCTTTTCCTGGGCAGAGCTGTTTGTTGAACTGCTTTATCAACGAGTCTGCGACACCCATCAAGCAGCTCCTTCAGCTTCTTTCTTTCCATTGCCGTTCATTCTCTTAATAATACCTTTTCTTCCTGATGTCTTCTCCGAGTCCAATTCCTGCCGGCAAAGGCATCCCCGATTTCGCGTCGTCAGCACCTCCTTCATCTGTTTGGGATCGAATATCAACATGGGCGTCGGAGAACAAAGCTGTTGTGTACACCATTGCTGGAGTTGCAATCGTTGTCACGGGAGCTGGTGTTGCATATTACTTGACTGATACAGTATGATCAACTCGTGCGCTTCGATGATGAGACCATTCAGCTGACGGAGCAAATCTAGAAAACGACGACAGTAGGACGAGACACACCGAAAAAGTCGTCTAAGAAGGAGAAGCGGAGGAAAAAGGAAGAAGAGAAGAAGCCCGCAGATGTCGAGAAAGGTGCAACAGAGACTAAACCCAAAGCGCCGACGGTCGAGTCCGCCGACGAGCTGCCCGAGGTGGACGAGACAACAGTTGGTAGCCTCTCCGAACAAGAAAGGAAGGAATATGCTGCGAAGCTGAAGGCTGCGGGAAACACGGCGTATGGCAGCAAAGACTACAACAAAGCTATCAACTTATACGGCAAGGCTATCCTCTGCAAGCCTGATCCAATTTTCTACTCGAATCGCGCCGCATGCTACAATGCTCTTGGTCAATGGGAAAAGGTCATTGAAGATACGACTGCTGCTATCAATCTCGATAATGAATACGTCAAGGCCTTGAACCGAAGGGCAAACGCATATGAGCATCTCGAGAAGTTCAGCGAAGCCCTGCTTGACTTCACTGCTAGCTGTATTATCGATGGATTCCGGAACGAAAGCAGCGCGCAAGCTGTAGAAAGATTGCTCAAGAAGGTGGCCGAGGCAAAAGGGAAGGAAATTTTGGCCAGCAAGGATAAGCGTTTGCCCAGCCCAACCTTCGTTACAAACTATCTACAGAGTTTCCGAGCGCGACCTCCTCCTACCGGATTGGAGCTCGGTGCTGAGATTCCAGAAGATACCGGAAAGGGGCAACTGCAATTAGGTCTGCGCGCGATGGATAAGAAGACGGGGGACGGATATGAGGAGGCCGCAGCAGCATTTGACAAGGCCCTGGAGCTAGGCGACCTTGGAGAGTATGAAGCGTTCGCCTACAACATGCGAGGAACATTCAGATACCTCAGGGGTGAAAATCTGGACGCATTGAGCGATCTGACAAAAAGCGTTGATCTACAACCAGCATTGACCCAGAGCTTCATCAAGCGAGCAAGCATGCATTTGGAACTTGGTTTGTGAAACCGTTGACCCGAGATTGATACCGGCTAACATGAACACAGGAAACAAGGACGCTGCTGCGGATGACTTCGAGAAGGCTATGGAACAGAACAGTGACGATCCTGATATTTACTACCATCGTGCTCAGTTGCACTTCATCCTCGGAGAATTTGCCGAGGCAGCCAAAGACTACCAAAAGTCCATTGACCTTGATGGGAAGTTCATCTTCTCGCATATCCAACTTGGTGTCACGCAGTACAAAATGGGATCCATTGCATCCTCAATGGCCACATTCCGAAGATGTATCAAGAACTTCGACAAGGTGCCGGATGTGTATAATTACTATGGAGAACTGCTCCTAGATCAGCAAAAGTACCAAGAAGCTATCGAGAAGTTTGACACGGCCGTGGAAATGGAGAAACAATCGAAACCTTTGGGCATGAACGTTCTGCCCTTGATTAACAAAGCATTAGCCTTATTCCAGTGGAAGCAGGATTTCGCGGAGGCAGAGAAACTGTGCCAAAAAGCTCTCATCAGTGAGTTCCCATACTAGGCAGTTGATTTAATAACTAAGTATTGGCAGTCGACCCTGAATGTGACATTGCCGTTGCAACGATGGCGCAGCTCCTGCTCCAACAAGGCAAGGTCACAGAAGCCCTGACGTATTTCGAGCGTGCCGCTGAACTCTCTCGAACCGAAGGGGAAATCGTTAACGCCTTGTCATACGCCGAGGCCACTAGGACACAACTCGAGGTCCAAGAAAAGTATCCGCAGCTCGCAAACAGATTGCAAGGGATGAGCGGTGGGTTTGGTGGTGGTGCCCCATCCACAATGCGCTAAGTAAAAAGGTGTTGGGACGGGTCGGGGCATGCAAGTTGCCTGCTCGTGTGTTAGAAGTGAGATGGATGTCGATATGCAGAGGTGTGGGGGCATAGTCAGGGGATGGGCTACGCCGTTTACGTGTAACTAATACTCTTCACTCACCGAGGAGAGTGTGTACAGTACAAATGAAGGACGCACTTTTCCATCATATTCTGTTTCGTGTTGTCGAGGCAGAATTCAAGATCACGAGCAAACAGGGGTTGGCTCTATGGTCAACTTGAGGGCCGTAAGGAGTATTGAATTAGCTCCTTCCGTGATTCCAATTCCAACATTGTTGTCAGAACAACCATAATCCTTCCATGATTCCAACATTCTGGGGGCAAATATTCGCCAAGGCATGATCGCCGTGACAAAACATGCTTATCTCTTATCCCCACTGCTTCGCCTCAGTCCAGCCGAAGACCCCAATCCACCAACATCCCAACGCCGTGGATGAGCAGCTCCTTCATCCTCCTCAGGCTCACAGGTCTCATTTCCTACAACCTTATGGCAATTAACCTACCAACACCTCGCGCTTCGCGCTTCAAACTCCCTGTTCGTGGTGGCAGTGAAGATGCCAACGGTCTCATTGGCTGCAAAATAGCAGGCGCTCACCCAATTGCGGGCAGCATCACCATCAACACGTCACCTCAGAAGCGCTTGCCGCCAGCACTCACACACTAAGCAGACGCGTGGACGACATGTCACCGTGTGGCTGACTCTTATTACTGATCTGTTAGAGTTCTTCATTCCCAAATTAAACAATTTGCTAGAATCTTGCAAGTTGCGGTGAAAATGATACGTAAACTAACATGTGCACACCGGAAGCTACTCGGCTCGCGGCAGCAGCCTAAGATCCAAATATAGCAATTTTGGTACATTTGTCTTTCCCAGAATAGAACAATTTGTCTTCATCAATGTGGGGAAATTGTGCCCTGTTGGGTCACTGGGTGCCACTTCGGCCGCGAGATGTTACACGCGGCTGAGGGGATTAATCATTCCACTTCCGAAAGGCAAAGTGACACCGAATTAACCGGGTTTAACGAGCAGGGTGACAGGGTCTGGGGGTTCGAGAAACATCGCTTGTGATGCTCGGGAGATGTAGGTGTTGCTGGTGACACAGACGAAAAGTTGGGACGACTTTCCAAGGCGGGGGGGATGGTGAGACGTGGTGATCTCTGTCGTCCGGGCTTTTTTTTTGTTTCTTCGCCCCTTGGCGGTGCGTTCCACCTAGGGATGGACGAATTTATCAAATATAAGCAAATAATATTGTTCTAGCCAATATTACATTGTGTAAAATATACTAGATTTATGCTAAGTTAATGCAAAAAGTAGTCCTGTTTTTCATAAATTTCACGAGGTATTTTAAGAGGAGATCTCTCAAGGAGAATTCTTGATTTTTTAAGCGATTTCATTAGTTTAAAGCTATTTCATCCCTCTTAGAAAACACACATTTAAGAAATAGCATTGGTCTAAACCTAATATATTTACTTATAATATTGGCCTTCCCAAATCCTTGCTTATGCCACCCCTAGTTCCACCCAGCTCGAGCACGGAGACTGTCGTGCGAATAAGTCCAGCCTTGGGCTCTTTTCTCCGACCAGGTACAGGGCTACAGACGAAAGAAGGACAAGGCGTCAGGGGAAAGATGTATTGAGCTGCGAGGCAATCGGGAGGAGGTCAGTTCCGGACGCCTCTGTCAGGGGGTGGGGGACGTACGGTTCCGGGTTGCATTACTGAATGCGGCGACGAGAACGGATGAACCGTTGAGCAGTACAGCTGTCAAATTGTCAAAGCAAAGTCGTAGCTTCTCATCATCTGATTACGGGTTATCCATTCGGAGTTCTGAGCTCGGGTTTGGCATCTAAATCATCAGTTGTAAGGACCATCTGAAGTCCAAGCCAAGTAAAGTTACCTCAACAATTTAAACATTGGGGTTGAAACGTGGGGATTGTCAAGTCATCTGATGTTTCGAACACTCGGTAATCGTAAGTAGGAAATGAGAGGATAAGGGGGAATCTGTAAGGCGCAGCGATCGTTCACATCATTCTCGTCCGATGATCAGAAACCACCGTGCCAATGTTTTGAGCATCAAACACTTGATGTTGGAGAGGCACCCAAACGAGATCTGACCCGGCTGCACTTCCACTTCGTAATATTTGCTGCCGAGTCCACACGCTTGGAGACATGGATCTGAACGAGGTTGGGCCCCAAAGCAACACCTTCAACATTTCCCGGGTCGTGCGTTCTTCCCAAAGCGACCAACTTTGGCCCCCTTCGAGGAGTATTTTTCATTGATGAATTGCCGCCGGTTAATTGAGCTTGCCCGCTTGGCGTTGTGTCCTCGGGTACGGCGCAGGCGTTTGACAGCGGATTGATGTTGGAGCAGGGGCCTTTTGGCAGCAGCAGCAGCAGCAGAGGAGAAGAACAGAGTGTAGAGCCTTGAGCTTGGCCCCTCCCACGAAACCGATTCGTAACTCAAGCTTCTGTCAGAATTTAGATGTTGGTTGGTTGGTTGGCTGGTTGGTGCGCAGCCGGAGTGAAGCGTGGAGCCAGTACTGAAGACTGGAGAGTACCGGCCTGGGCTGAAAAGAGCTTGTCCTTCGTGAGCTGCAACTGGCAAAACAAACGGGGGCAATAGAGTGGGTGGAGCAGAGGAAGTGCAGCAACACTAGGGACGCGACCATGCTTATGATGCTGCACTCCGACTCTATCTGCTTCCGTGCGTGGCCGGGCCTGTTGGAATGTCAATTCTGTCTCTTCTCAGCATCGCCAGGGCTCACTCTGCTCTGCTCGGCCCTGCTCTGGAATCGGGATCTCGAGCTCCTGTCAGCCTGCTCCACCCCACTGCTCACCCTGCTGGTGGCCCAGCCTCCCCACGGCGCCCAGCTCCTAGCCAGAAACACTGCACTACGACGCCAGGTAAACGGCACGGCAGCGTCTGATCCCAGACTTTAGCGCGATTGAAGCTCCTGCGGGCGTCTGCAGGTTCGCGGCAACAGGGAGCGCTTTTAGAATACAAGGTCTATCGGACGGCTGGGCACAAGGGTCTGCTGGACCGGGTCACCCATTTTGGCCTCCCCAATCTCCATGACCTCGTCGTCTCCAAAGTATAATACTTCACCTCTCCTTCTCCCATCATGGCCTCTCTCTTTGTCTCGATCATGAGCACTCCATTTCATCTAATCTTCTTTCCATATCTCTCAAGAGGATCCTGATCAACTGGCTTGCTCAGTCCCATAATACTTATTCACTTTCACCTTACTTCGGTCTCCTTCCTCATTCACCTCGAGAAAGCTCTTGAACCATCTAATACCTCGACTTTTCGATCTGTTCAGTCGAAATTCTCAGTCACACACACAACCCATAAACCTCGTCCCTCAAATCTTGTCCTCAGCCACACCTAAGACAGAGATGCCCTCACTACGCGCCCTGGGCCTCGGCCTCGTCCTCCTCCTCCAAGTCGCTACTGGAAAACCTCTCTCAAACCGAGCAGTGGCAGCCGCAGATTGCAAACCTACAGGCGTTACCAAGCCGACAGCACCTGATCCCACTCTCCCTCTCACCGGAGGTATGTTCCCCTCCGAATTTCCCTCAATATCCAAGCCCTCTAACCTGCTGATCTCAGGTGCCACAGAACTTCCCTCCACGAACCTCACCCTTCAATTTGTTGCAATCGGCCGCGGTATCCAAAACTACACCTGCTCTGGCGCCGGTGCGGTCCCGGTCCAACAAGGCGCAATTGCCACTCTCTACGACGCGACAACCCTGGCCAGGACAAACACAGCTCTGCTACACACCATTCCCGCCATCGTCGTTTACAAGCCGAAGCCCTCCGGATATATGGCAGTGCTGGGCCAGCACTTCAATATCCTCGGCAACCATTACTTCGATTCCGCCAGCACGCCAACCTTCAACTTAACTACAGTGACACCATTGCAGACAGCTTTCGTGGCAAAGACGCTCGGTGTAAGTGCTCCTGCGGGATCTAGTGTCGGACCCGATGGGACTGGCGCGGTGGCCTGGTTGGATTTGAACCACAAGACTGGCTATCCCTCCATGGGCCCTAGCCAGGTGTACCGTGTTGTGACGGCGGGGGGAATGAACTATCCAAACTGCACAAGTAATAGTCTGCAGACTATTCAGTACGCAGCAGAATACTGGTTCTATAGCTGAGTGGGTTGTGTTTTTCGTTGCTGAGGTGAAGGGGTAGAAGGGGTGGATGATAATATCATGATGCATGGTCACAACAAAAGGTTTCATAGGGGAGAGCTGCATTGGAGACTGGCTTTTTTGTACATAATCTTTTCCTTCTACAGATGGCAGCCAGAATTGCATTGCAATACCAAATCAAAAATAAACATTTCAAAGACTCTCAATCCCCTCTGCGCCTGTACCGAACCTCAACTAGGAACTCACTCATTCATAAACCTCGCCGTAAATACTCCAAAGCCAGAATACCACTCTGAACTAAGCGCCGTCACTCATTAACTCATTTAATGCCCTCTCTGTATCGTCAATTTTCAAAGCTAGAAACCCAATTTTCCTAAGCGCCTCAAATCCGCCTTCACCTTGGCAACCCAAACTTCATTTTAGTGACTCACTACTAACCCTCTTCCCTCTCTCTCAAACCAGGTCAATATTCACTTCTACATTTTAACCCCACCCTACTGCATATTCAATTCAAGGATTTCTTACAGCCCCGTCCCTACTCGTCCGTCCCTGCCACCACAGGCGACAGCATCATCCCCTTCTCCCTGTTCCCTCGCGAGACGCTCGTTATCCTCTGGTGCACCTACACCTTCGAAATCTCTAGTTCTGGTAGGTTGTCCTGAATTCGTTGAGCATCAGCGAGATTGGACACTTACCGTACGTCCAATGTCCCCTCCTTCCTCAATCGGAATCTCGCGGTTATCGTCTGCACCGGAGGCAGTTGAGCCGTGATGCGCCGGGGAAGCGGTTGGCTGCTGCTCTGTTATGTCATAAGTTAGCTGCTATAGAAAACAATGAGAGAGGAGAAGTACTCGTTGACAACGGATTCGTTTGCCGTTGTAAAGATTCGTGTTAGTTATAAGGGGAAAGATGAGTGGTGAAGGGTGGGATGGAGGGGGGAGGGGGGGGGTCTCGTTGGTAGTCTGAGGACATGATGACTTGTATTTTGATATTGAGAGAAATTTTTTAGGCTCGAGATTGAAGCAGAGAAAGAACGAGATAAACAAAAGAAGGAAAAGGAGGAGGCTAGAAGGATAACACTTTTCTTATGAGGTTGAGATAATGTGTTACATCATATCGTGTTGATGTAATACAGAGACTAGTAGAGACTGGCTGTCTAGGAAGTGGACCCTTGAAATGGCATGCGATCATTCAAAATAAACAAACCAGTAAACGTAAATGGCAAATATGCTTGAGAAGTCGTCAAATTCATTATGAGATTTTTCTCCGTCGTTTCGTCAATTCTTTCTTTCGCGCTCTCAATTTCTCATGTCTCAAGTTCCCGCCACCACAAAAGATTCGCAATCAATGTATCCGGGAAAATCTCCTTTTAAGGGGAAGCACTCGCAATCTATCCGTGCATGGCATCCAATCCTCGCTCCAAATCCTGCTCCAGACCCTGAGAGCTCTGTCCATATGCCTCCTGCGGTCTGGGGTCCTCGGCACCCCAGCTACCACCAGCTTGTGGAATAGGAACAGCGGGACCTTGGTTTTGACCTTGCTGACCAGGTTGGATTCTCACATGTTGTCTGAATCGGGAAACTTCATCCAAAATCATCTTGCGCATCTCACCCACATCTTCCACAACCTCGAAGTCGAAGTTGAAGGTGGTGGGGCAGCCAGGCTCATCGGAGGCGTCGTGCCAGATTTGGAGGTATGGGTGCTCGAGAGCTTCTTCGACAGAGATTCTGGATGAAGGATCGAAGGCAAGCATGTGGTTTAGAAGGTCGAGAGCATCGGGGTTGGCATTGGGGAAGAGGCTGGGGAAAGGTCGCTTGGCCATGAATGGCAGGTTGCGGACGTACTCCTGTGCTCTGGGTGATCCAATGCGGGAGAGCGTCTCTTCATTGGGAGTACCGAGGATGTGGAGGATCTGGTTAAGTTGATCAACGTAATCTCTGCCCTTGAAGAATGGTCGTCCGCCAAGTAATTCCGCAAGAATGCAACCAACCGACCACACATCAACTAATTTTGTGAGCAAATGTTCAAGGCTACGTTTTCAGCGCCACCTACTAGCTTTCGTGTAGCTCTGGAAGCTCAACATAATCTCCGGAGCACGGTACCATCTCGTAGCCACGTATTCAGTCATGTATCCAGCATTCTCCTCGGGATCAACAGAGAAACCTCTAGCAAGTCCAAAATCGCAAATCTTCAACTCGCAATCAGCGTTGACCAACAAATTACCCGGCTTCAAATCACGATGCAGGACGTTCGCAGAGTGGATATATTTCAGTCCGCAGAGAATCTGGTAGATGAAAGATTGGAAGTGGGCGTCGGTGAGGGGTTGGCCAGAACGGATAATCGCAGCGAGATCGCATTCCATGAGTTCTGCAGAAATTAGCCATTGTACCAATATAGCAGGGAAATGTATACCCTCGTAGAGATAAGTCTCATTGAAGTTGTCCGGGCGAGGGATGTCCATATCATAAAGACATGTAATCTGCGTAAATCAGCCATTTGTCCTGGGCTATAAACAGCGTTGACGTACATTACGGTGTCCTCGGAAGTGTTGTAGAAGCTTAATCTCTCTCAAGGCACGCTTGGCCAAAATCTTCTTGCTGAAGACATTGGTGACCTTCTTGATCGCAACGCCCTCATTGGTCTGGCCATTGGTCGCGGCACTGTGGAAAACAGTCAGCGTGTGCCTTGAGCAGAAGGCGTATGTGATGATATACCAGACAATACCGTAGGCACCTTGACCAAGCTCCTTCGTCACCGTGTATCTCTCGTCAACAATAAAGTCTTGGTTGAAGACCTTGAAGACCTTTCTGCCCACGAGGTCTGCCATCTTGTCTGGATATCGAGGAGGTCGTAGATCGCGATTCTTTCTCGATCAATATTCGACTGCGGTGGCAGCAAGCAGGTAAGCAAAAGGCGAGTGTCTGCAAAACTGTGCGCGTATGACGGTTGATTACTGTATCGTAGCCGCGCGCAAGTGAATGAGCTCGAGGCACCGGGTATCAGGAACTGCAGAAAGAAGTCGACAACGCACAAAAATGCTGATGGCCGAAGGCTTTTATGAGCGAACTTGTGCGGGAGGGGCTGAGAAGTACGAAGCTGTCTGATGATGGTAGGCTGGCCTCTAGGAGTGGCCGAGAGGTAAGCCTTTAAATACGCTTCTATCAGCTCGTCGGAGGGGACGACGGCTTTGGTGGGGTTAGTGAAGTTAGCGAGCCCAATTGAGGCAAGCGCACCAGCAGGGGGAGGGTTCCAAATATTTACAAGGCTGAGGTGCATAGAAGTTGCCCACCAAAAACGCGAGTCTTCCTCCAAGCCACAAGGGGGTCAGTTTGATCTTCACAGGACCGCTCTTCTTGGCCCATTCGTTGTCCCACAGTCTCTGGGACATTCATGCGAGATTGGGGCTGATTTGATTGGAGAGTAGCATTGTGGCGAAGTCGTCCGCTGCTTCTATTCCCGTCCTCGGCACGGCGCGTAAATGTTCAAACCAGGTTTGGCACAATCAAAGCTTGCGATGGTTTAATAGTTCAAGCCAGACTGGGACTAGTCGTGGTCCGAAGTTCGAATTAATCTGGGAACAATGATCCAGCCTGTTTTGGGTTATAGTTCAAGTCACTTCAGGAACATGGGCATTGGTCTAATACCCCACATTGATAGCTCGCTGTGGTTCAATCTCCATATCAAGCGTGGGACATTGATCAATCTGCCTTGGCCTAGTGTTGAAATCACGTTGAGAAGAATAGAGTGCGCAAATTACTTCAGTGTTCGACCAAGCTGCGAACAATGAAGATTCCCACAAGATAATGTTCAAGTCAAGCTGGGAACATTGATAGCTTGCAGCGGGTTCAACCAGATCAAGATGGAAACTATCAAGCATGTAAGGGCTCAATCGTACAAATCAAGTGGGGAACATTGATAGCTTGGAGTGATTAAGTGTTCAAATCAGGTTGGGAACAATTGAGCTTTGTGTATTTTAATGTTCAAGTCAGGTTAGCGACATTCAAGCTTGTAATTGCTCAATTGTTCAAGTCAGTGCGGGGACAGTGGGTTTGTAACATGCTTCGATGTTTACACCCAGCTTAAAATAATGGAGCTTGCCGAAACTCAATGTTCAAGTCACATTAGGAACATTGAAGTCTGCAATTGTTTGATTGTTCAAGTCAGGCTAAGAACAATGATCAACGGTGAATTCAATGCTGTCTATAGCAAATTCGTCGAGATCAAGCTGGTACATTTAATATTCCTTGCACTCACTGTACGGCAACCTCCATGGACAGTCAAGCTTCAACAGCCCCCGATTGTTCCCACACCATGCTTTACAAATCCATTCGGCCCCTCAGGCACTGAACCTGCCCGCCAGTTTCGATCCCTCCGCCATCGAATCTGCAACTCCACCTCCTCCTTGGCAGCCAATACGTATCCCCTCCCGTCCAACCCAGCAGCCCTTATCATCTCTCCAACAACCTCCGAGTCCATATCCCTAGCCTTCCACCATGTCTGGTCACCCCTGAACTCCGCTCCCTTGAAGTCATTCTCGAGGTACTGCACCAACCAATCCTTCATCCACTTCTCGCTATTGTCGTCACAAGGAGGTTGCATTTTTGTCGAAATAGAATTCGCTAATATCGTATGAGCCGATATAGTATTCGCTAACATAGGGTTGGACAACGTAGCGTTGGACGATTCAGTGTTGGACGATTTGGTATTGGACGACGCAGTGCTGAATGACGAGAACAATGAGTCAAAGTTGGATGGTTTAACGTTGGGCAATGTGGTATTCGAAGCTGTGTTCATCGCTAATGCGATACTGTCATAAGTAAGACTTGCAAGGCGAGTCGAGATTGTGAGCAAAAAAAGTTCAGCAATGTCGGAATAAGGGACAACAGGTTGGAGACGCAGCCGTAAGGTACACGTTAAGAGAAGTATGTCTCTCTTCCAATCATCCTTGTGGCAGCTATGAACTTTGTTTCTTCTTGCCATGCTGTGCTGAGAGGGGTTGGCAGAAGGTGTTGATTTTTTTGTGTGTCGATGAGAGAGAAGTTTTGAAGAGCAAGCGTTCATTTATATATTGTGATGTCGACGTCTTGCGGACTGTGAATCACGATACTCTCTTTCCCAAAATCGAAGGAGCGACTTCTCTAGCATGTTTCCTTGACCTACTTGTACAAGAACCGAAGGTGCAACTCCTCTAGCAGGTTTCCTTGACTTGCTTGTATAAGAACCGAAGGAATGACTAGTACTCTTAACAGGAATCTTTGCCTCTTATACAAGAATCGAAGGAGCGATGTGCTGCTAAGCAAGTGTTCATTTATACATTGCGTTGTCGATATCTTGGAAACTGTGAATCATGATTTCTCTTACTCAAAACCGAAGGGGCGGCTATACTCTAGCAGGATCCTTGACTCTCTTGTATAGAAATCCAAGGAACGACATGTTGCTGAGTGCTCATTTATATATGAGGTCTCGGTATCTTAGAGACTGTGAATCATGATATTCTCTTCACCTAGAATCGAAGGAGCGACTAGTGCTTTAGTAAATTTTATTAACTCTCTTTGACCAAAGCATTGAACGAGTGACTGAACTTAGCTTTGACCTAAGTCGAAACCATGAATGTACTATAACATAGCCGTATAATTCTCTGTAATACGAATTTATAGACTTCTAGTAATTAAAGGTTTTTATGTAATATGGTCTCAGTATGTCAGAAGCTGTGAATCGCGATGTGAATCTTTGACTAAGAGGAAACGAGGTCTCAAAGCTTAATCTGTGTGAATCTCTTAGTTATAAATCGAAGGAACGAACTACATTAGCATAGCTGCCTGCATCTCTTAGGCATAGATTGAAAGAGCTATCATGGCTTAGCACGTCTGCTTGTTTGTCTTTCATATGAATAAATGGCATACTATCCCCGGTCAAGTGTTCATTTATTACTGTGCTTGCAACATCTTGGATGCTACGAATTACGATGAGTATATTTGACCAAAATCAAGAGAGCGACTGTATGTCGCAGCATATCTACCTCACTCTCAGAGAAAAAAATTGAAGGAGCAACTGTGGCGATAGCTATTCATTGCCGGGACCTTAAGAAACTTAGAGGACTGCTCAGATCAATGTTCTGGGTATTCACGGGTATTAGTAGGAATTCCACACCATTTCCCTATGATTCCATGAATACTAAAGAATAAGTTTTTTGACATTTTTCCGCAGAGTAAATCAGACGACCTGGATTATATCCACATATTCCATGAGTTGGTGTACTTCAATGCTCTGTTGTCTTTGAATGTTTTTAGAAGAAGTTGCACATCCAAGGGTTTCTACTTCTTAATGTCCCCAGGAGATGTAATATATTTAAAATCCCTGATCTCTAAGTGTTCCTGGACTTCTAATACATCAGCACTCAATAATCAAAGCCTGCCTGGGGTAGGACTAGGAGATTGGGACAATGCTGATTGAGAAATAGTTTCTGCAAAACGCTATGAGCTTCTTATCTATTGTGAGGCCGGTAGGCTGTGCGGGCATTGAAAGAGTGCTTGACTGACAACTTATAAAGAAGAATTTAAGGGTGGTAGCATTTAAACTACCAGAGCTTGAGGATTTCCTACATGCATTGACGACTAACCTTAAGTGACGCCTGCAGATTTGACATCTAAGTGAGATAATTGCAGACATTTAAGGACACCACGGTGCACTGGAGCTGAATATCTATCCTCTGCCCCTTAATCAATTCAAAATAATCATAAAATAAAGTCTCGTGCCCAGTATCCAAAAGTTGCCTTTACCCCAGATTTCGTCCCAAAACGGTAAAGCGTCGATCTGTGGAATATCCAGCCGAGCAAATAATCCTCATCCATCTTGCATCATCTCACCACCTCCTCACAACAACCACACGACCACCTCCGTTCGTGCTGTCCACCGACCAAAACAAGCAAAATCAAATGTCTCTCCACCAGCATCCACAATGGTGAAATTCTTCGACTCCTCCTTCACTTATGACTACTCCTTCCCAGCCGTGACCCTTGCCTACTTCCTGCGATACCCGAACCCCTACAGCACACACGTCCTCTCGACCGACGTAATCGAGCGCTCCATCGACAGTAACGGCCGCCTGAAAACCCTACGCATCCATCGCAAGTCCTCTCGTCTGCCGCCTGCGGTGCTGAAGCTGCTTCCGAAGAGCGTGCTAGGTAATGTCAGTGGCGGGCGCTCGGAAAGCTATATTTTGGAGACGAGCACGATTGATGTGAAGGAAGGATGGATGCGTACTGAGAGTAAGAATCTTGATTGGACGGGCATATTGAGTGTGGTTGAGAAGCAGGAGTATCAGAGGAGGGTGCCAGATGATGAGGGTGATGATTTTAGTGTCGCGGCTGGGACCACGGGGGTCGTTACTACGGTGATGTTCAGGAGTCGGCTGGGAGATAGATTAAGGGCGAGAGCAAATAGGAAGGATGGGGTGAAGGAGGAGGCTGAGGAGAAGAAGGGCTTCTTGGCGAGCTGGAGCACGAGCGGGATTCAGCGGAGCATCGAGGCGATTGCCAGCCGACGGACGGAGAACCAGTTGGGGAAGAGCAAAGAGGGCATGAAGGTTGTGTTGGAGAGATTGAGGAGCGGTGGTTTAGTAGGCGTATTGGAGGGAATGAGAAGAGATAGGGAGATGGCATTTGGTGGTGAGAATGTGTGGACTCGGGGGTGAGGTGGAAGCACATTTGACGAGGTCTGTAACAAGGTATACGGATCTTTCGGAAGATAATTTTTTCAGGCCACGGGCCTTTGTACAGGTACACACATTTGGGAGCGAGGAGTCTGGGTTGGTCGTCCGGGCGTTTTGTTCCATTAGTCCGCTCTCCAACAAAGTATAAAAAGTAATTAAAATGCTTGGAAATTTTATATTATACGTGAGGTCAATGTCTAGTGTATACAATCGTTCTAATAGAGTTGAAGTTTCTTGGTGGGAGGAGCAGTCCCGTTCCCAAGTGACGGGTCGTTAGGTTGAGGATAGCTATCAGTCGTGAAAGGGAATGTGCTAGAGAGAGAGTCGATTCTCCCCAATAGGAACTCAAGATGTCTGTATGAAGCAGATGGTGCATATTGTGGGATCACTGAGAGCAATGTGAGCAAACGAGAAAGGCAAATTTGAGAGGCAAACTTACTATGGCCTGAAAGGTCCACGCTGACCCAGGTCAGGCCTCGCTCAGTGTGAGTGGTACCAAGGACGCCAGACGCAGCAAATGTTGCTGGGCTGTGATCGTGGTGATAGGGAACGTAGAATGGATCAGAGGGTTTCACTTCGAAACCCTGAGCTCCATTCCATGTCATATTTTGGATCATCAGAAGTGTGCCGTTCGAGATCAACACCATATCAAGCGCCTTTCCAAGTGTCAGTATGATTCCAAGTAGCAATTAACAGCTTTGTAACTGACTCCATGACCAATTATAGTCCTCTTGCTTCTCTCGATGACTCTTAGCAGAACGCTCACACCCGACGGAGGACTGTTGTCGGTACCGTTGACAAACACATTGATGCTTGCACATTTGTTCCAGTTCCCAATCGGAGCGTTGATAGCTTTTTGAACGTCCGTTCTATTGAAGTATATACTAGTGCCTTCAGGAAGGTAGCCAAAGGACCCGGGAAAGCCGAGGACATCCCAAAGTACAGGGCAAGTCGTAGCCACCTACCCAACGAATTAGCACTGCAAAGTCGAGCATAAAGAGAAGCGTAGAGCTTCGAGCCTGATAGGTGTCCCAACATGGGTTGATATAAAATACTTCATTATATATGGCATCAAACACATGGCAATTGCCGAAAGTGTTTCCGTCCTCATCTGTACCAGGTAGTTGGGTTGGGAAAGGTCCGGGAGGTGGGAACGTAAGATATGTGCTCAAATAGTCGGTATAGGCGAAGGAATCGGACATGCTATGTAGTTGGGCGCTGAAAGAGTCGTTGAACGGCATAAGCCCTTTCCAGTAATCGACAAATTGGACGGCCGGAATCTGATCCTGGACTGCCTTATAGGATGCAGAGGGGTCGTAGATCATGGTAGCTTCGAGGTTGTGGTACTGAGTCTTGTCAGATGAGTTCTCTTCCACTACAATTCAGTAGATTTACCATAGTGTTGTTCTTGTTTAGCATAGCATCTGCGATATACGGAACATAATATCCAGCATAAGATTCGCCGGTAACGAAGACTTTATGACCCTGCAGACTGAAAGTGTCTACAAAATTTTCCCAGAATCCCAAGAACTGATCTGCAACATCCGTCTCACTTGTAGCTGTTGGAATGCCTTGAGAGAATCCCGTACCAACGGGCTGTTCGACCCAGACAACATTTGTCAAATTGACCCAAGTCCATGGGTTCGGGACGGGCTTGTATGTTCCGTATTGCCAGAGGAATGGGCCGTTTTCTTGGAGAAGGCCTTCGAGAGATGAACATCCTGGCTGCTTGAAGTCAGTTCCTTCTTGGAAGGTGGGTCTGTCTTGCAAGGAAATAGAAACTTACGCCTCCATTGAGCCAGATCAGGATCTCGTCAGACGCTGCAGGGTTCTCAGAGGGAAAGAACCAAAAATAAAGCTGGCTGTCATTGCCAGTCTTTGAGATAGGCATCAGACCAGCGTAAGACTCGCCGATGTCGAACTCGACCTCAGGGATAGCAGTGCCATTGACGGAGTATTCTATGAACCTGTATGAGCTGGATGTCCGGGGATGGAATGGGACAACTGACTTGCTGCTGAATTCAACAAGTACTGCGAAGTGGAACGCCGAGAATGCTGCATCACCGGAGCTCTTCGTCCAATCTCGGGGTGCTTGTCTGCTTTTCTAACATGCTTTAAGCTTCTGCCAGAATAAAGAGTGGCAGATACTACACCAGCTCCAATTGCTAGAGCGGAAACGACTCTAGAGAAATGCATCTTGAGAAGATTTGGCTCACGAGCTCTGACAGAATTGAACATGAATCACAGAGAAATTCTCGAACGACCCAAGTAGAGAAGCAGCTGGGAAACTCAAGAGCTCTGTTCATGTCCGTCCCTTCCTTGACCAAAGGAAGAAAAACAAATGGCGAAGCGCTTATGATGAAGAAGGCAACCACAATCCTGGTACAAAGGCATCAATCTCAACCTTCTTGACCAATCTTCGGCTCCGCCGGTGCGGACTCTTTCCGTCCCATACGGTCCAACATGGAGATATTGGGATTGTAGGCACTGGCCCGTGCATATCGTCGGATATCTGCATATGTTCCCGGTCTCTCGAGATCTCAACTCAATGGGCAGCGATGATCGTCAGATATGGTGATAGGACTTCAGTGGTTGTGAGCATTTTGGCTTTGACAGGTGCTTCCATTGGTGCTTCTAGCGCTTCGGCGGCGTCTTGGTCGTTAAGTAGGCGTCTGAGCCGTTGCTCGACCTACCATTTGGAGTGTGGCGTGCGAGCTACCATGGATATCTTCTTTCTCGGATCAAAAGGCACGATTTTTAAGCAAGCTGTACGCTGTTTGTCGCATCTCTGGGCGTAACGTTTCGTATCATGAATATTCCGTGGATGAAATAACTTTGGCAAAGGAGGTTTCCGGTGGTGAAATCTTCAGTGGGACCAGCCTCTTGAGTGGGATGGGATGAACCTTGACACCGCGGATGTATGGTTAGGCGGAGTAGCTTCCATGGGGGGCTCTGGTGAGCTAGGTCTCTTCTGAGAAGCCTCGAATAATTCAATCCTCGATGTGCTGGTCAAGGTTGCATTTGCTCTGATTTTTGAAGATAGGAGAGAGACAGTGATGGTTGTCGTTGAGGCAGATCTGTGCCTCCTGCCAAGAGCGCCACACCTGAAGGATCAACGATCTCTTAACAGCTTTGCATAATACGATAATTCAAGATGCGGATATTGATGTCCCAGAAATCCAGAGTGCATTCAATTGTCAGATGTATTTCCATGAAGGCGTGGATTTTTAAGTTCTCGGGTTTGGGAAGAGTATCGGAAGACAAGGAGGTCACGATTCTGACATTCCACAAAAGATCAAAAGAAGTTGGTTTCGTCCGGATGAAAAGTATCATTCCGAATCTATGCTGGTGATGGGTGAACGACTATTTACAATCCATTATCCTCGAGCCTAAAAGAGTGTGTTCATATCATTCCGAGAAAAAAAGGTACGCCAGAGTCAATGCAACGCTAAAACAACAAAATGCAATGACAAGTCTAAAATGAAATCCAATCGCTATGCAGATGCTGATGCCCCGAACTCAAAAGATGCAAGTTCCCCCTCCCAGAACTCCTGAGGTGCTGGCTAGAGAGTAATCTAGCAGTATTGGCGCTGATTGGTATCGCGGACAGCGAAGCCGGAGACCCCATATTTGTCTACCATCGTGCTGTTGGCATCCAAGAATGTGAGAGGAGCATCAGCGCCCTGTTGAGCGTTCATGTTAACAAAGCCGAAGCCAACACTCTGGCCAAGGTTGTAGTCGAGAGTAACACCCATGGGAAGGTTTGGACTTGAGTATAGTGTACAACTGCGCTGATTATTGTCGATGGCAGCGCCGGCGAAAGTGTGCTTGAAGACCCAATTTGTGCAGGTGGTTGGATCATCCAGACAGGCAATTGCGCAGTCACAGGCAGATTTAATGCCATCTTTAGCGTAGAGGTTGACCATGGTTACGACACCAGTGATGTCAATCGCAGGGAAGTATCTTCGGTCTCGGTTAGCCGTTGTCTTGGTGAAGATTGAAGGGGAAGATTTACCTAACGCAGCCACCTTCGTTGGATGGAGCCTGGAGCTGAGGGAACATATCCTTGGTGACCCTTCCCTTGCAGATGGCATAGTCGTTATAATGGTCTTTGCTGGGGAAGATGTTGATATCGGTGTTGTTATCATCCCCACTGTCACGACTGGACTGGCCAAGGGGACCGGCAAACACAGAAGAGGCGAGAGCCAGGATGGAGAGAGCAGTGGCAGCTGAGAAATGCATTTTGAATGGATTACTGATTATTGACTGATGAAGAAAAGTCGTTGATGCTTGCTGAAGAGTTGAAAGATCGTGTCGTTGGAAAAGGAAACGAGCAAGGAAATAAAGAGAAGAAAGGACGAAAGAGATGAGGAAAATGCTGGTATTTTTCTATTGTATTGATGTTGTATGATGAGAAATTATCTCGTCGATGGGAGCCATCTATTATATACACTCTTGGACACTCGCTCATTCTCAAGATGTGCAAGGGAGGCTATCGTTGGGCGGCGTCGCCGATGCTATCCAGGGACATCTTGAAGTTGATTCCAAAAGCATGGCAGCTGACCTCAACGCCATCATGAAAGAGGCAGGCTGGCTTGGCGTCTCCTTCTCCTGCCGTGCAGAAAACCGAATTCCAGCCTGGCGGATGGGGTGACGGTGAACGATCAGTGACCATTAAGTTGAAGGCCATTGGTGGAAACCCCCCATTTGACAAATAAATTATGCATAATTAGCTGGGACTTCCAGTTCTGTCGAATCCCGTCAGTTGTGGCTTTCTTGCATGCTGCTGGACAACCGTTGAGGCTAGAGATTCATAGCCTGGAATAGGCCCGTCGCGGGGAGAATGCCTCAGGGCAGCCTTAGGGCAGGAACTGCGCCCTTGGAACAGGGGGTTGCCAGGGGGGCTGAGAAACCCCATGTTGCAAATTTGCAAATATGGTGGAGAGCTCAAAGTGTGAAGCTGTGATGTTGTTATTGGCTTGGCGTTGTTGCAGCTTTTGGTTCGGAGGCTGTGCTTGGCGGAGTAAGCTTTTGGCGCACGTCAGGTGACCATCCAGAAGCCTCAGAATAAGCTTTTCGTCGCAGCTCTTGATCCAATTGATTCTTTTATGGCGTCTGCAGTGAGACCCTATGCACTTCTTAGCTTGACAGCTGAAGGTAGTGCCGATACGAGACCGGAAAGCTCATTGACCGCATTGAGCATTGTAAGGAGCTGTGTATCGATCTCGTTGGTTTGCATATGGGTTTGCTCCTCAATCTCTCAGACTTCATCGAGTACAAAGATGGGACGCTAGATGGCATAAGCCAAATCTATTTTGAACCAGGTTCAGCCAAAACGGTAGCGGCCGTCTCTCAGGAAGAGATTTGGAGAGATTCGAACTTCGAGCTTGGCTGTCAGAGAATTCATGGCTGCATGAAAAGGTCTCAGACTCGACAAAGATGACAGCCTGAGGAAGAAGACCTTCATCCCACGATTCTATGTCAATATTAGGAATTAGGCTAAGGGTCGAATCTTCAACCCGAAGCTCACAGAGACCCAACAGGGCTCGCAGTAGGATTTAGTTTGCCTTGGAAGAAATGTTATCCTCTGAAGACTCAAAGCAGAATCCCATCGTGTCTTTTGGCCATCCTTCTTTGACCTGTGTTGAGCTGGGAACCTCCTTAATATGCTCCCAATGTTATTGCTGCTTGGCCTTGCTGAGACTTGCCATTGCTACGAGCAACACTGGTAGGCGTACTGCCTCATCCATATTGGCATATATGCCGTGAAACTTAAAGCTAATGGTTGTTGTTGTTATGATAGGAGACATATAATATCATGATTTGGAATGTTTATTTTGACACTTCATTCTTAACAGGTTTCCTCGATGCCAGCTTCGATGAAATAGACTGTGATTGTGCAACTGACTCTCCTCATTTTGGATAACGTGTACCCCGGCGCTAACCGGGATAAAATAACAGGAAAGTGGATTAACATAATCCCGATCAAGTCACACGAGTCACGAATCTGAATCCAAATTATTAGTTCATGAATAGCATGCATTTCATATCCCAAACTTGAATAAGTAGAAAGCCCTCCCTATCACCCCGTCATGTACACATAAGAGGAAAGACAAAACCAAAAAGTGTAATAGCAAAAATAGGTTATCCCAAGCACGCCTCAACGCCTTCCCATGACCTCTCCCGAGGACCATCGTGCCAGCGCACAAGAAACGACTGCGAGAGAAAGCGAATGGTTTGAATGAAGCCTCCTCTTCTCCTCTCATATCCTGGTGGTCCAGATAAATCCTGCTATCCCGTCCCCGTCCACCAGGTGAAGTTGCACAGCAATAAACAAGGCCATAACCAAAAAAACACAATCCATATTTTCCCATCCCCTGTACAATCCAAGCCCAAGTACTCTCCAAGCCACGTTCGCACTCGCAGAACGTGACTTACCCGTGAAGGTTCCTCTATTTCTTCAAAACAGCCTCGTACAATGTGACCAGAGAGCCAATGCCAGTTCCAACAAGAACACCTTGCCAGCCGCCATAGAGAGCCGAGTTGATCCTGGCAACATACTCGAGATCTACTAATCCGCCGAACGTGACATCCTGTCCGTAGACGACGAATGTCAGTAGCGCCTTCACGATGCTGAATGTCAAGGGATCAAAGGCATAGGTGAAATGCGTGCTGTGGCTTCGAGTCCTTGAGGGCTTGGCGGTCAAGTTGAAGAAGTATGCGGAGACGAGCGGGACGATGAAGCTGGTGAAAGCCCACAACGTAGCGGGGCCCCAGAATGAGCTTGTCAAGAGCAGGAAGAGATCTGGGATTTCGACATCGTATGGACCTGTGCCGAGGAGCGCGATCGATGGGATCGTGAACGCGTATCGGTCGGCAAGGAGCTCCTTTCGCAAGTTATAGAGTTCAAAGGTAAAGATGAGCACTTGGACAGCCACAACCGTTGATAGTGTTTCACGCGTAGCTTCTGCGGTCTCGGTGAGTCCTGATTGCTTATAGGCCTTTGAAACTCTCGTGCGCAAAGCTTGTGTGCGACGATCAATCGCGTCGGCAACAACAGCTGGCGACGGAGGTAACGGAACACTGGATGCGAAAGCAAGCGCAGATGCGCGAGGGGTTCGGGTCAGAGCGGTACGCGCGCGTGTAGTTGCCGGCTCGATTTCTGAATCATCGCTGGAAGAAATCAGCATTGTTATGATGGGGCTGACGCGCAGCCTCGGCGCGTTACTTACGTTGGAAGAAACTCCTCTGCAGCCTTTGTAACTCTGCGCTTGACTTGCTTGACCTTGGTTTCGGCATCTGATAGAGCAGATGCAGATTCCCTCTTCACTGGAGAGCTGTCACCACGACCTCTCGTCTTGTAGAATTGGGCAAGTCGCGGGTCGCTGGAGTGTTGGGCGGCGTTCTTGGTGAGATACTCATCCAGGCCGGCTTCGATATCGGTTTTCTTCTGCCCTTCGTAGCTAAGTAATGTCAGCCTATCTGCTGAATAAATGCGAGATGCACGGGTGTCTTATACTCTTTGTAGCCCACGGAATCGCACAGCTCTACTAGCTCCCCCTTTCTCATTTTCTGCAACCAGCTCGATGCTCCGGACATTTTGAAGAATGCGATTATGCAAGACAAAACTACGCGATCGCGATAAATGTGGTTTGGTTTGGATTGAGGCAAGGATGGGGAATGTGATGTGTTGGGGTTGAAGGCTCGAAGTTTGTTGTTGTAGGTCAGCGCAGCGGGGAAACGTAAATAAAGAGGCTGGATTGGCGGTTGTTCTGGTCGCTCCTGTGCACCGTATCGGGGATTTAGCGCCCAAGGAGCCGTCCTCGTCTTCCCGCCACCTGATTTTCACACTGGAAGCGGCGACCCTCAGCGGTGAGAGTTCCGCAGAAGAGAAAGGATTTTCGGTGAGCACCAGCTACATTTGTTCATTGATCAATGGAATATTTGGTGAGAATTGGCTATTGCATCTGCTCTCTATTGTGGAGGTTCATCAGGCCGTACAGTCGAACCTTCATGGCACGTCACCCACGCGAGCATCACTGCCAACCCATTATCAGCGCGTAAAACGCCACCTAAGCTGGGGAAAGACTCCCGATATCTAATCTACAATGTGTCCAAGCTCTGGTTGCTCGATGTCTATTCTACAAAGTTGACAAACCTCTCCTCTCCCTTCAGGACTGCCCGGGCTAGTATGAATCCATGTTAATCGTGTAGCTCCAGCGTGATCTGAGTTGCACTTCTAATCGTGCTTCTCGCCTTGTCCTGGGCCAGCTTGTACAACTTCGTTCGCTCCTCATCAGACATCTTGGGGACCTCTTCGTCTGTGGCCCCATTCATCCACTGCGAGTTCGATAAAATACTTTGGAAGATCACAGCAAGGACTGCAACCACTTTCACTTGAGCCAATCTCCTTCCCAAGAAAGATCTCGGACAATAAGAGAAGGGGATATAGGATCATGTCGTAGGACGGAAGAGTTGCACAGAAGGGTCCTCTCCAGTGGACCCTCCGAAATCTTTGCTGTCCTCTGATTCTGTTGCACTGTCAACAAGCTGTGTTCCATCTGGTGCACTCTTAACCAGCTATCTTTCTGGCCTGAAATCATTAAGGTCATGTGCATCATCTGCAACTTTCGAGCGCTGCGTTGGCCAGTATTGAGATTACTGTGGATGCCGACTACATTTAGGGACATGTGAGCCCCGGCTGGAAGTGTGGACCGTTTCCCGTCAACGACGATAATTTGGTCTTGGTGTTTTGAGACTTGCTTTGGAATGGCAACCACTGGGGGCATGCTTCGCAGCTGCTCATTGAGAACAGCACCAACAATTCCACTGAGCAAGGCGCTGATGTTTCCCTTGGCCGTCCAGCTGTTATAGGTGTAGTAGGCAGTTGGCCTGTAATCTTGGGTTCATTTCATTGTTCTATCAAGGAAAAATGGATGGCTGCCATCAGATTAGTATTGGGATTTTCCTTTTGAGAGAGCTCAGGGATAAGGAGCCCAGCTCCCATGGCAAGTGCGCATGCCGGCTACGGTAAAGCTCCTAGGCTCCGAGTTCTCATAGAAGAAAACAGCGAAATATTATTGAAATAAGGCTTACTGTTCGCTAAGGTTTCATGGCCGGCTACGACCATGACGAAGGCATTGCCTGGGATCTGAGTCAGACAGAGGTGGAATTTTGAGTTCTCCTTTCTTGACCTAGCCCGGAGATGACTTCCTCGCTCCCCGCTTCTCGCCATAGGCTTCGAACCAACGAACGCATGGTATCTATTCCATCGCCATGGTAGCCTCGATGTGCTTCTTCCACTTTCTGAGCAAAGAGTTCATTCATGTACTGACCCCAGTTGACAAAAGGCTCATGTGCTTTGCGGGCGCCTTCGAACGGGAGGTGCTCTGCCAGAATCAGTTCCTGCTTTCTAATTATCGAATAAGACTTACTAATTAACCACGGAGGGGTCAATATCGTCCAGACCAGGTTTGACAAAAGAGTATCGAGAGATGTCTCAAAACTCATTGGGTGTCCTCAGGTGACTCATTGCTGCTAAATACCGCATCTTTGGCGTTTTCCTTCTCGTCTGGATTCTCACCAGGCCAAAGCAAACAAACTCCGAATCCGACTCTGCTGATGATATGTAATGTCAACCGCATGATGTTCTTTGGAACCTCTTCAATTGTGGGATTTGTTGATCTGTCATCCATTTACTTAGCGTCCTTTGAGCCTGCCTGCATGCCTCTGCGAATACCAGTGCATTGTTCTTCTGATTGAAGTTTGGGGATGAAACCTTTCTATGCTGTTTCCATTCGCCTCTTTCTATTGTCGTCACGTTTCGCCCGAAGATGTCGAGAATACGGTAGGTTTCGAGGGGTTTGGGAAAGGCTTCTCGTTTGGCGGTGACTTGATGTATGATTTCTGCATTTGCCACATAGATATGGATGCACCCATGGGACACTAGTAAGAGTATATCTCCTTTCCTCGCGAATGAATCAAACGGAAGCTGCCAGACCAATCAGGTACGCTATATCTGTGATAATACCCTTAGCTATAACCGTATTGTACGGAAGCCATTGCTCTGTCCACTTTTCAGGAAGCTTATTGAGAAACGGAACCCACAATCTATGGGTGGCAAGCCACCATATATTCTAAATGCTGACGGCTGCAATCAAGTGAGTATGGTGTTGAACTGAAGGAGGGCTTGTACTCACGAGTAACTACATATGGAAGCCTAGCCTTCCTCGCTGCTGCAATGTTTTGAGAAGTCCTGATATAATTGAGCAATACCAGTAAGAAATAACCGCGATCAACGCAATTGCAATGGTAGAAGCCATTGTGACATGAATGGGTATCTTCAAAGCGCGACAACAAGAGAAGGCGTGATGAGGCAGAAGCTCAAGGAGAAGATTTTGTTTCAGTACCTGTAAAGAAAGGGGAGCAACGAAATTAAAACAACAGCGATTGAGAAGGTACAAATTGCAAGCGTAGAATGAGGGTGTTCATGCAAGATGTCGGCACATCGAGATGTTGTCCATGGTAGTGACGGAATCGATGAAGGTAGATCAAAGGCAAAAGTATCACCCTTAGCTCCCGAGTAACGAGTAGCTGAACGTTAACATCGGGGGTCGAATTGGATATCCCAAGACTGGCAAACCTGTCTACATCCAGCGGTTGGATATATCAAACACGTGAAAATTGTGTGACCGAACTTCTTTGGTGGTGGCTCGGACTTGCAGCCAAGCACTTCATAGGTCTTTCCAAGCCACAATCCATGAGGATTATCACTTCACCCACTTCGAGACCAATCAGATATGGAACAAAGAAGGAATTCCAAAGTAAAAGAAAGCCGTTTCAATCAGGTGTCTTTGCCGGCTTAAGGTGGCAACTCGCGCTTGCGAATACATCTTGGCGCTTGCTGTGATCACGAAATCATGATGTAAGCACTCGATCCTTCGAATTTAGGTAACTCCCTTGTTTTGGTTAGGCAGCTGAAGCATTGGTGGGAGCTCGAGTGAAAGATGATTCTTGGGAGGTTAAAATTAGGTGGCCGGCCCCGGATGAGAGAGAAGTCAAAGGGAATGGAAGTAGAATGCAGCTTCAGGACCCGGGGGCCCGAATTTGAAGAAACAAATAAGCTTAAAGCAGTCATACCAAAATTTGATGATGGAAATACTCGCTTCTATTTCTGGCAATGAAGAGAGGTTTGGATGCTGTGCCACGGCTAAGTTCTCTTCTCGAAAGGGAAATATTCGTGAGAGGTTGGCCATTTTTGGACATGGTTCCGAAACAGAAGTCCACTTCTGGCTAAAAATCTCCCATACATTCCGTACTTCTACCATAGCCTAGAGACTCACGAACATCGTCAAAATTAAAGGTTCGCAAACATTAGATCTGTGACGAAATATATCACGTGATGTCGAAGTGGATCCGTTCTCGCTAAGTTCATTTCAACGCACCACGAAAATCGCGAGAAATTCAGATCATCGACAACGAACATTTCAACTCTCCACCGACCACCGCGAAATCAGTCACGATGGTATGTATATCAATCTGTTTATTGCAGTCATTGGAAACGGAGGAGATGAAGCCGGAGCGGTAGAAAGCCAGGGGAGGCCGGCTCTGCGATTGCGACACAACTCGATCGACCGACCCGGAAAGACTCCGCAGACTCTCCTTGGATGCAGAATCGTAGATGTTGAGAAGTGGAAGACTAGTGCCTCCGGAGATATGCAAATTTGGGTCACAGGGGCATGATGGAGGAAGAGGATACGGAAGCAGCAGCGGAGAATTGAGGCTAACGAGAAATCCCCCAGGTCAACGTCCCGAAGACAAGACGCACCTACTGTAAGGGCAAGGACTGCAGAAAGCACACACAGCACAAGGTGACCCAATATAAGGCCGGAAAGGTACAGCGAACAGCCCTCTTGAGCGATCTGCATCTAACAAGAACAGGCGTCGCTGTTCGCGCAAGGAAAGCGTCGTTATGATCGCAAACAATCCGGTTATGGTGGTCAAACGAAGCCCGTGTTCCACAAGAAGGCGAAGACTACGAAGAAGGTCGTGTTAAGATTGGAGTGCACAACCTGCAAGACGAAGGCACAACTGGCGTTGAAGCGATGCAAGCATTTCGAACTTGGGTATGTCACCCTTCAAGAATCTGGCATTGTGGATGGAGAAGACGGAGAGGCTAACGATTTTGCAGTGGTGACAAGAAGACCAAGGGTGCTGCGTTGGTATTCTAGATGCTCAGCTCAGGGCTTGATGACTTTGTTAATGTGGGCATGGGATGGTGGATTTTGCGTGGACACAATGGCTGAGATGGATGGAACAAGGCACAGCTGAGAAGGTTGGGTCCTTGTATCTTATTCTGCACCGCCGAAGAAGCATAGCAAAATTTGCTGATACCAACTCCTCGAATCGCTGATGTGAGGTTGAAAGTGATCCAAGACTTGGAGCGATTCTTGCACAGCCCACCTGCTGCGGGAGGTTGGTACACTTTCTCCACGATGAAGGCTTCACTGTTTCTACTCTTCACTCCAGCACTCTGAACTGTCACGAAGCGAGCCCCTGTGTCGTTGGAGGATGATCCCTAACAATCCACATCTCTCAGGACATTCGCCAATTCTGTCAATTTGTCTGGCACGATGTTACTTGATGCAGGTATCTCCCACTCGGTGCTATGAGGTATTCTCTACATTCTAATCATAAATATTTTTGTCTATGGAATCTACGTATAAGAAGACGTGCTCTAGCAACCGGGCTCTCCCTCCTTTTTCTGCAGCTTTGTGATACCGCAAATCAACGCATCTACTGAGTCGTTTTCTATGGTAGGATAAATCTCAAAATCCTTTTCCAATCCTCACGGTGTTTCCTCCACCGTACCAGAGCGTGCCCTTTCTAAAGTCCAAACCCCTCTCCTGTCCAACTATCCACTGACCATCTTCTCTCCTCTTCCCGCCCTCCTTTGGCCAGTACTCTTCCTCTAGCCAAGCATTGAGCTCCTCAATCTTTTTAATCCAGGTGACTATCTTCTCAGGCGTATCATGATCATCCTGAGTGAGGAAACGTCCAACGGTGATGTGAGAACTGGGTACAACATAGCGAGAGTCAACGGAGACACCAGTTTTGCGGGCAATGTTAAAGAGATCACGACGCAGATGGTGGTACGTGAAGTCGTCGTCCTCTTGGCTTCTTTCCTCAGCGTTGCTGGTTCCCTTGGGAGGTAAAAGCTCTCCAGCAGCAGGTACGAAGGAGAGAGCAAGGGCAGCGCCATCGTAGGAGATCATGGGCTTGATGAGGCGGGCTTTGTGGGAGTAGGTGTAGTCTGTCATGGTCTCCGCAGCAGGCTTCCCGAGATTGGAGACGATGGCGTCAATTTCTGGATGTGTGAGAGAGTGGGTGATTTCGAGGGTTGTAAGATGGAGATTTGGGAGAGGCATCAGCCACAGCTCTAGGAGACGTTAATCACGGGATCCGGAGTGATCTTGATGGAAGGTGGAAAGTTCGAGGACCTGACCGGTCCACTTGTAGAAGAAAGACGTTTCGACGTACTCGGAGCTAAAGTCAACAGTTCTTGTTGGATCTTGTTAACCAGCGAACAGATGTGAGGAGGAGGACGGGCCCAGAATACAAGGCAGTGCCTGAAATCCTTGAAGCCAGGTTCAATTGACGGGTCCATCAGTCTTTCGAGGATAGGGTCTATGATAAGGCCCGAGAATTCTGGAGACAGGAGCTTGGCCTTCTGTTGAGCATTGCGAGTCCTGCGATGGGTGGAATAGCGGGCTTGGAGTTGAGCCTGGAGGGGTTAGCTTCGATAGGTAGAGGAGCACAGCATGAGATCTGTACGAGTAGATATGTAAAATGTTAAGAAACGGCAGCCTAAGAAACTTCGAAGGCTTCTGGGAAAGGGGTTCCCCTACCGGATTGCCTTCGCAGGCCTCGATCAAGGCATCGTAGGGATTTGCATAAGCAGAGCTGTTGACCCCTGAGAGGTCCTCGAATTTGTTTCGAGAGTCTGCCAATTCAGGTAACGGTGGGGCCATCTTGCAGGGTCAATTGCAGGGAGCTTTAGAGTCTTTTGTTGAAGGAAGAAATGTACCTTATTTGGCAAGTTTGAATTGGGTGGCCTGTGGCTTATCGATTAATTTAAATCACGGGGGTCGGCGTTGTGAAAACAACTCTTCGTCATCGGCATCCGTTGACCAGAACATCAACCTGCTCCACAACAACTTCATGCCACAGCATCGCCACTTGGAGATAGATGGTATCTCTATCATTCATCGCAATTCAGATGGATTATTCACAGCTCTTGATTCGGAAGGCAACATACAAAGACCCCTGCCTTCAAAGGTAGGTGCAAGGGAAGGTGCGACCGTGGAGCGAGCCTCCAACAACCCCTTACTTGCTTCAACCATCTCCCAATATCTCCGCCATAGACACACCTTGCAGTAGAGTCTTTATTGAACTCCTCTTCAACCTTCTGGGCTCTGGGAGTCTCTTTTCTGGCAGATTCTGGTCTCTTTCCACATTTTCATGGTTGTGGACCAGACAAGGCCGCTAATCGTAATACGGTAAGGCCATTCGGACCTGGTCCAATAATCGTCCTCCCACAATCAGGAACGTGCAAACTTTCTTTTAACCTCTTTGCAAGGGTTCGCGTCTTCCCAGATTCAAGTTCTTCGCGTCCCAAAAGGAGAAGGATCAACTACGATCTGTCCTGCCTCGACAACTCTGCTCCTCGCAACTCACTTAGTCACTCCTTTGAAGCCTCCAGGTCAGCCTCCTTTAAGAGCCAACATCCACTTGATAGCGACCTTGAGCCAGTTCAAGAGCTCGAGAGGTTCTTGGAAAGCTGATCTCGCTTTTTGGTACCTCGGTAGGTCCCCTCCTCTTCACCCATCTTCAACCTAACAACCACCTTCCCTCAGCAAACACTATCATCCACCGTTCACCAACAAGACTCAACAAGAGTGATACTCCCACGGCGATGCTAACGTCTTAGATTCTGCGATCTGCTTTGCGCTTATGACTCCCGTCTTCCAGCGTACTTGACGACACTAGCACGACATCTCGACCAACGTATACTCTATATTGCATCCGTCTACGGACGACCTTCTCCTTTGGTAAGAGCTTCAAAAAGTCTTTCTTCATCTTCAAAACATGTCCCCGATTCTGTTCTCGCCTTGCAAAGTCCGAGTCCTGACTGCTTGCAGTGTAGACCCGGGCCGCAGTGGCATGTGGGTTGTCCATCATTAAGGCAATCCCTGGGTAGTAAACTCTAGGTTACCACGCTCTTTGCTTTTCTCAACGCAAGTAAGTTCCATCCTTCATTGGCAGCGATACTTTGCTGTGGTCGACTTTTTGCCTTCAAACATCTAACTATTTCTAGTTGTGAAAAGCACGCATACAAGATGATGCTGCTTACTCTATGTGTATTCTTACTCGCATAGCTTGTGGAAAGAAATCGGTTACCAATGACCGGAGTCTTGTTTGACGTCTGTCACACTCGTTTTGCATCCAACAACTATTCGGCATTTGCCTTTGGCCACTCGACCCCAAGTCACAAAGGCTCTTGAGATCGCAAACGGTCCCTTTGACCTCTCGTTGGGATCACGGTCCCCATAAAAATTACTTCATGAATAGGATAATTTGCAACTTTTTTCTGGCCTATAAAAGGCTTCTTTCTTGGTGAAGTGCCTCAGACGTTTGGACTTGGTAAGTGCTCTTTCACGGCTTTCTCATGGTTTCGCTTGAACCTCCTTTTCTCAAGCTCTGATCTTCATTGCTAACGCTTTATTCTCTTACTGTACGATAGGTACTGACTTTCTTTCATGCTCGTTTCGCAATCTATAAGAGCTTACGGTTTCTCCCCGTCAACTGCATTGGGGCAACCGTACATCACGTGGCCAAAAACATACACTTCAGCACTCTCAACTGACTTCAGTCAAGCCTTCAATGCTTATCCGACTTGCTCTCTGCTACTTGGAGAATGTCAACATGACCTAGGACCGATACTTGCTTTGGAATAGGCATAGGTTACTCCGGCACTTGACCTCGCTGCCACTTTCCCAGACCCAACAACTCGTTTGGTAGTCATACTAACATTGGCAATTACTGTACAGGATATTGACATTCCCAGTGCATAAACTCGATAAAGGAAACATGTCGACCTTACTATCCTGACTTTATTCCGTCCCGGCAGGAAGGATTCGCCATGCATTTGGGAATCGATCTTAGTTCCCGCTTCTTTGCGGCCCAGCACCCACAGGCCAGTGCCACACCACCTACAACTATCGAAGATAGATCCAGCTCCGGATCAACTACCGACCCTGGGGCATCCTGTACCGATACCTCGGTTAGGAACCAGGTTATGGAGCTTGCGGACTCTGATGAGGAGTCAAGTTGGGATGAAACAGCCACTCTTCCTGATGTGGCCACCTCAATTCGAATGATTGGGAACTGTACAAAGGAAGTGTATCCACTGACTCGCAATGTTTCTTTGTTTGACGTGTCCAACGCCTCGGATAACCCGTCCGTAGCTTCAGAATGTGTGCAAATATGGTCTGACGAGGACGACAATGGTAGTCAAGAGCCGCCTTCGGCCTCCATGCCTGCTTATGGGGCTTCTCTTGCGGTATGGAAAGATGTTCTGTCTGATCCCAGATCGTCTATTTGGAAAGGTCGGGCTGGTGCTAAAGTAGCTGTTGTTTTGCAAAAGAGCAACACGAACAAAGAGAGGGTGGACAAAGGACCGACTCTTCACGTTTTATCCGTCTCGGAGGAGAATGCCATTGCTGGAAGGAAGGATCAACCCTCGAAGGGGGTATCGACGTCGAGGGATCGGACAGAGAGTCGTCTATGGCATGGTGGAGGTGGGTTCGATTTCCTGGTCGTTGTCTGATGTGGTCTGCAAGCTGCAGCCAGTGCCTAGTTCTGATTAGCAATTGTCGTTGGTGCTTTGATGGAGGGGTGTGCTCTTCCTAGATGGTAGGGTTACTCCTCTATGAAGTTATCCCTGGTGTCCTTAAGTGAAGCCTCATGATAGGGTTTGAGAGATAAATCTTCAACTGTCTTAATCTAAGGACGAGCTCGCCGACGGCGTCGGTGTATCCTTTCTCCTTAGCTTGGAGTCGCGTTAGTCAGTGCTTGCTCGCTTGCAAGTGGCCCTCAACGGTGGTCTGCCGACATATAGGAATTTCCAATCTCGCACAAACCTTTTTTTTTCCCTTTTGCAACCACAGCGAGAGCACACACTGTTGCAACAACACAACGACCTGCATTCTGCTTCTTTGCAGTTGCAGGAGGCACTTCTATCTTACAATTCGTACCAGAAACCTCAAGCAGGTGGAAAGCTTGTAGATCAAGTCCGTAAGTTCCCCTTTGCGTGGCGTCCGCTCACCCCCTGCCGCCCGCCGTCGTCAACACCACCACATTCCAAGACCTTGTGATCAATTCGCCCTTTCAGGCCATTGCTATCGCATTGTCTCTACACCACAGGTTACTTGTTCCCTGTCCCCATCGTCTTCCCTTGCTCCTGGCCCGATCTCGTCGAGGTCACTAGTTGCTTGGGTCGCCATCCAGCGCCCGTCAACATCGACCAGGGTTCTCTTCGCAGCGGCTCTGTCGCATGTCTTCGAGTCTCAGATTACTTGTTTCCTATTCTCTCCCCCATGATCATCATTCTCAAGCACTCATCCTCGAGACCCATCTTTTCACTCCGGGGTCTCTTACTCCGTCACTTCCGACTTCAAGTCAATTTCCCTGCACGCACGAGCACCACAAATTTTTCGAAACATGTTAATTGCAACAGGCTAACTCGTTCGCACACAGATAGCGCACGCGTCAAGATGTCCGACGGACTGAGGCGGTCCACGAGGCCTCGTAAACCCACATTTACATACATTGCGGACTCCTACAACAGCGCCAGCGATGATGATTTAGAACAACCGGTCATCAATGACGACTCCGACGGGTCCGATTACCTCGCAGATAATGCCGACGGTGCCTCCATCCATGATGATGACGAGCTGAACACGGATGAAGAGGCTCGCCCTGCGAAGAGAGCCAAGCTAGGTAAGACATCTATTATCATCAAGACTGCTTTCGATTTTATATTTTAAGGTCACGTGCTAACCGCAAAGTAGATGACACGGACGACGAGGACATTGTTGGGGGCGATCTTGAGATTGGCTCCAACAGCGATGAAGCTGAGGCTCAGTTGGATATTCCTGCACGGGGTACAAAGCCAAAGCCAAGAGCGAGGAAGACCAAGGCTTCTGTTGACGATGACCATAACCCGAGGTCATTTGCACGAGAACCTCAACCATACAAATTCTCGTACGAGAATCCCTTGGATTTCGACAGCAAACCTCTGAAGACGATATCGGAGTTTTTTGTAGATTTAGCAGACCAGCTAAAGACGAAATTTGGCGCAGATCTCTCCAAATTCTGCGGTAAATTTAACAAAAAGCCTCTCAATGTGGTCACATTATGCTCCGGCACTGAGGCACCCATACTTGCCATGGGCTTGGTCCAAAAGAGTAAGTTCCCCCTATTGTTCTTCCTGGTCTGCCGGCTAAATTGTATTCAGCGCTCGAGGCGAAATATGGCTCCGACAGTACATTTGTCTTCAACCATCAAGCAAGCGCTGAGATCCACCCTGCCAAAGCAGGGTATATCGAGGCAAATTTCTCATGCAACGCTATCTTTCGCGATATCATTGAAATCTCACTGCTGCAGAAAGATAATGTACCGAAACCTCATTACCTGTAAGTGTGTCCCTTTCTGTAAAAGTTTCTCTGCTAACAATCTTCAAGCACAACTATGTATGGCGGGAAAGCTCCTATTCCAATTGATACCGACATTATCATTGCGGGCTTTGCTTGCGATGACTTCTCCTCTCTGAACAATGTTCCAAAAGCGTTGGAAGACAAGGGTGAGTCTGGCGACACTTTTTATGCCGTCAAGGCATATCTTGAGTTGTACCATCCGAAGATCGTGATCCTTGAGAATGTCATGAAAGCTCCTTGGACCGATGAGAAGGCTGCAAATTGGAAAGGCAAGAAAGGCCAGAAGAGCATTCCCTGGCACTTGGACAGCGCAGGTTATGATTCCATCTACCTCAAGATGGATACCAAAAATCACTACATTCCACACACTCGGAACCGAGGCTATATGATCGGCATTTGGCGAGACAGCCTCCCTCACGGCGCAAGCTGGCCCGCCTTGGAAAAGAAATGCCGAGACACAATCGAGGCACTGGAGCGTACGGCGACGGTCCCTTTGGAGGCACTGCTCTTTGCTAGCGACGATCCTCGTCTCGAGGTGCTCGATCAGGAGCGTAAGACAGATACGAAGAGCACTCCATGGAACAAATGCAAGGTCGGTCACTATGATTACACCGGTGAGCATGGCCTTGGTGATCGACACCCAATTACGAATTGGAAGTCCGATGGATCGAAGGAGTTGCCTGACTGGCATCGCCCCATGCCCGGCATGACAGAACGAGTTGCAGACTCAATCGATGTCGCGCACCGACGCAATCTGGTTCGCGGATTCGACGATAGGGAGTACAAGTAAGGTCTCTCTGCCCTCATATAAACGCATTTACTGATATTTTCTTGCAGTCGACAGCTTGAATTATCGCAAAACGTGTTCCGCGTTGAGGATTCCGCACGAAACGGCGTGCAGCAATGTTTGACACCTACGAACATTGCGTTCTCTACCGCCCAAGGTCGTCGAATTACCGCCGCAGAAGCCGCTATTGTACAAGGAATTGACGCTGACCTTGTCGAAACCTCAAAATTGTCTGAACAGCTCCTGACAGATATGTGCGGCAATGCGATGTCTTCAACAGTTGTTGGGACGGTTATTTTTGCTGCTCTCTTAACTTTCCAAGATATTTTCAATTTGGAATCTCGGCAAGAAGCACCCGTTGAGCAGCAACTTCGCCCTTACAGCAACAAAGGCTTGAATAAGGTTGAGTCTAACTCGAGCCATTACACTCCCGCCTCTGTAGCATCCACCCAAGCTGCGGCGCAGTCAACAGTCAGATTGTGTTTCTGCGAGGGTCGAATCAAGACTGAAACAACTACGACCTTCTTGAAATGCCGACTCTGCGGGCACACAGCATGCAGCAAGTGTGGAAAGAATCCCAAACACGACTACGAGCCCTTCAAGGCCGAATTCATCAACGCACGAACTAGTCCCGTTCAATTTGAAGAGTTCATCAAAGACTCCGTTCCTAAGGAGATCGACTTGGGCTCTCTTCACTCTGAGGCAGTCGACTCTTTCCTCTCCGAACTTTCCAAAGCCATTCCAGAAGGGTTTGACCAGGGCTCATGGAATGATGTGATCTCCAAGATCGATACTGCATTGAGATCGACGGTTTACCATCGCGCCATCAGACGAGCGGAGTCGTGGACTCTTACCTTCGACTCCCCAACTGCCATTCTCAAGTTGGTTATCTCTGGTGGAAGAGTCGAATGGCAATTGTTTGCAAACGCTAAAGATCTGCCTCTTGGAAGTGCGGCTGGGAAGTACCTTCGTCGGTTCCCAATTGCTCGCATGGTCCCAGAGGGCAAGGACATCATCCAGGGCCCATGGGGGTTTTGGCTTCCTCTGAAGAAGAGCTTTGTGGCTACCGTAACTTCAAGCGGACCTCTGGTGCCCACATACCTCAACACCGCGGGCCTGGTACATGGCAATCACACTTATAACCATCAATTTGTCAAGATCGAGTTTGCCGCTTCAGTTGATACAAGATATCTTAGCGAGAGATTGGAAGGTGTTTACGTCGCTTCTCCGCAGTGTGGTCGGGCTTTCAATACACTCCATGTTCAACAAAGGAGAGAACCTGGAAAGAAGCAGCTTGGCTTTTTCTTCGATCACGAGCTTCAAACCGGAAACCCGGCACATCACACCTATAAATTCGCCACCACTTTCCACCGACTCGACTGGGGAGAATATGTCGACGCCATTGCCGAGTTTCCATCATCCTGGCGTCAGCCAATTATTCGGTGTGTCGAGAGTGACGACTCGACCATTCGTGTCGAAGGCACAAACATTCTCGTTGGAGATTATGTTGGCAGCGTCATCGACCAAGTTGACATCATATCCCATGGTCGATTTGTGACTCTCCACGATCGGGAACTCGCCCTTTCCGGATCCGAATTTATTTATCACAAATTGCCCGCCAAAGTCTCTCGACAGAACCTCACTTGCGAGACTGACTTGCCTGTCTTCATTTGCGAAGGAAGAATCAACTACGAAACCACTTGTCTCCTCCCGAAGAATCGCTGGATTCTGGTTGACAGAAAGGTTGGATCAGCCTTTTGGCGCGAGTTCCTTTGGACCTTGGAAAAGGAACTTCGGATTGGTGGTTATTCCGAGCACAATTCTACTTGGAATTTCTGGTCCAATGCCGAAGGTAAATGTCACTTATGCACTCCAGATGTTCCAGCACTTCTCTGGGTCCTGAAAAAGGGAAAGTATATCCCATACGAGCACCCAGAGCAAGCCTCTCAATGGGAGAAGGAACAAAAATCTCGGCCAGCGCCCATGAAGGTTCTCTTCCGGATCGATGATTCTGGAAAAATTGGCTTCCAAATTTCCCTGAATCCTGCCACCTTGATGCACCGAGCAAAGGCTCGACTCCCCGGCAATGGTGGCCCTCGCGATGTCAAGATGTCTTTCCGGTTAGTTACCGATCACGGCCGAAAGAAGAAGCCCGTCTTCAAACCCTTGATCCTGCTCAACAATGGCGATGTAGAGATGGCCAAGCAACCTTTCTCCCAGTTCACACTTCGGGACGAGCAGCGCAAAGTGCTCACGTGGATGCTGGAGAAGGAAAATAAAGGCACAACTTTCACAGAAGAAGAAGTTGTCGAGAGTACGGTCAATGAGATTGGTTACCGCGCCGAAGGACGCGCCACTCGAGAGATTCTTCGTCATGGAGGTATCCTTGCGCAAGAGGTGGGATTCGGCAAAACCGTCGTGATGCTCGCTTTGATCACCGAGCAGCGAGCAGCTGAGGCCAAGAAGCGAAAGGTCGTTAAAACCCCTCCCAACACCCCCGGCGCGATCCCAACGGAGGCCACTCTGATCCTTATGCCCTCGCATCTCGTCAATCAGTGGCGCAGTGAAGTGGAGAAGTTCCTTCCTCCCGAGTTCAGGAAGAAGGTCATTATTGTTGAGTCTGGCAAAGCTGTCAAGTTTTCGAAATTAACCATTCAAGACATAATCGACGCAGATATCATAATTGTTGCATGGGGCAATACCATCAAGCCACCTTACCTGAAGATATTGGCAAATCTTGCCGGACTCGTTGAGCCCTCCAAGACGGGCACTGGAGAGCGAGCCTTTGAGGTTTGGTATCAAGCTGCAGTTGCCAGAGTCCAGAGCAACATCGACTTCCTGCGAACCCTTGACAACCCGAAGGATTTCGTTGTACACCTCGAAAACCAATGGAAGTCTAGCAGGGATGAAGCTTCTTCCGTGGACGTTAGGGTGCCTTCTAAGCATGTCACTGGAGCATCTTATGTTAACTCTGACAAGCGCTCGTCAATGAAGGATGATTCTAAGAAGAGAAAACGAGATGTTCCGGATCAACAGACGGAACAGTTCAGCCACACGATACATTTCGCCGATGAAGATTGGAAGTCCATGACTAACGCCATTCTCGAGATGTTCGTTTTCAAGCGACTTATTATCGATGAACTCACTTACCGTTCAGGTTGGGTCAACAGCACCTTGAGAAATTTGCAGGCGCGAAACCTTTGGATGTTGACAGGCACGCCAGCGAAGGGTGGCCACAGCGATATCAAGAATTTGGCGGAACTTCTCCGAATTCATCTCGGAGTTGATGATTTCACTGGCCTGAGAAGCGATCTGTTCACTAAGAAGACCAGCGATTTGACGAGTGGGTTACTTCTCTGCCTTGGAAGGGAACGTGCTAACAGCCAAACAGAAGCTGAATTGTTCATGATATTTCAAGAGGCCCCCTCACCTGCGTGGCGTGAACGTAGACACGAATTTGCCCAAATTTTCCTGGATAACTTCTGCCGGAAGGTATGATCAGCTTCTTTTCTCCTTGGGTAACAGAGACTGACAAATCACAGGACCTTGCCGATATGTCAAAAATAAAGGTTGAGACATCTATATGCCTTGTCGACTTTTCGGCTTCTGAACGAGCAATCTACCTCGAACTTTTGCAGTTCCTTGCTGCGACTGATTTCGTCTACAAGCGAGGAAAGTCCGCAAAGGGCGACAGAGATGACCAGATCCAGCAAGTCGTTTCGAAATCTGGCGACGGAAAGCCAGCTCTCTTCTTGAGGGCTTCTCATTTTACCTTTCTCGGCGCCCAAAACACAGAACAGCTTTGTGACATGATCGTGGCTCGTCGTCGCAATCAAGTTCAAGACGCTCTCGATGAATTTGAGCTGCATCTCAAAAAAACTTATTGGCTACATAGACAAGAGCCCGGCTGTAAGAGATTCCATAACTTCAAATCTCGAGTAGTGTCTCGCAAGCTCGGAGACTTACAGGTCTGCCAAAGTCTCGAAAAATCCCTTGCAGACGCTGCCAAGAACTACCACAAGGAGCATTGGAGACAGTTCTATCGAGAGCCAGGCACGGATGTTAGGAAGTTCGACAACCCTTTGCCAGAGTATCCGGAAGGCAAGAACAAAACTCACGGCGTGTATAACGTCACGCGGATGGAGTTCGAGCTGCGGACTTGGATTACGAAGCTCAACAACGATATTGAGGAAATTATAAACCAAAAGCGAGCTCTTCGGTTTTTCCGCAATATCCTCTCCCTTCAACGCATCACCAACTTCGTTTGCGCGCACTGTGGCACTTCCGGCCTGAAGCCTGCCGACGTCAAGGTGATGGGCCAATGTGGGCATCTCTTGGGACTCGAATGCTGTGAAGACAATGACTGCCCAGTCGCTGGTTGCTCCGCTTACAACCGGGACTATCAGAAGCTCAATGGATTTAGTCTTGTTCAATCCTCATCGCAGTGGTGTTCCGAGCACGGCTCTAAGATTGACGCAATCATCAAGAAGATCCAATGGATCATTGATGTCAAAGATGAGAAAGCATTGATCTTTGCTCAATGGACTCAGTCCACTAACAAGCTCGAGGAGGCTCTTGTTGCCGCGAAAATCCCGTTTTCGGATTTGAGGAAGGAGCAAACATCTTCAAAGATCCTTCAGCATTTCCAGAATGGCACTCCGACCGCTGTAGGTGGAAAGGTTGCGAAGGTTCTGATCATGAACATTGGGGACGCAAACGCTTCTGGGAGGTAAGAATTTTACAGCCCTTCTATTTATATGCATGCTGACTTGACCATAGCAATTTAACGATGGCAAACCATGTCATTTTCATGCAACCGTATTACACCGCCGGCGAGAATGCTCAAGAGAACTACGACGCTGCGATCACGCAAGCCACCGGCCGAGCTCGTCGTTGGGGACAAGAGAAGCTAGTGCATGTCTACCACTTCCTCACTGTCAATACAATTGACGTGGACTACTACGAGGCCAGAAACAACGTTACCATCACCCGTAAGGCTGATGATCCTTCTCAAGGTGATGGCGAGGACCTTAAGGTTAGAACAGGCTGGGAGACTAAACTTGGCACTCATTTTGCTAGGTTGATGCGCTTCGATGGCGAAAAGCGAAAGCATCACTGAGTGACCGATCCTGGCAGATGAGCATGGTTGGAGAATAAGATTGTATTTTTGTTAGAGTCACATCCTTGTCCTCACACGCAAGAATCACTGAAGCTGAGGCTTCCTTTTTCCTTTTTCCTTTCCCCCCTTTTTCATGACATGAATGAAAGCATGGTGGCGTTGACGAGTTTGTTTCTGCCTTGGAAACTCTCACCGAAGACGGAATTATGCATTTGAGACGGAGTTGGGGAGTTGAGAGATCAGATTGGCAAATTGTAATTAGAGATGAAGAAATGAATCAGAAAATCCAGAAAACTCTCGTGTGCCGCTTGCGTGATTTTGTCATGTGATTTATTTTAATTGTGTTGTGAGGTGGTGTTGCGAGGGTTTTGGAGGTAGTTAGGTAGGTTGGGACGGTGAGGAGATGTGGTCTGAGGGAGGTGGACTGGAAGAATGGGTTGTTGGTGATGTTGGGATGTGGGCTTGCTAGAGAAGTGGTGGGACCTGTGAACTGGAAGGAGGGCAGGGACGTTGCGTGTGGATTGGAGGAGGTGGGGGAGTTATTGGTTCTGGTGCTGGCAGTAGAGGTTGTGGAAGGAAAAGAAGGGCTAGAATGTGCGGAGGCAGGAGAGGCGGGCTGGTCCGGTCTGTTTGTGAAGTTGGAGGGAGTCATGTTTTGGTGTCTGAGCAGTGGGAGATCAGAGATTGAATTGGGTTTATTGAGCTGGGGCGAAGCCTCGCAGACAGACAGACAGCGGAGTTTCGACACCGACGGGACAGCAGCAGCAGTTTCAACCCTGCAAGCCTTTTGCTGCAGCGAATGAGCGGCCGGTAATCCAAACCAGCGAAGCACTCCGTAAGCCCTAAAACAAGGTGTTTCGCCCACTGGCCAACCGCTGAATGCACAGTTCAGGGGAGACTCGGTCACCGTATCCGCAGCAGGCTCGGAGTGCCGTTGCTGCCGAGAGATCTGGATTATCAATCATTCGAGATGGCCTGGTGCGCTCTCCACGTCACTCCTTTTGTCACATCTTAAGCTATGAATGACCGGTATTTCACCTATTTTTTGAACGGGAAAGATGAATCCTTGATCCGGTGTTACAGAAGGTGATAAAAGGGGTCAAGAGTCACGAGATTCGACATCAAAACACGTCATGGCAGTCCAGAGTGGGAGTTCGGGTCCACGGTCAAATGAGCAGACTCCGTTGTTGATCGATGAGTCGAGGAGCATTGAGCGCGATGATGGGAGTTCGGCAACTTTGACGGATTCGCGGAGGAGGGATGAAGAGGATGGCGAGGATGAGGACAAGGCTAATCAGCATGTGGGGAGAGCGAGAGGTTCGCTGATTATGTTGAGTTTGTGTGGGTTGATGTTTTTGCAAGGTGTGTCTCTCTTCCATGGAATTGTACGAGCGGTTTTGTGTTGATGGTCTTTCTTGCAGCTTCGAACTTGTCTTTGGTCACGACCACTCAGTCGAAGATTGCGGAGGATCTGGATGCTTTTGCTGCGGCTAGCTGGTTTACTTCTGCCTACATGATTGCAATGTCAAGTACGACGATCTTGGCTGGCCGGCTGGCCCAGATCTTCTCTCCGAGATCTTGTGTCTTGGTGTCTTCGATCTTCTTTGGAGTTGGCGGCGTCATTGCCTCTCAAGGCAAGAGTATGCAAGTCTTCCTGCTGGGGAGAATTGTCCAAGGAATCGGAGGAGGTTCAATAATGACGGTCTCTTTGATTCTGGTTCTGGAGTTATCGGCCAAGAAGAGGAGAGGCCTGCATATTGGCCTTGTCAACTCGGTGTTCACAATGGGAGTCTCGTTCGGAGCGGTCATTGCTGGTGCTTTGCTGCCAATAACTGGATGGGTAAGCTTCTTCTTCATTTTCTCCAAGCACATATTAATTTGGTTGCAGCGATTCTTGATGTGGATTCAGGGACCTCTTTCTCTGATTTCTGGCATGGGAGTCTTCTTCAGCATCCCGACAACATTTACCGGAGGTGAAGAGGGAGAAGGAACTATCAGCGCCAAACTCGCTCGAATTGATTACCTTGGCGCTTTTACGCTCGTATGTTTCCTCTTAAGTGTTGGTTTCAGAAACTAATGTCCACAGGTTGCATCTGTGGTCCTCTTCCTCTTTGGACTCTCTTCACCCAAGATCGAGTACATTCCAATCACTGTGTCGATATTCCTCCTTATCGGATTCATTATGATTGAGTTCTACGTGGCCAGGACCCCGATTATCCCCATTACTGTCCTGAAGAACCCTGGTGTGCTTCTATCATGCGTTGCGCAACTTGGCCAAATGGCTTCAAGATGGACGGTGCTGATGTACGCCCCTGCCTATGCTCTCTCGATACGGGGCTGGAGCCCCGCTGAAGCCGGCTCGATCCTCATTCCAACGAATCTTGGCTTCGCATTAGGAGGTCTCGTGGTCGGCGGGTTTCATGTCAGGAGAGGAGGGAGCTTTTGGCTGTACGGTCCCAACCCTTTGCAGCTGCAATGCTAATTTATTACAGACCAAGCGTTATATGCTACGCCCTCTTCATGTGCACCTTTTTCCTACTCTCCCAGATTTCCAACGAGCATACTCCGACCCCGCTGTACCTTTTGGCGGTGCTTGTTAACGGTCTTTGCATCGGGGCTTCCTTGAACTATACTCTTGCTCATACCCTGCACTTGGCACCGCCATCTACCCATTTCATGGCTGCGTCTCTCCTCACCACGTTCCGCGCGTTCGCTGGCTCATTTGGCTCAGCTATTGGAGGTGGATTGTTTGTGCGGGTCCTGAAAGCAAGACTTGAGACGGGCTTTGCAGAAAATGGTGGCTTGGAAGGGAGAGAAGAGTTGGTGAGGAAGCTGCTTGGCAGTCCGGCTTTGGTACAGGTTTTGGAAGGAGTGGAGAAAAGAGTTGCGGTGGATAGCTATGTAGGGAGTTTGAACCAATTGTTTGTTGCTGCTGGCGGACTGGCGCTGGTTATGGTGTTTGTACAGGCTGGTACGGGGTGGAAGGCTGGCAAGGACGAAGAGAATGAGAACGGGAACGAGACCGAGGAGGAAAGGATGATAGGCGTTGAGGATGAGGAGTGGGAAGAAGGCATGGAGCAGGGTGTATGATTTATAATGTGGAAGTGCTGGAGTTTGGGTGATAGACATAGACCTCGACGGCTCTACATGTAGGAAGATAGACTAGATCTGGGTTCAAAGTTCCGTTGGATGCTGCATAAAGCACAGCCCCTGAATTTGAGCAGACCAAAGAAATATAAAGGCAGTTCATCTCATCGTACTTGCCCTCCTTTTAGCCTCATCGAGCTCCTCCTCCTTACGGATCTCTCTTCCGCATACTTGAACGAACATGCAGAGGAGCAGATTGTAACATTAACTTGGAAGTACTATGAAGCGCAATAGCCAACATATCGTTCATCCGATACCCTGTACTCCAGAACACAACAAACCCTAGCTCCTGGATACTTGTCCCCCTCCATTCTTGCTGCTGCCCCGTTGATCATTTGACACCTGGTTCTTACAGCTTCCAGTCCCTGTACCTCCATTTGTTTTGTTTTGTTTTGTTTTGTTTCAGCTATACTGCCCCACTAGTCCTTCCCCCCTCTTGGGGCCCCTGTCCTGTCCAACAATGACAATGTTTCCAGCTCCATCCCAAAATACCAAAGGCACGGATGGAACCTTCGGTGCATCTGCAGGGATTGCCCGCCACCCGTTCAGATCATCAGCCACCAAACAGCCAGGAACAGGCAAGCGTGGAATGCTTGGCGCGTTTCATGCACACCCTTGGCAGCGCTGTGCCTGGATCATCTCCAATTCATCGTCAAGTTCGGCCCTTTGCCCATCGTTCTGCCAGAAAGAGCATTGATCGAGAAGCTCAGATGATCACCGTATTGGACGGAAGAGGTAAGGAGCCTGGACGCCCGGCTGAAGATCCTCCCCTTTGCGGAGCTATGAGCAGCTGGTCAAGACGAGATCTTAAAGTGCTGATCGGCTGAAGGCAATGACGATGGGTGCAGGAAGGACAAAGTATCTGCGCCGTTTCTCGTTATGTCGATGTCGCTTCCCTCTCCGTGAGACGAAGTAGAAGGCACAGTATCTTGATCTTGCTGGTTCCTTCGTTTTCTTTGTTTCTTAAGACCCGACATTCCTTCCCCAGCCATCTCTCCCATACCTCGCCCCAACCACCAATTCAAACCCAGATTGTTCCTTTGCATCTTGAGCTCACTTCATCAACACCATACAGAATGCTCTCTCTTTCGCTTCTCGCGCTGGGCATCGGCGCCTCTGCAGCATCGATTCCACGCCAAATATCTCCATGCACCTTCGCGATGACCGCAGTTGGCGAGCCAAACGGTACAATAGTCGAAGACACCATCGGCGAGAATCGAATCGGCGGCGTCTATCCTCAAGGCATCTACTACATGGACGGCCACACTCTCTTCGATGGTCTGCACCACAATTGTCTCATCTGGCCCTCTACTTTCCAATTCCAATGTACGCAAGGCGCTGGGGGATCTACAAACTTCACACTGGCAGATGATGGGAACCTGATGCATGATGCCAGCGAGAAGTGGTTTGCATGCCCGTCAGCCGGTCCTGGAGATGATGGGAGCTACAATATCTTCAGTGACGCGTTGAAGAATACCACAGGCTGTCAGAGCGTCACGTTGAGAACCGGGGGATTCAGCTGTACTGCTATGGGTCGTCCTTCTTCCTCTGCTGCACCAACAGCAACAGCTTCACCAGTTTTGGCAGCCCAAAATCCAGCAGCATCTACGACCTCTGCAGCGCTCACATCTTCAGCGGCACACTCCTGCCCAACAGACATTTCCGGTGGTGTGTTCCAATTTCCCCACCTCATTGTCCCAACCTCTCCTCAAGCACCCAACACCTCCTTCGGCAACTCCTACAAAGCCTACGTCTCACCAACAAACACCACCCTCTTCAACTTCGACCTCCCTTCCGCCGCACCCTATAACGGGACCTGCGCACTACTCTTCCTCTTCCCCTTCGGTTCCGACCTCGACCCCTCAGCAGGGAAGTACTACTTTTCCGGGATCGAAGAGGAGCTAGGTGAGAAAGGAGGCTTGGATTTTGCTTTACTGAAATCCGGAATTGAAAGCGGAACGACATATGGTAATATGCCGCCGCTCGCGACAGATTACGGCAAAACGGAGATCCTGCCGGGGAATAATTACACGATTGCTACATTTAGCTGTGGCGGGAAGCAGAGTGCGTTTAGTGTTAGTAGTGTGGGGGGTGTGGAGTTGGATTACTTTCAGGATAGTGCGCCGAGTCCGATTGGGGTTTATGTTGTGCCTTGTTCTTGATTATTGGAGTGGATGGGAGAATGAGAAGTGCCCAGAAAGGGGCTGGTAATTATAATGAGGGGCTCTGGAAGCAAAACCAAAAACATGCATGGAGAGGAGAATGGTCATGAGTTATGAAACGAAAAGCATTGATTGTGGGTATAGAGATTGATACACCGATGGGAATGAGCTTTAGAATGTAATGAAAATCCTTAATGTCTATTCTTGCTTTGTTGTGTGTTCTGAGTGAAATGAATAGGTATGAAGATGCTCGATCGTCTCAAACGAGTGGTATTTCTGCTAAGAGTACAAAACCCGCAAACATCCTCTAGAATCATCATGCATTCATTGGCCAAATATCCAACTTAATTCTGTTCTTGTATTTCCACCTGTAGAGCTATATCCCATACAACCCAACCCGCCTCTTTTCAGGCTACGAGACAGTCTTCAGCTCGCAGCATCAGCCTCACTCCTATACTCCCCCGTCTTCTCATGATGCCCCAGTGCTCCCTTCTGTCCCAGACCTCCCTGTGCCGCAACAGACGCCCTAATCTCCGTGAACGTCGTCGTCGGTGTCCAGTGCACGCTCTGACTCGCGACCTTCACCTCTGCATACAGCTCATCAATCTGCTCAAGCGTAAGGCCCTTCGTCTCATAAATCATGAAATAGACAAAAGTAATACACAAAAAGCAGCAGGCGAACCAGATGAAGAAGATCTTGGACTGAAGATTTGCGTTCCCGGGACCCCAGTTCACGAGGTAAGGGGTCGAGTAGGCAATCGCCCAGTTCAGCAGCCAGTTTGTGGCCGTCGTCATGGAGAGCGCTTTCGCCCGGACCTTGAGGGGGAAGATCTCCCCCGTTACCACCCAGGCGATGGGGCCCCAGGTCGAGGCGAAGAAGAAGATGTAGATGCAGACGAAGGCGATGGAGGCCTTTTGCGCGCCGAGGTTCTTGGAGAAGACGTTTCCCTCGGCCGTCTGGCCGGTGGTGGTCGTGCCGAGAATCGCGACGAGGAGTTGGGAGACGGTCATGCCGATTGCTGGGGAGAGAGGCGTTAGTTTTAGGGGTGGAATGGAAGGGGTGGGAGACACATACCGCCCCAAAAGAGGAGGGGTCGACGACCCCATTTGTCGATTGCGTAGAGACCGGGTAAGGTGGAGGCCGTGTTCACGGAGCTGGTGATCATGCTAATGACGAAAGCATTCGTGATTCCAGAGTTCTTGAAATATTGAGTCCCGTAGTAAAATATGAAGTTGATACCGGTAAGCTGTTGCAGAGCTTGAAGGCCACATCCTGTGAGCTGTCTCTTAAGCATGTTGCCCCTGAAGCAGTCGAGGTATGTTGCCTTCCCGAGACTGAGTTCGTACTCGTGATTGGCTTGGATTTCGCCCAATTCATCACGAATAGCGGCATGATCTGCTGGCAGTCGGCGGAGCTGAGAGAGAGCGAGTGCTGCTTTCTCGGGCTTTCCAGATCGAATCAGGTATCGTGGGGTTTCGGGGAGCACGAGCATGCCGCCAACGAGGACCAGAGCCCAGGCGAACTGCACGGCAATCGGGATACGGTATGAGCCAGTGTCTTTATTGGGAGTCAGCCTAAGTGCTTGGGGATTCTCCATTCGGAGACTTCGTTCACTTGCCAGTGCGATTCTTTGTAGAGTTGTTGACGATAGCAGCCAGCAGTAGACCAATGGTGATTGCCAACTGGTATGATCCAACAATGAGACCCCGGATCCATTTTGGTGCAGTCTCGGATTGGTAAAGGGGGACTAATAGGCTATGAGGAAGTATCCAGAATTAGGGGGTCAAAGTGCTTACTCAAAGCCGATACAAGGCCTACACCAAAGCCAGCGAAGAAACGGCCAGCAACGAACATGGGCAATTTGGTAGCAGCAGTCTGCAAGATAACGCCAAAGCTGAACACACAGCAAGACGCAATCAAGGCAAAACGTCGACCGATTCGATCGGCCACGGGCGCTGCCCCAAGTGCTCCAAAGAATGTGCCGGCAGACAAGATTGAGACAACTTCTGACGTTTGGCCAGCGTCGATGTTCTTGTGTCCTTTGGAATCGATGAAACCAGTTGAGAACTCATCTTGCCAGTATCTAGGAGGTATAAGAAAAGATGCATGAGGAGGAAGTTGCTGGAATGGCATACGGCATGGCAAGAATACCACTGATAGTTCCTGTATCATATCTGCTTAAAATCAGCTTATGCAACCAGGTACAGGAGCCAGAAGCATACCCAAATAGCACACCTCCGAAAGCAACGAACAATCCAATGATAATCTGTATTCAATTCAGCCTAGAGTTAAAACTTGGAAGTGCGGATGCCTTACAGCAGGCCAGGACTTGCCCGGTACGCCCTCAGGCTTCTTCAAAGCCAAACCCATCTTGGAGATATTGGCTCTTTCACTATACAAAACTCAGAGGACTCTGCAAGAAACGTGGATGAAGGCCAAGGTGAGGAGGACAAACGGTACTACTCTTATAAGAGCTTGGAGAAAGACCGACTTTTTTCGGCCTGGAGCGGGGAGCTACCCCTCCTCGCGGTCCTACTTCAAATCGAGGGATGTTTGCATCTCCCTGCTTGCTCAACGGAGTAAAGATCGCCATAATGTGCGTTCGATCATTGGTACCAGATGTGTGACAAACCGGGTGGGATTGGTCTCGACCAGGAGCTGTTTGATTGTGATAGGCAGACTAGAAGCCGTCGACGTAGCTACCTCAAGGCATGCAGATGCAGATGAACAAGCCGTAGGAGGCGGTCCCCGCTACGATTCATGTTTCACTTCCGTGCTTACAATTGAGAAGAGGCGGCCAATTGAGGGGAATGGTGGCTGGACGGGAGGCGATGGCACTTGCTATTTCCCCCGCAAACACTGAGCAAAAAGATGCGAGCGGATCTGGGGTTGGCGTTGGCGTTTGGTGTCGTGAGTTGCCAATCATGGGAGGAGTGGTCAGGGTTGAGACACGCTATGGGATAATGGGAGTGTCGTCAGCGGTGGCTTTGTCGGCCCTTCTGGGAATAATGCGACAGTTAGAGCGAGATAACACGGCATTGCACCAGTTGGAGAGAAGAACAGGATGGAGCAGGATAGAGGACAGAGGACAGCAGGGGGAGGTGAGGTATTTCGTACGCGAGAGTCGGAGAGTCGAGGGTCGGAGACTCGGAGGGATGCATGCAGCTCACATGCAGATGTAACGATGTTGTATTGAGAGCGGCCTTTGACGGCAAATGCAGGGGATGTCAATGGCAACCAGGCACGTGTGCCGTTTTGCCTGCGCATTGTGCTTGACAGACTCTCTCCGACGCAACCCTCACCCTCAGCTCTTCTCGACAAGTCTCGGACCGTTGATCAGAACGCGGTCTGGGGCCCGGCAGCAAAAGTAGTACGAAACCCGGCCCAATCACTAGTGATCCTGTCCCGTCTGGCATCCGACAGGCGGACATCTTGGCTCGCTTCCTCCCCAAAGATGATGGTGCGGGATCCGGGATGTGGCGGATACGCTTGCCAACCTAAGTTTAGCTTCAGCGTCAGATCACATGCAGGAATTGTCAGCAAGTCTGAATAACCTCATACCTTCTGTTTTTCGGATTATATTGGGATTAGTGTGTCTCTTGTCTCTTGCCGCCACTCTGCAGCTAATCATGCCTTGTCCAGATTGGGGAAGCCCCTAAACATCTTTCTCTTTGCCTCGATGAGTGATCGAGTTCCTCAAGATCCCAATTAGGACTTATCTATACAATGGAGAATTTCAGCCACCGCCAGTCCATTCATTTAATAATGATTTCGTTGCCAAAGACAAACGCCTCTTCTTTCTTCCCGCTTAGTGCTTAGTAAGATCGAGCAGATGTGGAAAGCTGACACCTGGAACATGAACCTCGCAAAGTCAAGTGACCATGCATTTCTTCCTTCAAATCGTCCTTTACAAACCTGCAATTGGAAATCTCTGCCCAAAAAAAAATGACGATCTCGAAACTCGTCGAGAGCTTGACAGCAAAACTCTCCCCAGCAGCCAGTGTGCTCACAGATCCCGCCAGTGACGAGTTCAAAGCTGCTCTCGAGCGATGGACTGAGTTGGATCTCGAGACTCCTGGAGCTGTTGTGCTAGTTTCTTCTGAGGAAGACATCGTTCAGACCGTAAGCTTCCCGACTTATGGGAATTTAACGATGTTCTGATGGTTCAGGTGAAATTGGCAATCGAGCACGGCATCCCCTTTGTTCCCAAGTCAGGCGGGCATAGCCAGTGGTCAACAATTGGATCTGAGGGCATTATTATCGACCTCAGCAACTACAAGAATGTGATCGTCAACAAGTCTGCTCAAACGGTACAAATCCAGGGTGGGGTAGTTAATAGGGAGGTTATTGAAGCTTTATACGTAGAAGGGTTGTGCACGTGTCAGTCCTGACCTCTGGTTGAATGTGTCCCATGCTGACCAATTACAGCTCTCGGAGGAGGCAACACAATAGGAACAATCCCTCAGGGAATCGGTGGTGGAATCTGCGCCCTCACGAAGCTCTGCGGCACCACATCAGACAACATCCTCTCCGCGCGCATGGTCACCGCAGCCGGCTCCATAATCACCGTTGACGACTCAACCCCCGACCTGCTCTGGGCTTTGAAAGGAGCCGGCCAATTCTTCGGCCTGGTAACGGAACTCACACTGCGCACCTACCCCCTCTCCATTCTCGGAATGGACGACGGATCCGTCTACACTGGTACCTTCATCTTCGACATCCCGCAAGTCGGAGAGGTGACCAAGCTCGCGCATCAATTTATGAACGTGAAAGACCACAACTCCGCCGTCCTCGCCGTCGTAACCCTCAACCCCCAGCTCCAAAAACCATGCTTCCTTCTCATGTGCATATATTTCGGACCCGCCATCGAAGCAGAGAAGTTCCTCGAGCCATTCAAGGCTCTGTCGCCGATGATGGCGGTGGGCTCAATGGTTGACTATACGAATATCAACGACAGTATGGACCCCTTTACCGTCAAAGGAGACTACAAGTGCTTTAACCTCGCCGGCGTACCGCGCTTTGATCCGGCGCCCTGGCAAGGAATCGCAGAAAGCTTCGTTGAACTAACGAAAGCCTTCCCGGACATAAAAATGGGAGGGTATGGCTTTGAATGGACGACTGGGAAACAAAAAGAGATAGAGCTGGATTCGGTGTGGGCACATCGCGATTTGCAGTTCTGGGTGGAGAATTTGTCTTGGTATACGGACGAGAGTTCTGGGGAGGGAGTGCAGAAAGCTGCGGAGGAAACATTGGCAAAGGCGACGCGACATTGTAAAGCGGAAGAGATCCATCACTACCAGAACTTTTCTAGACATGATTCGCTGGAGAGCAGGTTCGGGGAGGAAATAGTAGAGAAATTGAGGCGGTTGAAGAAGAAGTGGGATCCGAAGGGGGTGTTCACGAAGCAGTTGCTCTGATTTGATGTCCGATGGTCAGACTGCTTGGTGAACTCACATGAAAAGCCAGTGCCTATTCAAAACGACCAGCCGGCAATTAAGACTCCAATGACTTTTAAGCGATCATTGTATTCATGTAGTACAGCTGCCTATTGTTGGCTACACGCTTCCTTTGCAATTGGCAGAAAAGTCCCGAATGTGGAGACGGCGTTCAGGACTCGGCCTCAATAGCGCACCTTGGGGTAGCTGAAAATCGAAACCCTCCAAAAGACAAGAGTCTAAGTTGTTTGCCACATCTCTGTGGAAACCAACAAATACCTTTTTCATATTTGCGTCGTCGACTTGCTCTTCACTCTTGCAATGGCAGATGGCGTGCGTTGGTCCAGAACGGGCATGTTTGCCAGTCCGGAATAGACTTCCGATATCGATGAAGGAGAGGAAGCATAATCGAAGCCACAAAATTTAGGACTCCTCACAATTCTCGACTTAGTGACTTCATCAACTTCACTGTCCCTTGGACAAGTCGTAGTGCTGCCAGTGCACGGAAATTAACGGAATACTCTCTCCGGGATTTCGACAGGCGTTCTAGGGAGAGAGCAATATTTGATCAACGTGAACCGGAGAAAAAAACATCCAAGCTATATCGTGGGCATTGAGAGGTTTCCATTGGCATACCACACTCTCCAATCACTTCTTTATATTTCACTTCACTTTCACTTCTTTATATTATCGTACGTTTGGACCACCCTTAAGCGGTTGGCTCTCGGGGCTCCTTAGAAAAAACTTTCACGTGACGAACGCCAGAATCTCCCCCTTCTAGGGAATCGCGCATCGGAACGCGATTACGTCCAAATCCTTAGGGCTCAGCTTAGGATAAGAAAGGAGAAGCTCAAGTACCTTTCTTTATGTTTTAGTAGTTCTGAAATGCAAGGGGCTTTTATTATGATTTTTTAAAGCTTGGGGGGGATTTCTTGAGGCTCTCGCTAGCTCTAAAATATACTAAGAAAATCCTGACCTTACGTTACTCTCTCTTTTACTTCCTTTTAATAATGGATAATTCCAAGACCTGCTTATTGTGCGCTAGACACTTGCCACTTTCAGCCTTTCCTTGCGGGCCTACAGGCGCTATCCGTAAGACCTGTATAGCCTGTACGGTCCGTATTTCTCTTCTCTATCCTTGATTTCTTTAACCAGTTTCTAGGAGCGGCAACGTGCCCGAACTGCTAATTAGTGCCCTACCTTGCAAGAACTCGATCCGAATGCCCTCCCTATCTCCCGGCAACGACGACGGTCGATTACGGACGTCTCTGCGGACGAGCCAGCCCTACGGCGCCAGTAACGGATCCGTTAACCGTCCGTTACGGCCCTAGTTCATATTATAGAGGACCCTCCTACTAACCTACCTACTATACGGCCTCCTGCCTTCCTCTCCCGCTTCCGGCCAGCTCCTATATATATGACTAGTCCGCTTATGAGTTACTATATAGCTTACGGAGCCCTTTATTTTGGCTATATAAATAATTATTTTAAGGCCTATTATAAGAAAGATAATATAATACTTCCTCTAATCTATAAGCCTTCTTTATACCTCTCTTACCTCTTTATAGATAATAACCCGCTTTACTAGGCCTTCCGGATAAATATTCGGATATATAATTATACTTTTGCCTTTATATTAATTAGCTATAAGAAAAATACCCGGATTAACTTCTTTTATAAAATCTAGTACTTTTAGATTTATAGTAAGCTTTTCTATTTCTAAGGCCTACTATAGCCCGCTTTATATATTAAATCTTTTTTTATATAGCTTTTCTTTTATAATCCGCTTTTTATAACTAATATATAAGCTACTAATTTCTCTTACTTAGATTATATAGTTCTTTTATAGCTTACGAATATACTTACGAATTATAATCCGTTTATTATAATTTATAAGATAGCCCATAAGTATCTTATAAGCTAGTAAACTAATTTCTAGATCTTATTTAATTTATAAATATATTTAATTCTTGAGTTAGGTACTAATTATTATTATAAGAATCTCTTAATAAATAATAAGGTTATAGCCCTTATTCCAGATAAGTATATAAATATAAGCCGCTATAATCTAGTACTTATAATTTATAAGATAGGCTATAAGTATTTATAAATATATATAATTAATATTATATATATAATATATATACTACTTTATTATATTTTATTTTTCCTATATAATAACCCGGGCTAGTACTATAATTTATAGTTATAGGACTATAATAGAACCTATTAGTAAATATAGCTAAAATAGCAAGTTTTTTACTAGTACTATCTCTATATTTATCCGGCCTTTTTCTTATTCTTTTATACTAGCTACTTTTTTTAGTAATATATTATTAATATATATATTACCTATAAGATTATTTTACTTAACTAGCTTTACTTATACTAGTAGAATATTTATATAAATATATATATAGAGTTTATAAATACTCTAATTTATAAAAATATTTATATAAATAATATTAGCTATTACTTTATTTTCTTATTAAGCTTTATAGATAGTAATTACTTTATATAATAGCTCTTTTAAGACTTAATAGCTATTATATAATACTTTAATAAGCCAAGCTTCTTTATTATTTTTATAGCTAACCTATATTAGCCTGAGATTATAGATTACTTTTTAAATAGGTAATAAGCTATTAACTATCCGGATTTCTTTTACTAGATCTTTATATTAAAAATAAAAAAGCTATTTATAAACCTAAAGAATTACTTTTTTAAATTATATATAAACTATATATATATAATTAAATACTAGAAATATAACTTTCTATATATATACCTACTTTTATTTCTTAGAAAAGAAGCTATTTTCTTAATTTCTAATTTAGTTAATAAAGTTATTTATATTAAGCTTTTAGACCTATTATAGGATTCTATAAATAAACTTATAATTATAATAACTAGTTAAATATCTTATAAATTATATAGCCTTAAAAATAATTTAAAAGCCCTATATATAATTCGTAAAATACTTATAATCCCGCTTATATATTAAAAGAAGTTCCCTAAGGCATTTATAGCTATAATAATTATTTATAAAAATAGATATCCCGAGTACTAGTACCGGAATAATAGCTATATATTTATAGTTTATAAACTAGGCTTTCTAGGCCAGGAAATTATCTATAATAATTACTAGGTTATTTTATATAACTTGTATTTTTTCTAGAAATTCTACTCTTATATTAATATTAAAGTTTATATTTCTATATAAGTAATTAAGTATATCTATAAATATATTTATAAAAGAATAAATTATATAATTATTATAGTTTTAGGAATAAATAATAAGATTACCTAATATCTTTAAGCTTAGTATATAGGCCTTATAAAGGCTTTCTAGTATTTATTTAAATATCTAATATATTAGGAATTTCTCCTAATCTAGTATTTAGTAATCTATTTCCCTAGATAATATATAGTTTACTTTATAAATAATTTCTTATTCGAGTAAATTATAAACCGGGCTATAAATACTTATTTAATTTTAATAGCTTTTTTTAAATATAATATAATATATAAGAATAGCTACTAGTATCTTTATTATAAGTTCCTATAATACTTTATATAAGTTACTATTAGTTTACTAATAATATATAATATTATTATATAAGTATAAAAATATTAGTTATATTAGTTAATAAAATTATTATTATTTAGAAATAAGAATTATAGTATTATAATATTAATATATAATCCCTAAATTTACTAAGCCTAAAGAAATCTAGTTTACTAGTCGAGTTATTAATAGGATATAAGGCTATATAATTATATCTCGTATTTTATATTTTATTACTTATATTTTATTATTTATATCTCATATCCCGTATCCCGTAACTATATATATAACTCCCAAAAAAATAGCTATACTAATACTAGAAATTCTCTAAAAACGCGAAAAATAATATCTTTTTCTAATTATATATAAATTTCCTAATTTGGCCTAGTACTAGATTTCCTAAATATTTTATATATTTATATTACTTCCGAGATTTTAGTTATATATTAAAGGCCATAGCCTTTTATATATAACTTTTCCTCTTATAATATTCTCTTATCTTATATATTTATTTCTTGCTCTATTTATACTTAACCTATTTCATTATATTTAATTATATAGTATTTATATTAATTAGGTATTTAAGAATATTTATTAGCTTTAATTTTATTATAGAATTAGTAGAATTTAATTCTTCCTTAATTTATTTAACTTCTATAATCTCTTATTATTTATATATTTAGTAAAGATATATTATATTAATTATTAGATACTTTTCTTAAATAATTCCTAATTTAATAAAATATTTATATAATAACTTCAAATTTATATAAATTACTAGTAATAGTTCTATTTCTAGTACTTTATTAATTATAGATTTAACTAAAGTATTTATATTAAAGCTATAAGTTATATTATAAAGTTCTAAAGCTAGAATACTTCTAATAACTCTCTTATATTTAGTAAAGAACTAGTAAATAATATTAGTATATCTAGTTCTATTTACTAGAACTAGAATATATCTAATTTAGGAAAAAAGATCTTTATTATTTATAAATAAAGTATTTATAAAAACAATTAAATATAAGAATTCTTTTACTAGCTTCACGAATTTTAGTTCTCTAGTAATATTCTTAATTTGCTATTAAATATACTTATTAAGTACCTTTATATTAGTTTCCGAGAATTTAATAGCTTAAGTAATAATTAATAGGTTATATAAAACTTCTAGTTAATAAACTAATATAATATATATTTCTCTAGTATATTAGGTAATATATTAGTCCTTAATAAAGAGATCTTAATAAATAGTACCCTTATTACTTATAGTAATAATATTTTTTATAGAAATAGTTTAGAGGTTTTTATATTAGTATTCCTATATAAAAGTAATTCTAGTAATATTTATATAAATAATACCTCTATTAAACTTGAGATTATAATTAATAATAAGACATTTATATTTCTTAGTTAAAAACTTAGTTTTTTAGAGCTTTAGTTACTTTATTTTTATAAAATTATTAGTTTTAATAAATAAGATATTATTAGTTTAAAGACTAATAATTCTAATAGATTACTTATTATAGAAAAGATAAGGGTTATAAGTTAATTATTTTATAGAAAGCTCGTTAATATAATAGAAATAGTAAGTCTTAAACTAGTAGTTCCTAGCTTCCGGTAAACTATATAATAGTTTTATAACCTTTAGAACCAAATTATTAT